GATTGCAATGAGGCTTTCATTTATTGGCTGTGGGTCCAGAAAATAGTTATATTGTGTATATTGGTCAAGCCGATTTCGAGAACGACTGTATGTAAGGACTCAGATGCTTTGAAAGATAGCAGTAGCATTGAACGAAGGTATTAAGCTGAGAGAGAGAAAGAAGGGAAGAAGGAGAGAAGCTCCCATCGCAACTATCTACACATGAGCGGCTGCCTGCGTCACGTGCTCAGGCACCGAGAGAGCTTCGATCGTTACACTGTAGAGTGCGTGGCCGGCGACGACTCTCACCTCCCCGTGGTGCCGGCTGGGAACCTGTGAATACCTAGCCTGGATGGTATTTGCAGAGCTAAGAAGAGTCACCACCGGCCAGCATTGTCCGCTGGCTAGGGCTACGGCTGGAGCGAGAGCTCAGGGGTCAGGGGCTAACCCTAGCCGCAGGCGACAAGGGAACACTTTGAAAATTACCCGACACACGACTGCGAGACCGATCCTACAATCAGTGGACACTAGGGTCGTGGGATAGGACACCCTTGGAGCGCTCTCGGGTCTGCTATGTTGAAAGGAGCATATCGCTGGGTCTGAGACACAGAAACGACATAGTGTTATGATAGGAGGCTGGTGCAGATCAGGAACCAAGCCGAACCATCGGAATTAATCCCGAGATATCTATACGAAGATTGGAAATCAACTTGGTCTTCACGTTGTATATATAGCCTTATGTTTCCCTCTGAACAACAATACAATTTTTACATCTGAATTACAACACGATCAAGTAATCGACCTATCGATGTGATCATCTGAGATTAAGTTCCTGGCGTTCTTGTAGCCTATTAAGGAGGAGGCGGTATGCTGGAATGGGTACAGTCAGGCGAGCCTGTGATTTCATTGGTCATGGTTCCCGTGCTTTTAGCTTTGCTCGGCCGCTGCCCCTTACACTCAGCCCCCTTCTACCACCATCATTCCGGAAGCCAAACATCCTACTGGATTTGAGCTGTCCCAGTTGGCAGCAAAAATATCAGCAACTCCCCATGATTCCGACACAGTGACTTTCAAAATGATTCCGCTAAATTTACTGATCGGAAAAACACAGATCTCAACTTCCGAAACGTGAACTTGAATGAAATTTTGCAAATTCTCGCAGAAACAGATAGAAACCCTTACTATCCCTCGAAATTATGTTATAACACTATTTCTTTTTGATAGGGAGCGGTATTGCAATGCTCTCGACAGCGTAGAGGGCTATTAGTGGATCATTTGGCTTCTATCTGCACCATCTTCACCCCAGAAAGCTAAGAGTTTTTGTTCTCAGTAGTGTCTCCAGGCTGTCACAAAAATCTTATGTATAATTATACCGTGAAACGCTAATCTTCATTTGGGTTACAGCGTTGTATTCCTGGCATGAATCCTAGCTGGAGTGGCTGTACCCAGCCAGAAATAGATCAAGAAAAGGTAGTGGGGGTTGGCCTGACCAAACTCATTTCAGTGCGATCTGAGTGAGGGTCTACAGTAGTAAAGAAGACTTGTGTGTTTTTCTGGGTTTAATTTGTTTTCGAATTTTCTTATAACAGATAGGTATTGTATCGACGGGGAGCAGTCAACAAATAGATAAAGCATTCCGAGCATGAGTACTGCAGGGTGGCCGCATGGCCGGGACATTGGAACAGTACTCGCCAGCAGGCCTCCAGACCGGGATGAAATTTTAACATCACTGGGCATCCGATCGATTCGACTCAGCATCCACGCCAATCTCAACGATTGAGCCACGACCCAGGACGCATTGGCATTGGCGCTGGGCTGGCGGAGTGCTGACGTCTCGAATCAGCGCGACTCGAATCACGGCGACTTGGCTCTGCCACCACAACCACTACTCTAGCAAAGCCACTTCGCCAGGGGTTCTCCAGCTTCCAGAACTAGCGAGATGTTCTATATCGCCTGATTGGCCAATTTTTTCACACTGGAAATCTTACTTCACCAATGGAAGCGACCGCCGATCTCAGCCTCAGTCCCAGCTGAAACCCCGCCTGCACGCCGATGCCGCCGCAGGTCAAGGTCAAACATCGGGAGGGAGGCAGTGGGCGTACGGAATGGGTTTGTCCAACCATCTGCACCGGCATAGTCTCGAACGGACAACCGAATGCTGCTTCTCTGCTACTGAATAATCCTCAGGGTTCGTCCACCTCTTGCACACCGTTGCAGTAGGCCAGCCTGATAGGGTTTGTCAATAAAGTCGAGGGTACTTGCAATGACAACGAATCCTCCACAATAGCGCTATTATATGTCGAGGCCACTTCCCCTTAGACTTCGCGCATCTCCACGTTCCTTCTGCCTCACAAGGTGCTGGTCTAACTTGGATACCAGGTGATCTATGGAGTTTCAAGATGTCCACGGCCTCGACGCCTCGGCGCAACACTTTTGCCAGTAGCAGCAATAAATCTTGCAAGCGTTTCGGGGTGTTAGGGTTAATTGACAGCGGTTGTTTGGTGGAAGCTCTAAAGACGTCCATCATGAATGCTTGTAGCCCATAAGCCAGGGACGAAATTTTCGAATTCAAAAATGCAAAACGACGGAGCCATTATCTAAACCCGCTCTGAATCCCACATCAAACAAGAATCAGTCTGTTCCAAAAACCGAATTTCGCCCCAGAGAAGCTTTGATTTCGTGGCTGCAAATCAGGATTTCCACATTCCAGACCATGGAGTCTCGCAGCATGTTTTGCAAGTTGGCCATGCATTCACTTTCCTCGAAAACGAATTCTAATCGCCGAACGACATTTCCTATTCGTTTTGTTTAAAGAGTGAAATTCCCAAGCAATCGTAACAACCGATATATATATATATATATAATTTTATCTAGAAATCTTTTTATAAGATAGCGGTTAATGAAGCACCTTTGTTCGAATGCTACAGTCAACTCCCGCTTATAGCACGCCCATGATTTGTGAGGGGTAGCGCGCTGCGTTTTATTGAGGTGCTTTGGTCAGACCGCTGGCTCTCATGTAAGCAATGGCTCAGAGAGCAAATCAGAGCAGTCACGTGATGATCACTGATCCGCTCAGCGCGCTCAGAGACGTGCTCAGATCTACTCAATGAGCAAAAGCGGCTCTCACTGAGCACTAAAACGGAAGGGGAGAGCCAAGACTTTGGATGGGAAATCCGGTACGTAGGTATAAGCCATTCAAGTATTCGGAACGAGGCGAAGAAGCCTGCAATTTTACCCCTGCGGGATTGCAACAGGGATGTAGCAGAGCTTCAACCTGATTAGGAACTTGAATAATTGTTAGAGAAGCTAACTTGAATATTGGTAGGGAAATGGCATACTCTGTGATGCAGCACCTCCCTCGGCGCCCCCTTCTCCATAATTTCCCGGGACATATTGTGGGAGATCTCCCTGAGTACCACCCTGACCGGGCCACCTCCCACATATGCATTTCGATCAACCATAGGGGTAACTGGAGTGTGATCTGGCAGAAGATCTTTCGGCCCAGCAGGTAACTGAGTTGGCAGACGAGTTCTGAAATGCGGCCTCTTTACATATGTTGTACCATGAGTTAGGTTAGAAATCACATAAAGTCGGATTATATCAGTACAGGATGTAACGGTGTTGAATGAGACTCTCAGAGCAGGTCCGTTCAGTCTAGGCGCAAGAACAGCCTGAATATTTCCATCCCGCACCAGAACTTCGATGGGAAAATAGTCTTCTCTAGCATTCACCTGCCGCATCTTCCTCGGGGATGGCAGACTCGAGGTTAAAATAGAGGGTGATAACATAGTTAAAGACACTGGTACCATCCCCCAGGCGCGATTCAACTACTCCTAGAATGGGAGCGACGTTCCATAATCCTCCTGCTGCACTATGAATGAACTGTGCGGCGGGGGCTGATTCGCATTATAAAGAGTGAAAACGTCGTCCTGATATAGCGTCATGAAATCGGCACCGCTGTCGTCCGAGAACTCAAAACTCCAAGGTTGAGAATCTTCCGACATCTTGAGTTTCAGATTCATCTGAACAGAACTCAAAATGAATATCCAATCTTGAAATAACCCTAGCCACGGGGCGATCATACCTTGACCTGAAAGGGACCCGCTTCTGCGGTGGGCTCGTAACATAGACAGGTCGAGGTATCAACCCTAGGACCAGTGCCCAAGGTATCTACCTGTTTCGGATACAATCTGTAGTGGTTCCCAGCTAGGGCATTTAAGTTACTCGGGCCAGGTGGCAAGGGGCCAGCCAAGCGGCTCTAAAAGAATAATTAGTTTTAAAGTAATTTCTTTCTCTCTTCGGATAATCAACGTACTCGTTCTACCCAAAAACCCCTTTTGCATCTCGGGTCTTTGGTAACAATCGCGACAACTTCCATATCATGGACTCTGGGCTGGGAGATTTGTTTGCCCTCGCTCCAATAGGTTACAAGCCCGAGATTCCAGTCAAGCTCCTTCTTCCTATAGGCACTCGCGATAGCTTTGACTGTTGGCAAGAAATTATACTCGTCGCCATTTCCTTCTAGCCATGTCTTCGTTCGGTTCAATTGCTGAAGACGCTTTGCCACATTGAATGATAGCCCGAGACCTCGGAATTAACCATGAAACTAGACAAAGAGAAATATCATCGGCATGGCGCTTCCAAAAACAATTTGGGCTACTTACTCCTCTTTTCTCTTCCTCTCAAGGAGGTTCTTCAAATCATTCTCGAATATACGAGGCATGGCACTTTCCATGGGCGGTGGCACAGCCCTGGAGTAATAATTTGCATAGAACTTCTGTAAATTACGGTGTGTCGCGTCCACGGATAGCATACATATAACTTATGTTAGCGTATCCTGAGCCCCGCCCAGACAGTAAAATAGCGTACAAAACGGGTATTGAACTAGTATTGTAGTTTGCAAATATTCTTGAAATATGGATGACTATAAAGACCCTTGCATCCCCGCAGCCACGCCTTTCAAGAGATTGAGAGACGGAATTCTTTAACCGAATCTCAGCACAAGCCAATTTACCTCGATTATGTCAAAAACACTGGAAGAGTTCGCTCAATTAGAGCCCCTCTGGGACAAAGCAATCCAATCCCCATCGGAAATCTCGCTAGAGGAAAAACACCGGATGATGGAATGGCCACCCCTAGAGGAGATGCAAGCCAACGCCAATAAATTCCTGGGAATCTCGCTTGAAGATTTGCTGCAAAAAGCCGTCACGAATGCTGAATCCCTGACATACCCGGAGTGTCGTCTCGTTCGTGATCAGTTCCGTATTAAGAAAATGATTGAAATGGGTGACGAATGGAATCGGTCCCAATGGTCGCGGAAGGATCCTGATCTATTCACCAAAAGAAAAAGAGCCCAGGAGGCTGTTTTGACAGCAGATGAGCTCCAGGCGGTTCAAGCTGTGGATGAGATATTTTCCCGAAAACAAAGTGAGGAATTCCAGGCGAGAGAAGCAGAGCGACAGAAAAAGCCACCACAAAACATGCCGCAAGGGTGGGTCAAAAAGATCATCGATCGAGAAGGCGATAAGAGCTGGGGTTGTGTTTTCTATCATCAGAAGGCAATGGCTGGATGGGATGAGTTTATGGAAATTTTTAACGCCGTTCTTGAGATGCCTCATTTTTTCCCAGGATATGAGGAGATACACGATCACAAATTCGCTCAATTTCTTCCATTTGAGACAGAAGAGAGTGAACTCACCCTTTTGCAGCAGTAAGTGTCTATATTATCTACCATGAAATCGTGAGCATTATTAATATAAGGCTCAGGGACTTTCGGAATCGCCGCGAGAGAGATGACCTAAAGCCCGGTGTTCTCAAAAACGTCCTGTTTTTGGTAACAGATGAGGCACGACTATCTTGTGGTACAGCTGGCATGCGCTCGGAGATTTTCTGGGGATATTTATGGGCAATTGATCCCGACTGGCCCCTGTCGGAGGTTGATGAAGATGGTTACGATGGCCGACTCAAAATCCACATAAACTTCATTTTCTTCCGGTTCTACGAGTTCATGTCTATGGAATTCTCGCTCAAGGATCTCTGGCTGGATTTTCAATATGTCAAGTCTAACCACTTATATCCGGGCGCTGACATGACCTCTTGGGGCTTTACACATCTCGATAAGCCTAAATGGCCATTCAATTGATGACTTCCTTATGGTTTAGGGGTCATTTTCTCTTTTTCGATTCTTGGGCACATATTCTTCGGAAGAGCTTGGATCTTCAGCATAGCTGGTCTGCTGCTTGTTTCAATTGCTTCGGCGAGGCATGGCGAGGGATCAAATATTCCCGTGGACTTAGATGTGCTGTAAACAAGTTCTTTTTCGGAGAATGAAATCGATTCGAATTTTTTTTTAATATGTGGCAAGGAAGCCCAGAGATTTAGAAATCATATACACCTTCAGACAACAAAGGGAAAAATATCACCCTCTCTGTCCTTCTCATCTCGTCCTGGACTCGTCTTTGTCGACTCGGACGTCGGCTGCCAAGCTCTAACGACTTCAAAGAGCACCTCCCCATCAAAGCGACAGGCACAAAATAATTTTCCAGTATATCTTCTATTCAAGTGACTCGTATTATACAGTAACCTCTATTAGAATAAGCCTTCGAGGGTTGCACTACCGAGCAGACGCACCAACCCACCGACCCTAACGCGGCCCAGCTGCCCACACCCTCCGCACCCATCCAAACAAAAGAAATCCTCTCCCCATAAAGCGGCCAAATGCCATCGGTATTCCAAATTTGAACCAGGACAATGGTTTGAAGAGGGTCGTGCGCGGGACAACTATGGAAGTCTCGTCCCCATCAATGGCCGGCGAGGAATCATCACGCCCTGAGTCCGTAAACGCAGCAACAGCCTCGAGTATTATTCTCGCCGTCAAAGCAGGTTGACTCAAAAATGGCGAATGACTGGTCTGCAACTCACGATGTTCCACAACACCCCCCATCTCCCTCGCCATACCAACCGACAACCGCTGAGCAAGAACCGGTAACCCGTGATCCTCCACAGTCCCAATATACCAAGACGGTACATCCTGCCACCCAGCATACGTAAACTCGCCTCCTTCAAACAACGCCTTCAGGCTCTGGGTAGTAAGTTGAGAGACCCAGTACTCCGCCTCGTCGTCCGGTAAATCGTGATAAAATAACTCGCGGGGCGACGTGACGAGTTCAGCGTAGCCGGTTTCATTATTCACACGCCACGAAGGTGGAGGATGGCCGAAGAATGGATCCATGAAGGACAGCCCGGTTAGGTTAAAGCCGGAGGCTATGAGGATCAAACCAATGACGTATCCCGACTGGTTATCGCTGGCTGGTGATTCCTTTGACTTTGCGAAGCCTTTGATAACGCTACCGCCCACTATACCGCCGTATGAATGCGCAATGACAACCACATCGCGGCCGTTGCTTGTCTCGGCGGAAACGACGGTCCGAGCTGCGTCGAGATCGTCTTTAAAGGTCGCTTTTGGATTTCCGGATGTTGAGGGTAGAGATACCGCCACACATCTCAATTTTGGTTCCAGGAGCTTGATTAGTGGGTTGTAGCATGTGGGTGTGTGCCATGAACCGTGTATGAAGACGAGGGTTGGTTGATTCGGCATTATGATTGATTTCGCGATTTCCAAGGTTTCGTTCTTTGATTTGGACAACGGAACAATTGCATGCACTGACTGGTGAGGAAGAATGAGAAACGAAGTTAAGTTTCTAAAGGGAAAAGTTGATGAACAATGAAGTTCGATCTTGGAAAGCGGGTCTTCGCTGCGGAACCGACAGTTGCGGAGCCGATGCGTATCACGTGAGAGCAGCATGGTCTTGTAATGAAGATACGGTATTCTGGTATCTATCGGTAATTTATCGGCATCACGAGCATCATCATTCTGGAACCATTCTCAATGACCGGAGCTGACTAGCGAAAGGAAAAATGAAGGTGAGATCCTGAATACTGAGAGTTGTAATTATAACTCTCAATCTAGAGCTAATCAATCACGCAACAGCAGTGCTTCGGAAGCAAAAATTCGTGAATTAGACATTGTAAACAGACAGGATGGTGGAATCAAATATATAAACGACCGATCGAGGTCTGCAAGCGTTTTACATCTCCCGAGTCCTTTCAGCGACTCCGAAACGCTGCAGGGCTGGCATTGCCCTTTGACCTTGACCCTCGTTGATCGAACCTGCATTCCAGCCGACTTGAACACCACGATTGTTGTCCCCGAAAGAAAAGTTGTAATTATGGACCTCAGCTGCCTTCATAGTGTCTGCGACAGTGTGCTGCTCCTTGACCTTCTGCGAGGGGATTCGGTACAGCAGATCTTTGGCATATGCTGCGGCAACCATGGCTGCATATCCCTGCCACTCCTTATTCTTATGGGAATCGGAGTAATCGCAAATTCCACGGATCACAAGACAAGGAAAATGATTGAGCAAGCCAGCTGCTTCCATCTCAAAGCATAGAATATTTTTCTTTGCTGCAAATTGATCGCGTATGATGGCATCCTTCATGAGTGAGTTGCCCGATGCAATAAGACCATAGTGAATTGCCGGGTTGTCATCATTTTCGTCGCGTGGCTCGCGTGACACAAGATCGGATTGGTTATCGCCACACCCTGGATCACACGGCTCATCGCTAGATCGATGGACAACTTCACTTCGGAACAGTCGATCGGACGCAAGGTCTGGACGCCTGTACTTCTTGCGGAGACGTGGTTTCAGCGCAAGAGCTTTCTCGATGGTCTCTTCCAAGGTATGTCCATTCAATTCATATTTGGCTTTGAGTCCGGCTACCGCCGCCCGCAATATAGGAGGTGGCATATTTAGAAACCCTGTTTGCTCAAAAGCTTTGCCCTGAATGGCCTTTCCAAAGTCATACTGGTAAACCCCGCCTTCTCCAGAAGAAGGCGAGCTGACCACAATATCACCGAGCCGAATATCGTGCTTCCGGTTCGGTGCTCCTCCGCCAATACCAACCATCAGCGCAACTCGGAGATTTGAGAAACTAATCATCATTCCCTCGGCCACCCGAGATGCTTGCGCTGTTCCATATTCGCCAATAGGGAGGACTGAGATCACTACGTTGTGGTCTCCGATTCTCCCATAGGCGTAATCATTGTTGTTATTGGGCAGGTGAAACTTCACTTCGTAAGTTTCATCGAGCAGTGCCTGGGCAGCAACGTACTCGGTGGGGATGGCACAAATCCACCCAACAGAGAAATCTTCTGGCTTGGACATTGTGAACAGGAATGGGCTGGTCAGGTCAAGTTGACCTTCGGTGATGGTGGGAGAGGGTGTGAATAGAGGGAACGGTTTAGGCTTTTAGGGGAGAAACCATTCAGCCTCAAGAAGCGCATACGGGACATTCTGCTGCCCAATCGACGAGATGAGAGGGGTAGGGAGCCCTTAGCGCCGTAATCACCTGATAGTGAGGCTGAATATTGCCCCTCACTTGAGGCAGAATGGCCCCCACGTTATGCATGCGGAGTACTTCCAGTCTGGATGGACTACATCACTCACCAAGTTATCAACCCTTGCCTTGACTGGCAGTAAAAAGTCCTGTGCTTAAACTACTCGCCCTTTGTGCATTATATTGAGAATATCAACAAGAGCGCAAAATGTTGCCAATAGGGAACAAATATACGACTGGGCGAGCCGGGGTGAAAATACCTTGCCACTTTGACATTATCATAGATCTACAAGAGTATCAAGTTCGAAAACAGCAGTCCACTTTGATGCATACGATCGTTTCTTCAAGATTTTGATTTTGATTTTGTACATTGTAAGGTTCACAAAGGCGCAATGGATCCCATCGCGCGCACTGATCACACCTAAGACAGAAAATGTGGTTGTTTAATGGGATATGTATTGAGATAATACCGTAGGCTGAAAAACAACCTTTGCTTAAAGTCAGTGACTACTACGGAGCCATCAAGAACCGCCGCAGGGGAGGAACCGACGGGGCGCCGCATCTATCTCTTCACCAGAGAACCTGAACCAAACACCGAACTTGCCATCACCAACATCTCTAGTCACTATCGCGCAGCCGCTGTTCCTCTCATCTTTCGTCCAAAAAATGTATATACTCAGTCTCACTTACAGTCAATATTGTCAATTTGACCGCTCCATATCTCAGCCATCGCCGTGGCCCTCTTTTGCGACAATATGCACACTGTCACGGGTCGACTCATCCTTGTTCATTGCTGCTCTTGTGGCTTCCCAGGTCAAATCGATGCAGTTAGGACCACTGGCCAGGCCATCAACAACCTCGTTCGCCTTTCCTTCTTCGTTACTGCCCCCATCTTTGTCATCCTCGCCATCAATGACGCTGCACGGGACACAGATACAGCCATGCCCTTCGCCCTTCACGCCATGTTCACCAGCTTTTCTATCCTCTCTTGCGTGGCCTTTACTCACTCTGTCCATGTTCATGTCATTCAAGACAAGATCGTGGCAAACGCCATTTTGACAAACACAGCCATCCCTCTCGCCTCCTTCATCGCCGTTTTCACTACGGGCGCCATGCTGTTCAGCTATTCCTCGCAAATCTTGACTTTGAAGGCCATGATTCTCATATGGAGAATCTTTATGCCCCTTCTGTGCGCGTTCGAGTTATACGAGTTGAAAAAAGAGCCACAGAGTTTCCACCACCCTTCAAACTGGCATGGGGGTTTTGAGAGCTTCCAATCGGTCCTCCACCTCTGCCAGCGAGGACGTCCTGGGTTCTTCTCTGCTTGCCAACACGCGCCTTCACGACATTGATGATGGCGCCCATTTCAACGAACTCTCACCTTTTACAACATTTGCATGGCGGGGTGTTCTCATGTACACGAGTTTCATTTTTACAGCATCCTACATCCGCGGCATGATAGGATCTTTGGCTCGTGGGGGAGGGGGGTGCATGTCCACATAGCTTCACTTCTCACCTGCCCACCACTCCATAAATGCCATTCATGATGCCTTCTTACCTCCACGTAGTCATTCTTCCACGTGCACATCCTCTTCTGTTATGAATGCGGCGCTTCATAGCGGCAACCGGCTCAGTGGGTCTAAAATTCAAGCTGACCGTCCCAGCAGCCGCCTGTTCACGTAGACTTCCAATATTTGGACAATCAATGTTTAAGGAACATTTGGAATATATCAAGATTAGATCATAATAATGTCAAGGTGGTAATCAAGTATCCTCGGTTAGGTAGCAGGAATGATTTGAAAACCAAATGGATATTGTATTAAGATGTGTATTGAAATAATAGCCTGAGTCAGAAATAATTTGCTTGAAATCAGTAACTACTACCGAGCCGCCATGGAGCGCCGCACGGGAAAGGGAAGGAAATTGACGCGCCTCTCACGTCTTCTCACTTTCCCCAGCAGCCAATAACCAAACTGGCCATCACTACCACAACCACCTCTCCCTACTATCGACGCAGTCACCTTTCATCCAAAGACTATCAATCTCAGATCAATTACAGTCAATTTCGTCAATCCGACCACTCCTCCCCATATCATCCACCATTATGGCCATCAGTGGCGCCGCCATGGCCACTACCATCTCCGACTCTTGTCTCGTGATTACTGCAATCTTTCCGGCCAGAGTCAACACTGACGGAGCATGGCTGTTCTCAAGGAAGTCTCGGACATTGTCATCCCCAGCTTCTTTACAGTCGTTTTCACTATCTTCGCTATTCTAGCCCTCATCGCCACCATATCGGCCATAAACATCTCCTTCCTCATCTCCTTCCTCGTCGATTTTACCCTCATGGCTATCCCGATTAGCTTAACTATGCTGGCCCTCACTGCCCTCTTGATCGTGATGATGGCCCTCATCGACCCAGTCTACACGCTTCGGCAAATCAAAATGTTTCGCGCTGTGGGTCCTTTGCACATTCTGGGATCCTGCGACCAGAACTGAACGCGCGAGTAATTGTATCTACGTGAAATGAAGCGAGCGCGTAAACATAAAAACATAAATTCATTAATTATAGTTAGAGATTCGAGTAGGCTGCAGCTACCGCATTAATAAATGTATCCCGCTGATCCGCGTCAATATCGCCGAAGAAGTCTTGCACATGGCGATTTTCCTTCAGGAAGGGCGCCAGGTCAACCGGGCCACGACGCTCCTTATCGCCCACAGACCTCGACAAAATTGAACTATTGCTATCACCTATGAGACCTGACAGCGCACTTGTCAGGTTCTTCCCATGAAGCAGATTCTTGAGCGTATTCTTTATAGTGTCGCCAAGGGGGATCTCGGTTGACAAGGTAAGAGTCTTCAGGATATCGGCGTAGTAATCGACAGGTGTGCCCTTCCATTCGACAGACTTGGCGATTGAGTCTATGGCCAATGATCCATTCTTCAGAGCGCTAGCTTGGGCCTTAAGAACATCACCGAGATTTTTGAAGATTGTTCGGATATCGAGGATGCCCTTCATTGGGAAGACATTGTCGCCCGGTTTAAGGATAACATCGTCGATCGTCACGTTTCCGATGGTAACGTTAGCACTCTTGACATCTAAGACGAGTGTTCCGACCTCTAAGCTGATAACGGTCGGGTTTGGAAGGGTAACGTTGCCGATGAGGTTCGTGCCGTCGTCTTCGGCCGGGAGTAGGAGGGTCGCGTCGGAGATTGCAAATCCATCGAACTGATTCAACCCTATTAATTTTGGTTAGTACTAGTTGCAATCACAATTTACCAATCTGTGACAATTATTGGTTCACGAAAAGCAGGGGCAAGGAGCAAGGCGCAAGGGGCTAGGCGGGAAAAAGCAAAACAGCTAGTCCGTACCTGGTGTAACCACATTCTTATCGAGATGAACGTGCGACTTGAGGACTCCCAGGTAGGCATTTGTCCAACCATCAAGAGCGAGGGAAACCGACTCTTGGAAAACGACTTGTCGAACGAATTCCTTCCAGGCTTTCTGGTTCAAGATCGGAGTGTGGACATTCTCGATACCCAGAGTGTGGTTGCCCTTGATAGTCTGACCCGGGATATCGATGTCTGCATACGCCTCATCGACGCCGTAGTCTCGTTGGAAGAGGTGGAAAGTAACAGCTTCAATGCGCGCAGCGAGCGCGATCTTCAAATCCACCTTGGTTTGCAAAGTTAACATGGTCGAATTTGGCTGCGGGTCATTCACGACCGCATTGACGAGTACAATGTCGGATTTGTTGACGACCAATTGCGCGATCGCAGGAATCGCGACGAGGAAGCTAGATAGGAGTCAGAGTTGAATTTCGCGAAATTTCTACCTGAAGGGGCAACTCACAAGACAGGAAGGAGAATCGCGAGAAAAATAACATTGCCAACACAATAAATCAACCAAAATCGCTTCCAGTGTCGGCGCAGCTTCTCCGTTCGCGTCGGAGTTCTGTGTAATGAAAGGCCTCCAGACGACTCGACTTTCTCGAGCCCCTGAGAGCTGTCGTCACCATGGGTGAGCAATGGCCCCCGGTTTGCGCCCAGGATGTGTTTTCCTTTAGTGGGAGACATTTTGACAGGAAATTAGCGGAACAAAGTCTCCAACTCAATCTGGTGACGGGAAGGAGTACATAAATGCGCGTGTGGAAGCGAGCTGCTGCTCCCCTGCAGCAACTATTACATATTGCATCATTGGCCGGACGATATAGAGCCCCGTGGGGAAGAATACGATCTGCAATCAACATGCGGGGAAAGTGGAGCAGCAATGCGGATTCGTCGTATCGCATTGATCCTCCATCGGTCGCAATACCTCAGCGAGCAACGAGAAAGCTGGATTTTGGGCACCGCCTGCACGACCGGGCGGCCAAAGCCACGCATTCCCTGTAGCGCCTCGGTATCTCCTTTGTTCCTCGCCATCTTGTGATCCTTGAGCCCTCCTGTTGGTTGACCCCTAAGCCTCGTCCACAGATCTCCTCTTTCATAAGCATTTTGCTCGAGCAGTTCGCATATGAGGACCTCGGTCGCTTTGATTCCTTTGCTATCTTAATATACTCGCTTGATCTACCGACGACGGGTCCTCGATTCAATATATCAGACTTTCCTTGTGTTCAAAGACATCTCCTGAGATCGACCCCAACGTACCCCGTACTAGCCCCGGTTTTCGCCAGGGAAAACGGAGTGAAAATCACGACTTATTTAGGGGCTCTCATGAAGAGTTTCTCGGTTAGAGCAAGCAGTTTGATCGTGGAAATTAGTGTGACCAGAGCGCTGAGTGGCGTACGACTTGTCGACAAGCCACCATGCATGAGTTCAGAGTCAGGAACCAAGACAGGGCCCGATCAGCTTAATCAATGCACACTCGCATGGCAGTCACACAGTCCTTATCTCCCACTGAATGCTCTGCTCTCAAGCTCCGAGTTGTCTAGCTCGTGATCTGAACCATGAGGTGAGACCTTTCCGTTTCCAAGACTCGCTCATCCCGAGCGGGGAAATTAACCTCGCCCCCTCCTTGGAACGTTTTGCCACGCTTTGTACCCACATTCCTCTAAAAGACCCGATTTCCAATATTTTCCGTTTACGCCATTCGATGGTGTCGTGAACCTCAAATAAACGATACAGCCGACTTGCTAGCCCGAGGTCTAATTTCAACCCTGATCCGTGCTCTCTGCGGCGTCCCCGCCATTTTGAGTCTAGTACTTGAGGAATCACAGACACATTTCCCGGAGGCTAATTTCATATTTACGAATTGAAAACATCCCTTCTCTGGCTGATAGTTAAATGCCCCGAGTCAGAATTCACAAAAATATTTTTTTGCATTCGTTTGTCTCGTCCAGCAATTTATATGGAACCGAATCTGTTTTATCTTCCGCATGCTAGAATCGCAGTCGTAATTGAGTCCGCTGATATGTAGTTCCAGGTACTAACTAGCTCGGCTTGATGAAGTACACAGCAAATTTGTTCTCGTAGGGGAATGCACAATTTTGGCCCCAGTGGGGACAATACGAAGGCGAAATGAAAAAAATGCGGAATATACAACGTGATAACGCAATCAAGTCGAAACGACTCAACATCTGGTTCATAGCGATGGCCAATAAGAGGGAGCAGGTTCCCATTTCCAGAACGCGATAGCTGTATCTGCGTATCCCGAGCCATTTATGAGGATCGCCGCCGAAACAGCAGACGTAGCAGTCACCACCAATAGGAAAGCAGACATTTTGCCTTTTGCATTATCGCAATTTCATTCCACCTAAATTGCGATGATTTCAATTAACGAAATCCATCGCTGTCCAAAAATACTCTTAATTTCCTTGAAACTTAGTTAGTTTAACGGGTTTGCAATTTCCAAATTTCACTTAGTTAGTTAATATACTATTCTACCACACGCAAGATGATTGCGATATTGTTCCACGGTTAGAAATTATTTTACGCAATGCAGGACAATGCCAAAATTCCTTTGGCTTATTATTCAGAGAATTAGGTATCTTTAAAGCGAAGTAGAAACTTTATGAAAAATGGTCATTTCAGACAACCCGAGCCATTGTGTACTATGTACTAGTAGTGTTTCCAGGTTTTCTCAGCATTGCTGCAGGATCTCCCGACGTCCTCAAGAGATAAAAATATGCCCTCTTCCAACATTGGAAAATTTCGTACAAGTAGTCAGACGATCGAAAGGGATTAGGAATAAAAAGGCGAAATAATAAATCACAATCTAAATGGGTCTCTCTAATTTATTAGCTGCTGTCACCAACTCAACATCTTCAAAACCTACGTAGATCCTCTTATACCTACAGCGAAAAGGGGATTTGTGCGGAAGTCGGGACTGGAAAAGCCTCAAGCTAGAGATTAAGAATCTCACTAACGGAAAAGCTATATATAGCTACAATGCATCGTCGAAAGAAGCCCTAAATATACTAGTAGTAGTGGTTAGTTAGCGAAAGGGATTCATTCATCTTACTAGTACCAATTAGAACGTCTCTCATTACTTTCCCTCGTCTTTCTTCTTGTTGCTTGCTTGCTGTGTCTGTCTCACTTCAGCTTCATGGCAGGATACACAAAGTTTTCCGGGCTTGTGGTACCGATTATGAATCTTACATTCAACCAAATGGCCTTTTCTGATACACCGAACGGAAGCAGTCAATTTGCAATCGTCACTAGTCTAGTGTTAGCATGATAATAAACAATATTCTTGCGACTTTGTATAAAACTTACCAGCGATGACTTGGACACCGGGGAATGTTGTCGTCTGGGTAATATATGTGTCTGAAGATTTATCTAATTCTATATCTGATTGGCGCAGTAATAAAGGCGTGGGAAATTGAATTGGTGTGGAACTGGGTATTTGGTGGGGACTATATACTAGTTCGACTGCTTTGATGGGACACCACTCATTCCACTTTTCGCTTTGAAGTCTGTGAGAAGAAAGAATCAGAGGGCCTCATGCTGAATCAATGGCTTTGTCTCACTGTTGTAATTTGTATTTTCTCTGATTTCCACATCAAAGGATATCATTCAATTTACCCACCGCGTGGATTACGGCACTCTTATGTAATGGGGACTATTGAAATAATCAAATTGTGCATTAGTCAAAAATAACGCCGCCTCGAAATAGCATAGTTGTCCGAGTTTCGATCGACGTTGAATAAAACAATTGTAGCTCCAGAAATTCCCTTCTCGATAAATAGAAGTACAATCACAAAGTCATAGATTTGACCCCCTCATCAAGTCTCACAAACAACACCCCATTCACCGAGCCCTTGAATGCAACTGAGTGGCCATTTAGTCTAATCAGGGAATCCCTGTTTGCGTATGGGATTCCCACGACATCTTCGCCATCCTCCTGTGTCCATGATCTAGTGATAAAAGGCTGCGACGACGATGACGGTGATTTGCCAGGCAAAGTCACAGTGTCCCGGTCTGTGATAATATGCGTGCCAGAGGGAGAAAATTGGAATGTTGAGGTCGAGAAGTCAAGCTTAATGCTGTGAAAGTGAGTTGCACTTGAAATATCGTATACCTTAATGGATGCGGCAGTGTCGGCAAACAAAAGTGCCAAATGTCTTCCATCCTGCGAAAAGCCATATGTCCGTAACCTTCACGTATAGTACGTCCCGAAACTGGTGTCACCACCTTCCCTCTTTTATTGTTTCTTGAATCCGGATTATTACGCACCGCTAATCCCTATTGTGAATTAATCCATGTATCCTTGGCACTGGAGCCTGTATTGTTTCTTACACACTGTATCGACCGCTCGGGTGGGTTTGTATTCGATTGTACCTTACTACATCAGATTCTTTACCTAGCCTCTAATTTGAAGCGCGCTATTCCAAATTTGATATAGTCTACACCAGGCTATGAATATAGCGTGACAACAAGAGGCCGAGCGATGGGGCTTGTAATTAATCCGAACTCAGAATACGACCATTACCGAAGAGCGGGGTTATTGGCAACCATCGTGTTGAGAACCCATCCAAAGTGAATACACTTTCCATAATGGCATCTGCGACATCATTTGGCAACTCAAACTCTGGGTTGCAAGCCGCTGTCATCAATGGAAATGTTACTGCGCAGTTTCGTGAGTTGGTGATCTTACTTCTATTAGACGGTGCTAATTAGCGAGACGTCTTTAGTACAATCAGAATCTGTGCAACAAGCATGCCTGCGGGATCTACGGATAACAAATCCTCAAGATGATAAAGAGCGTATCGAGAACACCAACGGGGGGGCTCCTCAAAGATTCATATCGCTGGATTCTAGACAACAAAGCGTTTCAACAATGGCAAGACAATCCGAGCAGTCGTCTCCTCTGGATCAGAGGTGACCCAGGCAAAGGAAAGACAATGCTCCTCTGCGGTATAATCGATGAGCTAGCACAGTCACTTGGGGACACAGCAAACATTATCTTTTTTTTTGCCAAGCTACAGACGTACGAATCAACACTGCGACGGCTGTTCTTCGCGGCTTAATATATTCGCTCATCGAAAAGAAACCATATCTTCTGTATCACGTACAAAGTCAGTATAATAAGTCTGGAAAGGCATTGTTCGAGGACATAAACGCATGGCATGCTCTTTCGCGAATATTTACGGATATGCTCAGAGACTCGAACTTACAGAGCACGTATCTGATCATCGACGCGCTCGACGAATGCACAACAGGACTACCCTCACTTCTCGGCTTGATTACTCAAACATCTTCTGCTTACCCGCAGACAAAGTGGATTGTTTCGAGTCGCAACTGGCCTGATATCGAGGAGTTTCTCAACACTACGCAGACCACTCTGATCCCCTTGGAACGAAATGAAGCCTATGTATCGGAAGCCGTGAACAAGTTCATTCTTCACAAGATCAGCCATTTGACCATGACAAAGAACTACAAAGTTGAAACTCGTGACACTATCTGCTGTCGCTTGTTGTCAAAATCGCAAGGTACTTTCCTTTGGGTAGCCTTGGTCTGTCAAGAGCTTGCGCGAACATCGCCATGGAATGCACTCAAGAAGCTGGAAGCTTTCCCTGCTGGGCTTGATGCTCTCTATCGTCGGATGGTTAATCAGATTTACCATTCGGAAGATGCCGAGCTCTGCAAACGAATACTGGGCCTCATGTCAATAGCGTATCAGCCTGTCGCACTGGATGAACTGTTTTCTTTGATTGATATTCCTGAATATGAAGCCCTAAAAGGTATAGTGGCCACCTGTGGTTCATTTTTGACATTACGCGAGACCAGCATCGTTTTCGTCCATCAGTCTGCAATAGAGTTCCTACTGAAGGAGACACGACACGAAATTTTTCCTAAAGGCAAGGAAGCTGGACACTACGAAATTTTCTCGCGCTCTCTACAAGCTATGCACAAGACGCTTCAGCGGGATATCCTCAATATCAAATTTCCTGGAATTGCGATCAAAGAAGTCACACAGCCCAGTCCAAATCCATTAGCGGCTGTGAAATACGCCTGTGTCCATTGGGTTGATCATCTTCAGAATGGTTGGTCTGATAAAGTTAATGATGTTAGTCTTGACGATGGTGGATGCGTGGATATCTTCATGAAAAATGAATATCTTCACTGGCTCGAAGCCCTTAGCATTCTGGGAAGTCTATCACAGGGTATAGCAGCGATTCTAAAGCTGGAAGACTTACTTCAGGTGAGTGATTGCTGAAGTGCTATAAGTATACTCAGTTCTGACAAATGAATCCTTCATCATGATAGACAAGAGGAAAACTACAATCCCTTTCCTGTCGAGTTCAAGACGCCTCCAGATTCTTCCGATATCACAGGCTCGCTATTGAAAATAGCCCTCTTCAAATATATTATTCACCTTTAATCTTCAGTCCAACGCAGAGTGTCACGAGGGCATGTTATCGAAAAGAAAGACCTCACTGGGTTTTGAATGAGCCAGTGGTAGAAAAGGACTGGAATTCATGTCTTCAGACTCTCGAGGGACATACAGGTCCGGTCCTTTTGATATCATGGTCACATGATGGAAGCCGACTCGCGTCCGCGTCTCAGGATAAAACTGTCAAGATCTGGGATCCAGCCACAGGCCAGTGCACGTCAGTCTTCGAGGGGCATAGTGGCTCAATCCTTTCAATCTCATGGTCACACGATGGAAGCCGAATCGCATCAGCGTCCCAGGATAAGACTGTACGAATTTGGGATCCGGCCACAGGCCAGTGCACGTCAGTTTTCGAGGGACATAGTGGCTCAATTCCCTCAATTTCTTGGTCAAAAGATGGAAGCCGACTCGCCTCAGCGTCATTTGATCAGACGGTTAGAATCTGGGATCGGGTCACCTGTAAATGCATTCTAGTCCTTGAAGGCCATAAGGGTGGGGTCTGGTCGGTCGCCTGGTCACACGATGGAAGCCGACTCATATCAGCGTCCCAGGATAAGACAATTAGGATCTGGGCTACGACTAGTAACCAATGTTTGTCGATTCTCAAAGGTCATAGTCTTTCGGTGTCTTCGATAGCGTGGTCACAAGATGGAAGCCTAATCGCATCAGCGTCCCAGGATAAGACTGTCAGGATCTGGGATCCGGCTACTGGCCAGTGCTTATCAACCTTCGCTGGCCATTGTGACTCGATCAACTGGATTGCCTGGTCACCAGATAGACGCAGACTCGCATCAGCGTCAGTTGACAAAACTGTCAGGATCTGGGATACGGTGACCAGTCAATGCGCCTTGATCCTTGAGGGGCATAGTGACTCGGTTAATACAATTGTCTGGGCAAACGATGGAAGACGATTGGCATCTGCGTCCTGGGATAAGACTGTCAGGATCTGGGATCATGTGACTGGCAAATGTATATCAACACTCAAAGGCCATGGCGACTGGGTTAACTCGATCGCGTGGTCTCAAGATGGAAGCCGCCTTGCGTCGGCGTCCTTTGATGGGACCATCAGGATCTGGGATCCTGTCACCAGAGAGGACTCAGACCTCGAGGGGCATAGAAAACCGGTCCATATGGTTGTCTGGGCGAATGATGGAAGCCGACTCGCAGCGGCATCTTGGGATACGACTGTTAGGATCTGGGATCCAGCTACCGGTAAGTGCGCATCAGCCCTCGAAGGACATAGTGGCTCGGTCCTCTCAATAGCGTGGTCGAAAGATGGAAGCCGGCTCGCATCGGCTTCCTACGATACGACCGTTAGGATCTGGGATCCGGCTATCGGCAAGTGCGTGTCAATTCTCCAAGGTCATGGTCTGCCGGTGTCGTCAATTGCGTGGTCGCAAGATGAAAGCCGAGTTGCATCGGCGTTGTATGATAACACCATGAGGGTCTGGGAACCAGTCACTGGCCAATGTATTTCAACCCTCGAAGGACATGACCTATTGGTCAACATGATCGCCTGGACACAAGATGGAAGCCGACTCGCATCTGCATCTCGGGATAAGAGCGTCCGGATCTGGGATCCGGCCACTGGCCAGTGCACATCAACTCTGGAGGGACATAGTGACGCAGTCCTCTCAATCGCCTGGTCGCAAGATGGAAGCCGACTGGCATCAGCGTCATTTGATAAGACCGTCAGGATTTGGGATCCGGCCACCGGCTTATGCGCTTCAATGCTTCATGTCAACTCACCTCATTTCCTTCAATTTGATGAAGTCAACCTAAGCCAACTGCACCTGGCCACTGGTACATTTGATATTGATTCAACTGGTTCAAAAACACCCATAACTCATGGCTTGACCTTCTTGCGCGAGAAACATGGATATAGTCTGAATGATGATTTTTCCTGGGTAACCTATAACAGAGTCAATCTCCTATGGCTACCTACTGAATATCGACCTGCCCACTACTCTGTATTCGCTATATCTGCAACCACTTTGGCAATCGGATGTTCATCAGGTCGAGTCATATTTCTCGCACTCTCCAAGCACGGCCCCTATACAATGCATGACTAGCCATATCTTCATCTGGGGCCTGCTTGCTTTCCTTCCGAATCCCAATCTCAGTCGCCACTAGGCACTCTTGCGATGTTCTCTTCGGCCATCGGCTGGCCTCACCAGTGTTTCAAGTCATTATTTTAGATCCGCTATAATGATTGTAGCCATCAGTATAGCATATTGTATGTAACTAGGCGCAAGACTCATTAGGCGCAGGATCGCGATTGCGGGGTCAAATATCACCTTTGTTACTCGATTTTATTTAGCACTGATCAATGCCCTCGGTTTTGCGATCGCAACGGTCACATTCTCCCAGGAACCAAAAGCCCCATAGTCTCGAGCAGGTCCTTAAGTCCAGCAACACCCAAGACATCGAAGAAAAATTATTTTATCCACTCCCTGGGCAGAGGGTAAACAGAGCGCGCAAGGAAAAATATATTCTCCACGGTGCGTCAGCGATGCTCTGGCCCCTTCCACCGTCCCTCCAAAGACGGCCTGCCTGTTGCGCCCCCGGAAAGACTATCGTCCTCTATAAAGTTGAAGATGATCGTTACCTTATGTTCCTTGCCTCGAGTGTGAAGCTTACCCCACGCAAGTAATTGTTCCTAAGCTGCGGTCCAATTAATATCAAGGGATTTGTGTCATTTCTTTTTACATTCTTGTGTTTGCGATCGTTGACCGACCTGACTCTTCAGCTACGTGGGACTCTTCCTTGAAGGAATTTCTCCAATTTATCCCGCAGAAATGAAGGCTAATGAGCACTTGGAGCTAGAGCCACATTCCTTATCGTGTTCTCCCACCTGAATCGGCTGTTCCCCTTTACTTTCCAGTCAATTTTTCATACCGGATGAAGCTTGGTGAAAACCATCTTCCAATCTATTTGCTTCTCACTCAGAGATTTGAAAAAGATTGTTATTTATTGCTGAGGCGAACCTGGGGTTACGGAGCATCCTAGGAGTGGTAATTAGGTGAAGGGCGGAATGCATAACTAGGGGTGAAGTTTGCTATCATAACCTAGAGTCGGTGTCGCGAGTCGGCTCTGGCTCAATCATTTGCTTTGTTTGCATTACGTAGAAGCTTCTAATTACTGAGGGGTCGTCAATGCAGTAATAAAACCAAAGCGTCGTCTTCTAATTTGAGTGTGATACGTATGATCTTGTATTCTTTGAATACACAGGAAGACCAATAATCCGAAGCTATTCGTAATATAACTAGATTACTCTGCTTAGCTAATCGAGATCGAAAAAGAGATTAAGAGTGAAAGTGGTGGCAACAGTTTCGGGACACACTGTAACCTCCACGGGCAAGCTCTTTGAGATCGTCCTGTTGAATGTCCCAGATATAATTTTTGATTTGAACTTCTGGCAGTTGGATTTCCATGCAAATGTAGACCTGGTTGCTATCAGGTGTAAATCTCACCATATTGACATGGTTTTCAAAGGTTTGGAGCTGGATTTGACTCTTAGGGAAGTTTCCTATTTAAATATCGGTTCGTCCTTGACACCATATACAGTAAAACTCCTCATTTGATGACAACTCTATAATAGGCCCTTTACAGAGCTTGGTCGGAATTTCAAAGCTTGAAACTCGGCGGGGGTTATCGATTTCCCAAATCTGAGCGATGGGCAAGAATTGAAGGCTATCAATGCCATTTGGGATATAAATGATCTTTCTGCCCTTAGGAGATATTTGAGGGTCTCCAATAAAAGAATTGTGGATGCCGTGATGGTATGGATTGTGGGACATCAACAGGGCCAGCGGGTGAAGCTTTTGATTTTAATGCTATGCCGAGGTCGGCTGGGGTGTCCCGGCTCGAGAATAAACACTAGACTCCGAATTTGTATTCTATCAAGGTCCCCGACCATCAAGGTACGCACTCATCAATCTGCATAGTATCTACAACTTAGCTTCCTTCCCCCCATTCTGCAACACGTACCGATATCTCGCCTTGCCGTCATGCATATCAACCAGCGCAGCATTAACATCGCGCATATCTCTCTTCTGGATCCAAGGCAAAACCCTCTTCTCCGCTGCCAGGCTCAACATCTGCCGAATATCTTCGGGGGACCCAATATTCGAGCCAGTGACCTTAACCCCCTTCTGAATGAGCGAGAAAGCTGCCAGAGCCGGCAACGGCTCCTCTGGTGCACCAACCTGCACAAAAACACCATCCCGCTTCAGTAACCGCAGATACAGACCCAGGGGCATATCGGGACCAGAGACAGTGGAAATAATCACATCCAGAGTCCGTGAATATTTCTTCGCCCATCCCTTCTCCTCACCGGTCGCGATAAACGAGTCCGCGCCAAGACCCTGCATCGCATCGGCCTTCTTACTCGAAGACCGCGAAATAGCAACGACCTGATCAGCGCCAAGTGCCTTCGCAAACATAATACCGATATGTCCTAGTCCTCCTATGCCCACAATACCAACTTTCTTGCCGGGGCCAACGCCGTATTTCTTCAAGGGGGCGAAAACAGTCACACCGCCGCAAAGTAAAGGCGCAGCCTCAGCTGAGGGCAATGCATCGGGGATCTTGAAAACGAAATGCGCAGGGCCGCGCCATTTCTCTGCGAATCCGCCGTAGGATTTGCTCTTGTCGCCGTATCGTCCATTATAAGTACCCGTCATCCGGGTACAGTAACTCTCCTCTCCATCAGCGCAAGCTTCACAGTCCGCTTTGAGGCAAGAGCCGCTCTGAGCCCCAACGCCGACACGGTCACCGATTCGAATTTCGCGGGATACAGTTGATGATTTGAGTGTCGGTACACCGGAGCCAACTCTCTCGACTATGCCGATAATCTCGTGGCCCACGACGCAGGGGTAGTCGGTTGGGGCCCAGCCTGAGCGAAGAGTGTGTACGTCTGTGCCGCAGATGCCGCAGTGTGTGACGCGGATTTCGACATCTGTCTCTGTGAATGGTTTCGGCGTGAAAGTTCCAAATTCTAAGGGGTTTGTGGCGTCATGGGCAACCCAGCCGTTGAAGGGTTTTGCGGGCTCAGACATTGTGCTGTGGGGTTGTGGGCGAAGTTGTGGGCGCACTCTTGGATAAAATTGATGATTTTCTGTTGCTCTGATTGAGAGGCTCTTCAATCTCCGAATTCAAGGAAAATTGTGGTTTGGGGGTTCGTTTTCAAGCATGGAAGATTGGCGCGCGCATGCGATGCGGAGAAGACGATGAGCCGAGGTTGAGCCGAGGCTGCGCCAGCCGAGCTTAAAAGTGGAGACATTGGGGTACTCCAAAGTATATCCGGAAGTATACCTGGGAGCATATCTACAAGAACCTAAAGAGCCCAATGATTACAGCAAGCATGTTAACGCTAGGCAGCTGAGAAAATGACGATGACAAGACATGCGGATTACGCTGCCTAGATATCATTCTCCGGTTCAGGCTCTCCGAAGACGTAAGATTGATGACGCTGTAGACTAGGCGTAGAGATCCTTCTGGCCTCGCCAGGTTCTAGGCTGCTCTCGGTCTCAGTAAGATCAAATAACCACTGCTAGTTCGGGGATATCATCACACCAAACATATTGCCTACCACGCCTTCGGACCTCAGTTTGCGTCGAGCTTGATCGAACTGTGTGGAATAGTTTTGTCAGCCAATCGATGATTTGATCTGCGAATCAGGATATGGAACAAACCTCGAGTTCAATAGAGGGTCCTAATCAGCCCCGCCATTAGACAGATATCGGAATAGGTCCTCTTATAGTAGGCCCTTTGAATTAGGACCATCCCAGATTTCTCTAAACCCCCTGCCAGTAGATGCAATATCACATCTTGCGTGGATGTACTCAGAGTTCAGACATACCGGAAAAGGGCTGTTTTCTTTGGAACTCCAAAGCCCCCCCCAGTCAGAGACGGTCATCTGGCCTACGGAAATCCGTTTCCATGGCACTCGCTGTACCATACCAGTGACGGGCCTCCTCTTGTGGAATGGAGCTGCTCCTTGTTGAACAGAATATATTAGTCCATGAACCCCGGAAGGACTTCGGACGCCCGGTCACTGCCCGTGTTACTTGTATCCCTGCTGACGTATTCACTCAAGATTACCTTATCTTCGATCTTTGAAGCTGGTTTGTTTCTCGGTTTCTTTGGTGGTAATATTCTTCTTGTCATTGGAGACTTTCAGCTCCGTCTGGACTGGGGCTCGCCTCGGGATAGATTTGACGAGAGACCCAATGGCTGGGTGCTTGGAGATGGCTAGGGCAGCATTAACTGCCGCGATTAATGATAATTATGGCCTGAACTAACTTTCAAAGCAAGCCGACCAACCTCACGAATGTATGAGTCGAAAGAGAGAAAATGAAAGAAGGCGAGGAGAAAAAGGAGGAGAAGGAGGAAGATTGACTGGATAGCAAATGCAAGATGGAAGGTCCACAAGAACGAAGCCCGACGAGGCCGGCTCCGAGCCCCAACACCGGGTCCGGGGAGCGGTACAATCCTCTATACTACTACCAGCCCGGCATCCCAAAATCACTACTAGTATTTCCGATATGAATTGGGACTTCACTAATACTATACACCATGGCTCTCCTAATTTATCCGAGATATTATTCCACTATACTATTTGCTCCATCTCAAGGACTCTGAGTCAGGGTACAGTACTAGTACTGAGTAGTTCGTATATACCCGCGTAGAATGCCCGGTATTAACTAGTAGAACATTGGTTACGACGTTGATACTGACTATCTACCATTCAAGTTCCTGGCATCATCGCTATCTACGGGCTTCGTGCCCGTATCCATTCCTGGTCATATAGCATATTCTCATTTCATTTACACCATACAAAAGTCTCTTTCGATCTTCGAATAGGGAGCACAAGTAATTTTGGGACTCTGCTGTGCTGGCAGGAACACTGGGTTGATTGCGGCGACGGAGCACCATTAGGTTGCGAGCACAATTGATATTACATTGCCGTTATTACTCAAATCGAGGGAAAATGTAAATCGAACAGGACATGGATTGAACATACAAATCCCCACAAATTTATCCCCGCCGGCCATTATCTCAATCATGTATCTTTATCGCTTCGTTCCCTTTCGAATGGGTCAGGCGTGGCTGCTCCGAGGGCCATAAGCTCATCGACAGTCTTCAAAGATTTCATTAGTGCGTGCGTGGTTTGGTTTGTTGATGGGGAATGCAATGAAATCAAGCTTACCATAGCAGACATCGGCTCCGAGCGGCGCAAGCTGTTCATGCCTAGAGCTCCCTTCACGGGTCGAGAAGCCAAGGGCTCGGGATTGGGGGAGTTTTCGCGGTACTTTTCCTCTTTGACCAAGGTGTCTCGCGCTGGATCTGCGATTCGGAACTCCGCTGAATATGTTGTCAGCAAATATACTATCAAGTATCGTACGGAAAGGATCAGAGATCAAGTATACCTGTAAGAGCCCCTTGAATAATCCCAAGACGGCCCGGGCGGCCATAAAAAAGCTCCCTAGGTACACTTGACAATCTCGGTAGGGACAGGCCTGATCCGTCCGGGCCGAACTCCTCGATATTTGGGTTGCCATTCTGTTCTGGCACATCCATCGGGACCGGATCGTCATTGGTCTCATTCAAGTCGGCAGGCATAGTCTGATCATGGACATTCACAGGATATCCCTGTCCTGTAGCTCCACTTGTGATGTTGATCATGGTAATGGTGTTGTTCGTGGTAATGGTGTTGTTCGGAGAAGTCGTATTATTGGTCGTAAAAACGCCGCTGTTTTGAACTTCTTGGTTATTCACGAGCCGGCCATATGCATCCTCTTTGTGTGGGGATGCCATGATTCCTGGGCGCGACATTAGCTCTTAGCATTAATCGAAATGTCAGATGGTGTGGATCTCACCGAGTGGTGCCCTTTGTGCCTCCTGGAAGCTGAATGGATGTTGATCGAAGGTGGTGATGGAGGCTGGCGGGTGGATAGGTAAGAAGACGAAACCAAAGGGGTGTAGCAGGGAGGATGCAAGTTGATGGAAGGTGCGAGATGGAAAGGTATGAATGGCAGGAAAGAAGATCTAGCTGCGCCAGGACCGGAGAAAACTACTAAGGTGGAGTATCCCAAAATTGCCTGCATTGGCTCTATAAATTTGAGCCAGCCTATTACGCCAGGTCTCTGCCACCCTTTTGACGAACTCATTGAACTAGTATATTAACTTTTGATACCTATCATGCAGGGTACCGAAGTATATACCCGGCCGGCGTAGGATTTTAAGTTGTATGAACTAAAATATTTTGCTACTCCTAAAAACCGCCACTCCCACCCAGCCGCCACTCCTCGTCAACACAGTCCACAGCTACTTAATTACCCCACTATCTGTTGATAAGTACCATCTCCAAGCTATCTACGCCATATAATGGTCATGTTCAAACTTTTACCGGGATCACGAGTAATTTCGCGCTTGGGGCCCGGAAGAAACACTTGGTTTATTTGACTATTAAGCACAATAGGAGAGAAGGACTATTGCAACGTAGAGTGCAGATGGTAGAGTAGATATTATCACAGTTCGAACCGAGCCGATCAGTCGAAGAAATGGAGACATCGCGAATATCCGTACAGTTATTTCCACCTCTCGTAGATGCCATCAAGCGTCACGGCGTGACCGACGGTGCTGATCTCTCTTGAGCTGCTGGACAGTAGCCAGGTCCACCTGCAGCATATCAATTATTGACTTCAAAGGCTTCATTAGCATTTGTATTATTTGTATTGTTGTAAAGTGAGGGAATTGAATGAAACATACTAAAAAAAGGGGGCGATGCTGCGTCCTCGGAACTGGGGCAGCTCCCCGGCATGACTGGAGCTGCCTTCAAGGGTCTCATCAGTCAACCTATCAGTCACTTCGGGGTCGCGGAACTGTAAATACTTTCACCCTTTTCAGAGTATTCTGCGAGGCTTCGGTTTCGGGAAGATCTTCCCAGGTTTGGGCGTCGTTCTGGATCATGGCAGGTCGGGATGCGGCCTGTCCGCCCCAGGGTCCCTCTACACTTTTTGTTAATGGATACGTTACCAAATAGCGCATGGATGGGATCGGAGATTGAACTTACCTGAATGGGATCGTCTCTCCGAATTTTGAAGGAGGGTCAGGCCAGGAATCACCACTTTAGGTGTGTTTTGTATGCTTGATAGGGCGAAGCCCACCGGCTTGGACTCCTTGGTGTTGGACTTCTTTGTGTTAAACTCGCCACTCTTTGGAGTCTGGTAAGTCTGAGCCGTCGGTACAGCACCATCCTTATTGGTTCCTCGAGTCGACTGGGCCTGATCATTCACGGTGGGAGAAGCTCCCGTAAGTTCATGGTTGAAGACGAAATTGCACTCGGACATCGTGTTGCTGGTGGCCAGGGCAATGTTGATTTGACTGTTATGGTAAGAAATGTGGCCATGAGTTTGATCCTCCCGATCACCCTCCATCATTTCTACGTTCCGGGTTAGCTATCAAATTAACTAAAAAGGATTCGATGGCTTGAAACTCACCGGATGATGGCTTTGATGTCAGAACGTTGGATAGCTGACTGGTCGTGAAGCTTTGTGACAGAGTTCGTAGGAAGGCTGGAGGAAAGAACTATTGTATGGTAATGATAGACAAGAGGATGAAGAAGGGAGAATAAGAAAGAAGATGTGAACGCACGAAAGACAGAAGCTCGCCATGCAAACAGCACAAAGTCCGACGCCAACGCCGGGCCTGGACCGGGGCCAGGCAGCACTCCGCACTCAATACCCGCAAAAGACCCGGTATTTCAGCCAGGGTGACACTAAAAGAGGCTCAGAACTATAAACGTGGTCAATTTATCCCAATGACTAAGTATCTAGGAGGGGGAGTGGTAGCAAAGTAGTGATCTGGATGGATGTCCGCGGCTCTCCATCTCTTCCCATAATTCTAGTGTTTATGAGTCGTCCATCCCTTGGACTCTCCATACTTCCTGCCGGCAGGAGCGCGATAAAAGTGTAGATTAGATTATCCTTTTGATCCCAGCTAGATGAATCTATTTCCTCTACTGCAAATCTGACCCCAATTGAAAGCAGTTGAAATGGGAATCGAATGAAATAGAATCACAAGCTCCAGAAAGGTTATGCCTCCGACTTGAGATCTCATCAAACTTTCAGCTCTTCAATAGGCTAGGCACAGACGCCTCCGTGGCCAAAGTCTCATCTGCCGTCTTCGAACCTTTTGTTGGTGTCTGCTTCATTCTCTGTGTTCTGGAAGTACCAAGTGGAACCAAGCGTACCGCTGTAGACTGTAGACCTTGAATTGTATTGACGATTCATGCAAATAGTTATTGGTCAAGTGGTCCTGCTGGGCCATGGGCACTGGGCCTGGTGAAAAGGGCTTGGCCTAGTCCGCCGTGTTGAGTCGTGAGATTGGCTTTGTTGACTGCCTCGACCGCGTTGGCCTCGTCGATCTTGTTCACTTATCTGATAAGTGTAGTCGAATGGGACACATTAGACGCCTTATTCTGTGCAGGTTCGGCGGTGTACACCGCCTGGTCTTCGCGGTCTGGCTGAGATGTCTGAACCCGATCATTGCTCTTCGCATATTCCACTGTACTGCTGTGGAAGCTAAAGTTCAGAGTGGCATAGGAGTGAGGTGAATAGTTCATCATGACGGTGCTGAGGTTGACGATGTCGCCATGGTTCTGGCTACTGGGTAAATTATCCTCACCAGGCGAAGCCATGGGCTCAAGCTACCGGAACCAGGTCTTTACTCGGGGCCAAGAGAGTGAGTCTTTGGGTTGACTCTCACCAGGAAATGGGTAGTGCCAAAAGGTCGATCCACACGGCCCTTGCCAGATGATTCCACTAAGATTCCATAGTGCTAGACACTCCCGTGTAACGATTCACAAATTGTTCCCAATCACTTCAGCCAATCAATACATCAATATATCCCACAGTATAGTACATCTCCTACAGCTTGAGCAAAATACAGACCATCCGCTACCAAAATGGATATTGATCAAAATAGATACAGTGAAAATATTTCGTTCGTTGTACTGACACCGGTGACGCCTCAGTCCTATGGCTCAGTCTCATCCCACGCTGCTTTGTGGCCTTCATGGCCTTTGTTTCATGTTTGTCCTTTGATTGTAGTTTAGTATTTAGTGTTAGATATTGCTCTGGGGGCGATTCCCTCCACATAGTACATAGTATCCATATGGTTTTGGTTCTACACGTCACTAGTTAGATCGGGTTCCGAGTCACTAAAACCTGAAATCTTCGAAGGAACCTCTAGGGTTTGGAAAGTTAATACTTGTGTACATATATCACCTAGGCACCCAGCCAGATCTTGAAAATTCCGAGTCACACACTGGAAAACTGATTCACACAATTTATGCACACATCTCACTTTCTGGGCTGGTGGCTAGTCACAATTTCTATTTTCTGTGTGTGGAGGTCATTCTGGTGAGCCTGTGAACATATTCCGTTATCTACTTCATGGTGGCCGGATACAGTCGGGATGGCCGGTTATATTCGGAGGCCGGTTCTATTCCGGCCTCCTAGCGCTAACAAACTCAAAATTGGGGATCTCCACCAATCGGCGCGGGGGATCTGGATCATCTGGCTTGGCATTGGAGCAGGTATAGGGTCTGCATCAGGGGCGCAGTGAGCAAAATCACACCACCAGCTTGCTCCTGAGGCGGATATATTTAATTGAAGCGATATTATAGGTAATGCGGTACCCAATAGAATTGTTGATGATCAATCTGAGTGCTGACATACACCAATAAAGCACTCACTACACGAACTGACCTACTACCGAAATAGGCTTAGTGTCCTCCCGTGACCCTTCTCTGCCCTCCCTGACAGGGCTGATGTATAGATATTCTGAATACCTTCAAGGAGGGGGGGAACATCTTAAAATGACCAGGGGTCATATTTTGAACTTCTATAAGCGTGACTGAAAATGCCCGTGCGATTTGAATCCACTTGGAAGTTTTATGTAACCGGATCCACGCCATTGCTGCGCCGTTCGACATGAGGCCGGAATTGATACCGGCCTCTGAGGTTATAAGAATCCGCTGCGCACCCGCCCAAGGTTGCTCCTTTTCTCTTCTCTAAGCATCTCCCAGAAATCTGATTTTCTCCCACTTCTTTTCCTTTACTTTTTTTCCCCAAAATATCTAGTCGGACTTGGTCTTTGGCTTTCCTTCTTAGCCTTTACCTCAAACCTTCCTCCACACTCCGCCTCACCAAGACATCAACATACCCCCCTGCCCATCACACCCAAGCACAAGACCTATCTTCTTCTCTTTCATTCTATCTGATACTTATTGTCGTCGTCATCATGACTCGAACTCAAGTGTCCTTCCCTTCCCCTTCCACCCTGAAGAAGTTCCCTCATGTCCATGAGGACCCTTCTACCCTTTCCCAGTCCCTCGATCCCTTCACCATCACCACATCCACTGGCTTCCTCCCCTATGCCACTGCTCCCACTACCCTGCCCGAAGCGTTCAAGGCTCTTGCCTCTCTGGTGGAACGCGCCCCTGTTGTCATGCTCGATGGCAAGCCGGGTCTGCTTGCAACCTATGAGCTAGGCCCCGCCGTCGAGTCAGAGCTGACCGATCTCACTGATGAAGTCGAGAAGCTACGTCTCGCCGATGGTTCTTATGACAAGTTTACTATTGCTGCCATCTTCCGTGACTACACCTTCGTCGCCTCCTCCTACCTCCTTGAGCCATGCTGGGAGAACTGGAACAAGTTGCCGGACCAGAGCTATGGTCTTGGTCGGGATATTCTCCCCAAGTCTGTTGCCCGTCCTATGTACCGCTGTGCACAGATGTGAGTTATCTTCTAACTACTTCGCGTTCCTTTTCAAATTCCGCATGCCCCGGGACTTGAACATCCTTGACGATATATTTCCACTTCCATGACACACAACTAACATCATCATAGTCTGGATCTACCTCCTTTCATGTCTTACGCAGCTTCATATGCGCTATTCAACTACACAATGGCCGACCCTGCAAAGGGTCTCGATGACTACTCCAACCTCCGTCTAGTCCGCGCCTTCGAGAAGGGCCTGGACCCCAAGAGCTCCGAGGCCGGATTCATTCTGACCCACGTTGACATGGTCAAGTACACCGGCTCACTGATCAACGGCGTTCTTCGGGTCGTCGACAACCTCGAGCAAAACGGTCCTCGACAGGATGTCAACGATGGCTTCCGCCTCATCCTGAACACCATGGAGAAGATCGAGGCTGCTATGGAGAGTAAGTCAATCAACCACCAGTTGCTCGTATACCCTAATCTAACCTGACAAATTAGCAATGTGGGGAAATTCCAAGCCAGCCGACTACCTCTCCTTCCGCGTCTTCATCTTCGGAATCACCAACCAATCCATGTTCCCGAACGGCGTGATCTACGACGGCGTTGAAGATAACAAACCCCTCCACTTCCGCGGAGAGAGCGGTGCAAATGATAGTATCGTGAGTATTCATCCATTCACGTCGTCTCCTCATTCCTCCTCCAAAATATAACCATATATTCTGGCACCCGCTAACACTCAGATCCAACACATAGATCCCTCTCCTCGACCATCTCTGCGAAATCCCCATGCCCGAAACGCCCCTAACAAAAATCCTCCACGAATTCCGCGCCTACAGACCGCTCCCCCACCGCGAGTTCCTAACCTACATTCGCGAAAAGTCCACCGAAATCGGAGTCCGGGATTACTGTGTACAGGACTCAGAGACGGCTGTCTTGTTCCTCAAGGTTCTTAACCATGTCCGCTCGTTCCGCTGGCGTCATTGGTTGTTCGCGCGTGAGTATATTATTCGTCGCACACCGCATCCCACTGCTACTGGCGGAAGTCCGATTGTTACTGTGAGTTTCCTCCCCCGGGGTGAAAATGAGGTATGAAAACGATACTGACTAGTATTCTTCGTTTTAGTGGCTTCCTAACCAGCTTTCCGCCGTTATGGATCTCATGGTCACCATCTATGACACATACCTCTCGCCCAAGGAGGGCGTTGTTGCTATCCAGGGCAGTGAGGATTTGATTGCGTCGCATCGGAAGCAGGTTGAGCCTATGATGGAACTTGTCAGGGACCAGAGGGAGAAGTTGGCTAAGGAGGTTGAGAGGTGGTGCCAGGAGCGCGGGGTTTGAAATGATGGCCGATTCAGTTTGAGATTGAGATTGAGTTGCATCTTGTTTTCTTTTCGCTGCGCTTTTGCCGATTTCTTTTCTACCTTGCATACGCATCACGATTTCATGACCAACTACCTAGATGCTACGGGAGGTTTATGTTTGTGTTTGCGTGTTGATAAAATTGCAGTTTTAGTCCGATGGTATTCATAAGAATGGTTTTTATCTCTTTTAAAATGTTTCATTCTTGTATAACTAATGGGTATCTAAAGTGGGGGTTGCCTGCTGAGCTGCCAGGCTTTTGGGAAATGGAGTGTCGCTTGAATCTCGAGTTCATGGTTGTGTTCGAGATTTGTTCTGACTGAGAAGCAATGGGTTTTCGCGTGGGGGCTCTTCAGCGGGTGGTTAGAAACATTGGGCAACGTCGCTATCATCGTTCGCACGGTCCTTCCCCCGCTTGTGAGATGTGTTGGTGCGGAATTTAGTAAAAGAAAATCCATCATGTATCACGAGTTTGAACCAGTGTCCCAAATTGGGAAAAGAATCCCTAGAAGATTTCAAATTGGCGGTGTAACGCTGGGAAGAGCTCACGGATCCTGAATAGGGGTTTCGCGCACAGATAGTCACAGATGGGCTATCCGGAGAGGGGTAGGCAGTGAGGAGGTGTCTCTGCACTGGTTCGACATAATTCGCCGAGGTTTCATATCGCATTAGATGAAAAGCGCTCAAGTGATAACGTCTAGCCCACGTTCACGGCCATAGGTGACCGCGTCAGAAGAGACACTCTCGCAACCCCGGACACAGAGGCGGTCCAAGCTTGGTAGCTCGGAAGACTCATTTGATCTCGCATCAGCGAGATCGCGGATAGTGCAGCCCGTGATCCGGGTTTTTGAAAGATTCAAGACTTTCAGTTTTGGAAACTGTACACAGACACGATTCATGAAAGAATCGTCAAAGCCTTGCATTTGTACAAGACTCAGCTCAGTCAAGTTGAAAACTTCCGGGTTGTGTTCGCTTGCATACCGCAGCACTTCCATGAAGCATCCGTCCGACAGATTGAAACATTCGTCGATATGCAAGACTCGGAGAGGTGCTTGGGTGCCACAGATCATGAAAGTGGCTGTAGTAACGTTCACCCAGCCAGCATCTTTCAGCATAAGAGTGCTGAGCTTCTCAAGCTTTTGGGTGTCGAAGAAATTGGCAGTTGACCTTGAGGATCCCCCTTTGAGGCTGAGATATTCAATTGAAGTTGGTAAAATTGAGCAGAAGTTGCTGCCAATCGTCAAGCCATTTAGTTCGAGGCGCTTGAGTGGTGGGAATTGAATAGGCGGGTCTTCATTTGCATCGTCCGGGGGGAAGAACAACCAAGGTCTATAGACTGGAGGTTCCCAATCCAATCGCAGCTCTTGTAGGTTTGGGTAGTTCGGAATATCTGTGAGACTCTTCGCGGGTTGTCAGTTTTCAACACTGAGACATGGATAGCCGGGGAAGAAAGTAGGACCTACATGATCTAGATTTGGAATAACGAGAGCGGTTGGTGGAGCAGTCGACACCGCTTGCTGGGTGGCCAGAGTGATGCTCCTCAAGTTGGGAAGGCTTTGCGGCCAATTCCCCTCGCCGATAGTAAGAGGGGAATGCTTCACACTCCACAGTTCAATCCGCTCGAGTTTTGGGAATTGGGTCAAGAGCTTTTCAAGACAGCTATGTGGCACGGAAACCTCTGCCGATAAGATGAAGTTTTTCAAGGACTTGCAGCCCTTAAACCTTCGGAAGATATCCTTAAAGTCGTGGTTGACCCAAAGCTCGAGATGCTCTAGACGCGGACATCTGCTGAGGAACTCGATGCTTTTTGGCGTCGACGGCAAGGCGAGGTTCTTGAATGTCGCATGAGTGAGCAACCCCCGAGAGCGACGGATGTACGCCCTAACGGCGGTCCATGGCACCTTTTGGCGAGCCCCAGACAGATCTATCTTCATCCAGAGCTCGCGCATGTTGCCAAAAAAACGCTCCCAGCTTTTGCAAACTCGAAGAATACCCCTTTAAAGCCATTAGAGGAAATTCGAGCGCAAAGCAAAGGATTCGGTATCCACTTACACAATATTTTTGAATGAAAAGTGCTGGATAACGAGCGCTGCAATTTCCAGAGGAAGCATTGTAAAAGGATCTTTCCTGTTCAGGTTCATTCGATCTTCGAGCTTCTTGTGCAGTTGCTCCATCGTCTATGGCGAGATCAGTAAGTAGAATTGGCCCCCATATATCGTGATGCAACGTACCTCGCGACGAGGGTGTCCATTTGGAAGCACTTTGAGACCATAAGCATAGATCTCCAATGCTTTGTCTGGTTTAGCTTCAAGTAGGAGAACTTTGGCACATCGCAAGTAACCCTAGTAAGTAAAATGTGAGACATGGCGTCGTGACGAATCGACAAGCACGGGACTATTTACCCGTTCATCCTCCTTGGCTTGTTTAATCATATGTTTTGCATCTCGGCGCGCCTGGTCATACTGCTCCAGTTTACAGTATGTTGCGGCTCGGTTGTCCAAGATACCCACGGAGTCGGCATCCTTCTGCTTCAAGGCCTAGAGATAAGGATCAACAGCCTGCCATATTGGGTTAGAATGGAAATTGGGGGTACCTCTGTAAACGCCGAGATGGCCGCCTTGAAGTCCCCTTTTTGATAGAGCTTCTGGCCCTGCGAATGCAAGGCCGACGGGGTGGACCGCATGATGCCTGCTCACATACAGACCGTCGAGCAGTGTAAACTCGATGGTCTTTGAGTCTTCAACAAGTTGGAAGAGATCAAACCAGGATTGAAATGACATTCTGGTGAAGCCCGCCCTGGCATGGCACGTGATCCGCTTAGTCATATATTCCTGCAGTGTTTACTTTCTTCCGCTTTGAGCTCGCCCCAGCTCCACTTCAAGCAAATCGACCATCGCCATGGAGGCGCACAACTTGCAGGCTGCGTCGACCTATGTCAACAATATTTTACTAGCCAGGGGTCTCCTGAAGAGCGGGAGCCCCATTGATTTCGCGGAGCCCGACAATGAAGAGGGAGGCACAGAAGCCACCATGGCGCGGATCATCAACCTGGTCAACGATCTGGTGCTGAGGAGAGATGTTCGTCACTATTATTCTTCTTTTGGTGTCGCAATCCTTCTAACTGTCTTGTAGCGCGAGGCCGACCACCGTGAGAGTCTCGCGACAACCATTCGGGCGTTGCGCGTAACTGAATCGGAACAGACGACCGAAATTGTACGTTGATCACGAGGCAGCACGGAGGTGCCAAACCATACCAAACCATAAATCTAATCGAGATTATCGCATAGGGGAAACTGAAAACCAAATCATCTGAACTGTCGCGATCCCTCGCTCTCGCCGAAGCCCAGCAGCGCACATTGAAATCGAACATGACCGGTGCGGAGACGACCATTCGCAGTCTCAAAGAACAGTCGCAGCGTATGAAGACCACTGTCCAGCAAGTTCGCGCGCAATGCGCCAATGATGTGCGCAAACGCGACCTTGAAATGCAAAAGCTCAAATCTCACCTTGCGGAACGACAGCGGGGTAAACGCGAGGGGTTGAGCGTTACTACAATCAACATCAACCCCCAGGCGGACCGATCTCGACTGGGTGCAAGTGGTGGCGAGAGAGTCCATGACCCCCAATACAATCTCAAGGAGGAAACAACAGAGTTCTTGACCGAGCTCTGCCAAAACTTGAGCGATGAGAACGACACACTGATCGAGCTAGCGCGAAACACGGTAGACACGCTTAAGGAGCTACAAGGGCTACCGGAAAACGAAGATGGAAATGAAGAGGAGGCTTCGACCATGTCTACTAGTGTTGGGCATGGCAAGTCGACAAGCGCCGTGACTTCTCTTCCTACGTCCTGCGAGGAGCTGTCCCTCCGCATGCATACCGTGCTTGACCACCTGCGAACCCTGCTTACCAACCCCTCATTCGTGCCATTAGAGGAAGTTGAACTCAGAGATGACGAAATCATCAGACTTCGTGAGGGATGGGAAAAAATGGAGACCCGATGGAGACAGGCTGTCACCATGATGGATGGATGGCAGCGACGCCTGGCCGATGGTGGTGGCTCCATACAAGTGGAAGAGTTGACGCGAGGCATGAACCTTGATCTGAGCTTTACCTCGACCGAGGATGTTAGCATGCAGAGCAGAGAAGGTGCACACACTATTTCGCCTATTCTTGAAGACCGGGAGGATGAACCGATGAGCGAAGCTGAAGACTCGACTGTGGCTGAGGCCTCCAATCCTCCCAAAACTCGATCCAAGATCCGCAAAGTGCCTGAAAGGTCGGAACGCGCGCTTAAGGAACGTAGCGATAATGCGACGTTGGCTGCCAAGCCCAAACGCCATCGCAAGGTGTCATTTACCCCAGGCCTGGCAGGCTCTCCAGCCATTCCCAGTCCCGATGCCACCGAGGAGAATCTTCAGGTCAAGGTCCTCAAATCCGAAACTGTCACTCGCCGGTCTTCCCGCCGCAAGTCTGATCCAAAAACCACTGGCACTCGTCAGGTAAGTTTAATCGCATCGAATATCACGGTTTAGTACTGATTTGTGATAAGCAAACAACTGGCACTGAGCCCCGAATGAATGTTCGCCAGAAGCTCGCTGCAGCCGAAGATGAAGCTCGCACTGCCGAGCAAGCGCGCAAAGAGGGCGAGACCCGAAAGCGTAGTCGTCCGGAGAAGACAGCTACTCGTTCTAGCAATCGCCGACGAAGCACTCTCACCATTGACGAGTTAGAGGACTTGATGGGCGTTCCCTCCCGGTAGAGGGCCAAAATGCATACTACCCTAATCTGCACTGTACATACCACTATCTGACGAGCGAGCATGTTAATACGGGATGGCGTTTCTGTTTGGAAGGAGTATTTGACTAATCAACTCTCTGTTCAGTTGTCTTGTGTCTGGGTCTTTTAAAGCCGGCGTACCGTAAGGAGTACTAGGCACTATATAATGATGTGCCCACCTGGGCATATCCCATTCCTCCATCAACCCACCACCTCCTTATCCCATCCAACATCCATCCACTTTACACTGATTCCCACCCACCACCAAAATTTACCAACCATCGAGTTTATTTTAACTTCCATCCATCAACCACCATTCATTTTCTCTTCTCTATCTTAAGGGCAGCGCGATGAGTTGTCTTAACAAGTCACTTGGGCCACACGATGGCTGCCCTCGGACCGTGAGCCAAACCTACACCGCAGACCACTGTGCCATGAACGACCAGAAAGTTAATATGACTATCATCATAAACACTACGGCACAACGCCGGGAGGAACAAGACCTAAGCCCTGCTCAAGAGCAAGCCACCTCACAAGCTCAAGCTCCGGCCCAGGCCCAGGCCCAGACTCAGCCCCCGCAGACATCGACGGAAGCTCCTTTGCAACCAGGTGAAGACAGTCGAGAAGTAATATTCAATATTCTAGTTCAGATTTGTGAGGAATAAATTAACTAATCCATGAAGAATCAGCCGCTGCTATCAGCCCCGCCCTTGCGAATCCAATCTCGCGAAGAAACAGTCAAGTCTCGCAAGGATGTAACCAAGGCCAAGTTGCGTGACGAGGCTGACAAGCTCGTTGAGAAAGCAAACAAGCTCGTTGAGGAAGCAAACCAACTACGCGAACAAGCAGTTAATACCAACGAAAAGGCGGCCAAGGCCAATTTACGCGAAGAAGCAGACAAGCTGCACAACAAAGCAGACGATCTACGGGAAGGAGCAGCAAAGATACTTGAAGAAGCAATGAAAGTCCCTAGCTAGAGTCGTGCTTGTTGTGATTCAGGTCAATACAACTAGGTGCAACAAGTGTGGGAAGCGACCAGACGGGGGATAGGGAAACAAAGGGCAATCTTGGAACGAGTGTTCAAAGAATGGAGATACAGGAATCGATGATGAAGTGGATTATGGTGTGTGAAGCCTGTTTACTATGTAACTGGTTGTAAAGATCTTGAAATGTTGAAAATAAAATTCAAGTCAATTCATTCCGAAATCAAATTCTGCATTCCAATCCAGAGGAAACGAGAGCGCCAGCTCGGGACTTTCATGGTCCCATATTCCTGCAGTCAAAAGAGGCGCGAAGTTAGTATTGTCCAACTGCCATGCCGAAGAGTCCATTGTCAAATCTTCTCCCTCGTCTCCAAATGTTGAGATGTGGTGATAAGACGGGCCTTGAGGGGCATTCCTCGCCTTCTGCACTGTATAGTCGACATATTCCCTCTTGACCGGAACCATCAATCGTTCAAACTCCTCAAGACACCGCGAGGCAGCCGGCCACCGCTCAGCGATTGTCGTGAAAAGTCGGGAAAAGCAGGAAATAAAATTCTCAACCTCATTCAAACTATACGTGGCAGATATAACATCCTTGCATCGTTGTAGTGTTCTCAAGAATAGCATACCGGCGGAGAATGTGTGGTAGCAAGGGTGAAAAACGAATTTGCTGTTACCAAAACTGAGATTTGATTGTTTCCAGTAACCATCGGCGACCCCAATACACGCTAGAAAAGCCTTCATGAGATTGTCGCAGCTTGGTTCGTTGACTCTGGGACTTGGGCGAAACAATGTCACGATTATGACGTCTCGGGCAATATCGGCATATAAACACATCTCTTCCCATTGGGACGTTTTGGTTGTATCGGCGTTGAGAGAAGCTGTCCAAAGAATTTCCTGCTTCCAATTGTCGATTCGTTGCTTTATCCCGTTCATCCACTCGTCAAGTGTGAGATACGGGGATGGTAGTGCCCCGTTGTGAAATTGTACCAAAAGAATTTCAGCCTCAATTTGACGAAACTGCCAGATCCGTCGGGATGCAAATTTTGTCGGGTAGCCGCTCATGTCAATACCGGATTGTGATATGAGTTCATCGTCCACCTCTGCAGGAAATGGGACATTTATCGCGAGGCCAAAGAAGGTGGAAGGTCTCAGAAGTGCCGCGGATGTTGCTATCTCCATTTCGTATGCGCACCAAAACACCCTTCGCCGGATGTCCTTTGCTAGGGGATCCATTCTTTGAGTCATGGGAGTTTCGATATGTAAACCCAAATCGATACATGCTTGTGTTGTAAAGCCCGATAGGAGCCAAACATTCGCCGCGGTGGGATCAAGATTCGCATATTGAAGCAGTAGCAGCAGAGCTTGTAATCCGTATATATCATTCGTACAAACAGCCTGTATGTACTGCATTGCCTCCTTCACGAGACCGGTCGCAATCGAATTTGCCCAGACTTGTTGAGTTCGTGCTGAGGTCGTAAGGGAGATTGCCATGATAAGACCGATGACGAAGGTAGCGCGTGGATTATCCGAGGTATTTGTTTCGAGAATCCGAAGGGGGTCACGGAAAACGGAATCAAAATAAGCCACTAGGTCGGCGGAATAGAATAGCGGACATTGCGCGACCACTCTTGTCATATAGTTCTCGAAAAGGAAGTCTGCGACGGACTTTGGTATCGTGGATAGGCCGCTTGTTGGCTGATTCGTGGATAATAGGGTTGTCTGTCCTTGTGCGTCATTGGACTCGGTGGCACCGAGAAAGGTTGTAGATGGCAACTTTGTCCCTGCTACCGTACACCGTACAAGGGGAACTGCAGATGTAAGCCCGAGGAATGGGGTTGTGAGATCATCCAGCACTTGCTCTGCGAGCATTTGGCCTGAATCATCATTGGTCTCTGAACCCGAGGGGAGTGCTTGCTTCCTGTCAAGTTCATTCTCTAGGAATTGAACAATGGAGCGAGGCACTGTCCGCTCTTTAGATTCTCCAGACGCAACACAAGAAGCACCAACCTCGAGACATTTGGAACAGCTCGGAGAGCGAGCGTCACACTATCATTTTGCTTAAGCTTGGAGTCTCAACACTCATATCAAAGCGTCATTCAGAAAGCCACTCACCATTATTTTTCGCACCCGGCATCGTGCACAGGCTATCACTCTTCTGCGTACTCTTGATGGAGCCATGTACATGAAATCGATGCACGCTAAATGAGCGACATGCAGTGAAAGATAGTCGCTCCTGTTGGTGCCGAGATGAGCGCATTACCCCACACATCTTATCGTTGACCATTTTACCTGCCTCAAGGTGGGAATGGCCACTGCTGTGCCCAATCTGGTTCCCCGCTCTATCAGGCCAATCAAATATTCCAAATTCCCAACCAGAAAAACAGATAAGCGGCCCGGGAAACACCAGCCAATGCAAGATGATGTCTGGATTACAATCAACCCGGCGCCGAAACCGGGATCACCCCCGCTTTTTGGGGTCCACCTCGGGGTAGTCCGACCTGGCATCAATCCATGCGAGAGCGTATATCTAGCTGATATTTCCATACACTTCGATGCGATGGACTGGATCGATGGAGCACGAAATATCAACTTCGCTCGATATTGATGAGCTCCTTGGTTCCTTACCGGCCTGTCGTCGGTGTAGGTCAAATAAGCGCAGATGTGATACCCAGTTGCCCTCTTGTCGCAACTGCTCCAAGGCGGGTGCAGAGTGCATCTTCTTTGATCATGTCACGGAAAGGGATATTTCAAGATTGTCAGTATAATCCTTTGCATTCAAATCCTTATCTACGGCTTACATATTCTCGTTCAGATATGTCTTGAGACTCATTCAACGCCTTCAAAATACACAAAAGGAATGCAACAAACCAAACGACAGCAATGACGATTCTCTGGCTTCGCCTAGCAGCCTGATATATTCGGAGATTGAGATGATGCTACACACTAGCCGCTATATTGGACCCCTATCGTGCTTGGCCCCGGCTTTGTCAATCGTCAGAAATACCGAGGCCACAGCATCGCAAGCGCCTACGCCGCCCAATGTACAATTTCAGGGGGACTTGACACCCAATCAAGAGACCTTTGAGTATCTAGTGGCGAAATATCTCTCAGATATACAAAGTATCTATCCACTTCTGGATGAGACATTGCCATTCCTCTCGCCGGAGTGGCTGGTCGAAAATAATGAAACAGATTTGACTCACATGCAACGTTTCATGCTGGAAATGGTTTATTCAATAGCAAGTCATCGAGTACTCGACGAATTACCAAACCACGAGGGAATGGATTACTACCAAAAGCTGGCTGATGCGTCCCACCGCAGAGGACTCATGATCTTCGACAAAGCCGCGACAGATATCAGCATGCACACCCTTGAAACAGTAACTCTCGCTGCGTTACATAGTTTGCTTTCCCCGCAAGCGGGAAATATTGGACAACTCGTCGGATTGGCTGCTAGATTAGCGATTGACTTGGGAGCTGTTGATAAACCTGGCTATAATTCAAACGAGGGAAACGAAAGTGAGCAAATTTACAAGTCGATCTACTGTCTCGAAAATCAGTACGCTACAGCCTTGGATCGCCCGGGACTTCTGCCCCAGCCTGTGATAGATCCTGAATCTAGCACACCTCAAGATGTCCTCTGTGCGGTCTATCGAATTCAAGCTTGTTTCCGGTCCCAGCGGGGTAATGTTGATGCCACGTCACTACTACAGGAGCTTGACGGTTATGTCTCTACTATTGAGCAAATGCCGATCCGATCAATACCTAATATTATTGCAACCGTCTACGAGACACGCTTATTGATCCGATCGGATGACGAGGAGAGCGCAATGTGTCTACTTGAGATATATTCCCAGAAGTTCTATATCCGAACCGCGCTGAGTCCTTCATGGGCATACCGAGCAGGCTTAGTTATTGTCTCCAAGATATCAACGTATCAACTGCACCCGGGCGCAATTCAAACCCATAACCTACATAAAAGCTACCAGGCATACGGAAATTGTTTATTGTTCCTAGAGCAGTGCTCGCGGAGATGGCCAAGCGCCAATGCATTGAGAATGTCGCTACAAGACGCTGCGTCTAGGACCTGATACAGTAGGAGGAAATAGGGGTGCGACCACTTTATGCTTTCTTTGTTGCCCTCCCAGAAGAAACAACTCTATGAAATCTTGATTTAAAACCTGATAGTATCCCTTTTGAAATCAATTGTGACCACAAGCCAGTCCACCATCCACCACAACATCGGTCCCCGTAGTATAAGCCGCCGCATCGCTCAATAAATACCCAACAATTCCTTTCAAATCCCCCCCGCGTACCGACTCGTCCAAGCGGCGGCTTGGAATTGAAAACATTCCAAAGTTCTGCATCCTTCCGGCATGCCTTCATGATCATCTCTGTTGCAATGAAGCCAGGCGAAACGGAATTGACTCTTATTCCATATTCCGCCAGTTCCACAGCCAAGGCCCTAGTCAAAGATTGAATCGCCCCTTTTGAGGCTGTGTAGATTGACATATTCCGGGATGGGATCGCGACATTTGCCGCGTTTGAAGCAATCATGACGATACTGCCTCCTTTATTCTGTTCTTTCATGGCTTTTGAGGCTAGTTGGGCGCAGAAAAACGTTCCCATGACCTGATAGATATCAATATCTAGTGTTATATTAATATCTGGTGCACTTACATTGACATTCAATACCTTCGCGCTTTCATTCCATTCGTGGTCGTGGAATGGTTTGTCCAGAACTACCCCTGCTGCGGTGATGCTAGATGGAAAATATCAGTTGTGAGTAATTTTACTCTGTGAATCTGCTTCATACCAATTATCAATATGTCCAAAGTCGGCTATAATATTACTAAAAACCTCAGTCAGCTGGTCGAGCTGGGTCACATCGGTCCTATATCATATCAGTTCAGAAGTTATTCCACCAGCAGTCCTTTCTGGAAATGATCCTCACCTATAATATTCTATCCGAACGCCGAGTTGCTCCCAGCTTTTCGTGTCCTCGCTAGGTTCAGGGAGAGTATCCAGTATGGCAACATCACTACCCAATTCAGCCGCTCCTCTAGCCAAAGCTAGGCCGATTCCACGAGCAGCCCCTGTAAATATTAGCCAAGCATCAAAGTATCATGTCCGTTCTAAATACCTGTCACAACCGTCACCTTCCCCTTCAACCCCATCAAGTCGAGTATACTTCTCGACTTATAGTCCGCATCAACAGTTTCAAGTGCGCTGGAATTGGCCGCCATTTCCGCGAAATCCGAACCTTTCTGGTATATAGTGCTGATCTCGGTCAGATTCTCTTGGACTGCTAAATTTCGGTCTCCAGGTGTACTTTAAGTACGTCGCCCCTCTTCTACTACTCGATACGTATAAAAGGCCAAGATATAGTCCGGAACAGGTCATTCCTATCCTATCCAGGTCGCAGCAAATCCGTGCGGGGGCACCAACCGTTATCGGAAATCCAGGTGTGGGGGAGGTGGAGACGTGGACAAAAGCCTGCGCCTATCTCCGAAGCGCATGAATCCCATGATATGCAGACCCCTTTACTGCAATTAAGGTTCTTTTATTTTGCTCACACAGATCACTAATTCGGGAGTTTGGCCATATTCTGATAGCGATTATTCATTATTTGAACACAGATGAAATCTCATCCTTAACAGACCCAATGTAGTTCACGTCCCAGTAAACCCTTTTGAACATCATGATTTTGAACAATGGTATCAAATTACAACACATATTATGGGAATTTCAGCTATGTTATAATGACTCTACCTCTCCTGGCGGAAGTTATCTGAGCCGTATGATTATTCCCATCTATCTAGAGGTTTCAAATCTCAAACACATTGTCCGGCTAGTTTTATCGCTAGTTGGTCTTCCTTCTCTAACCACTGCCAGCCCCTCCTTGAAGTCAATAACAATATTGAAAAGCGTTGCAAAATCGCTAGCTCCCTCCTGTGCTCGACTGATGGAATGCGGAAAGTCGTATTCATCTTCGAAGAGACCGCTAAAATTCTCTCGAGACAGCTCCTTTGTTTGAAGGATTTTTCGCCCCATGGTCTGCAACCGTGTATAAGAATCTTCTAGCCACTTTGGCTCGTAGATTTTCTCATGTTGAAGTAGCATATGGTTTGTATGAACCAAGAAGCCATCCTCATTCACTGGTACCCTGAGAAAAGTCGTAGACGTAAATTCAAGTCCAATTGCAGTTGTCGCATCGCCAACCACGATATATGCTGAGCTGGCCATGCCAACACTCTCCAATATTTCCGCTGCCAACTTGGCAGTTTTGCTTTCCAGTGCCATTCTTAACCCAAGGTGGACTGGGAGACGGTTTTTATCGACGCCATTTGCACGTATCGCGTTGAAGCAAACCCCCACTCCTTCCGAGTTGAGGCCTATCTTACCAATAATTCCGGCTTCTGTGACCATTATGATCGCGGGCAGTCCCTCTTGGAAAATTGTGAGTTGTATTAAATTAGGTAGCTGGGCTTCCACCCACTGTGACAACTATTAGAGAACCGACTTCACATCTCCGCTGCGGATGGATTTACTTACATCCCAATTTTGGCCTATGTAAGCCTCATTCCCTTGCTTCCAGTATGCACTTGTACAACCATCACTAAAGTGTCCGAATACAATTTCGGTTCGTACATTTAATGCGATAATATCAATAATATCCTGTTCCGCTCCGTTTGCGACACCTAGGAGGGCTTTAAGCTGGTGACTCTAATCATACAGCTCGTGCGTAAGACTCACCTTTTAGCTCTTGGTAATAACGAGGCCATTCTGTAAGAATTATGGTCTCAAAGCCTCTAGCCAATTCTTGAACCTGAGGCCAGCGAAATCCACTTTTATTCCAGAACAGAGCAGCATATAGATCAAGGCTCCGTTGAATTTCTTCCTTCGAGCCTTGGCCATGAACATAGCCAATCTAAACATGTAAGCTACACGGATTTCCTTCCTCGGAAAATATCGTCCGAAACAAACCTCGTAAGGGGTCCCTGAGCACACAATTTGTTTCATCCTGAACACAATTCTTTCTCTGTTTTGCTAGCAAACTTCGATAGTCGGACAAGTCTGGGCTTTGTGGATTATCTGATCTAACGTCTTACATTTATATTCTAAATTAGCATGATATCTCTACATAAAATTTGCGCTCTCATTGGACGCAGTCGCCATAAGGCAAAATGGTGCTGATCTGATCCTGATACATGGCGAGCAGACCGGCGGGTTTGAGCGACGGACTTGGGCGACGGACTTAAGCGCATGGTCCCAACAAGTCATGAGATTCGGACAGCCCGAGCCTCTGTGATTTGTCAAGACACCCCGCCTTTCCCTTTTGACGGAATGGATATAGCCGACCTACGATACGGAGCATCTCGTCTTCATTGGGCAGCATAATGAGCTATCTTGGTTATATTAACTCGGTACACATAACGGAAACCTAAATCGTTATTTAAATTTAAGCACCGCCCCTATCTCCCTCATATACTTATCATACTTGGGAGAAAATCTTGAATTACAAATAAAGTGAAGACTCAAATACCTCTTCAAAATGGTCAAAAGAGTTCTGGTTACCTATGGTGTCGATGTCGATGCTGTCAGTGGGTGGTACGTGAGAGCAGAGCACTATGGGAACATAGTATGAGAAAGGACAGAAACTCATCAGGTTATATAGGATCAATACTTGTTCAGGAGAGCCTGCTGGTCCTACCGATGTCTCTCGTGGTGTTTTCGGAGCCACCGTTGGGATCGATCGTATCCTGAAGCTGTTCAATAAGTACGGAATTAAAGGAACATGGTTCGTTCCGGGCCACTCTGTGGAATCCTTCACGAGTCAGCTGAAAAAGGTCCGCGATACTGGACATGAGATGTGGGTTATAATCATCGCTCTATTCTATCTATGAGTATACCAAAACCTAACCATTCTCTAGTGGTCTTCATGGCTATTCCCATGAATTCGTTGCCACTATGAATGAGCAGCAGCAACGTGATATCATGACGAAGTCCATCGATGTACTCACAAATTTCCTTGGAAAAGGGCCGCGTGGATGGACCGCTCCCGCATGGAACACATCTAAACAATCAATCCGAGTACTGGAGGAATTCGGTATTGTGAGTCAAGACACCAAGAGCCCAAGACCTAAGCTTTTAACAGAAATACTGATCACGGACCACCATCTCAGGAGTACGACCATTCTTTCATGCATCATGATTGCCAGCCATACTATGTCCCTAATGGCGAAGAAGAATGGCAAGAAACCGACTCCAAGAAGGAAGCGTCAACCTGGATGCAGCCCATGACTAAGATCACGCCGAGCAAAGTGGTCGAGATTCCAGCTAATTGGCACCTTGACGACTGGCCTCCCTTCGTTGTCAGCAAAGCAGCTAACTCTCACGGCTATGTTGATCCAGATGTCATTGAGAAGCTGTGGAAGAAACAGTTTGACTATTTCTACCGGGAATATGACACTTTCATTTTTCCGATGACCATCCATCCCCAAGTGAGCGGGAAGCCACAGGTGATTCTCATGCATGAGAATATTATTGACCATATCAATTCGCATGAGGGCGTGGAATGGGTTACTATGGAACAAATTGTGGACGAATTCAAAGCGGGCAAGATCCCAGGGGCAACTGTTGAAGGGGGTGCATAGGAGCAAAGCCCGGTTGAATTTAGATTTCATTCTTTCGAATGCCTACACCCTGAATGACCATTTATCAAACTCAGAAATGATTCTTCATCATACAGCTCATCAATATATTTAAAAAAAGGTCAGAATCTGTAACATTCATAGTAGCTGTTCTAGCTTAAAGCCCTCCAGCATCGTCCGAAAATGTTGCGCCTCCTGTTTAGTGATCTAGATTCCTCCAATCCTCCAGATGCAAAGTGCACAATCACAATAGAAACCAAATATTCAAAATGGACATTTTTGATTCTACGGTTCAATAAAAGACGCATAATCAGTCGAATCAAACTTGAAAACTTAGTTAACTGTAAGAATTTACCAAGATCCGTTGTGGTACTACACGCCTCTCTCGTGACATCGTCTTTGGAGGAAACATCGTGAATGGAATATAGAAGCTCGGGTCATGCACTACTACTTCCACGTGTAGAAATCCGAGATAACTTCTATTGCTGAGTGGGAAATGTTGCGATTCACCAGCATATCTCCCCGCATGGCTTGGCAACGGAGATGAGCGCAGCCAGCAAAATCTACCAGAAAGGCGCACGGACGACGGAGATAAGCGCAAATTGCTCAATACGCCTCCCCCACAGCTCAAGATATCTTATCGACATCATATCAAAGGAGCTGGCCTCTGTGATAGAGAAAAAGGGATTAACTTTCAGGGAGAATTGAGGCGTGGAATCAACCAGCAGTCGATACCTAGCTTCCAACTCCGAATCATCCGAGTCGATTACTAGTAGTATATATCTCACACGAACACCCGCGTGAATTCATGAGAGTCATTCAAGTTCACGCCATAAACCTTCGAAATTAACACCGTGACTACAGGGTGCAAAATGGTTCGGTACTATGAAAAAAAAATCAAGCTCCCCTTGCTACCCGAACTAAGGCTCAATTCACCCTATTGGCAAAAGTAGGCACACCCACTGACACCACGCAAACCAACCCCCATCGTCTCCGCGATGTCGAATGCGGCACATTCAACTACTAACAAGTAACGTATTAGTGTTCTTATCGGCGTTCTCGTCGGACTCACAGCCGGTCTCTACGTCTCCCTGAATCTTCTAGGAGCAGGCGGCGGCAAACCGAATTCCGCTTCAACAGTGCAAGTAGTCAATGCGACACTTTGCACTGTGTGGTTCTTTTCCGCTTCCTTCGGCGGAACAATTCTCAACACGATTGGCCCTGCTATCACGGCTTGTATTGGGGTAATTGGTTATATCATCTACGTCGGTAGCTTGATGTACTTTGATAATACAGGCAAGAGTGGATTTCCAATCTTCGCCGGCGCGGCTGTTGGTATCTCAGCTGGTCTTATCTTCGTTACGATGGGATCTATTGCGATGTCTTATTCTGAAGAGCAAGATCGAGGAGCGTATATCACTATGTCTGTTAATCTTCAGGCTGTTGGGTCGGTGATTGGTGGTATCATTCCATTGATCATTAACAAGGACTCGGTATGTTCTACTCCAATAATTTCTCTCGGAATTGCGCAATGTGTCTGACCTTTTTTTTTTTTTTTCACAGAGTGAGACTACCGGTGTCCCACCGGCTGTCTATATCGTCTTCATGGTTATGATGGGTGTTGGGGCATGTGCTGCTTTCCTGTTGATGCCTCCATCTCGCGTTATCCGAGACGATGGAACGCAGATTGCTCCGGTCAAGTCGCGGGGATTCAAGGAAGAGCTCAAAGCAAATTTGGAGATATTTCGTGACTGGAAGCTTCTTATTATGGTAAAGATTGAATTGAAGTCATTTGTTTTCATACATCATGCTAATCGCTTGAAAGGTCCCTGCTTTCCTCCCTGCTGAAACCTTCCTGGTTTATGGCGGCTCGGTCAACGCTTACCACAACAACCTACGCACCAGGTGTTTACTGTCTTTCTTAGCAGTCGTTATACAAATTCCTTGCGGCATTCTCCTACAATACGTCCTGGACAACAAAAAGTGGAAACGGCGAAACAGAGCTTTTCTAGGACTAGCCATGGTTGGAATTCCTCTCATCGGCGCGTGGATTTGGGAGATCATTCGGGTCAGAAATTACGACCGCCATAATCCCCCTGCCCAGGGCTTGGACTGGACTGAGCCTAATTTCTGGCCAATTCTGGTACTTTTTGTTCTAAATTGGGTCACTGGGTCTTTGTGGCAATACATAGTGCTCTATTTCTTAGGCGCTCTGACAAACTCTCCCAAGAAATCGGCCAATTATGCTGTGGGTTTTTCCAACTCTTTCCCTGTTTCCAACCGAAGAGTTACTGACTAATGGCTCTTGATATATAGGGTGTTTTCCGTGGGTTCCTTGGTGCTGGTGAGGCCATTTGTTTCGGTGTGGATTCTCTTAAAGTCCCATTTATGAAGGAAGCCGCTGTTATTTTCACATTCTATACGACTGGTGTCCTCATATTCACCTATATTGCCACATTCCATATCAAAGATACGGAATATTTCAACGGCGAGGATGATGTCGTGATTCCCAAGCATGTGCTGTCTGAGCATGCGAACGACGGAGAGCCTGAGAGGCAATCCACGGAAGTGGACGAGGCAGCACCAGCTGAGAAGGAAGCAGTATCAAGGTATTAGCCTGTCCATCTATGATTAATATTGCCAAAGTCTGTTGCACAATCATGTATGATAGTTTGAGATTATCCATAATCGTTTTGCCAGATCGTGGCCCTTGCAAAAAAATAATGTGAGTGGCAAATATAGCGGTGAATATGTATCGTAAATCGATGTAAAAGAGATGAGTTCGTGGTGAAATATAATACAAAGTAATCGTACACGGCACCAACGTTATACAAGATATGTGATGTGTCGAGAATTCCAACTCCTAAAGTCAACATTTAGCCAGTAGTTCCATGCCTCCGAGAAACAACAAGTAGCACCCAGAACCAGACATACCAGATATGCATTCCAAAAGATCCAGTTGCTGAATGACAAAACGAGCATATAGCATATTCAATAATCCAAATCACGTCCCTGTATTCGTACTTGGATTGGTTCCCACTTTCGAATCATCGGTTGTACTGTGTACTGTTTGAAGCTTGAGATACTCCTTCTCGAGAGCCTTCTGCAATTCAAACTCGGCCTGGCGTTCCTGGCGAATGCGCTGCTTTTCCATATCTCGCTCGACACCACGGTGCATAGCCTAAAGCAGATAACTTCAATTAGCCCATGATCTTCTCTCTTTCTTTCCCCCAATGGCGCAAAGAAACTTCCACCGCCCATCAGTTAACATACCGCACGATCATTTTCCTGGGCCCAGTGCACAAAGTAGACAATACCAGCCGTGCCCAGACCGGTAGCAGCGAGAGTCAACTTCGAAGCACGAGACATTGTGATCAACAACCTCGTCTCTTCCGGGTATTTGTCGGATTGATATGGATAAAGCAGATCAAAGCAGGTCAAACCATTCAAAAATGGGCGAGACCGCGGAGAAGGGCGGTATGAACTGGCAGAACCAACCCCCCCACCGCCCCCGGAGACAATCATGCGTGGCCGATCGAGCTGGAGCTCCAAATCGAAAGCTCCGCTTCTCCTCGATCTTGAATTCCCCCCCTGTCGCCCTCTCGCCTTCTCCATCTAGATATCAGGGGCCTCCGATTGAATATGGTGAGATTGCACGGGCTTTGGGGACCTGGCGAGGTCGTTTGGTTTGGTGGCGGTGCTAACGATAAACGTGTGAACAGTCGGCTCAGAACTCCGCGGGCATTCAGACCCTCCTCGATGTATGTGGCGGGCACTCTAGACGGGGATATGCTATTCTAGCTGTGGTGTCGTTGTACTAATCGCTATTTTCAGGCTGAGAGAGAGGCTCAGAAGATTGTGCAGCAAGGTATGTGTCCCCTCGTCGCCCCCTCATCTTCCTCTATGTCTATTCAGACCAGACCAAACTAGCTTTACTAATGCTCTATCCTATTAGCCCGAGAATGTACGATATTGCGAATCACCCCCATTCCTCCTTATCCATCCCTCCTCTACGTCGATATGCGATTGAGATCTGATCTGACATGACATAATCCGTGACAGACCGCACCAAGCGGATAAGAGACGCCAAGTCCGAGGCTCAGAAGGAGATTGAAGAGTACCGCAACCAGAAGGAAAATGAGTACAAGAAGTTCGAGGCTGAGGTGAGACTCTTCGTTGCTGCTTGTTGCTGCACGGACACCGCCGCCGCCGCTACATCCATGCTAACTATCTATACAGCACTCGAGCGGATTCAAGACAGCCGAGGCCGATGCGAACAAGGAAGCCGAGGAGAAGTTGAAGGGAATTGAGGCTTCTGGTAAGAAGCAGGGTGACAAGGTGGTGGCGGACCTGATTAAGGCGACGACCGACGTCAAGCCCCAGGTGCCCGAGAAGATTGCCAAGGCATAAAGCGAACACTTGGTTATTTTTTGTTATTTATCTTCGTTTATCTTTCTTCGGTTGTCGCTATAAAGATGCGCTTTCGTGGCTGTTCATCGATATCCATTGTTCGGGAAATATGATCTTTTTTATCTTGTATGTCTTAAGGTATCTTTGGGGTATTATAGCTGGTGGTGTCTACCGTATGTGTTGGTCAAGTAGCACTATGTATACGAATATCAGGTATTCATATTAAGAACACAAGTAAGATTGCGTAGTCTTAAATTACCCCCTAAATATGACTGAATTCAAATGGTCGTTGCAATAGACCTGTTGTACCCCGATCAACTCAACTCTTCTACCCCGGACAACCCGCCGGCTCCGCCCATCAAATGTTTCCGTTGCGTCATCGCGTGGAAGCTACAACGTGCCACAACAAAGGCTAACGATGGGAATACCGGTGAATCCCAGGATTGCCACACTGAAAATTGCCAGCTGTACTCATCTAATCCCAAAATACGCGATACATCGGACCATCCACACATCTGCGCACAGACTGAAGCCCATCCTCGAACCCCGGCTAGAAGACCATGGACGAGTCATTCACGACGAGTACTCGTTAATCCGAGACAAATACGGTACATAAAAGACCTATCCAGGCCCAAATATACACGCGAATAGCTAGCTAATTCCATCAGATGTCCCGAAACACCCTATCGTCCTCGCGCACGGCCTCCTCGGCTTCGATGAGTTGCGCCTGGCCGGTCCCTACCCCCCTGGCGTCCAATACTGGCGTGGGATTCGGGAGGCCTTGACAGCACGAGGCGTGGAGGTTATCACTGCTACAGTACCTCCGTCCGCGTCGATAGAGCAGCGCGCGGAGGAACTGGCGCGGGATATTGAAGCCGGGGCGAGGGGGAAGGATGTGAATATTATTGCGTATGTAAAGACTCTATGTTGAGTTTAAGATCCAGTACTAACGCTTCGGTCTGCCATTATAGACATAGCATGGTGAGTGATTTCTCTTGATTGGATTAGTATGATATTCTTGAGATTTTGAACTTCGCTAATCCAGCTTTAGGGGTATGTTCTGCGCTCTCTCCTTCGCAAATCAAACATACTACTACTTTCAGTCTCCTTCAATCTAACACAACATTTCTCCCCAGCGGCCTTGATTCTCGATACATGATTAGTCGGCTTAAATCTCGAAACTTCAAAGTCTCATCATTAACCACCATCGCATCTCCACATCGAGGTTTGACCAACTCGCCGCCGCGGCTCAGTCAGAGCGTATCTCACTAATTCTCTCGCGACAGGATCATCTGTGGCAGACTACGTTTTTAACCAAATAGGAGGTACGCAATATCCACACACACACACACACACACACCATGCAGAGCCAAACTAAACCCCCAATCCAGCCGACCGTCTCCCACAAATCTACTACACACTAAACCGACTAAAAGTCGAAACCGGCGCCTTCGAACAACTAACGCAAAAATACATGGCCGAGACCTTCAACCCCAACACGCCCGACATGGAAGACGTACGATACTTCTCCTACGGCGCCGCCGTCGAGCCGAGCATCTGGTCCGTATTTCGGCTATCGCATAAAATTCTTGCCGAGACGGAGGGGCCAAATGATGGCCTTGTCAGTGTGGCTAGTAGTCGCTGGGGCGGGGAGAATGGGTATAAGGGGACGTTGGTGGGCGTTAGTCATTTGGATTTGATTAATTGGACTAATCGGGTTAAGTGGTTGGCTGGGGAGGTTTTCGGGAATCCGAGGAAGTTTAATGCTATTGCTTTTTATTTGGATATTGCTGGTGAGTGGTTGGCTTTTACGCTTTGCTTTGCTGTGGTGGGTTGGGTTGGATTTGTGGGATGCTAATTTGTTTATTTTGGGATAGATATGTTGGCTAAGGAGGGTTTATGAGAGCGATGGGTTGGTGGATGATTTGCCTTGATCCCAAGGCCAACACAACCTTGAACTCGGACTCGGACTCGGATGCACAATCTTTATATAATCCTGGAACTCTCCGCGGACCCGACCTTTTACACTTATAAATGTAAAACTTCTTCCTTCTTCTTCTTCTTCTTCATCTTCTTCTAACCCACCTCCATTCCCGATATTTTACTATCATCAAACTTCATCATCACCAACCTTCCTTATTCTCACCATCGAGGCCATCAGAATAAAGTATCTCCAGCCAAGCAACGCAACAATGGATTCGATTTGGATTACAAATATACGCGCCCGTATCTTCCAAACAAAGACAAGATCGACCCATGCATCACAAAGGTGGAGCATTTGTCTTCATACAACTGGATCGAATCGTCCAACCCGACTATTGCGGTCCCTGGCTGCCTGCCTCTCCGGTCACCTCCTAAGATCCCCAGCCGGGTTATCAAGTTTCGAATTAAATTTTCGCGTCTCCAGTCTAAAATAGAAGGGTTCAACGTACTTGCAGTATTACATTAATTCCTCTCAGTTACTACAACAATTTTTCTTCTTGCGTCTTTGGAACAACACGCTGAATCCTCAATCGTGCTTTGACCACATATACAGATGCCTGGCACTCTAGACCTTCCTCCATCCATTCTAGTGCTCGCGTCTTGTCGCGGTCAAGGCCTTTTCGCAAAAAAGGCAGCAACGAAGAAATCAACCTCCTCCCTAAGACCGGCATACACTCTCAACCCCGTCACAACACGCGTGTTCCAGCGCATAACAGGAAACCAGCGCTGCAGTGTCTGGGAAAAACGCGCTTAGTAGCCGTCTGTGGCCATCACGTACGGCCAGTCATCCTCCCAGCCCAGCTTGTTCCACCCGTACAGGAAGCCAGCCGTGCCAGCACCGCCAGCCTCCTTCAGACTCAGCGGATAGTACTGATAGTACAGGATGAGGCCATTGTCCTCATCATTAAGGACACCCCTAGAAAGTCTCGTTAGCAAGCTGTCCGTGGAGTATATGTGAACTAGGAACGCAATATGGGGTACATACTGTCCACCGGGAGCATAGATCTGGTCATGGCTCTCTAATAAAATAGTACCGCCGGAATCCAAGCACGAAACACCAGCCTTGTCAACCTGCACGGAAACCAGTCAGTCTCATTAACGCAGTATATCATGACGAACAGCACTTACAAAGTCCCCAGTCCCACTCGTCGAACGACACATATGAATTCGGTATTCCTCGCCTGGAGCTGGATAATCCGCCGTATACGACCCTGCAATACCGCCGCTAAACAGGAGATAGTAGTAATCGCCGTGCTGGAACATGGTAGAGGCCTCCTCGCGGTGATTCAGGCTGGCATTGTAAGCCAACTGGTGCGGACTCTCAGAGCTGACCTGCAGTGGGCTTTCCAGCTCGACCTGGAAGAGGTCTTCCCAGTAAGAGCCAAATTGCAGATACTGCTTGCCGTCAATGGTGATCCAATTGGGGTCGATGCGGTTGTAGGCGCTATTTGGAGGAAGGCCAATTACGCCGTGGTCCGTCCATGAGCCCGGGTCCATAGTCTTGGAGGTCGCCACGCCAATTTCAGAGGTCTGCGTGCCGAGTTTGGATACCACGTAATACATATAATAGGTATCATCCGCATAGTGTAGATCAGGAGCCTGGTTTAAGTTACTTTAGCGTCAGTAGGGTATTTTGCATATAATATGTCAAAATTGGGGTTCGCTGGAAGGCCTACCCAAATATCCATGTCGTCGACACCGTCCAGTTGGATAATTGAACCCTTTGGTAGCGCTGGACCCAAATCCACCCATGGACCCTCGAGATCAGGCGAAACCATGGTGTTAACGCCCGCCCCGGTCGAGAAGCGAAAGTACATCATGTCGACATTGCGTTGGATCATGGACGGATCATGTGTCCAGCAGTCTCCCATACAAGGGCCCGGGGCCGGATAGGTGCTAGCACGTGGAGCAATGCGTGCCATCGAGGGAGTGGCCAGCGTGGCTATACACAAGCCTAAAAGAGTGACAAACATGGCGAAGGCAGGCCGAGGTGGAAGGACGTCGTCGAGCTGAATAGAAATCTGACCAGGCCAAGGTGATGAGCCAAGAACAAAACAATTAAATACAGGGCAGGATATGGCAGGATAGGGTGCCATTCATATTTTGAAGTCTTTTGCCTTTTGAAGGGCCGGAATGTTGCTCAATGATTGGCATAATCACAACCCCAACGAGGGTTAGTCGAGCTTGATTGGGACTTTGGAATGTGCATCAGCTATTGGAGGGAACATTTTTCCCTAGAGCAAGAATGAAACTTGGGAAAAACTGTTGTGAAAACGGAGGATATCTTCGCGAAAAAGAAGGTTTTGACGCATTCCTGTGCCTTGCCCTCTCGCTTAAGCGGTAAACGGTCTCATCTGGTGAGCGCAAATCCGCGTCTTCACAGATCGAGGAAGTGGCACGATGGCTGTCCAGGCCATTCCCAATAGGATTTTCTAAGATTTACCTCAATCTTAATTGATCTGGCAGGGTACAGTCCTCTTTCTGCTACCATGTTGACTTTGGAGAGGGTGGGTCGATATAGAGAGAGGGAAAGGGGAACGCGCTGGTGAAAGCGCGATGCAACTGCATTTCAATTATCAAAGTCAAATTGGTTGACTGTCCGCTGCTGCTGTGTGCAGTTAATGAAAGATCTCGTGGGGGGTTTTAGCTAATTTAAACCGGTATGACCTGTCTGTTCCGTATGCTCAACTTTGAAGTTATCTTTAAGATTATAAATTAAATCCTTGTTATTACTCAAGTGGAAGCCCTACATGTGCAGACAGTTCGAAACTGGTCGATAATTGATGCAACTCAAAAGTCCCAATAGACACTTGGTTCCCTTAGCCATCTTCAAGGGGCTAGTCTAGGAAAGTACCATCCTCTTCGGGAACTGGGGCCACCTTGGACTCCCTGGTATAGATTACCACATCTGACCACCTCTCTTCATCTCCGAACTCATGCAATTTATACCCTGTCATCATTTTCCGAACGCGTGCCGTGTTGGGGTCAGTCCTAGTAAAGATATCAGTCCTAAGACCTATAATACAAAAGCCGTCCGTATAATGACCCATAAAACTCACGATTTTGTATCCTCATTTCCAACCCGATTCCATATCACAACAGCAGGCCTCGCGGTGTCCGCGAGAATTTCCTTAACAGGAACATTGGGAGCCACCGAGAGCACGACCGACCGCTCGTCGATCTCAAGCCAGCCGCGTGGATCGTCAATCATCTCGAACCCGATGTCTGCGAGAACTTCCCTGTCAACAGAGGTGTTCATCGGATCTTGGATGTAACAAGATATATCGGTGTTCTGGTCTCGGTCTTTCAACCAATTTCTCACGGTGAGTAGTAACGCGGTTTGGTTCGTAGCACTTTCGTTATTCGGCAAGGCCAGGCTACCGCAAGCAAGGCCCACGATCTTGTTGATATTATGGCCGCTGACCTCTGAAGATAAGATCGATTTGAAACGCTGGCATGTTTCGCTTTCTTCCCAGGCCTGACTCCTCTCTCGGAAGTCTTTGGCTACCGTTTCGCGGTCTTTTGTATCCTCCAAGTCGTCAGGAATAGTTTCCCCGGTCTTACTATTGGGGTCAAGCTGGCGAATTCGGTACGTCAAAGACAGGGGTTCGTAAGCCGTGTCCTGAACGCCATACCAGTCCAACGACTGTTTGAGGGATGGTCTAGATGTATACCCTACCCCAGCTTCAGAGCTTGGTGGTGTTAGCTGCCGATTTAATTATCCACCCACTCAAAGTTCCAGCCATCGGCGGAAGTCTTACTAGGAGCATTCCTTCCTGTTCTCCGGGAGATCCTCGCCATATATGAGCTTGATAGACTTTCCAATTTTCACTTTCCATTCAATACTCGCACCGGTCAGGTCCTTGGTGATGATTTTATCTCCGGGTGTGGTTTTGGTCTCAAGCTGGTCTGACAACGCACGGATTGCGTTCTTGGTGAAAAAGGGAACGCCAGACTCGTAGAGTGCATCGATTTTGGCGATTACTTGTTCCTTGGTTTCTGTCTCGCGCGGATCAATCAAAGTACCCTGAATACTTGCCCAGGTTGTGCAAGACTGACATGAGGTCGAGCTCACGATAGTCTCGTAGCCTTCATCCATGTCGTCGCCCATTTTTATGGAGGCAGATCTTGGTAGAAACCGAGATTTCATTAACTCTGTGGATTAGACAACAGTAGAAAAATAAAAAATAAAGAGGGGAATCCTGCAATTTTAAACCTCGACGGGTGATCCATGCGGTTCAGGCTGGCCCCCAAGCTTATGCCAGCACATCACATCCTCACATACTTGCAGGATACATTGCGTCTACTCAGCGAATAGCATCCATCCAACGTCAAGACTGCTCTTCTAATTGGTTGTGCCAGAGAATACCCTCTCCATCTAGGTTGGTCATTCCTTCCGTGTCGAGAGTGTAGAGTGTAGAGTGTAGAGTGTTGATAGCTTCGCTCTTTCCTTCTCCCATCCCATCGCCACCTTCCAAAGCCCATTGTTTACAATTTCCCATTTCCCATTCATGTAGCCTAAGCAACTACCCTGAATCACCTCCGACATAACCGGAAGAGGGAATGTATTCTGCGATATCCTCAACCTATCTGCAAACCGAGTTATTTACCTCTGCTTACATCTATTTGACTCTCGAACCTGCTCCTTTATTTCATGTCGTTGTTTCCCACCAACAGTATGATCACTTGTGCGCCTAAAATGAAATCCATGTCTTCAGAACAGGTTCTATTCGAGGACACAGGCCAACTGCGAGGGCGTTTGCATGGAAAAACGAAATCTTCGAACAGCATATCTCCTACCGGGACCTCAAGATACTCGGAAATAATTCCGACACGTGGGGTAACCGATATCAACAACGAACCCAGAATTTTAATTATGACCTTTGGCGAGGTGATTTCATCGCCTTGTTGATTCCGCTTGCTGAATAGGCCTTGGTCCGGGGGCCGGTACCCTTGTCAGTGGTACAGAAGTAAGATACCATATTGAACTTGAAATCCTGGCGATCCTCGTACCCAGACGGAGGCTAACATATATTGATTGCAGTTACTGTATGATATTTCTCTTGGGGAGTCCTGCAGGGCCATTGGACCTGCCCTGCCTCCATCCAAGGATCGGCAACCAAGTAGCTTTTTACCGCGTATGGGCTGCGATTTGGGGCCTCATCAAGATCTTCCACTTGTCAAGGTCACTATACTCAGCTGGTTTTTGTCGTTAAGGTCGCCATTCGGGCTGTGTATGAGATCGTTGTGGAAGCATGGTCCGAAATCCCAAACCATTCACACGAATCGGGGCCTATTACCCGGATTCGACTCGCTTTTATTTTGCAGCTACTGCACACTGTGCGATAGACGAAAGCTGTGCATGGGGCATTGAAAAGTCGCCCACGAAGAAATCAGCACCCGGCGAGGCCAGAGCCCGTGTGGTATTTGAGCCGCGTCGTAAAGACCGCCAGGAGATCAATATCAAACAGAGGCGGGGGGGTTGAACTGTGAAGTGGAAACCCAAGATGGCCGCGATTTCTTATTCTCGCGGGACAACTGAAAATATCACCACGGTATTCCTAGCGACTTCGAGAACAAACAAATCGATACGATCAAAAAAGAGATACCTTTGGCTTCGGTAGCTGTTATGTTATGCGGTTCCTCCCTTTCCTCTGATTTCCAGAAAAGCGCAATCTATATCCAGCAAGACTGGATCCAAACCTTTGTTGCCGAGATCAATTTCTCATACTACTGAATATTTCGGAAAGGGTCAAGAACTGTTACACGAACATCATCACAAGACCTTAGTCTCATACCAACTTCCTCTAGATTGAAAGCATCACGAGCCACTGCTCTCGATCATGCCTTCTCTTGACTTGAAAATTACAGCAAGAACATTTTCGGAAGACATATTCAAGAAAAGCACGAGTCCAAAATGAGCACAACAACAGCAAAAAGCACCGCCAAGTCGCTCGCCAGGGTACCGGAGACACAGCGAACAGTGGAATGAATGGAAGGAAGAATGGGAGTCTCCTTGACACGTTGACATAAGGTCATTCCGAAACTCAGGAAGATCAGATTACCGGACCGGTTGACTTGATCATGAGTATGTTTCCGTTCCAGATCAAAATTATTCCTCATCTTGTACACTGGGTCAACCGGTACTTCACGAGGGTACGCGGGAATATCTGCATGAGCCTTGCAATTCAATGAGCGGCCAAGAAGAACTCTAACCATCAATAGCTCTAGAAGTAGGGGTTTCAGAGTCGCCCGGACAATCCCACAACAATGTCTAATGGCGGTGCAATAATTGAAAATCGGTGAATCGTCAAATTCCAAGGTTCTCCTCAAGACCTTTAAAAGGCAATCGATAACCTCATGAAAGATTTGATCGACTAACCTACCTGCATCGCAATGTCTGTACGTCCAAAGAATTCCCCAGCAATCTTGCAGCATCTCAAAAAAGGTCTGATCTTTTCAATGGTATACTAACAAAAATCCCTCATCACCAGGCAGAAATACTGTACAAGCTGATGTCTTGCCTTGGGCACAAACAGAAAATTGCGGCTTTGGGGGCTGAAGTAACCATTTATCTATAGCAGATGGGTGCCTAGCCAGTGAATCTGCCAATGCCCTATTTGGAAAAAACAGACAGCAGCACCCTAGAATTTCAACCAATTCCCATTGAATGACGAAGCAGCCTTCGCAGACGCCATCTAGTGATCCTGCAACAGGTCCGGATGACTCTAATCCACATCCAAGGAATTCTGGTCCGGTCGATATATGGAAGTCTACCCTCCAGGCACAACTAAGAATACTCTTATTGAGATGATCATGTCTCCAGCCTCGAACATGCGGCTTTGTCAGATCACACTTCATACATACATGAGTAAGTTCTACCCTTTCATGCATAGCATTGCTTTCATTACGCCGATTGCACATCGTTTGCCCGCCGTTTGTCCTGAGATAGATATAGCGTGAGGCTTACCTCTTCCATCTCATCTTTCCGGTTCTCTCGCTAACTATATACAGCCACCGCAGCGCACGGCAAAGTTGACTCTGGCTGAGGTTGGGGCGGCGGCTTCATCTCCGTCCATTCCGGTCAAAGTGGAATGAGGAGGGATTCTTTCTGAAATGAGGGATATGGGGCAGTCTTTTTCACGACCCGCGAGCCTCACGGAGCTTAAAGACATTGAAATTTACAGGCCGATGCATGCCCGGGAACGGTTGCTTGGACGGCGATCTCAGCCTTCCATGTTCCCTCTTCACGTCGCTTCCGCGATTGAGAGACCGCGGCGGAAACACTGAAGGAAGCCCTTGAACACGCCGTGATTGAAGCCTTGAGAGAGACTCTTATACTAATTATAAAACTATATTCACGCTTTCTTCGAAAGGAACACTTCGGCCATATGGGGCTTGAAGCAGGGTTTTTACAACCGACATCGCAACCCCCCGGCGGATGCCGAGGCGAAGCTAATCTCGGATCGTTACCCACGTCTTTCGGTCCAGATACGGAAGCTAACACTCGTACGGCTCCATAGTCTGACGGCAAGTGAAGCTGGGCATGTGGAGAAAAAGCGAAAAGACTCGGCACGAGATTGGGGAGACTTCCGGAACGCTACAATAATACAATTCAATAATTATTGACCCGATAATTTTATCGGGTGTCATGGCAAGTCTGCCAACCCCAACCACCACGGAGAACTCTTCTTCCACCACCCCGACCCCGACTGAATCCTCTGAAGCCTCGAAAGTCAGATCGGAAGATCGAAAGTGAATTGGTAGAAATTGCTGCTTCTTTTGCATATTCTATGACATTCTGTGGGGCCTGTCAATTCCGTGATTATAATGTTTCAAATGATGCTAATCATACTTTAGTCTGGATACAGATCACATCTCACCTGATCAACTGAGCGGGATTCTCCCAAAATAAAATCCCCGAAAGACGCAAGATTCAGAAACCGTGGACGGTGGGAATTCCATACTACTGGGCCACGAGCAAACCAAAGCCACAGATTTTTAGGTATAATGCCATCCCGAGTATACAGAACTCAGTCCCAAAGATCTGGTTATAGTTTCTTTCGCTCATTCAGACACAGGGTTCGTAAAGTCCCTTGCTCAGATATTTGGATCTGGAGAGGAGATGCATTAATACCGAGAAATGGTTGATGATCTGTTTGGCTCGAAAGGGTACCCGTCGGCTGACGGGCTGGCGGCTAGGACTGTGATAGAACGATGCTGGAAAGAAGAATACCCTGATGCGAGGGCACTTGTTGAAGACAGTGTAAGCAGTTTGAGGTCAGATGTGGTGAGAAAGAATGACACACTTTCAATCGTGTCTTGAAGTATGTAGTTCTACAAGTGAACCCTCGGCCCTAGTTCGTTGATTTCAAGTTGTCACATTCTCGAGTTCACACTCTGGCCGAAATTCTTTCTCTTGAATTGTGGCTGATAGGGTGTCTGGAGTGATATTCGGATATTCGGGTTTATTTCGGATATACGGTAGATCATCCGAGTCGGGCACAGACCAAACGGGATCGGCTCAGAATGTATATACTGGTACTCGGATCTCTATTTCTACTAGGTAACAGTAAACTCTGTTTTAGTCAGATGGAATAATTGAGGAGCCGAAGGTGTTTCACGAGCTGCAACTGCAAGCTATAATTAAACCATGGCAGGGTTCGAGTGATGCCTATTCCGAGTTCGAGTTTCCACTGGCTGTTGTCGGTGTTGGCGGGGAATTCTGGTGCCTGGAGATGCCAGTTTTTATTTTATTATTATTTTTTAGTTAGGGTAGTTTTTAAGTAAAATCTGTGCTTGGAAAACTCGGTTTAAATTAACCGATCGATCCTGATAATTCTTCGCAATCCACTATGCTATGGCCCACTGTCAAATCTTCTTTTTTACTCCAGCCTTATGAGAAAGCATACATCTATGAGATCACCCAGCCTGTTTCGGTACTTCACGTTCCAGGGTTACTTCTTTGTTGGTGTGGCTGAGCGAGGCGCAGTCATACATGAGTGTTAGTATTAGCATTAGAATTAGCATTAATTAGAATTAGAATTAACATTAATTGATCCTATCAGGGTCTACCACTACAGTGCTGTGCAAACAGAGTAGTGCAGTCAGTTGATCTGCGCGTGCCCCAAAACGTCATTCCCGGCTTTGCATTTAATCCCCTCCATCTTCCATCTCACCCTCACCTTCTCCCCTCCCCTCCCCCTTAGCTTTGTCTCTCCGCCGCCAATTGATACTGGTCGCCATCCATTATACCCCATTGCACTCGCAATCCCTTCGCGCCCCCATCGATCTCCACGAAATAATACCAAAGTCCCGGACCCCCGAACCCCCGGGCGCCCGCCGTCATGGCCGCTACGGCGACGATCTTGCTTGATAGCCAACACAAACACTATACCAATCTCGACTTTCTCTCTGGCAAGGTCGTTCTCCACCTTCCGACCGAAGCCGCCATTGGAGGCATTCAAGTCAAGCTGGAAGGAGAGAGTCGAACGCGACTCTCGGGACCTCGGAACCCACACAATGTGAACTCGGATAAGAAACGAACGGAGCTGGAGCATCACAAGGTAAGCTTGTCTCAGGGTGAAACCAGCTCTCAAGAATCCATGGAAGCAGTGTCTAATTCATGGCAGATCTTGTACAAAGTTGCGACCGTTTTCCCTACCGCGGCAGTCATGCAAACCGGACAACCCGCCACTTCCTACACTTTTGCCCCAGGCTCTTATGAATATCCCTTCCATTTCAAGGTACAAATGCTCCCCAATGCCCCCAGATGCTCATACGGGTAATGAAGAGCCCCGCTGACAATCTACCAGTTCCCTTTCAATAATGCCTGCAACACCCACAATAGTATGCTCACCAACCTCAACTTCACCGGGTACAAAGTCGAAATGGCCCGCGACACCAACCGCCATGTGAAAAAGACCCTTCCGCCAAGCTTAAGCGGCTTTTCCGGCATGGCAGATATCAAATATTTTGTTAAAGTCACAGTCATCCGCCCACAATTCTACAAAGAGAATATTCGAGCTGTAGGTTCCACCGCCGATGCCGATCCCAGTGGATCGTTCCTAAAGTTGCCCCGACCAAAGCTGACCCCTCGATAGATCATACCATTGAATTTCCTACCGATTGAACCGCCGAGAATCGGAAACCCTAACGAAGAGACCTATGCCCGACGAAAACACCAATTCTCAAGTCCCCCAAATAATATCAAAAAGAAGAGTATTTTCTCAAGAAGTGCCAGCTCTCTCAAGGATGGCCTTGCCGAGCCTCCAAAGGTGACGCTGGATGCTCGTCTCCCAAATCCTTCGATCTTAACATGCAATGAGCCAGTGCCGCTTCGACTGATACTGAAAAATCTAACCGACTCACCCGATCGCATCTATCTTCAAATGCTGCAGATCGAACTGATCTCTTTCACCAAGATTGTCGCTCATGATCTTACCCGTGAAGAGATCGGCTCCTGGGTTATTGTGAGCCGTAGTAACATGAACATCGCATTGGGGAGTGCCAGCGATGCGCCCGGAACCGACTGGAACATCGACCCAACGCTATGGAACAACCTCCCCTTACCAAACTCGGTAGCTCCATCATTCGAGACCTGCAACATTGAGAGAAGATATGAGCTGGAAATTCGCATTGGATTAATGCACGGCACTCCTGGAGATATGAAGGTACGATATACTCCCTCCCCCTCTCCGCAACCCTTTTTTGGCTAATATTCTACAGCCTCAACTCATCGTTCTACCCCTACGAATGCCCGTGAAGGTCTACTCTGGAATCGCACCGCCCCAAGCCCTCCTAGACGCAATGGCAGCCGCCAAACTCCAACCATCGCCGACCAAAATCGCACCCCGACCTTCCTGGCCAACCTCTACCGAACAACCCAGACCCCAAATGCCCCCCAGACCAGAAGGCGAACCCGTTCCCGCAGACGCCGGAGCCGTCTACGACGACGCACCCCCAAGCTACGAGGATGCCATGGCAGATAATCTCAGCCCCGGTGGATGGACCACGTCGCGAGTATCACCCACCAGACGCCTCCACCTCCTCCCGAAGCTCCGTGGAACCAGGAACTGATGGTAAATCCCCAGTCCAGACTGGCAAGGGCCCGGCGGCTGAGGGGTTCGTGGTGGCGGCACTGGCACGCGGTGCGAGTATCCGCGAAGGCCGGTCCTCGTCCGAATCCTTTGATATGCTCCCTACGACCCCGCCCGAGTCGAATTCCGGATCCCCTCCGATTTCCCCGGTGCGCCGATCTCAGAGTACGGTTAAATTCACGCGGAATCCTGTGGATGACGAGAGTCCACCTGTATACCAGCCCGTTGCGGAGAATCAGCAGCAACAGCCACTTGGTGGTGCGGCGCAGAGACAGACTTCTCAGAGTCATGCGCGCCCGATGAATCTCGGTGTGCCTAGTCGAAAACCTGTTCCGCGCAGTTCGGAAGGACAGCGTTGATGGTACATAGCTGTGACGGGACTGGCTTGGCCAGGATAGGCCAGGCCAGGCCAAGATGCACCTATACCTATACCCACACACCCCCACTCACACATGCATACTATATTGGTCAAATATAGTGGCCCAAATGACAGATCGCATCCCATCTTCCGTGATTGCATATTTGATACCCTACGGTTAGAACCAAGTGGGCTATTATTGGTTTTTCTTTTTCTTTTCTTTTTTCTGGGTTGGCCATGACCAAGTCCTTGCATTCTGTTGAAGAGTCACCGCTTTTTCAGTCGGACACGAGAAGAATTACATAGAACATTTAATGGACGAGATTATGTTTACCGGAGGTATATACATATGATATGACCTAGACAGCTGGTTCAAAAAGACAAAAAGGACAGACTAGTAATCTAAGGTAGCATAGCATGTTGTTTAGGTTAGGCTGTCAGGCACGGATGACGTTGTATGTAGATGGCCTCTTTGGGTGTTGCCCGTGTCCTGCCGTGTCAGGGTTGAAGATGGAGTATTCATACATAACCCTGGAAGGTACTGCTAAACAAAGTACAGTTCTCTATTTCGCCACTGCATTCCAGCCCAACCAAACCAGTTCAACCCATCATATCCATATCATCTCAATCCCTCGTGCAGTTCTACTCCGCCGATCCGTCCCAATACGGTTAGCCCGCCCCAAGCTCTCGCAGCTGCTTCTGCTCGGCCCATCCTCGTCCAACTTGAACTTCTCCATCTTCAACCTTCAACCTCCAGGTCGCGTGTCCTAGGAAAACACCACCAACACAAAAAACACAGACATAAACACGGAAACAAACACGAACCAAATCTTAACAGATACACGATACACCCTTCCAATCATACCAACCCCGGGCAAGACCCCGGGCAAAACGAACAAAGAACCCCAAAAATCGTGTGCTGAAAAAAAAGCATTATCGAACTTTACCCCGACCAAGCAGCAACACCCCCTCTTTTCTCTCCCGACTCGCGATTAACAATAACAAAACAAACCGCGACCCCAACCAAGCTCAAAGGTACACCTGAATTGCAATCGCAATTCTTACCTCTATCTCCATCCCAATCACGATTCTCCGACCCAATGCTCTGATTCACCCACAAGACGTCAAACGTCAAACGTCACGTCACATCACCATCTACAATGCGCCTCCACCTCGTAATCTCCCGACACGGGCTCCCCATCACGCGCATCCTCTGGACAACAACGACGAGCCCCGGATCTGGACCCGCCTCTGTGGGAAATGGAAATGGCTACGCGCAACAACGCAGCGGCGCAATCGCGTCGACTCGAACTCCGCACCTCGCGCTCGCAGGCGGAGGCGGAGGGAGTAGCGGCATCGGCGGGTACACGGTCGCGCAATTGTTAGAGGATGTGAATGATGTCGTCCCGCTGGAGACGGAGCCGAGTATGTTTGACCTTGATCCGGAGTTTAGTGGGACGTGGGGGTTGGAGGATTATGTTGTTGAAGTTGATGGGTCGGAGTGTCTTCATTTTATGGAGATTGGGGGGTTACTTAGGGATGGGGATGAAGTTGTGTAAGTCAAGTCTGCCCCGATACTCCTTCTCCCTCGCTTGCTCTCTCTATATATTCTTTCTAGAAGGCACCTGCTAACGCAACGCGCAGAATTCGATCTCTGGAACTCGCAGATCTACGCGCTAGAAGACTATGCGGTCGTCATCAAATCACCCCCGAAGGAAGACACCTAATCGATGGCGTTCCTTTCGGCTCCCCGTTTTCCAAACGGAGTACCGCGACCAGACCCACCATCACCATCCCTCCGCGCAAGAAACGACGCACTGTCTTCTCGGGCTGGGAGGGGGTCCCCGGATATGCGAATGAGGAAGAAATGAATGCCGATGAAGAAGGTGATGGTGAATGGCTGCCGCCGAATGCGGGCTTCGGGAAAGAACTCTCCATTTTGCCGGCTGATCCGGAAGTCTCTGAGATGGGGACTGTCATTCGGCACCCGATTGACCATGGCCGTGACCACTCTGTGGATGAGGAGGATAGCGATGCGGATGCGGATGCGGACGAGGACATCTCTGAGCCCGAAGAGGCGGAGCTAGAGAGTGAGCTTAAAGCATTGAAAGCGGATTTTGATGAACCTGCGTCTCAGTTCATTGATATTCGAAATCATGGCCAACTCGCTAATCCTGCTATCCCTGGTACTGGTCCCGCACTGCGCTCCAGCTTGGTGGATAAGAGGCCTTCTTCGGCGGATAGTTTGCGTCGAGGATCGGTGGCGGGTGCTTCGTCTCTTTCTAGCAAACGCTCGCGTGTGGATGAGTTGTCCCCACGTAATTCCAAGGCTGTTAGGTTCAGCCAGGGCGGCGAAAGTGAACACCCTCTCAGTCCCTCGCAAATCGAGAAGGGCGCGGCTGAATCTTCCGAGTCTGAGGCTGAGTCCACCCATTCCTCTTCAAAGAAGTCCAGCGTCGCGTCCGATTCTGACTCCTCCGACTCCGACTCCTCGGACGAGAAAATGTCAGACGCCTCATCCGACTCCTCAGATTCAAGCTCCGACTCCAGCTCCGATGAATCCTCCGATGACTCTTCCGACTCCGAGGGCGAAGAAGACAAAGTCTCCCAGAAAAAGGCTCACGTCATGGCCCCTCCCGGCAAAGGGTCCATCCGCACCAAGAAAAGCAATGCACGCTTCAAACTGCGCCGCCGTCTATCCAAACTCAAAGAACTAGGCCTCCTACCCGCCGAGGCTGACTTTGCGGCCTTGCGGTCAGTGACAGAGGCAAACGGCGGTTGGCACTTCGATGAGTCTAGCATGATCTCTACCCCAACGTCAAAGGAAGAGCCTGCGAAACCCAAGCTTTCCAAGGCCGAGAAAAAGGAGCAGGAGCAGGCTGAGTTTGAAGCCAGACGTCAAAAGCTGCTTCGCGACCTTTCATCTGGCGGCGTCGCTGTAGACGAGACATCCGAGAAGGAAAACGTGCCACCTGCGACGACGAACGAAGCAAGCCCCGAAGATGAAAACGAAAGACCCGAAGAACAATCTTCTCGCCGACGAACTCTCGACATCGGCAGCTCACGTCGACTTCTCTTTGGATCCCTGGGTGTACGTACTCCCAAGAGCAAAGAGGACGAAGAATCAACGCGCCAAAAGCTAGCCGCACAGGCAAGCGCCGTTAATTCTCGACGGAAATCATCGCAAAAAGGACCTCCGAAGCCTGAGGAGACTGCGGTGGATGACGATGACGATGACGATGAGGAAATTGACTGGGAATCTAAGCTCGATATCAGTGCCACCGAGTGTATTTACACCGACATCAACCTCACGGCGCCTCCATTCCCGTTTAAAAATCGCTGGGATAAGGAAGCAGACCAGATTCTCCGTGAACGAATGGGCTGGGGAAAGAAGCGGAAGCGCAAGCAACGAATTCAGGTTTACAATGAATATTATGGGGATGAAGAGTATGATGAGGAAGGGTATGCCTATGAGGAGGGTTACAACGACTACGATGAGAGTAACATGGAACTCAACTACGAGGAGGAGCCTGCTCATGACGCCGATGCTGATGCCGAGAATTGGAACGAGCATGAGCATGAGAATCAGCAAACCGTCACCGCTGCCGATGTTGATGACCTCCCTATCTTCCCAACCGACCCCTCCACCATCGCAGACCTCCTCGAAGATGAAACCAAACCCGGATCAATTATCGCCTTCCGACAATTAGACATGTCTAAAGCAACCAACTGGCAACCCCGAATGTCCGAGTACCGAGTCGCAGAAGTCCACGAAGTTCTCGACGGCGGTATTCTCAAAGTACGACTGGCCCTGCGAGACCGTCGACCAACGGTAGACGCCGCTGGCGAAGACGATGGACCGCGCTTATATGATGGATTCGAAACGCCTGGGATGGACGAAGATGAGGACGACGGATACCGTGACCTCGCCTTTGCGGAACTCAGCGAACCCAAGCTTCTACGGCCCGCGCAGCTAGAGAACGAGGACCCACCGGTAGAAATGGGGAATGGCGTTGTTCGTGAAGGTAGCATGTCAGTCAATTAACTCGCTTGCTGTTTCATTCGCTCACTCGTCAAAGTGTCTCTGTAGTTCAAGACTCAATGCCAGATACATACGCCCATCTAGCGGTAGCGCTACCATCCGCACCCCCGGTCGATATGGATATGGATCTGGATGATCCAAATCCGAGTACCACCACGTTTGTAACTGGCGCCGGCGTCGCAGGCAATTTACCCAACACCCCCGGTAGAACCTCCGACGTGCCATCCGTCCAAACACCCGGTGGCGTGCGACTACCAAGGACCGAAGATGTGGACGAAGAGCACAGTGACTCTGCCCCCGTACCATCCCCTTCATTCTCAGGTTTCCACTCCCACTCGCACTCCGCGCGATCGTCGCCCGGCGCGGGGATCAGCATCCGCCTAAACGAAGCCGACGAGGAAAGTCACTTAGAAGGCCACACCCTCATCGACGAACAACAGTCTATGCTGGGCCATACCCTAATTGGTGAACCGTCAATGCTGGGCGATAGCAACCAAGATGGCTCGGCATTATCATTCGCCTCGGCATCCATAAACCAATCCCACATTCCGCCCAGTGGCCAGATTACGAGTATCAATGACTACTCTCTCCTCGTTCCATCACACCAGTTCGGAGGAGACTCGAGCCAGAATTCACTTCTCGCCAGCTTGCACGCTCCTGAGACTGAGTCTGGTAATGATGATGATAACGAACACGGTGCAGACTCGGGTGTGGCATTAGGCGAAGTCGAAGTCGAAGTCGGCGTTGATGTGGAACTGGAACCTGCTGCAGAAACAAGACCAACACCAGGAGGCGACGGCCCTCAAGACGATGAAGTCCTCCCTGACTTCAATTTCGGCCAAACCCCAGACGAAGACACCCTCCTACACGGCGAATCAAGTCTCCACCTCTCGCCCTCGCCATCACATTCGCACTCGCACTCGCGCTCCCCCTCTCTCTCCTCGCGCCAACTCCCAACAAGCGCACAGCAAGAACCAGAGTCAAATTCTAGTCCAGGCTCGGACCCGGCTATCGGAAAATACTCACACTCGCCTTCCCCATTGCTGAAATCTTTGACGCCGCCGGCTGCTTCGACGAGGTCTAGGAAGAGGTCTTCGCAGGCACAGGGTTCTGCATCTCAGTCTCAGTCTCAAGGTCAGGATCAGGATCAGGATCAGGATCAGGCTTCTGCTCCACCTCCATCTCAAGTCCAAGCATCGCAGGTCTTCGACTACATCGACCTCACGCAGACTTCATCTCCCATCCTCCCACCACGCGATACGTCGACACCTCGCCTCGCGGCAACGGACCATACCGAGGCAATCAGTACTAATGATACTGAAACACCATATCGTCCGCGCCGCACTCGTGCCTCATCCAAGGCACAACTTCTACAGTTGTCATCGCAGTCTCCGAGCAAGATTCCAAAACGCAAGGCTAAGAAAAATACGAAGGAGAAATCGCGGGTTGAGAAGCAGAAACAGAAGCAGAAACCTTCGCCCAAGAAACCTGAGTGGAGAATTTGATGGAATCGCTTCGCCTACCTGCGTGCCCGGCCTGTGCCCATGTGCCCATGTGCCGGGGAATCAACGGACTACTACCTACCTATCCCTCACTCACTCCTTTGGATAGGAGGTACTCACTTACCTATGGGGCCTCTCGGCTCAAGATATCATACACCTAACCCAACCCAACTCACCACCTTACCGACCCATGCTGTGCATTGGGGCTTTGTATCTATCTACCACGTTCTTTTTCGATGTATCTACCTATGATGGATCTGGACATTCTTTACATACATACTACTAGTACAACATAGCCTACCAGAATTGAAATAATCAGATTCGATTCGATTCGATTCAGCGAGATGACAGGACCCTACTTTCGGGGAGAAGATTAAGATTAAGAAAGAATGGAATTACTTTAATGTCACGGTTCTTCTGAATGTATCATTCTGATCCACAATGCATTTATTCTCTTGGGCTTAGGCTTAGGTAGCGACGCTCCGCCATTATGTCAGTACATAGTTTATTCTGCAAGAAATGAAAATGAAGAGAGAAACTTGAATGATACTAGTAGGACGCATTATGCTGGATCCCTTAATTTGGGCTGCAATATACACAGTACTGCAGTGCGTTAAATGTAGTCCCGCATCAACCAAGCAGCAAACAGGAAATGTTGACATTATCTCCTCGCTGATTGGCTCGATGTGATGTCACGATCAACACTAAACAATCGAGCATCGAACTACAGCACAATCACCGCATGCAGCACCACGACCGGAGCAGGTTCAAGATAACTTGAAATTAAATAACTTGATAAAAGCTTGAAGTGCAGCTTGGAAATTCCATGCCTTCCTTCCTAGGTGAACTGACTTGATCTTTTCTCCTCCGCATTCTCCCACTCCAATCCGTCTCCCCCAATGCCCCTCCCCCGCCTGCGTCACCATCCATCGCCAATTAGCGGCACCTCTGGCGTCAGTCTGCGTTACTTTTACTGTTACTCGTCGAGGCAGGGTCAGGGTCAGAGACAGAAGACTCAATCGGATCCTTTTCTTTTCTCCTCTTCTTCTTCTTCCTCTCCCTCATTGCCATATCATTGCTCTCGGACTATATCATCTAAACCTACCCATTTCTCAATAGCTATAGCTACAGCTAAAGCTAAACCCACACCTCCTCTTCTTCCCTCCCAAATTCAAAAAGAAAAAAAGTACCCCCCACCGCAATTCCATTCCCCGCCCAGAAAATATCACACTGCCCGCCCCAGTCCCAGTCCCAGTCGCAGCCTAAATTCAAGACCAAAATTATCCCCCAACCCCCCTTGACAAAACAAAAGCTGTACGCACCGAACATCGACACCTCTCTACCTCCACCTTCTCTTCCACCTCCTCATCACCAGAATCCAAAATGACATACCTAAAACTCAAAATCCCCTCTCTCGACAACATTCACGACAAACTCGAAGTCGACGTCGAAGGAATAGAAGATGGTAAAGTCCTCCTCGTCAAATCTGAGAATGGCACTGTCCACGCTCTGAGTCCACGGTGCACGCATTATGGGGCTCCGCTGAAGGGTGGGGTTCTTGAGGGTGAGAGACTTACTTGTCCGTGGCATGGGGGGTAGGTTCTTCTTTTCTTTTTGTGCAAACCCCCAAAAAAAGCCCGGCCTTTCCCATTTATTCTGGGGATTATAGCTCGGTGCTCTGGGTAGAGCAGATCAGAGCAGAGCGCTATATATAGTATTTGACTCTGCCTTGTTCTTCTCTCCTCTACTCATTTCAAGTTGATATTAAAAACAAACAAGCCAAAAGACAAAAGCACTAACTTTTCCCAGCCTGCTTCAACATCACAACCGGTGACGTCGAAGACGCACCAGCCCTAAACGCCCTGAAAAAATACGAGATCATCGAAAAAGCCGATGGTATCTACATCCAAGCCGAAGAAGCAGATATCAAATCCGGACATCGAAATCCCGTCTCGAAATGCACCGTCTCTACGGATGAGAGGGTTCTTGTTATTGGAGGGTACGTACTAGTACTCCCAAGAGTCAGATTAAACCGATCTCTAACATACAAAACAGAGGAAGCGGCACAATAGGCCTTATCCAAGCCCTCCGCGAAAACAAATACCGCGGCAAAATAACAATTCTAACAAAAGAACCAACAGCCCAAATGATCGACCGACCAAAACTCTCAAAAGCCCTCATCGCAGATCCATCAAAGATCCTCCTCCGGCCAAAAGAATGGTACCAAGATGCCGGCATCGAGATCCTGTCTCAGGAAGTTACGTCCGTCAACTTTGGCGAGAAAATCGTCTCCACGGCATCTGGGGAGAAACATGCCTATACTAAACTCGTTCTTGCGACGGGTGGTGTTCCGCGAAGATTGCCACTACCGGGTTTCAAGGACGAAGCGAAGACTCGGAACGTATATACGCTTCGCAATGTTGATGATGTTCAATCTATCCTAGATGGAATCGCCAGCATCAACACCAGCACCAACAGCAGCAACGACGGAAAAAAGCAAATTGTCGTTATAGGATCATCCTTCATCGGCATGGAGGTAGGAAACGCCATCGCGTCACAAGATCCCCAAAACCACGCCGTAACGATAATCGGCATGGAATCAGCACCAATGGAACGCGTCATGGGCGCGGAAGTAGGACGCATTTTTCAGAAAAATCTGGAGAAATCGGGCATCCGGTTTATACTTGGTGCTTCTGTTGAAAAGGCCAGCTCTGACTCCACCTCCAACAATGTTTCTGCAGTCCATCTCAAAGACGGATCCGTGATTCCCGCAGATATCGTCATTCTAGGCGTTGGCGTGCGTCCTGCGACGGATTACTTGAAGGGTAATGAGGCAATTCAGCTTGAAGGTGATGGGTCTGTTCGGACGGATGAGAATTTTGCTGTTCAAGGCCTGGATTCGGGTTCGACTGGTCCTCACACCGACGTCTTTGCTATCGGTGATATAGCTACATTCCCTTACACCGGCCCTGGTGGAAACGGATCACACACGCGCATTGAACACTGGAACGTAGCGCAGAATGCGGGGCGGAGTGCTGCTCGTGCGATTTTGCACTCTGGCGCTGCTGGCAAACTCAAGCCAAAGAAGTTTATACCGATTTTCTGGTCTGCGCTCGGAGCGCAGATGCGGTATGCTGGTAATACGGTGAATGGGTATGATGATATCTTTATCTCTGGAGAACCGGAGAATGGAAAGTTCGTGGCGTATTATTTTAAGGGGGAGACTGTTGTTGCGGTTGCTACTATGGGAGTTGATCCGGTTATGTCTAAGGTTGCGGCGCTTATGAGGGTTGGTAGGATGATTGGGAAGAAGGATGTTATTGCTGGGGTGGATGTTTTGGGAGTTTGATACTAGTATGTTTGGATTTGGATTTGGTATGGTTCAAGTTTTATTGCCATTTTTATATTGACTATCTATGTTTAGGCCAAATTGACGTTCACATTTACTTGGATCAAGGCTACTACTATTACTACTACTACTGGAAGAGTATTCGTATAAGGCAACGTAGTGTATACACGTAGACTTTGGCATGACTGTACATAGTAATCCTTTTAGCCGGAACGCCCTCCGCGAATGTAAATAACATGGAATGGAAATATCACAGATGCAAGTATCTTGCCCCCTTCACTCCTTGCTCTTCTTCTTGCTGTGCTTCGACTTATCCCGCTTAGACTTATCCTTGTCCTCGCTCTTCTCCTTTTTCTCCTTCTTCTCCTTCTTTTCCTTCTTCTCCTTCTTAGGCTTCTCCTCCTCGTCCACCTCCCCATCCAGATGAACATCAACCGTAGAAACAACCGCCTCCGCAGCAGGTTCAATCGAAATCGGAACAACACGATTCGACCTCTTAGTCGTAGACAAGAAAGCTGGAGGCAGCGACTGACCCTCTCGCTCTGCAAGCAAAAGCTTCTCCTCATCCTCAACCGACAACATCGTACCCTCGACACTCAAAAAGCCACGATCCCGATCCGACCCGGGAATAACATCGACATCAACGACGCGGAACTTCAAATTACCGCGCACACGGTGTCCAGACACAGACTGGAAATGGCCCGTCGCCTCATCTTCGTCCTCGCCATCTTCGAGCTCCAATTCGTCCGCTGCAAGAGCAGTCGGCTGGAAGAGTTCTTTCTCGACATCGAAGTTCACAGGTACGCCGTCAACACTGGTACCGGACTCGTCGTCTGTTGTGCCGGTTGTAGGATCGTTATTTTCATCTTCCTCGCCGGGTTGGACCCAGCGCCAAGAAGGCGGTAGTCGCTTGCGCTCGATACCGACGGAGAAGAGGTTGAATATGACGGCGCCAAGGAAACCCTCAGACTGCACGTTCACGCTTCCTTCGAGGATGTGGCCGCGCTGCGGTCGGAAGACGAGGAAGGTTGCTGTCAGGTAGACGTACAGCACGCCGTACTCGTCTGCGGTACGGGCCAGTGTCAGAGGCTGCGGGTTCGGGTCGGAGGATGGGCGGGGTTTTGATGAGGGTTTGGAGCTGGAGATCGAGGCGTTGGAGTAGGCCATGACGATTCCCTTCAAGGGGGGGGTAGTAGGTCAATAGCAGTGGGGAGAGGTGCTCTGCGAGCAGCGAGGCCAAGGCGTGAGTGGGCGAGATAGAGATGGGCGATAGAGGGAGATACATCGTAGCGGTAATCAGGGAGAATGGTGAATCTGAGGACTCAGCAGTAGTGGTAGTGGCGCTGGTGCTGGTGCTGGTGCCAGTCGCCTTGCTAGATTTCTCCTTCTTGCTCTTCTTTTCACCGAGCTCGGTCTGCTTGCGCTTCTTCGAGGGCGAGGCATCCTTGTTCTTGTGTTTGCGTTTGCGCTCCACGTCCGTGGTCGTCACGGGGGGAGCTGTCCAGATCCATTGCGTCGACAGCCATGATTGAGACCGGCAATTGAGCTGTCGTGTGTGGAGGGGGGGATCTGCTGTTGGGGATATTCTTCTTCTCCAAAAAAATGAAGCCGCAAAATTAAAATTATTTTCTACTTCGGTGGGCAGAACTCTCACCGCTTTGGAGTTGGCTGTGGGTCTGGACACTCATTGAAGACCACCCTGGGGCAACACCAATTCATTGCATCAGTCCTTTTCTCTTTCTCTTTTGTTCGTGCGATGCTGTGAATGAATCCCGGACTCTCCAACATCTCATGTTGACCTTTTAAGCTGGTCGATTCACCGCAATCATGTCGCTTCTCCCTCTCATCGGATGGGCGGTGCTACCCGGCGTAAGTTGATTACTTGGTGTTATCGATGTGCGGAGAGCGAGAGCTATACTATGATCTCTACTAACACAACACAACATAGTACGCCACATCTTTCCTCCAAAGCGTCTACTATGGCATCACCATTCGCGCCGGTGATCCCAAGCCAATGCCCCAAACCCCACGATTCGAACTTCATCGCCGTCGCATCTTCATTTTCGTCATCGTCAGCTACCTCCTCTACACCCTCTACGAAACCTTTCACCAAGTACAAGTTGCAGGCAACTACTACACACTATTGGACGTAACACCTTTCGACACCGACAAGATGATCCAGTCCAAGTTCCGCCGCCTCGCTGCGCGTTACCATCCTGATAAAATCGGTCACCAGGAGGGGACCGATATTCTATTTATGCTATTGCGCCAGGCCCAGGAAACCCTCCTTGACCCCGTCCAGCGCTTCGCCTATGATCGCTTCGGCCCCGATGCGTTGAAATGGGGAGGCCAGTTAAAGACTACGCAGGAGTTTTTCATGATCTCGCTTACCCGCCTGGTGTTGCCGCAATTTGTGATGTCGTTGGCGGCTATGCTGGTGTTGAACTGGCTCTGGTGGGGAGGTTTCGGACGCTACGTAAGTCACCACACCACCACCGGCCTACTATACTGTCGCGAGGTCAACACATATACCGATACTTATACTGATACTGTAACCATTCTAGTGGCGCTTCTTTTCCCTCGCCGCGATGGTCGTCCTCGAACTAGCCCTAATCACCCGTCCCCGCGCCGTCTTCATGCCAGCAGCCTATCTCCCCTCAGCACTCAGCGCCTGGCTACCGGCCCAATCATTCCACCTCCTCCCATTCCAAGTCCTAACGATCGCGCGTCGATTCTCAATAACAATCCACATTTTCATCTCACAAATGGCTCCGAAGGCCCAGGCCCAAGCGACTCGGAGCGACGGCGGCGTCTCTCCACAAACGATGCAGCAGGTCGTGAAGCTGGTGCAGACGGCGCAGCAGACGGATCTGGAAGCTACACGGTCGCTTCAGCTGGCGCAGGCGCCGTTCCGCGGCGATCGCGAAACTGTTTCTGGTTTGCGACGCGGGATGCAGGAGGCTCTTGTTCTTGCTGGGGTGCGGTCGAGTCCGGGGGTGCAGCAGGCTGTTGGGGAAGTTATTCAGAGGCGACAGGGTATGGTTGATGCTGGGGCGAATGATGGGTCTGGCTCGACGTAGGAAGGGGATTGTTGGGGGTCATGTGGAGGTATCTCATGGTCTGGTCATATAGAGTACATTATTGCATACATAGCGAGTAAATAAGTGGAGACATTCTATGTGCAAGTACAGTACTAGTACCTTTTCTTCTCGATGTCTAGACATGTACAGAGTAGACAACTACTACTGGTAGACATTCTAGGTTGTATTTTCCGGGTGAATTGTGAATTGTGAGCTGTGAGATTGTTTCAGATGGTGATGACGAGTCAACTTAAGTTTGGTACGCTAGGGTGAAATTTTCTCTCCGGGGTTGTAGTACTTTGTACTCGAGATAGTTGGTATGTGAATGAATATAACTATATGGAGTGCTGGTAAGTGTAAGTGTAAATGGAGTTATAGAAATTGCGGCGAAAGAAGTGAATGAGGTCTTTGTTCTACTGGTACTGAGTACTGGATATCATTACTGTACGGAGTACACAGGTGTAAAACGAAAAAAGCATGGAAGCGGGCCAATGCGAGGGCAATCCGGGAGATGGCGGAGTGCCAGTGCTGACATGCCAGTATAGGGAGGCTAGGTATAGGTATAGGTATAGGGAAGTACAATAGAGGCAAGTAGAGATATGTCTATATCTATTGTAGTATTACTATTACTATACCCTATAGTATCTAGATACTCTCCTCTCCTCTACTCCTCCACTCCTCTGCTGTACATATTCTACTATACTAGGCAGTCAACATAGATCTGTATTGTAATCTGTAACAATACAGTCATACCCGGGCTCACCTGGGCTCCCTGGCACCCACCTGGCCACCCGCCCCCGTAATTACATGACCGCGATCCTCGTCAAAACGAACCACGCAAAGCATTCAGCAAAGAAACCTTTTTCCATCGCAGAATTAGACGAGATGGCATCCACACGGCCTTGTGCCTCCGGCCCAGTCCACTTCGCCCCTTTCCCCCCCCTCCCTTCCTCCCATCCCTTTCCCATCTTCATCTCACATTACCCTCCTCTCATCTTCAATCCATCATCTCATCCCCCAACCATACCATCACCCTCGACTTTCGCCTCACCCTGAATCGCAACGCCTGAACTGCCTACCACCAACCTGAAATACCAACTCTGATCGCCCCGGGCGGTGGAACAATCACCCCTGTCATTCTCACCATTCATCCGAATTCCAATCCCTTCTCATCCATCCCATCTCCTCCACCACCCGCTATACCACCATCTTCATCATGCCCGCCGGCACTCCAAACGGTCGCTCCAACCGGGCTGCCGCCGCCGCCAAACCCGTCAACTCGCTCGTCCTCACACTGAAACTGTCGCCCGACTTGTTACAACGCTTCTTAGACCCGGCCGACCGGAAACCCGCCACACCCATCCCCACCGACGACAAGACCAACGAACAAAACGAACACTCTTCCCCAACATCATCCTCCGAAGTCCCTGTACCTCGTCCATCATCCGCCGACAATGCTTCCGAAGCCGACGCGACCTCAACACCAGCCACCGGCGCAACTCCTGGCGACACACCACGCCGGAAGGGCGTTCCGGGTCCCAAGCCCGGCAACAAACGCGCAAATAGCCAAACAGAGCCCGCAAAAGCAAGAGGTCGACCAGGTCCCAAGAAGAAGCTCAGACTGTAAGTCAACCCTGCGCGGAACCACCTGGCCAAACACAGCTAACACTTTACACAGTGACGAAGGCGAATTGGGCAAAGTAGCCGCCGCACACCGACTAGGACCAAAAGCCAACACCGGCGCCATCAACGCTGGTCTCCGCGCCTTAGACCGCACCGGATCTCCCTGTCGCAAATGGGAAAAACAACCACTCCGCCTGAGAAGTTTCACGGGTATTCTCTGGCAACTCCCATCATGGAAAACGCATGCCCTGGCGAAATTAGGAAATGCCGATGGTAGTACAGTTACGACAACAGCCTTGGAAAGTGGTGATAGCGATACAAAGCCAACTCTGACGGCGCCCGGCACCGATACAATGAACGGTAGCAGTGCTGTCCCCAGTGAGAAGAGTAACTCGGGTGATGGCGATGTTACTCCGGCTCCGTCTAATTTGGTCGAGGCTTCATCACCGGCGATCGCAATGGCTGCTTGAGGTGGTTGTTGTATATTACATCTAGGGGATCTCCCTAGATTGATTATCTGATTCTCTTGCTGTCTCTCTTCTTCTCTTTAAACGCATCTACGCATTTACTTGCGCGTTGTGTTCTCGCCATATGTCTGGCCTTTCTCTTTTTTCTTCTTCTTCTCTCTTTGTTTGTGTGTGTGCCTTTACGGATCTAGGGTTCAAGTGGCGTTTTGATGGAAGTTTTGGTTCGGATTTCGTTATGTTTGGTCGATGATCCCGGCCTGTCATGCTTGGATTGGAATATCCTCATTTTGGGACTCGGAGTCTTACTACATTACTGTATCATATTTTTATCATGTCTGAGACTCGGTGTTTGATTGCTGGGAAGGGTGAAGGACTACCCTATTATCATTACTATTATTATTATTATTATTTCTTCTTGCCTTTTGCTCCAAAATTTAATTGTCAACGATATTCAAGTTATTATACTCAAACACGGTGCTCTGTGGATAGTGCGGAGTACTAGTAGGTATAGATCAGCAGCCATAGTAGTAGTAACTATTTACTTACTACTACTACTACTACTACTACTACTACTACTACTACTCGTAGTAGATTAAGTCCTCTGTCAAAGAAACCCTTTCTTCCTCTCTCTGTAATTTAATTCTAATCTCATTTCTTCCACATCCCCCTGCTTACTATCCTTGCAATAATACCCGGTAGTTTACAAAACGCCTAGATCGGAGAACGGTCCTCGTGACGGTTCAAGTTTCTAGGGTTCTTTACCACCTGCGCAACTCCCCCTCCGTTTTCTTCGGCCTTTTCCCCGCAGTCTTTGACTATATCACTACACCAAACTGACCTCTCGTTGTTTTTGTTCCTAAGGAATAGAAAAGGAACTTATTTCCGACAGGTCCCTCCTCTACCGATAACTTTCTCCTCGTCCGCGTTCAAGCGTTATCCGTTAGTGCGGCTTCGCGGCTTCGCTGCTTCCGGTCACCAGATGACCCGCTTGTCACGCAACGTCAGCAGAGAACCCCCCTCAGTTCCAAGCACGAAACAGGCACGAACCGTCGCCAACAGGGGGATTGTGAGCGTCACTCGAATTCGAATTTCGGGGGTGGGTACGACGAGATGACTGATATTCCTTTCCCCGGTGGAGCGGGAGCTCGAGCTCCAACATACGGGAGTGGCAGTGGAAGTGGAACTAGTAGCATCTCCCCCGGCCCACCACGCCGCTTCTCCTACGCCTCCGTCTTGTCGGGCACCGCTATCTCCCCTCCGATCTCAGGCTCCTTGACCAACCTCCTCCACGATTCTAACTTATCCTACCCATCTGCAACCTCCTCCAACCCTCACCCTCACCACGACGGCCGTCCACATCGGCCACTATCCGGCCTGGATGCCGCAGACATGCACATGAACTCCGCTTGGAGGAACATGACGTCCTCAGATGCCCTGCCCACCTTCTCCCGCAAATATGCCAGTCTGCGACCCGTAGACTTTCCCTCATCCTTCGCCCTCCCTCCTGATGCTTCCCCTTCCTTCTTCACCCCCTCCTACCTCCGTGACTCCCGCTACGTCTCCCGCCTCGACGCCGCCCACCGAGCAAAGCTACTAGCTCAACAACGTGAGGCCTCAGCTATCACGACCTCCACCTCGAACAACAACCCCCAACAACCCCTCTCCACATCATCCAGCAATGTCCACTTACCACGCATGGCACCCTCGCACCGCGGGATGACCTATGATATCATCGAGAAGGAACCGCCAACAGCAACCGATACCCCGATGCCCCTACCAACACAGTGGGGTGTAGACGATCGCCACGACATCCTCGAAATATCCAGCGACGGGCTCGAAGTGCGCTACACAGGACCACAGCATAAGACAAACGACCACGAAGCCGCCGCCCTACGAGCCGACAACCCGATGCCGCCCCAATGCGGCATCTACTACTTCGAGATCAAAATCGAGTCAAAGCCGAAGGAAGGGTATGTGCGAACTACTACTATGCTGCCACTGACCGCAGCCGCAGATGCAAATAATAATAATAACACCGGCAGCGGCAGCGGCAGCGGCAGTAACACCAACACCTCCTCGTCCTCGGGCGCAAGTGGAATCCGTACTGATCTCGGCTCTTGTTGCAGGATGGTAGCGATCGGGCTCTCAAGTCCCAAAGCCTCGATCGAGCGTCTACCCGGCTGGGAAACCGAATCATGGGCCTACCACGGCGATGACGGGAAGTCCTTTTTTGGCGAATCGCAGGGCCAGGGTCGGAGTTATGGGCCGACTTATGGCGTTGGTGATACGGTCGGGTGTGGGGTGAATTTCTCAACTCGCTCTGCGTTTTTTACCAAGAATGGCGTGTTTTTGGGAACGGCGTTCTCTGGGTTGCCGGAGATTCAACTTTTTCCTTCGGTTGGGATGAAACGGCAGCCTCCTGTTTGTTTGAAGACGAATTTTGGTCAGGAGCCGTTTGTTTTTGATATTGATGGGATGGTTAAGGTCAGTTTTGTTCTGTTTACTCTAGACTAGGCTTGGCCTAGCTAGGGCTTTGGAAGTGCTTTCGGCATTCATTCATACGTTCATGCGTTCATGCATTTCATGCATGTGGCTAATCCGTTTCACAGCACGAGCGAGCATCAATCCAAGCAGAAATTAACACCACAAGCACGGATACCCTCCAACCACCCCTCGACGAATCATCACTTCTGCAAGAATTGGTGGCCCAATTCCTAGCCCATGACGGCTATGTCGAGACCGCACATGCATTCGCGCAAGAAGTGGCTACGGAAACTGCAGCGTTGCAAAGCGGACATGGTGCGCCGCTGAAGAAATATGAGGTCGAAGAAGATCATCATGCGGTTCATCGGAATAGTAAGTACTTCCTTTCCTTTTTTTCCTCAGTGCCACTGTCATTGCCAATTCAAATTCCCATGCTAACAACACTCACCAGAAATCCGCGCCGCAATCTTAGACGGCGACATCGACAAAGCCCTAAAGCACACAAACGCATACTACGCCGACGTCCTAAAAGAGCACCCACAGATCCACTTCAAGCTTCGCTGCCGCAAATTCATAGAAATGATGCGCAAATCGCAAGAGCTGCTCCTCTCAGCATCCAGCCCAGTATCAGCATCCAAGCGCCGTCGCTCAACCTCGCCCGGTTTAGACGAGCACGCCGTCTTCGGCCAGGAAATGGAACTTGATGATGGCGGGTGGGATGATGGGATGGGCATGGATACAGAAGACCAAAGTCAAAGTCCCAGTCCCAAGACGAACGAAAGGAACGAACGGAATGAACGGTTTAATGAACTTCTTACCGAAGCCGTGGAGTATGGGCAGCAGTTACGACTTGACTATCATCAATCTGGCGATGACGGTCTTGATCTTAAGATGCTTGATGAGGTTTTTTCTTTAGTTTGTTATCCTGATCCGAAGGGGTCGCCGCATGGTCATTACCTTGATCCTGAGGGGCGGGATGCTGTTGCTGAGGAGTTGAATTCGGCTATTCTTGGTGAGTCCCCCAGCTCCCAACCTCAGCCTCCCGGGCCGAGTCTTCTACCCTATTTGTAGACCACCCTTGCTAACCTAATTTCTTTTCCACCAGTCTCGCTAGGCAAAAACTCCGAAGCAGCTCTAGAGAGGCTTTATCAACAGACCGAAGTGCTAGTCAATGAAATCAGCGAGGGCGGCGCTGGGGCGTTTATCAATGTTCGGAATGATCTTTTGCTATGATGAGCCCGTTGAGTCGAGTTGAGTTGAGTTGAGACAAGCCGAGCTTAGCTTAGCTTGGCTTGGGCTTCGACTTAAGCTTGAACTGGACTTCTATTTCTGTTCCACTTGAGCTTATCTTGAGCTTTGAAAGGCGCTGGGTGTTTTTTTTTCTCTATCTCTTTCTTCTTTTTTTCTACAGCTCAGCTCAATCATCTCTCCCCCTTTGTCTCTGTGATACTTTGATTCGATTTCAATTCAGAAACTTCCCTCGGGTCTACTAGTATCATTATTATGTTAATCGCTTAGTCTACTCTTCTCTTCTCTCCTCTATTCTACTTTGCCATGCTCTGCCATACGCAGTCGTAATCGAGAAGAGATGATCTATTCTAGATTTTACATTCCACTCCATATTTCTATAAATCATCATAAGCTGCCTTGCTATGACCTCATCTCGTTATTTCCCTTTCATTTGGCTTCTGCTGCCAGTGTTGAGGTCTGGGTGTCTACTAACCAGTAACTAGTATGGATCTCAGGCTGGCAGGGCAGGCAGGCTGCATGTTGTCGACTGTTGGCTATCAACAACAAGCAATAAACTACTGGCACCTTTGTAACCCACCGGAGATGCGGGGAGTAGAATACGGCCCTCCAGGGCTATTGTGGAGGAAGTTTGGATTGTGATGAAACTTCTTGTGGTCTTTCCCATTATTGTGGGTGCTGCGATCTACCGACGGAAGTTAAGGAGAAGGAAAGTGAGGTATGTTTTATAATCAAATTTCTTATTCAACCTTTAAGGGGACTTGTAGTTTTATTTAGCAATTCTAATACTAATACCAGTATACCTCTCTAGCTTTGGTTCCCAGATTTGTGATTTCTTCTATGCCGATTACTGGTATGTGATTTCTTCCTCGAGCAAAGGACTTTGAACTACTAGTATCAAAGGATTCAAATTTAAGTAAGGTATTTACCAATCTGCGTCTTCTTATATTTAGCACGTTCCTTGAATGCTACTACTGTGCTAGTATATGTTGATATTTATCTTGTGCCTGAGTGCTTCACTTTTGTGCTCGGTTAGTCATCAATCAGATCGGTCGAATCTTGATCTTTACTACTGGTAACTTTCCAACTTGAAAGTACTTTATGTAATGCCGAGGTCCATCGTCCATCGGCGTGGGGGCAGTTATCCGCTATTTTTTTGGACATTTTTCGCATTGCAACCTTGGAAATTGAAGGTATATTTACTGGTAGGTATGGCCTGGCCCTTATCGCCTGCAGAGCATCTGCTCTTTAGTCTACTCCATAGAAATCCATACTCTCCCACTCAACTCGATCTATACCCAACGGTGGCGTAGCTGCGCAAGATTAGATTCGGGAGATTGTGGGACAGGGGCATGAGCCTACTAGTAGTCTTCCCAGACATTAACTACCCCGTCCACTGGTACTACAAGTATTCGTACTCGTATCCACAGCTGGAACAAATGTATCTACAAACCAATACTCACAGTCGCACAACAGGCCCCGCTGAGCATGCCCTAGAAGATGAACGGGTACCTCTCTTCGTTTCACATTTGTCATTCACCCCACCAGATCTCTCTCATCTGTACGGCGATGCAAGGGTCCAGTATCTGGCATGTACTCATTCCGAGCCTAGTGGCAAGAATACAGTCACCCTTGAGGCTGGAGAAATACCTAGGAATCAAGTATTCTCTAATATCACGTACTTGATATAGCACTCTCTTTTCTACTCTGTTGATATTCATACTCTCCCATCTAACTCGATCTATATCCAGTTATACCAGCTGTACCCAGCTGTATACTGTATGCCCAATTTACCTTACTAAGCTGGCACCAGCCAATCAAATCAGCTGACACCATTTCTCCGCTGTGCAACCCCAAAGACGCCATCCACCTCCACCTGCAACTGCACCGCACCCCCTCTTTCGCCTCCTCACCGTCTTCTTTTCTGTTCCTGGTGCTATTCCTTTTGCTGAGCTCGGCCCTACTCAACCCGCACTGATTTCGCCAATCCCGTCGAATGATCCGCCCGCCCCCGTCGACCTGAGGGGGCCAGCTCCAGCTCCACATTCTTGCGATGGATTCCTCTCCGCATTCCGCGATATCCTCCGCCAACAACGACACCGGCACCAACACTGTTGGTGCCGGTAGTTGTTGCCCAACCACCCAGCCTGAGATCGTCCCGGGCATTCCGACTTACTCAACAGCCCCGGCGAATCTACGTTGTTGCTGTGGACGCCAGGATTGTGCCCTGTTGGAGCATAATTCTCTTGCGCTGGAAGGGTTGGAGAAGGATCTTGCGACGGCGGCGCGCTTAGGACAGGTACGTTTTGCAACTGGCAATCATTTTCATTTCATTTTCATTTTCATTTTCTTGACCTGTCGGGCGCCAATGTGATATCCTGTGGGTCGATGGGTCATCGACGTGGCACAGCTGGGCTGGGTTGGGTCTGGGCTGGCTGAGGCTGCTGCATGTTTGATGCATAATTTTGGAATTCCAGATCGTTGCTTTTTGGGCCGGGGATTTTCTTCAGATTCCTCCCCGCCTTTCTTCAACGAAGGGATTAATGACGAAACGGATAACAATCCAAACTCCCGACCCATACTTCTGTTCATTCCATTTGCATTCCACTACCAGTCCAAGTCCACATCCTGTTCCATGGCATCTCTCCTGCCGAGGTCTACCGTCCTCACCCACTGCGTTGGCGTCCGTCATGGCCACTTCTTTCTATGATTACTCTGCAAATGCAAATGCAGATGCAGATTCCTTGGGCTTGTCGTCGCTGACTTTTTCTTTACAGGCTCTCCTTCACCGTCATGAGAGTTATATGGCGGAGGCGGAAGAGGATCGCCAGCGATTAGTCGATAATGTCGATGCACTGGAGCGCGAGAAGCGTCTGGTTCAGGCCGAGAATGCGCGTATCGTCGAGGAGAACCGAAGTCTGCTTGAGCAACTCGAGGGCTTGAATCAGAGTGTTGCCGAGTCGGATGATCGTGTCGAGTCGCTTACGCTTACGCTGGAAAGTACGCAGGCTGAGCTGCGCCGGTTGACAGTTGCCGCTTCGCGGGCGGCTGAGCTTGAGGCCCAGCTTGTTCTAGTGGAGACTGAGCAGTCCAGATTACAGGAATGCCTCTCTTCTGCGCATGAAGATGAGAAATCTGCCATGCAGCGGTGGAGGAATGCTGAGAGTGCGCTACGTGATTTGAATGATCAGGTTGAGCGCATCGAGGCTGAGGCGAGAGAGGAGCGTGAGAGGCACGAGGAGCTTGTTCAACGCATGGAGCGGAAACGACATGTTGAACGCGAGCTGGATAATGCTGCTGGTCGCTTGAAAGGTGCTGCTGCAGCGTCCGAAATAGGCCGCAATCCTGGCACTCCAGTCGTCTCGCGGTTCGTTAAGGATATCCTGCAGGATAATGCGAATCTGCAAGTTGGTATTATGGAGCTGCGTGAGATGCTGGAAAGTTCTAATCAGGAGGTCCAAAACCTCCGCGATCAGGTTCTGTTTCATCAGCCGCTGGCCGGTATAGGTGAGGAGCAATCTGATGGAGCGCGCACGCCGACTCTGTGTGAGGAGCTGGAGTCGAAGGAACGTCGCGTCTCGCAGGAATTCCATATTCACCATCATTACCACACCCCTTCGACGAAGAAGGATAAAGGTTCGGCCAATCGTCGCGTCAAGAAGAAGCGTCCTTCCCTGGGTAGCCCGGTTCCCTTACATTCGGCGATGGGCACGAATTCACCTCGTCGATCTATCCATCGCTCCCAATCCTCCGGTTCATCTTTGAATACGATCCTCTCTCACACCTCTGTCTCTATCCCACCACCGTCCTCTTCTCGCCGTTGGTCCTATCAATCACCTCCCGCCGATTCGTTGGCCAGTTCGCCGCAATCTGCATTCCGAACATCCTCAATATTCGACCGTGTTGATCGCGGCATGGATTTCTCTGAACCGACAAGCCCTGAAAGCACCGTGTTTTCATCGCCTCTCATGCAAGCCCGAGCCCTCAAGGGTATCGACATGCCATTCCGTCCATTGCCAGGGCTCGGTTCTCCTGAAATCCCCGAGAATTCGTCCGGTATTTTCAACGACGAGCACTATGACCGAACAGGTTTCTTGGATCTCGCAGAACCTGTCATCCCAGAAGAATCCGAACCATCATCATCTGGAATTTGGTCTCAACATGTACCTGGCGATCAGCCCACAGACAACCCATTCGGTATCCAAATACCTTTACCTACACTCCGCAAATCATCGTCCCACGACAGTCTACTTTCTGTAGCTGGCATGGACATTCATACCCCTATAACCCGCCACTCCCGAATGGGCGGCTGGCATCCAGGCATGCGCATCCCACAACGCATCGTCTCACCTAGCGTGGAGCTGGTCTCCACGCCACCCGTCCTTTCCGCGCCAATAATCACAGTCGACCGCGCCAGGGCTCCGGAGATGTCATCTCGATCTTTACTCGCCTCCATGGCAGCCAGTAACAGCGTGACGACGGAAACAGCGTCTGTTGTTTCGGCAGAGAGTGCCAGCACCAGTTCTACCACCCCGGTCCCGCGGAAGACGACGACATTAGGTCGACGCATGGGAGGCTGGGTTCTTGGAAAGTGGGGTACAGCACCTGTCCCGACGGAGTGTGATGAGAATGAAGCGAACGAGACGACAGCTCCAAACGAGCCTGGCCCTGGACCCGGCCCTGAACATGAATCCGAATCTATACCTCCTCCACCACAACCCAACCATGAACCGGAGACCTCGCAACCTATACCAACATCCAATAATACAACTCATTCCCTCTCCTCGACTCCCAATCTCGACTCGCCACCCCAGTTCCGCTTCAGATTCACAGGCGTCAACCAGAAAGGCCCAATACTCGGTTTCCGTCCCCGCCCCGAGCCCCGGTCTCAATTCACCCACAAGGCATTGACGAGAATCTGCTTCGCGAGAGTCTTGCCGAGGAGAGCTGATCCTGAGATTGAGTCTGGGTCTGGGGCTACGGTCTTACACTCCCTCTCCATCTCCCTCCCTATTTATGAATCTCCTTGATCTCAATACCCAATCACCCATATCTATCTTGCATTGCATTGCATTTTTCTCTCAATTTTTCAATCGCATGGACGGCTTTGCATTGGTTTCGGTTTTGTTGCTATCTTGTCTTCGTTTTCGTTATCGTTTTCTTTCCTCTTTCTTTTGTCTTCATCCTTTACTCCTGGTAGGGATCTGAATGGTGCTTGTTGGCGTTGCAGATAATTTCGTGATACCCCGAGACATTCGTTTATTAGATACTATTGCCGAACATTTGTCTTGTGTTGTGCTGCTGGTATAGCTTCAATGATAATAATACAATCTCTTAAATATAATAATGACCTCACTTGGCCCCAAACTCCGAGTCTATATGTTGCATTGTCATAACTTAGGTAGTAATACATCTTCCCCTGACCGGGTTGAGTCCGAGTCATCCATCAAAGAGCCCGATAAGTCACCATTAGGTATACACTGGCATCCATCCATCGTGGAACGACTCTCTTGAAGTATTAGTATTTCGAATATCGTAGGCTCCCTTCCCTCCCCCCTCATTTAGAAGGCAAAATCCGATACGTATGAATCGGAATACTAGTCGAATGAAAGAACCCCGTCTGCTCCTCTTCAGCTGTAGATTGAAACGGGAGCGTCTCGACAGTGAAAGAATTCGTTTCTATACATCGCCGCAGTTAGCATCTCACCAGTCCCAAAAAATGGAAAGAGGGAGGAAAAGACTCACCACAAGCATCCAAGAACGTCTTAAACGTCTTCTCATTCCTTAATGTCGCCGCAATGATAAATTGCCCGATGTGGTAGTTCTCGAAGAGATCTCGTACCGTCGATATAAGTAGTGGGATTATATCTGCGTCGTAGATCTGCGAGGGGGAAGAATTTTTGTCAGTAGGTGCAAATCAACCAATGACCTTTTCTGGGACGAAAGGTTCATCTTTTCCTATTCATCCCTGCTGGTAGGCGAGGCGAGGCGAGGGAAAGGGAAAGGAAAAACGCACCAAATCAGCCCCTAGCGCAATATCAAAGCCAACACTCTCTTCTTCCACCACCGAAACAGAGTCCTGCTCATTTCCCTCTCTATCTTCATTTTCCACAGTCTCTAATTTCGTACCCCAGTCCCAGATGGCCGGGTACATCGGTATAGTCCTAGCTACCCTCCCATCCTCCCCAATCTCTATTTCTCTGTTATTAACCTCCACACAAGCCCGCATGTTATCAATCAAAAACGGCTCCCGATCTGTCGCAACAACAGCCTTTGCACCAAGATGTTTCGCGCAAAATAGTGAGAGGAAGCCCGTGCCGGCACCGAGTTCTATGACCCGTTTACCGCGGATGAGGGTCTCGCCGGCCGCTGTTGCGAGGAATGAACCTAGGTGAAGGGCTGCTTCCCAGGTCCTGTTTCCTGTTGTTCCGCCTGAGAGGATTACGCCGCGGGATTCGGATATTGTTACTGTTCGGGGAGATGTGGTGCTGGTGCTGGTGCTGGTGCTGGTGCTGGTTGAGGGTGTAGATGTAGGCGCGGTGTATTTTATTTGAGAGAGTTGTTGGGCTTGGTCCAGGGCGCTGGGTTTGGGTGTTGTGAGGAGGTTGGCCCATGTTTCCATTAATGAGTCGAGAATTTCCTGGTTTCAAAAGAGTCAGATATTAGATTTGAAGAATGTCTTTGCGATTTCTGCGATATAATTGCGCCGGGTTCTTTTCTTGGCGTGGTGGATGGTTTGGAAACGCTATTACGTACATCTTCTTCTGGGTCTGTGATTCCTTCTTCAATTCGCGCGAGGAGGAGCTTCAGAACTCGAGATCGGTAGGTTGTTGGTGGTAGTGGGGTGAGAGATTCGTTGAACATGTGCTCGTACAAGGCTTCTTGTACGGCGGGCTGGATTAGGACATTGTTTGGTGGGATTGATAGTTGATGGACATCGACCAGTTGGAAGTACTGTTTGGAGAGGGTGTAAATGAGGTGGGACATTCTGCTGTGGGATTGAGTTGTATGGTGTCTTTCTGTTTCTCTTTCTGCGAATTGGAGATCGATCCCCGCAGAAGCAGAAATATGTTCTGCCTGTGGATTCAGGCATGTAATTGCTTATCGATAAGGGTCAGCTGATCAGCTCCGGGGCAGCAGGTGACCATGGTCAGGTGACTCTGTTGATATGATGACTAAGATGCACCCTTAGTCACCGCCTAAAATGGCTAGCGCCAAGCCCTAGCCGAGAACGCACCGCACGAAAATTGAATTGAAGTCGTCGCCTATCCACAGTGTTCCTCTCTGCATCACCACGACACCACCAAAATGGCCGACACCCCCGTTACCCTGCGGACTCGCAAGTTCATCCGCAACCCTCTGCTGGCTCGCAAGCAGATGGTCGTGTAAGAATTCCCTTCTTTTTCCCCCTTGGTTTCTGCGATGGTGGGAGGAGACATGGGCGATTCGATTCGAGATTCGAAAATTCGAGATTGGACAAATGAGATGCGACACGACCACACAAGACATCGGCATACATCTACGAACACATACATAGGAGGATTGAAAAGAAGACAAGAACATCCGACCCATTCAGAGTCCAGAATCCAACATCCAGCATCGAGAATTTGAGAATTGAGAATCGAGAATCGCACCACGAATCCGACCACCCATCATCGATTGGAAATACTTTTCACACAGAACTGCGCGACTGACTTTCGTGCTTGTTTAGGGATGTCCTCCACCCCAACCGTCCCAACGTCTCCAAGGACGAGCTCCGCGAGAAGCTGGCCGACCTGTACAAGTCCAACAAGGACCAGGTCTCCGTCTTCGGGTTCCGCACTCAGTACGGTGGTGGTAAGAGCACTGGTTTCGCCCTGGTCTACGACTCCCAGGAGGCCCTGAAGAAGTTCGAGCCCGCCTACCGTCTGGTTCGCATTGGTGCCGCCACCAAGGTCGAGAAGCCTTCCCGCCAGCAGCGTACGTCGACCTCCTTCCCTCGCCCACGAACCCCAATGCTAACATTCATTTCCCCTCCCTCCAGGCAAGCAACGGAAGAACCGCTCCAAGAAGTTCCGCGGTACCGCCAAGACCAAGGGCCCCAAGAAGAACAAGGACTAAATGTCTCACACCGCATAACTTCACAATCATGGATTTTCATGGCGCGATGGATACGTTTGGTGGCCTGGTGGTTTGGGAGTCCCGCCTGTTTCGGTTTTTCATAACGACTGGGATAAGCGATAGGACGTGGTCGGTGTGAACCGGAGATGGCTCTCGGCATTTGCATTTAGCTTTCTCCCAAAAAATTTACAAGTCGTTTGCCGTCTCCGAATGGATGTGGAACTCTTTCCCCTGTTACCGGTGCCCCGGGGATGGCTGATGCTATGCTGCTGAGGACCGGTGATCTGATGATCCCCTTTTCAAAAGAAGAAAGGCGTCAGTGTTGTTTTGTTCTATGTGGTTTGAATCATCGGGTTCGAATCAAAACAGCGAGGGATATGAGAACGGGCTTCGTCCCGGATGAATTACATATTTTGTTTCTGTTCATCGATTCCCTCGTGTCGTCTTGTAGATCGTAGATCACAGTGTAGTAATAGTGAGTGGTTTACACAATCTGGCTACTGGCATGTACACTCTCGTACACCATGTGCTATCCATATGTGCTTGGCCAACTCTCTAACCCTAAACCCTTTCGACGCTTCAGTCCCACCCAGAATCCGGGGTGGGCCTGGACCTGAACCCCCCAGTCACTACAGTAATTGTGGTTTCCCATCTAGGCTAACACTGGAAAAAGAAAATCAAGACGAAATCAGAAGGGATCAAACTCTTATCGTGTCGTACAACCCACCCAGGCACACCCTCAACTCAAATTCCAAAAAAAAAATCCACATTCGACGTAACTACCGGCAGTCCGCTGTCCGAAAAGCCGGTGAGAGACAATGATGCAGTCGACCGTCTGTACACAGCGTCTTCACATATGCCGTTCCAGTGCACTGATCCGAGTCTATATTAAATCGCAGCCGGCATGAGCCGGTCCACTAGATTGATTGTGATGCTCGCTCGATCTATTCTACTCTCATCCATTGTTAAACAGCAGAGCTATTAAAGACAATGACTCTAGAGTATTAGTACTATGTATGTAGTACACCTCCAAGTCTGATCCCACCAATCAACCTTGCAAAATTCTCCAATCACGATCTCGTCTCAATCGGGAAATCAAGTCAGGGGGAATGGGGTGGGTGCATCGCCAAGTTGAGCGGAAGATATATCGAACCTGTTTGCCCTCTTACAAACTTGAATTAATCTCAGGCGGCTCTTTGTACACTTCCCCCGTTTAGTGCGTGCTGGTACATAATCCCAGAGAGAGCAAGGAGAAGAATTGGAAGGTTACCACATGCAGGACTCTATGCTAAAGATTCCAAATACTAGTATCTGTGTGGAGTCGTGTTGTGCAGGAATACACAGCCAGCTCGTGGAGTGCGGTGCCGTGGGGTTATGCCAGTGTCTTTTTCATTGCCTACTGGTTATTTTCAATTGAAGGCCCTGGACTTGAGTGGGGTATATTGGGGTTTGTATGGTCATTTGCCTGGTAGCTTCGCTTGATCTAGATGACTTGGGAGTGGTGTAGATGATATTTGTTTAGAATTCATGGTGATATTCGCAAACTTGAAGTCAACGGATAGGGCTGAGTTAACTCGGAGTCCCTTTATTGACTTTGTGGGGCTTGATACTGTCCTTCATCGCCCCTTGATTATAAGTTGTGTACATCTCATATGTTACATGGGTACATGAGATCGAAGTATCTCTCAAGTATACAGGCTCCAGAATACGACGACGCTGAAACCGCCAGGGTAGCTATGTTGGTAGGCAACAGAAAACCCATCCAGGATACTGATAGTCACGAGTGCTTCGAGAGAAATAGAACGAATGGATTAATTAGCTTAAATTAATTTACTATTAAGTTGATAAGAGGAAGACCCCAAACACATCGCTCACGAATAAGAGACAAGGGAAAGTATGCAAGTGAGCGAGTGATCCAGAAAGAAAGGAGAGGGAATAAAACTGAAATAAAACCACACAAAATGACAAAGTCTTGAATCCTATTACTTACCCCAGAAAAAAACCAAGAAAGAAATAAAGAAAGAAAGAACCCCCAGAAAAATAAGCCTCCACCACCAAACTCAGCGGATAAAAATCAGTATTCCCCGCGGGCATGAATCTGCCTTCCTGCTGTCCAACAGAAAACAACCCTCTCACACATCGCACTGACCGCATAGCCCTTGTTCTTTTTCTCCTTTTCTTTTTTTTTCTCGGGATTCTTGGGCATCTCGGGAAATGCACATAGGTGGAAAGAGAAAGGGGGAAAATAACACAAAATTCTTTACCACATCCAGACTGAGAAAAAGCCCACCCAGCAAGCCATGATAAAAATAGCCAAAGAAACATTCCCCAAAAAAAGAAAAAGAAAATACAGAACGGGTAAAAGGTATTCGAAAATAGTCCCCTTCCTTGATTCCTGTAACTCTACCTAGCAGGCTAGCTAAGCACATACCAAATCAAGAACGAAATTTGCCGAATCTGGTCATTGGTAGACAAGTTGTATTGTGTATGACTGGGAAACACGAGGCACGAGAACACGCGCGCACTGCAGGTACAGTGAGTGACATCGACCGCGAGATCAAGCTTAATTTTCATTTCTTTTTTGGTTCCAGGGTTTTCTCGCCCGGCAATCCTTGAATGGAAGTCGGGATTCCTCATGTGGTGGCACATGGTTCTGAGCATAATGTACCCAAAAAGGTTGGAGCTAGGAATGTAATGTAATGCAATGCGAGAGGAGGGTGTTGTTAAAATTGGTTGTGAGTTAGTAGTTCGAATTCATCAAGGACAGACTTGAGATAAAACAACCTATACAAAGCTAGAAAACAGAAGTGAAAGAGGAACAGGGAAAAAAACATATTGTATAGAGAAACCACGGACTCGCAGGATGGGGGGTATTAAGTGAGATCTGAAATTGAGGCTGTCGTTGCAAGGAGAAGTAAGAAGTGCAAGACAGATAATGGGTGGAGATGGCGGAGGTAAAGCAAATCATATCACTTAGCAAAAAATACAACAAACGAGCGAAAACAGGGGGACAAGGAAGACAGAAAGGAGAAGAAGAGAAAAGAAAAAAAAAGTAGAGCACAGTCCAACCCAACCAAGCCAAACCAAACCATTCGATGAATACAAGATCAGGTACAAAATAAGCCGCCATGTACAAGAGACGAGACGGGTCCAACAATAAAGAAAGGGTCGGTCATGACAAAGTGCAGACGCAGGTGCCAAAACTGCAGTGTATCCAGTCCAGTCGAAGCAAGATACTCCCCATTGACCTCTAGCGTCATTCGAAGAAGAGCTTAGATTGACGGGGGGAGGGGAGTTTATTTACTCCGTTTCGGCCGGTTCTGTGCATTTGAGACACGTGCACAAGCTCAAGCCAGCAAGTATCCCACGTACAAGCATCTTCCCTTTTCTGAATATCAAACCACGGGAATCAGAATCCGAGGAAAGACAAAGCGAGCAAGGATTAGGCAGAAAGGAGAGTAAACGGCCCTCTAGTAAGCACCTTGATTGCCCAGCGGCGAGACGGGAGGTCGGTGCATGTTTCCTGCCACACCACGGTGGTGGAACTCCTGTATATTATCCGGGAGCAAACCGCATGGGAACATGTTGCTTGGGGGGGTCGGCATATCGAACTCTTGTATAGGGTAGTCCGCTTATGAGAGTTGAAGAGCACCCTGATTCATCGGGTCGGCCTTTGCTGCTCTTCTCGGTACTGCTGTAGCCGTAGATATCTGGCGAGCATTCATTCGACAAGGCGAGAAGGCGTTGGTTGGAGGTGCTTTCGTCTCGGGAAAAGCTGCGTGCTAGGCGAGTATCGCTTGGTAGGGTGTGGTAGTCCTGAGATGGGCTGTCGAGACTAGTTTCCATTGATAGTCCGGCGTATGAGGTGTTGCTGCTGCTAGTTGTGGAGGATGCTGGGACTGCAGTTGATAGAGATGGAGAGGAACCATCGGTTGTAGAGGAGGAGAGCGATAGGTAAGGGAAGATAAGCTCGGGGGCAGCGTTGTTGCTGTTGCTGCTGCTGTTGCATTTTGTGGATTGGGATGTGCTGCTCTGGAATGGCGCATTGCTGGGAACTGTATGGGTTCTTTGGTTTTGGTCTACACATCTTTGATTCCAGTAGGACCCTTTGAAGTCGGACGGAACGGAGAGTCCGGACATGCCTTCTGCAAGGATTTTCATGGTCGATGCGTTGCCTGGGGCCTGCTGTGACCGACTAGTAGGTGTGGGGAGTGTTCGGTCTGACCCTGGAACTTCTGAGACAGAGACCATGTTCATGGCAGCAGCGGTCGTTTGAGAAATTTCATGGGAAGGAATGCCTTGACTTGTAACCATGTAGTTGTAAGGGGATTGTCCCATAGGGCCATTCGTATCGGTGTCAGAATAGATGCCCCCATTAGCGGATCTGTTGACGTTCAACACATTTTCCCAGTTCTTAGAGCTCCATGACGATGTTTCGTAGTCCAGCATCCCTGAGGGACCATTGGGAAGCATATATGCTGGGGACTGATTATAGTTCCCACCCTGTTCATTCTCATAATGAATAGAATCGAGACCAACTGGCCGCGGAAAGCCCTGCGCATCAGTTCCAAGATCGAAATCCGAGGCTCGCTGGAACCCGGACATGCGAGTCTGTGGCGAGCCCATAGAAAGGATCGTCGACTTGCCAGATACATGTGGCGTATATACCCTCATCCGGGGAGAAGCTGCCATCCCAACTGCATTTGGGTATGGCCAACCTGTACCTTTGGGAAGAACGGCACTGGAATTCACCTAGAATTCACCAGGGTCAGCTCTGCTTCCCTAGTAGACACAATAACTCTTCTCACGAAGGAAAATGGAGGAGAAGAAGGACATACTCGTAAGAACTGACAGTCCGTATTTCCAGCACTACGGCAGTTGGAGCAGCCCTGGCCATCGCCAGAATCCCCGCTGCACTTGATCTTTCGTCGTCGGCATCGACCACACTGGATGGTATCAGAAGAATGAGCTCACACCGAAGCAAGAAAGGGAGATGGGTACATACTGCGACAGGAACTCGACGCCTTTGGGGGTTACGCTTGCTATCCATCTCTCCTACCGAGCTGATACAGTTGGTTCGATCACCCATTTCGTGTTGTTTCATGCTCAGCATTGCTCGGGACATGGAGATAGCAGAGTCGTGCCGAGACGTTTCGAACCTGGCCTTCTCGGAGTAGAAGGAGTCCATTTGCCGTTCTGAGGGAAATCAATGAAAGCCGGGTAAAAGAAACAAACGGCAGCTCAAACATACACCTACTTAAACGTAGAGCTCCGAGATAGTTATGCGAGATCCGTAGAGAAGAAAGGAAGAATAGCAAGATATTAGAGGAAGAACGGCATGCTGGCAAGGAAGATAAGTAAAAGGAAGATCCTTTTATCTGGGAGATGTAGGGCTATATTTTTAAGCCCAGGTTTTGGTAACAATCGGGAGTCGGTCTGGTTGCCTGCTCTTTTTGGTTGCTCTATGATATGGGGATTTTCTGGAGGGGGGGAAGACAGAGAGTGGCTAAAAACACCCCCCGGTCACTCGGGGTTTGGATTTTCTTTTTCCAGATTTTACCTATTCTGAATTTGAATTTCTCTTTTTCCTTTCTTGTGCTTTAGATCGTTTCTTGCCCCCCCTTCATCTATGGCTACAATTACCTAGATCGTGTCCTGGGAGCGCTATAGTGCCTGGGCCTAGGCGTACACCGTCAGTACGAACCCCGGAAGTACTATAATGAATGCGATGGCCTTTTTCCCCGTCTTTTTTCTTTTCTTCTTCTTATGTGCTTCAATCATCATTATTAATTCTATTTTAATTATTTCCTGTTCTAAGACTCGTTGTACCCAGGGGAAATGATATGCACAGTTCCGCAGTGCATCGAAATCCAGATTCCCCCAGTCTCTCTCTCCTCTTTCTCTCTCAGGGTGAAAGACCAGCAAGACCGTCCCCGGCGTTTTAACAGGCTTGGTTTCACAAAGTAACGTCACACGGAACATGACCTGATGGCCATGACGAGAACAAATCCAGACGGGGAGATTAGAGCCTGTTCCGCCTAGATGTTTCAGCCAATTGGGGATGAACTCCCTTTTTCGCCTTCCATCACGCTTTGGTCGTTGTTCAGTTTAGGCGCTTGGAGAGGTCTCTGAATTTGTCTGGGTGGTCCCTGGGAACATGTGGAGCGACGTCCTAGTTAACTCCCTCAGCTGGCAACTAGGCACGGCAGACCGCCGCCTACGTTTGCAAAGATGATCCTAGTGTCGATCCGGAAATGCTTCCGGGTGGAAATATCGATGCTGGTAGAATGTTTGCTGTCCCCAGTTGGATTGGTCTGAAAGCTGATTGGCGTGAGTACGACGCCCGGTTTGACCAGGGTTCGATGCACCTCACGACAGAGGGTTAGTTCGAGAGATAGCGCTTCAAATAGTATTGGGAGTAGCGTTGAAGCTGAGGCCCCTGGTCGTCAAAGCAAAAGCATTCCTTGGTGCATCAAACACGGGCCGCTAAAACACGGGACGTTGAGTTGAGGCGATAGCTGCCTCCCCATTTGAGATGGCTGGGAAAGAAAGGACCGGGGGGTGGATTCTGAGGTTTCTGCCACAAGACCACCAGACCGACACAGAAAGGCCTTCTTGTGTCTCTCTGTTTCTCTGTGTCTTGGTTCTTTCTCTGAGCTCTGCTCTGTCTCAGACCACGAACACGACAAATGTCTTAATGATGTGCGAGCTGGTGGGTATGGATTGGGAGATCAAACGAGAATGGAAACAGAATGGAAAAGAAAAAGAAAAGAAAAAAAAGAGTTGACACCTGTCAATTTGATCGACGGGCACGATCAAGCGCACATCTCAACCTTGGCAGGCCCCGCAACGGTGTCTCTAGAATGAGTCGTGTCGGCAAAGATTGGTGGTCTTAAGGTTGATCAACGACATGGGAGGGAAATCTTAGCGCTTCCGGGGCGCAGCTAGATCGAAATGGAAATCTCTGAAAAAGCAAAAAGGGGCGAACCATAAATTGAGACAGGAGGATAGGTTCCAAAGAGCCTGGAGCCGATGGAAAACAAAGCAAAACATAAAACCTTTGGAAGAAATGATTTCGGGATTCATGTCTGAGTCTGAAAGAAGTAGGAGATAGATGCAGAATGTCCCGGGATATACAGATCCGTTGCTTACACATGGGACAGCCACGATGGGTCTGAGAGCAGGTGGAGGCGATTGCTGGAGATATGTAGGTGGATCTGGATCTGGATCTCTCTGAGGTGCTGGGATCTACCCCCATGTCGATGAGTCAAGATCCCATGGGTCCCTCTGGGGGAAACCCCACGAGACGAAGGTACCCAATTCATCTTTGAAAGAACCAAATCTCTAGTGTTTATGGGATTGGTTGAGTTCCAACCACGCAGTCTCTAGGTCTGACGATGCACGATATGGGGGCATAAAAAGAAAAGGGTTAAAATAAGATAAAATAAAAAATAAAAAGAGGACGAAATGAAAACAAAGAGAGATCAAATTGGGGCAAGGCCAGCTGACTGTTCTCACTAATCGCCAGGAACGCTCATTGGAATTGAGGCCGGCTCTTCATCTTGCGCAGCGAAGGAGTTTCCTACCCGAGATCCTACTACTCCTCTTTGTAACCCCACACACCTCCTGCCTCTCTTGGTCTCAATCCATAGGCCAAAGTTAGACTCTTGCCTGGCCAGGATCAGGGCGATCGGAGGCTTGGGGGCTGAGGTAGCGCGGTTCTAAGAAGTTGATACCCTCGATGGCGATCTCCTTCAGGATTCCATGTCTATGTAGGTATGTAGAACCATTTCCCGGTGACAGCTGTCACCACGACGGCGCCGCTTGAGCCCGCTGCAGGAGACCGCCCGTTTCTCCCCGCCCGTTTTTTCTTCATTCTTTTGGATTGGGGGTTTCTGCGGTGAAACAGTCACCGGGAACGAAATGTAGATGCCACTACGCTGAGGCCCAGTGGTACTGTATACCGAGGATGGACGGGAAGTGTCATCGTGATCTCAGTCCCCGTCCGAGGCACAATGAACACAAGGTAATTCGAAAAAGGCAGGGCGAGACAGGCTCCGGCAAAGCATGGACTGGTTAGAAGTTTCTTCCTTCTTCCTTTCCTTCTTTTTTTTGGAATAAAGAGAGAAGGAAATTCTGGATCGACCTTCTAGCTAGGACTGCCGTGCAGCCGCTACTATTCTGAGAGCCGGTGAGCTAGGACAAACACGATCAAGCTCCTTAATAAGATCTGCATCTCGGCCGGAGGAGTAAACTCGGATTGTCCAACAGGGACCAGCCGGAAGATATGCCGTTCGATTGACAAGGTAAGGTTGCACAGGCACCCGGGACCATCATCGGGAGAGAGCTTTCACGGCATATTGTTGATCAAAATGCCCCCGAAGATGTGATAGGGAGTCCGATACCCAGCACGAGGGGGGGTCAAATAAAGAAAACAAAACAAAGAAAGGGAGGAATTGATTGGACTGTGTGGTGGAAGAGAAGGGAGGAAGGGAAGAAGGGAAGTTGAAGTTGATCAAAACAAGCTTGGCAGCGGCTGCCTTTTCCCCGCGGTGACTGAGGCCCGAGCTCCGATTTGATCTGCGCTGCGCGACTTGGCCTTTTCCTTTTCCTGCAACTTCCTCTCTGCTTCTGCTTTACCACCACAACTGCCACCTCTAGCCAATCAGGCTTATCCCATGAGTGCCCTCCTGGAAACCTCCTTGGGCGATATCGTCATTGACCTGCTGGTCGACGAGTCGCCCAAGGCCTGTGAAAAGTGAGTGCCCCCAAGCTTCCACTTCCCTGCAGAACCAGCCTTAGCTTGCGACTCCCCCCCCCCTGTCACTTGTACTTGTGCTGCTGTGCTGGATTCAAATTGCTAAGACTATGATTCCTTTTCTATAGCTTCCTCAAACTTTGCAAACTCAAATACTACAATTTCTCCCCGATCCATACCGTTCAAAAAGGCTTCACCCTCCAAACCGGCGATCCACTTGGTCCTGGAGCCCCGGAAAGCGATGGCGGCTCTTCCATTTGGGGTGTGCTGGACGGCCCGTCGAAGAGAACCTTTCCAATCGACCTGCCGCCGAAGCTCAAGCACACCGAACGCGGTACGGTGAGCATGGCAACGGCTGCAGCCAAGAACGACCCCGACCAGAGACTGGCGGCAAGCCAATTCCTCATTACTCTGGGCGACAATCAGGATCATCTTGATGGGAAAGCGGCTATATTTGGAAAAGTTGTTGAGGGCTTCGATGTATTGGAGAAGATTAACGAGTCATTCGTGGATGAACGTCAACGCCCTTTGAAGGATATTCGAATTCGCCATACAGTCGTGCTCGATGACCCTTACGAGGATCCCGCTGGGTTGGTTGAGCCACCAGAGAGCCCGGTGCCATCCAAGGCCCAATTGGCTACCGTGCGCATCGCGGATGATGAAGAACTCGACGATAATATGGACGAGGAGGCTATGGAGAATTTGCGCCGGGAGCGTGAAGCTCGCGCGCAGGCATTGACTTTGGAAATGGTGGGTGATCTGCCATTTGCCGATGTCAAGCCGCCGGAGAATATTCTCTTCGTCTGTAAACTGAATCCTGTCACACAAGGTATGTCATATTGTATCCTTATAGCGGGAATGACGCGGCTAATTGAAACTCTAGATGAGGATCTTAACCTGATCTTTAGTCGCTTTGGTACAATCCTCTCATGCGAAGTGATTCGTGATAAGCGTACCGGCGACAGTTTGCAATATGCATTTATCGAATTCGATAATCAAAAGGACTGTGAGCAGGCCTATTTCAAGATGCAGGGTGTGCTTATCGATGACCACCGCATCCACGTCGATTTCTCCCAAAGTGTCTCCAAACTCTCAGAGAGCTGGCGCAACGCTACTGTCACCAAGCGCCGCCATCGAGGTGGCTTCGGTGGTGTTGATGATCTTGAACAGAAACGCCAGTATCGTGAAACAGACGATGCCCCTTCATATGAGGATGATGAGTCGTACAACATGCTTTTCGACAAGTCCCGCAAGAACAAGGCCCAGCCATCCAACCAGTCATCCAACCAGCCATCCAACCAGCCATCCAAACCTGTTCAACCTCCTCGTCGCAACGATCGTGACCGCAGCCCCCGACGAGAACGGGACCGCAGTCGCGATCGATACCGTCGGCGATCAAACAGTCGCAGTCCACGCCGAGACTCGCGACGTGATCGGGATCGCCGAGATGATCACCGAGATAACCGACACCGAGATGATCGGTACGACCGGCGACGATGAGTATAGTAAATGTAGAACAAATTATATCCCATGTCCATGTACACTAGTCTAATGATCCTAATTCCCCATCTAAATCACAAACGTTGCTGAGTTGACTATGTCAACCAGGAATATCTCCATTTCCGAGTCAGCTCCACCAGTCCATGATGTCCTCCCTGTGCTGCGCACGACTGGATCGATTCTATACTTAGGAATCTCGCGGTCTTGTCCTTTTCTCCATCTTTCAGTAGCAACCGGACAACCCGTTCATGGCCTCCAGCAGCAGCAACCTGCACTGGCATCCAATCGCGATCATCTACAGCATCTGCCCGTGCACCTTGATCCAACAACAATCTCACCGTGTCCTCCGAGCCACGTCGACAAGCATGATGCAAAGGTGTTTGTCCTTGCTGCGTCTGGGCATGCACATCTGCTCCATTCGACAAGCACAGTTCCACGGCACCGGCATTCCCCGACAGCGCAGCATAATGAATGGCAAACCACTGCCCCGGATCCGATCTCGCATGAACACTCGCTCCAGAAACCAGAAGCATTCTCGCGACCTTCAATGAACCGAAAAGAAGAGCCTGCTGAAGCGGCGAGCGACCTCCTTGATTCCTCGCCTCCAATGCCTGATGCTCATGCACCACCCCTCCATCAGAAAGGCCCAATAACCCAGAAACAGCCTCAACATCATCCACTCGAATCGCCTTGATCAACTTTTCCGCTCGGATAGCAGCATCAGAATAAACAAGGCCAGGACGAGAATCAGAATCAGAATCAGAATCACCATGAACACTCTCCAAACTCAACCCACTCAACCTCCAAAGCATCTGCTCCGCCTCATAAATCCCACTCAACTGCGCCTCCTGCAACGGCGTCCACCCTTTCAAATTCTTACACTCTAACTGTCCAGCCCTCCTCTCGACCCCACGCAAAAGAACCTCCATAATCCCCGCATTCCCTTCCCTCGCCGCAATATGCAGCGGCAAATCCCCCTCCTTATCCGCAACGCCCACACTCGCACCAGCAGAAAGCAACGCCTCAACCGTATCAGCATGCGCCCCCTGACAAGCAAGATGAAGAGGAGTCCAGCCCTTCTTCGTCCGGAAATTCACCCCACCAGCAATATCAGCCAGATTCTGTATCTCTTCAAAATCATCGTCGGGCCGGCTGCCCCCACCGCCAGAATGCATCTCATGATACTCAATCAAAAAAGAAACAACCTCCGTCCTCCCCGCAGAAGCAGCCCCATGAAGCGGCGTCCACCCATCCGAACTTTTACAACAAACCCTAGCCCCATGCGCCAACAAAGTTTCAATAACATCAACATGACCCCGTCCCGCAGCACGATGCAAAGCCGTCAATCCACGCGCAGAAGAACGACTTAAAGAAGCCCCCCTCTGCACAAGTAACCTCACAATTTCCAAACTCCCATCATCAGCCGCCTTATGCAAAGCCGTCCACCCATCCGCACAAGATCGATCCGGATCCGCGCCGGAGTCGAGGAGTAACGTCACCAGTGCGATATTCTGGTTGCTTACGCAGGTGTATAGCGGCGTGATACTCACAGCCGGCGGATCTGGTCTCGCGCCGTGAGATAGAAGTATTGATGCGCAGTCTATGTGGTTATATTTGCATGCCTTGCAGAGTGCGGCTCCAGCTGAAGCTGATGAGTCTTCTAGGGTGTCACGGTTATTGCGTGGCTGAGATTGTGGCTTTTGCGACAGAAGGGTTGTTAGGAGGGTCGTTAGACCGAATGTGGCTGTTATGTGGAGGCCGGTTATGCGTGGGCTTCTTGGGTATATGATGTTTAGATGGGAGCGGTTTGATAGGAGGGTTAGGGCTTGTTTTTCGTAGATCGATGGGTTTAGTCGTTTGGCGTGGTGGCCCCAGTTGTTGCGGGCGAAGGGGGTTAGGATTAGTTTTTGTCGTGGTGATTTTCTGCTCTTGGCGCTGTTGTCGTTGGTACTGTGTTGACTTTGCTCTGATGCGAAATGCAGGTATGTCAGGCTGGTTTGAGTAATGAGCTGATTCGCTCTCCTATCCCACTCCGGCTGACAAGAATACAAATAGTGATGAAGCGTATTATGCACCAAACGCACATCAGACGCCGAGTTATCAAGATCATCAACAGCCAAAAGACCACAGCAACTTCTAATAATCAACCGGAGGGAAGGGATATTTTCCGGATCCCATTTTTCGTCGTCTGGTTGTGTTGCCAGTGCGTGTTGGAGCTCGAGACTTTTCAGCGGACGGTACGATGCTGATACCCACATTAGTGAGTCGAAGGCTAATTTTTGCCGAGCTTGCGATTGGTGCTGGATGCATTCGAAGGTCTTTTTGTAGGCGTCGCTTAGACCGCCGCTGAGGGTTTTTAGGGCTTTGCGGACACCGGAGCGGGTTACTTGGCCGCGGATGTTTTGGAGGTGGAGGACGGCGAGGAGGAACCTTTTTCATATTTAAGTTAATATTAATATTCATGGTAATTTTAGATTTGATCAGATCAGGATAACCACTTACATCCCCTTTGCCTGTTCAACCACTGTTTGACTGATATCTCTCTCCAAAGTTTTATCAAGGATATCGACCAAGGAATCATCCGTATGCAGAGCGTGGGCGACATAGCTGCTGATATCGGTCTCATTTGCATGGATCGTTTTGACGATATGCTTGCATTTCAACGGCGGACTTGGCGGTGCGCGACTCGTTACTAGAATATTGACGCCAGATGTAGCTAGTTCGTCTAAAGTGTGGATAAATTGGGGGAGATGTGTTGTGTCAGAAATGCTAAATTCATCCATGGCATCGATAAGTATAAAACAATCTTCGAACGAAGCCGTGACAGAGAAGAGAATCTCTTTTAGCTCCGACGGGAATGGCTTTCTTCCTTCATGTCGCGATTTCTCAAATGTATCGCGCAGCATCGGCGGGATGATCTTCTTGCGTTCGAGCAGTAAGCGGAGGATAGCCCCGAGAGCAGCGACAAGGGGATGTGTATCTTGAACCCTGTAGTCACAGTAGTGATATGCAATGGCACTTTCGTCTTCTGTATGTGACTCTTTCAATTCGTCCACCACGAAAGATCTATAAAAGAATTAGCGAAATTTCGCGCATTGAGAATTGAGAGAGGGGAGAGAGGGGGGGGGGGGTCAGGCCCTATACATACAGTAGTGTCGACTTCCCACAACCCGGATCACCAACAAGCCAGAGGATTCTCTGCGAAGACTCTTTATCAAGCCAGTTCTGAAAACTTGACGTATCTGCCAGCCACTTTCCCGTTCCTGGCGTTCGTCTTGAACGCACTTCGGAGTGTCGTCCACGTCCATGCTCTGGTGACAGCCACTCGAGGATTTCCATGTCATAGGTATCAGTGAGCTGTCTCTTGATACTACCTACATCCCGCTGGATAGATGATAGTTGATCAGAAGCTTCTCGCAGCGACTGGATACCCTCGAGCATTGACGACATGTTCTCCGCTGTGCTGCGGTATTTCTCTGCATTCACAGAGAGCGCATCGATATCCTTTGTAATCTCGTGAAGCTTCTGCGAAGCTTCCACCTGTAATTTCAAAAGATCCTCGACATCTTTGGGCGTATTTGAAAGGACCGTACTGTTAAGCTTTACTTAGCCTCACAGTATCCCCAAAAAGAAAAGAAGAAAAAAAAAAGCCCTAACCGGGCGGGTGAGGAAAAAAACTTACTACCCCTCAACCGTCAAAGAAAACTGAAATAAAGCCGTATACCTCCCAAGTCTCAAAATAATCTCATCAACCTTCTTCTTTTTAAAAGGCCACTTCAACTTCTGCGTCCAATCAACCGGGACCGCGAGCAAGGTTCCCAATTTGCGCAGCGACGCGTCACAAGAGGTAACCGTACGGCCGAGAACCGAGTCCGTTGTTCGGAAATGATTCCGTTGCGATGCAGCGTCTGCTTTGATAAAGTCGTCCAGACATACGCAGACTTCTATCAAGGCGTCGACCTCGTCTGCGTACCAACTTATGTCTTGCTCGGCTTTTCTGGCGGTCGCGATGTAGTCGTGGATGGCGGGGCCGATTTGGATGCCCAGGCCGACGAGGCCGGCGATGCCGGTTGATATGGAGAGGGGGTCCATTGTATTTAACTGGAGTTCAGACCATACTTATACTATATCATATCATTCTCACGGTAGCAATGTGTCTCCCATGGTCCTACTCGTAGTCATTTTTTGGGTAAAGAATGTGTGGTAGCTGGGATTATTGTGCCCCGCCAGATCACCCCGCGCTATTGGCGCTAACGATTGCGACTAGTTTTTTTCGTGTGAGGCTGTCAACTGGTAAGTGGATTAACGTAGTGTATCAGATCACAACTATATATACTACTGGCAGTGCCAGTGCCACTAGATTTAAAATAGCCAAGGGTTGAGAATATTGTAAAGTTGTCTACGTTGGAGTAAGTACCTACTAGGTGTACAAGAGGATGACTAGCACAACAGAGCAAACTCGAAAATACTAGTAGACTAATCGATGAGATCTGGAGGCAAGTGAATTCCATTGTCCAGCTCGTTCTCTAGTTGATTAATTTTTCCTGTTGTCATAGCGACTAATTTAGTTGAAGAGTGGGGTGTACTTGGTGCCTTAGCAGTATCAATATCTATATCTACACCTAGTTATCCTTAGTACTACCCCCAAGGCCTACACAAACCCCTCTCGCAAGGCACTCCCGTTGCACTCTCCACTAAATGCAAATGCTCATGTAAATTCAAATGCTCATGCAGATGCAAATTCAAATATCAACTTGAATGGCAGCTTCGCCCCGCCAGCGGGTCCCGCCGAGGAGTGGCAGTGGACATGTCTCAGGCTCGATTGACTGCTAGTGCCGCGATCCATGGGTTTCATTCGTCTCACGCTAAAAATAAGTACTACAGCAACTAGCACATTCCAGAGGGCAGTACATTACGGAGTACAGTGGTGAAACTTACGGTGTAGCCACTTTTGTTGGGTGCTTCAGCTTCACCCCGCGTCAATTCAATTTATTTACTTTTGCCACTTTCCCCTCTTCTTTTCTTTCTTCTTCCTCTTCCTCTCTTCCTCTTCCTCTCCCTTCTTTTCTCCCTTCCCTCTCCTCCCACTTTAATTATTTCCTCCTTTCCTCCTCCACCTTTCACAATGGCTGCTGCAATTAAAGAAACCGTTTCCAATTTAATTGGAAAATTCTCTGGTGCTGAGGAAGCTCCCCGCGAGCCCTCCGCCGAGGAGCTCCAGCAACTACAGAAAAAGTACTCCGATGCCGGTCAAGGCCAAGTCTTCGCCTTCATCGATGAGCTGCCTACCGTCGAGAAGTCCCGTCTTTTCCACCAGCTGTCCACCTTCAACCCCACCCGCATCAACGAGCTGGCCGACAAGGCGCTCAACCCCCCCCCAAGACCGAGGAGACCGCAGTGACGCTCGAGCCTTTGCCCGAGTCCGCGACCGCCTCCATTCTCGACTCTGACCCCGCCGACCTGAAGAAGTGGTACGATGCCGGTCTGAAGGAGGTGGCCGATAACAAGGTGGCCGTGGTGTTGATGGCTGGTGGCCAGGGAACCCGTCTCGGTAGCTCTGCCCCCAAGGGCTGCTTCGACATCGGTCTGCTGAGCCAAAAGTCTCTCTTCCAGCTCCAGGCTGAGCGTATCGCTAAGCTACAGGAGCTGGCCTCAAAGGCTCACGGTGTCACCGCCGCCACCATCCCCTGGTATGTCATGACCAGCGGTCCTACCCGCGGTCCTACCGAGGAGTTCTTCGAGAAGAGCAACTACTTCGGTCTCGATAAGAAGAACATCTTCATCTTTGAGCAAGGTGTTCTTCCTTGCATCTCAAACGAGGGCAAGATTATTCTAGAGAACAAGGGCAAGGTGAGTCCCCACAATCGCAAAACCCCCCCCCCCCTCATATGGTTCGACACATTCGCTGACATAGTAAATACCAGGCCGCCGTGGCTCCCGATGGAAACGGTGGTATCTACCAGGCTCTCGTCACCTCCGGTGCCCGCGAGGACATGCGTAAGCGCGGCATCAAGCACATCCACGCCTACTGCGTCGACAACTGCCTAGTCAAGGTCGCCGACCCCGTCTTCATTGGATTCTCCGCCGCCCACGACGTCGACATCGCGACCAAGGTCGTTCGCAAGCGTGACGCCACCGAGTCCGTCGGTCTGATCCTACAGAAGAACGGCAAGCCTGATGTCGTCGAGTACTCCGAGATCGACAAGGAGACCGCCGAAGCCAAGGACCCCAAGAACGCCGATCTGCTCAAGTACCGCGCCGCCAACATCGTCAATCACTACTACTCCTTCCGCTTCTTCGAGTCCATCGAGAACTGGGCGCATCAACTGCCCCACCACGTGGCCCGCAAGAAGATCCCCTTCGTGAACACGGAGACCGGTGCGGCCGAGAAGCCCGAGAAGCCCAACGGCATCAAGCTGGAGCAGTTTGTCTTTGACGTTTTCCCCATGACTCCTCTGAACAAGTTTGCCAGTATTGAGGTGCGTCGTGAGGATGAGTTCTCGCCGCTCAAGAACGCCCGTGGTACCGGGCAGGACGATCCCGATACCAGCCGCGACGATATCATGAAGCAGGGACAACGGTGGCTCGAGGCTGCTGGCGGTATTGTCATTACCGATGCCGAGGCGACTGGAGTGGAAGTTTCTCCGCTGATCAGCTATGTAAGTGATTATACCATTTTTCCCTTTTACTTGCAACAATGACTAATTATAATTAACCTTTGACAGGGAGGTGAGAACCTTGAATTCCTGGCCGGTCGCGAGGTCAAGGCCCCGGCTCTTCTGGAGAAGGAGGAGTAGATTCGACCTGGTGTCGCTCTCCTCGTACCTTGAAGCTTTTTGAAGCACTCCCTATTCTTTGTTTGAAGTTTAAAACATGTACGCGCCCTGTGCAGGCACATCTCGGGCTTAATGCAGCTTGAGAACGAAGAAATGAAATACATTATTAAGAAGAATCGCATCGCATCGCATCGCATCGCATCGTATCGTATCGCAGATCGGAGAATGGAGGGACCGGCGTTGCATTAATCATATTTGCAGCGGGAATGCAGGGAGTCCCCCAATTCCAAGCCCTTCATGTCAAAGTCTCCGTACTCGTAGTCTCAATGAAATTCACTTTTACTAAACTGCTACTATTGTAGATTACCTGAATGTCAAAATGAATGTTAATAATGTTAATATGAATGTTATAAAGTACTCCCCTAGTCCAATGGCAGGGCGGGTGAATCAGCAAGGCCTTACGCAATGCGGAAAAGTCCGGCAGGCCAATTTTGTCGAGTTTGCAACTTTTCCTTCCACAAAACTCAAGACTTTCTTAAACGTTTGTGAGTGTTTGAGTTCGAGTTGGTGAGTGATTTCAAGCTCTTGTTCTTTTCTCTTTGATTCTATTTTTTATTCCTTTCCCTTCTCTCTGCGTTGTGCGGTATACCCCACTTTGTGTGTTCCTTTTTCTTTTTTCTTTCCCTTCCCTTTCCCCCCGCCTGTCAAGAACGTGGTGCTCTCTTTTTTTCAGCTTGCTGACCAAGGTCCTTTTCTCCCCGCTCAGATCTGTCAAGGTATCGAAGTGTTTTTTTGGAAGGGTATGTGAGAACTTCCCACTTTCGACTCCTTTTGCTCCATTTATGCCCTTTCTGTCGCGAGCTTGTTGGCTTGCTGCACCCCGCGGATCGACGTTGCTCCCCTCCATCCCGCACCGCACGAGGGCAATCCCCAATATTTCCGACTCGACGATCAACACTGCCACGGCTGGATGATTACTCGGAGCTTGACGTATCGATTCGCTGGATCCTGCGCATTCCATAATATTACACCATGCGAGGGGAGCGGAGGGACAACAAGCTCGCGGCGTCATGCGGTGCAATTCTGCGTTTTACCTCGGTATTAACCATTTGCATAGAATATAGAAGATGATGCTGTCTCGTCGCGCGTGCTACAAGTGTGGCAACATTGGCCACTACGCTGGTGAGTTCACGGCCCCGATATGAGCTCATGTCGTGAATTTTTGGCCAATCTTGAAGCATGTCGCTAACCTAACTAACGTAGAGGTCTGCTCCTCCTCCGAGCGTCTCTGCTATAACTGTGAGTTCCCTCTTATCTTTCCCTGACTTGCTTTGGAATCCCATACTAACCTGTTTCTCATAGGTAAGCAGCCGGGTATGTTCGTCGTCTATAACCATTCCTCCGCCAGCTCTTATTGATCTCCAAATAGGACATGAGTCCAGCGCTTGCCCTCGTCCTCGCACCACCGAGAGTAAGAAATATACACATACCTAGCTCCCTCCTCAGTCATGCTGACCTCTTCTAGCCAAGCAATGCTATAACTGCCAGGGTCTCGGCCACGTCCAGGCCGACTGCCCGACTCTCCGCCTGAACGGCGGTGCCAACGGCCGCTGCTACAACTGCAGCCAACCCGGCCACCTTGCCCGCAACTGCCCCAACCCCGCCGCCCCCGGCGCTGGAACTGGACCTGGAGCTGGACCTGGAGCCGGAGCCGGACCTGGAGGTCCTCCCCGTCCTCCTCGCGGTAACTTCCAGCCTGGCTTCCGCGGCAACTTTGGCGGTTACCCTCGCGCCGCTACCTGCTACAAGTGCGGTGGACCCAACCACTTCGCCCGCGATTGCCAAGCTCAGGCCATGAAGTGCTACGCCTGCGGCAAGCTGGGCCACATCTCGCGTGATTGCACCGCTCCTAACGGTGGTCCTCTCAGCTCCGCCGGTAAGGTCTGCTACAAGTGTGCTCAGGCCGGTCACATTTCTCGCGATTGCCCCACCAACACCAACACCGAGGCCGGTGCTGCTGCTGTTGCTGCTGTCGCCGCCGTTCCCGCTGTCGATGCCGTCGCCCCGGTCATCCCGGCTGATGCCCCTGTTGCTCCCGCTGCTGCCGTTGCCGCTGCTGCGCCCGCTGTCGAGGCTAATGCTGATGCTGCTCCTGCGGCGCCTGCGGCGCCTACCACCGCTGTCGCATAAGGAGTGAGAGCTTACTAGACCATTCTGTTGGATTGAATGTCTCACCACCATTCAATTTTTTTTCCCTGGAATGCTCGGAACATCATTTCTTCCTCTCAATTCTCTGTATTTTGGTCAACTCTTTCCCTGAACGGCCACGGCCACGGTCCGATTCGATCCTTTTCTTCCTTTACGGAGTCTCTGCGCCCATTTTCTTTCTCCTTTGCATATATTGACCACTTCCGACCCCTTCCTTTGGTTGATTGATTTTGATTTTCGACAAAAAAAACTTCCCATCAGCCTTTTACTATTCTCCAAGCCTTTTCTTCTCTTTCTTTTTATTTGTTTTCCTTATATTTTATCATGTATACGACGATCAAACGGAAAAAAAGTTATTCCCACTTTTTTTGGTTTTTGATTCACGAACGATCCCCCCTACCCTCTTCCTGACTTGACTTGACTTGATTTAACTTGATACTGTCGCAAAAAGCTCAAGTCTCATGATTGGCGTCTTTTGTCCTATATGTTTTCCCCATGGATGAATCTTTCTCTATATGATAAAGTTCGATTCGATTCTACTCTTGATTGCGGTTCGGTTTTCCTAGGGCCGAGGAGAGGAGAGGAGAGGAGAGAAGAGAAGAGAGATATGAGACGAGTGGCGTGAAGCAGGTGGCGATGAGATGAGATGAGATGATGGATATGGATGTGTGGATTGCAGAGAGAATATTGGCGAAGTTTGTTGGAAAGGCCTTTGGTGGGAAGAGAAGATCCTCGGTGCTGAGAACATGAAAACGCAAATCGTTATTCAATGCTTTACTTGTAGGCTGTAGTTTTTCTTGCAGCAGATTTATGGTCATGGTTGCTTGGGAAAGGGACGGAACTTATAGTAGTAGTAGTAGTAGTAGTAGTAGTAGTAGGCAGCCAGACTACCCTCCGACACCTTTCCTTCTCTTTCCTTTCCTCTCCCTCACACCACCACCAGTGCAATCACCACCTCTTCCATTGAAATTTCAATTGAATCATCACAATGGCAGGTTCACTCTCCGACGACGAATTCAACGACGAAGTACGCTCTTCCCACCCTCCTTCCATCACCCTCAACCACTAACACTAATACGTCCAGAACTTCATCGTCGACATCGACAGCATTCAAGCACACGGCATCGGCGCCGCAGACATCACAAAACTAAAAACAAATGGATTCTACACCGTTGCCGTAAGCCTTGGCCTTGGCTTCAACTTCGTCCGAGACAAATTTGCTTCATTATACTAACACTCATACTACAATTCATCAGTCCGTCCACGGCGCCACGCGCAAAACACTTCTGAAAATCAAGGGATTCAGCGAGATCAAGGTCGAGAAGGTCAAAGAAGCGATTCAGAAATGTCTGGTAAATTTCTCCCCTCGCCTTCCCTATTATGGGTGTGGCTTCGCAATCAAATAGAGACGACAAGACCCTGACTCTAACGATCTCATCCCATTCCAGCCATCTGCATCAGGATTCATCACCGCCATGGATCTATTCCACCAACGCAAAAAGGTCGTCCGCATTTCAACCGGTAGCAAACAATTCGACTCCATCCTCGGCGGGTAAGTCATTCCCTGCCTCCCTCCCTCCCCTTCCCCAACTTCCAATCCAATATATCTACATGCACACCAACCCCCATCTAACCCATTTCATCCCAGTGGCTTCCAAAGCATGTCAATAAGCGAAGTCTTCGGCGAATTCCGCTGCGGCAAAACCCAACTCTCCCACACAATGTCAGTAATAGCCCAACTCCCGCGCAGTCTCGGCGGCGCCAACGGAAAAGTCGCATACATCGACACCGAGGGGACCTTCCGACCCGAAAGAATTGTGCAAATTGCGGAACGATTCGGGGTCGAGCCGGAGACTGCGCAGGAAAATATTGCCTACGCGCGCGCGCTGAATAGTGAGCATCAGCTTGAGTTGTTGAATACGCTTAGTTGTGAGTTTGCGGGAGGAGAATTTCGGTTGCTTGTTATTGATTCGATTATGAATTGCTTTCGGGTCGATTATTGTGGAAGGGGGGAACTTGCTGAGAGACAGCAGAAGCTTAATCAGTTTCTTATGAAATTAGCGCATATGGCTGAGGGTGAGTTAGTCCGAGTCTTGTCCAGGTGCGCTTTGCAACTTCTTGGGCTGATTTGATCGTGGGTTGCAGAATTCAATGTTTGTGTTCTCATGGTGAGATTCTTTCTTTTGCTTTTTTGAGCTTTCCTTCCCGAGTGGATAGACACGTCGAGGTGATTTCTGACATATACCATATCAGACAAACCAAGTTCAGAGTGACCCTGGTGCTAGTGCACTGTTTGCTGGAGCTGATGGCCGGAAGCCTGTTGGAGGGCATGTTCTTGCGCATGCGTCGACCACCCGTGTGCTTCTCCGCAAGGGTCGTGGTGAAGAACGAGTGGCCAAAATTCAAGACTCGCCTGGTTAGTTATCGCCCTATCGAAGAAATGCTTTGGATGATGCTAATGGCTCTAGACTGCCCCGAGCGAGAGGCGACTTATATCATTACGAATGGAGGTATCAATGATCCCGACAAGCTATGATACTACCGATAAAGATGACCACGATTTGAACGAAACCTTCAACAAATCAAACGACAATTATGTATTATTATGAGCTACGACATTTTGTAAATTATTATAATTACCCCCAGCTTATCCAATGATTCAATTATTTTTCCCATTCCATCCCATCTTCATCAATGTATGTACTGCATAGACCTCACCGCCTATCCACCCTCCACCGCCCATCAACCCCGGCAGAATCCCAACGCTAGCGCAAAACCTTCAAAAAAGTTTCTCAACAGCACCCGCAATCCAACAACCCATTCCCCACCCCAAGAATGAAGAAAGATTCCGTGGAGGTGGCAGGGTACACCACCCTGACCCTCGAGCTCCCAGGCACAGAAGCCTACCCCAAGCCAGCAACGCACTACCTCTACATCCGACCTCACGAACCCCGAATTCCAGACCCAGACTCCGCCCGCTCCCTCTTCCTCGTCAACACTCCCATCGACACAACAGAAGCGCACCTCCGCGCCCTATTCGCCACATCCCTCTCAGCAGGCCGTGTCGAAAAAGTCCAATTCGAAGATGTTGTTCCCAGCAACAAGAAACGCAGCGCCGCCGCAGCCGCCGCCGCAACAGAAACCGGCATCACACACGGTTCACGAGGAAATAGCAAGAAACGCAAACGCGCCCGCGCCCTCGCAACAGCCGACGAACTTCAAGAAACTCTCGACGAAATAAAAGTCCCCTCAACCTGGGACCGACAGTTACAAAAATCCGGCTCACACGCGATTGTCATTTTCGCCGATAAACCGTCCATGGAAAGCAGTCTGAAAGCGGCGCTCAAGGCATCAAAAAAGGGCACGCTGATTTCCTGGGGTGCTGGTGTGCCCGCTGACCGCGTTGCGAACCTCGGCGTGGCGCGGTACATGGCGCATGAGAAATTGCGGTATCCGGATCGGGCGGCGCTGTTACGATCTGTGAATGATTTCATGACTGTCTTTGAACAGGTTGCTGAGGCGCGGCGTCGTGAGGAGGCGAGGAGACTTACTGAGCCGGATGAGGATGGATTTGTTACTGTTTCGCATGGGCCGAAGCTTAATTCGCTTGCCAGGGAGGAGGAGCTTAAGGCTCTTGTTGAGCGGGAGAAGAAGAAGAATGAGGGTCTTGAGGACTTTTATCGGTTCCAGTCGAGGGAGAAGAGGAAGGAGAAGCAGAATCAGCTTCTTCGGGCTTTCGATGAGGATAAGCGGAAGTTGCGCGATATTAAGGAGCGGAGAGGAAAGATTAGGGTGAGTTTCATTCTCTGACCCCAGCAGGGTTGGCTTTTTTTGGTCGGTGTTTATGCTAACTTTTCCTCTTTCTTAGCCGGAGTGAGTGTGGCATCATCATGGCGTTTGTGGAGTTTTCCGATGTGGGATATTGTTCTGGTATATGGTGAGTTGTTCTAAATTCCCCCGCCTCTCCCTTTTTTTTCACTCTCTTTCCTTTCCATCTTCTTCACTCTATGATGAGTACGCTGGGGCCAGTGTAGTAAGACGCGCTAGCCGCTGTCTGCCATGTCAACAAAAACCAGCATTATCAAATCTTCTCGACCTCTGACATGGAGTTCTCCCTGATTACCTTGTTCACGATCTTATTTGTTGGTCTGACTTGTGCTAATTGTCATTTGAATATAGTTACGAATGTTCGAATATCAAATCAAGAAATGAATATAGATTCCATTTACAACCTTTTTGTGCTGAGCGTAAATCTACTAGTAAACTAATTCGCCTGAGCTGTGGGCATAATTTGGTATAGAGCGAGTAATATATAAACCACCACCAGTACTAGTATATGTCACCATGGCGTGGTCACCCTTCGAACTATCTCCCAGGAGGCCGACTATCATTGAAAAATTCGTCCTCCCGATGTCAGAATCATTGTCTCTGCAGCCCTGATTGTTGCCTATTTAGCTGTCCTTTTTTCTATCCTAGATACACCGTACAACTTGAACGAAATGGATCTCATCACTCCCGCGCACAGACCAAGGCTTGGCATGACATCGCCGATCAAGCTCCAAGCTTCGTACCTCCTCATAAACTAATTCGTTGCACAACCCCATTCTTCCAGCTGAGACCAGGCGTACAAGAAATACCTTATTCCTTCCGCACAGCTTACCTGCTTCCTGGGTACGCCGACTCCCGCCATCACCACTACCATTACCGATCAGCTCTACCCCGCAGTAAGCTCAAAGCTATCAAAGAACCCTGGAAGACGGTGTAGTAGTAGGTATCCGATACTAACTAGTACTGGTATCAGATCGTCATAACGCAGGAAGCCAACTTAAGTTCAGAACACGCCTCATATCATCTCAAATCAGATCAAAATGACCACCAAAGACCGCGAATGTGACTCAGACTCGGACCTAAACGAGGAATTCGAAGACGTCCCCGGCATCCATGAGCACTCAACTAACCCCAACCCCAATACCAATTCAAACGGCTTCTTTTCAGCTCAATCCACGACAAACTTGAACAAGACCAAATCATGGACACCAACCCTAAACCTACCACCCCAAAAACCAACCCCTTCCCCAGGCTCAGAAGAAGAAACCCAACTCCGCGGCCGCGTAAGCGCAGCCATCGAGCGCATAACATACCGACAAATGAAATCCGAGATGGGAATGGATGCACCAGACACCCACGTCTCGCACCGGCGGTATGAAAATTTTGCCGAGTTCGCTGCTGATGTGGATGCGTTGATTGATTTACTTTGGGGATCTGCTTCTCGTGAGTTGGTTGTGGCTGTCCACGGATATTTATATCCACTATTCATTTTCATGTACTAGTACTAATTGAATCAAACCAGCCTCAATCCAAACCGAAAGCCTAATAACGCTCGCGGGAGTTACCGAAACAGCCCTACCAACACACCCATTCGACGGGCCATCCGCTTTAACCCTCCTGCATAAATTCGACGAGGTCTTCGTCGCGCTCTGCACGGGTATTCATCCGTTGACGCGGGAACCGCTCCGGGAAGCACAGACGGGCCGTGGCCCCGTTCTGGTGACACAGACGCAAAAGGTGCGGATTCGGAGTCTTGCGGAGACGACGCGGTATAAGGTTTTTTCTGTACTACCTGTGGGAGAAGACGATGAGGAAGGGGAGGAGGAGGAAGGGGCTGGCGAGCAGCCGTGGGTTTTGGAGGCGACTAGGGTTTATGATCGGACGTTGATGTTGCTTGCGGATGATGATTAGGGGGGGCGGGTGAGGGTGATTTAGATGCGATATGATACTAGTATAATGTGATGGGTTTATTTCCAAAGGATGGAGTAGTATGCATATAGTATTATATTATTCTTGCGTTGAAGCTTTGTTGGTTCTTGATTTTAGAAGATTGTGCTTTCTACTAGTAGTACTAAATAGTACTGGTATATGATAATAACTTTGAAGCAATTGGATATATAGTATTAGTATATAGTAGTAGGAACTAAGAGAGATCAGTTGTAAAGTACTTCCAAGGTTAGTGTAGCTCTGTACGCTAATGACCATCCACCTTCAAACTAAGATCTAGACTCCCTTCACAGCAACATAAGTCCCACTCTTAAAAATCCGCAAGAAAACGGAACAAAAGAACCTTCTCGAAAACACTAGTTCGAGACAGGTGTGCCCAAAAAAAGAAAATACAGTGGGGAAGCTGAAAACAATTCAGGCACAAAAAAACCCAAGCGCAGCCCGAGACTTGGGGTTTACGTACTTTAGGTACTGTATGTAACCAGGTCATCGGGAATCAAACCCAAAGCCAAGCCAAGCCCTGTTCTGCTCTGCTGGGCAGTTCTGGAGCTAGTACGATAGCTCCCATCCCGAAAGAACGAAAAGCGAAAAAGCAAGTAAAACTTGACACAGACATGTTTCAGCGGCGTACGGAGTAATGGTGTGGTTGTTTGGAAAGGGGAATACGAGGAGCGCGGGCGGTATTGAACGAAGCGAGTCCGGGGCTTCTCTTTGGATGAAGCGTCGCGAACTAGTGTGGATGCGAGCCCTGAAAGTGGAGTTTTCTCTTTTTCACGTCCTGGACTCAGCCTCGGGCCTGAGCCACGCTTCAAATGTGTTCAGGGAAGCGGAAGTAGTTTTTTTTTAAAAAAAATTATTGTCCAAAAAATTCTTTTCCTTGATGTATTCATGAATAGGCCCTTCTCTTCTTTGTTGATATTCCACGGATACATACATAATCCTATACACAGCATAGGTCTGAGGTAGCTAGGGCTTACCCTACCAATCCGAGTTGTCCGAGGTTCGTTCCATGGTTCGCGGAACAGAGCATTATTAAGCTGTAATCATGCTCAGGTCGATTCAATTCAATTCAATTCATTGTACCTGGACCTTGCTAAATTATATAATACTCCACGGTATAGAGTAAGCACTATAAGGAGGGCAGGCAGGGATACCCAAGTACATGAGGTAGGGGTGGTCGGTAGTTACTAGTACAGTTATATACAGTATCGGCCTTGCAGAACATAGGGTCGCGGGTTCTACATCCCCCTCCCCTGCTCTTCCCCCCCATACTGCAGGGGTCGCAGCGAATCCACTAGGTTAAATCGACAGGGGGGGGATAAATAAGTACATACCTGTATATAGCTACGGAGTACTTCGTATATTGAGGAAAATAGGAATCGATCATGCGAAGAATTAGCCGATGCGATGCAAGGATCCGATCTCACGGGATTGCGGTAACTGGTAATCTGGTACAGTAAGCAGGGTACAGTAATTGAATGGTAAGGTACATAACATAAGACCCCGACGGGATATGAGTTCATATTATGAACCAAGGGGAGACGATCGAAAATCAAAGCAGAAGATGTGGTGGGATCAGCGTCCTCCTTGCTCATACCTGTGCCATGGCCATCGCTATGGTCATGCTGTTCATGTCCAGCTGGACACTTCAAACCGGTTTCTCTAGAGTCATTACTGGGTAGTCTCTGTCCGGAGTATTTAAGCTGACGGTATTGTATGGACCCCGCCACTCCACCCACGGATCTGGGTCTGCTGCGGGTGACGTATCGAGTCAGCAAGGATGAATCGGATACCTTGCATAGAGTTGGTTTGTTCATTATCTTTGTCTTTGGCGCTATTAGACTTTGTTGATGGCATGGCATGGCATGGCGATGGCGATGGCAACACAGAGTACCGAGTACCCTGATGACCATAGGTGGTTACCGTATCTCAATGACTGAAACACATCGCTTATGTTACTCTCCCATGGTTCTGTGGCGTTGTGGAGCTTTGAGCTCGCCCCTCAGTCTTTCAGCTCACAGAGCTGATGAAGAGTGTATGTATGTGGGTACGAGTACACCTATAGCTATAGTACTCCGTATGTATACTCTATTGACCAGCTCCGCCGGTCAATAGAGTCCTCATATTTGTACTCGGTACGGGTACAGGTATAGATACTGTGAATACAGTTCTCTGAAGCTAGGGTCTGCGACAAGTCATATTCCTTGCAGGAGTACTCCGTAGATGAACTACAGTAGTGTTAGTATAAGGTAAGCAATAAGCTGTATACTTCCACTCAGCACCACCACCGCCGCTGTATTGTAATACATATACATAACCATCCCATACCACGATACATACATACCAAGCAAATTCGCGCAAAAGCCCACTTCCCCTCCTCTGCGACTTTCTCTTCACAAGAGATTTCCATTCTTCATCGCTTTTCCCCTCCTCCAACTTTTTCCTCTTTCCTATTGTTCCCTTCGGTTCGCGGATTTGTTTCTGTCTTGCGCCGTTCTCGGGAGTTGTGCTTTCTTCAGGTCTCACTCGTCCTTCTGCTTTGAGCTTTCTCGCACAGGTTAATTCCAAAATCCCCTTGGTAAGTCTCAAAGTCACTTCTCATCAGCCTCTTTCATCATCGCCCTTCCCAATGCCTATGCATCTCCTCCCCACCACCACCCATCCCATTCCATCCCGCCCAGAGCCATCCAAGGGAAGCAAGCTGCGCATCCATCTTCGCCTCTTCGATCTTCGATCCTCCATTCTTCTCGGTCGCCGGGTGTCTCCTATCGGTCGCTTTCCTCGCTTTCCGCCTGCGCGTCCGCTCCAGCCGGGACTTTCGTTTTGCCTGCCGGGATCTCGCGCCGCTCATCTCCAGTGCTCCTTGCTTGTCGCCAACATGGAAAACATGGTCGCATCAGGTCGCGCCAGCTAGGAGTGGTCTTGGTCTCGTTGGGAGCGAAGAGTGGATACACTGGGGGCGAAGACGGTCGCAATCACCGAACTGTGTGCGTGGAGCGCTGGACGGAAACGGCCGGCGCAACCACCCACTCCACAACAACAGTTGCACTGCACGACGACGTCGCTCACAATCTGGCGCATTGGATTTTTTGGACAATGCTGCCTGCGGCGATCCCATTTTCTTCTTCTCCTCCCTCTTGAGCTCCCATTACCAGATCTCGCTGCGCACCCTGGTTACCTACTACCAGGCATCCATTCGTCGAGGTTTTCGTCGATTTGAATCACGCAAATCATTTCGTTGAATCTCATCGCTTGCTTCGCTTCTATCACTTCCATCACTTCGATCATTTCCAGCTCTCACATCTCCGCTCATCGGGTGTCTGCATCTCCTCTTACAGCCTGCCTGATTGCGCTCCGCACATGTGCATCTGGACCCGCGTCGCATCGTTTCCCTTTCACATCGCATTGCTTGCTCTGGGCTCAATTCTCTCACCTCACCCATTCTAACATCTCTTTCATCAGGAATCCTAACGCCCATCTCTTCGTTTCGGGTTCATTACGAATTGCTCGTTCACGTCTCTCCCTTAACGACTCCACGAACTTCTCGTCGCAGGCCGTTCTATATTCTTACGTCGATTCTCGGACAAGTTTGAGCTTTACAAAATGTCTTTCCAAAACTTCGATTCCTTCCCCAACCAGGCCGATGGTGCCGCTCCCGGCCCCGGTGCTCCCGATGCCGACACTGCCATGGCCGGTCAGCCCGATATGGCCGCTGCCTCCTTCCAGGGTCCCGCTCCTGGTGAGCCCAACTCCGCCGGCCCCCAGCAGGGCGCCGATGGCAAGACCACTCTCTGGTATGTCAAATCCGTTTCCCAGATCCCTGCGGACCAAGCGCTGACCAACATAGGATGGGTGAGCTCGAGCCCTGGATCGATGAGAACTTCATCCGCAACCTCTGGTTCCAGATGGGTGAGCAGGTCAACGTCAAGATGATCCGTGACAAGTTCTCTGGGTAAGAAATGTTTCCTCCTATATTTTTTTTCTCCAAAAGGATACTAATGGTGGTAGTAGGAGCAATGCTGGATACTGCTTCGTGGACTTCTCCTCCCCTGCCGCCGCCGCTAAGGCCCTTTCCCTGAACGGCACCCCCATGCCCAACACCAACCGGGTCTTCAAGCTGAACTGGGCTACCGGCGGCGGTCTCGCTGACCGCAGGTGAGTAATAATCGACTGGATTTATTGTTCTATCCTGAAGCGTTTTTACTGACTTCTCTCTGCAGCCGTGACGACCGTGGTCCCGAGTACTCCATCTTCGTTGGTGACCTCGGCCCAGAGGTGAACGAATACGTTCTCGTCTCTCTCTTCCAGAGCCGCTTCCCCTCGTGCAAGTCCGCCAAGATCATGACCGACCCTATCAGCGGCATGTCCCGCGGCTACGGCTTCGTCCGTTTCTCCGATGAGAATGACCAGCAGCGTGCCCTCACCGAGATGCAGGGTGTCTACTGTGGCAACCGCCCCATGCGCATCTCCACCGCTACCCCCAAGAACAAGGGCCCCGGCGTTGGCGCCAACATGGGTATGGGTCCCGGCCCCGCCGGCATGTACCCTCCCATGGGCGGTCCCCCCCATGCCCTTCTACGGTGCTCCCCAGCCCATGAACCAGTTCACCGACCCCAACAACACCACTGTCTTCGTTGGTGGTCTGTCTGGCTACGTCACTGAGGATGAGCTCCGCTCTTTCTTCCAGGGATTCGGCGAGATCACATACGTCAAGATCCCCCCTGGAAAGGGCTGCGGCTTTGTCCAGTTCGTTCAGCGCCACGCTGCCGAGATGGCCATCAACCAGATGCAGGGATACCCCATCGGTAACTCTCGCGTTCGTCTGAGCTGGGGTCGCTCTCAGAACAACTCCGGCCCTGCCGGTAGCCCCTACCGCCCCGCTCCCCCGCCGCCCCCCATGTACCCCTCCATGGGGATGCCCCCGGCTCACCAGTATGGCGGGTTTGCCCCGATGAAGGTTAGCAGTCACCCCGGCAGCCCGGCCCCAGAACACTCTTGAGTTACAGGCTCGGTCGGCTGACTCTTCACGTTCTCTCCAGTAAGCGTTCCTTTGATTGAAAAGCACCAGCAGGAGTTGTTTGCGTCATTCCAATGATGGGTTCCCGTGTTATCATAACAAATTTGCTATTTTTTCCCTGGTTCCTACCGATACTTCATCAATGCGCTCTTATAGCTCTTGATGAGCATCTTTCTCCTTCTTGTTGCTACGCATTTCCCTGAGCGCTTTTATCTTAGTAAGATTTGAGCTCGTTTTCTTCTTCCCTTCGAAACCCCAATCCCCCCACATTCTTATTTCATTTTTCTTATCTGATGCTGCTGCTGTTGCTTCGTTTTTTTCTCTTTATCTTCTGTACACCCACCACTTTTCGTACGGATCTCTACTCTTTTTTCCTTTTATCAATCTGCTTTTTCTTAACCAATCTGCCTTTTCGATGAACTGATGAGAACCCCTTCGAACTTTTTACGGTGAAACCTGCTTTTGTTTTATTCTTATCCAACCCCGCCCTGGGGGTCGTGTTCGCGTGTAACGAAAGTGCGTATTTGTTTATGCGTTTCTTTTTACTATACTCCTTGGGCAAGGCATTCTGCAAAAGTTCCAAATCTCATTTACTTTCTTCAAGTTCTTCCCTATTATCTCTCCTCCAGTCTTTTCACGTTTCATATGTCCTCTTCTTTAAACCCTCCAATTTACATTTGCTCCCTCGCAATCCACCAGCAGTCAAATTGAATTATGTTCGCTTCGAAGATGCGTTCTGCTTTCTTTCTCGTCCCCTGGAAGATGGAAGATGGAAGATCCCGCCAGTCTTGGAACGGCTCTAACTAACAGTCTTTTTCTATTCTTGGTCTCTTTCAAATTGTAAGATTGACTACATGTACAACACCGTCCTTGAAATTCTTTGTTTGGTTTCTATCTGCCACGCTTGGGCGTTTGAACGCTGTTTCGAACCGGCATATGCATATGCATACGCATGCGCATCCTGCATTTGCCACATTTTTGCGTCCCGGATACATCTTTGGAACTGACTGCTGTGGTCTTTGGCGTGATATTTGGTTCCCTGAGAATTATCCTCAGCCTTGATCGGACTCTCGCTTGTTTTCTTTTTTTTCTCTTCTTCTCCCTCTTCTGTAGCTTTAGATTTGGATTCCCCCTACCTTGCGTTCATTGTTCTCACTCACTCTACCCATGTGTCCTACAAGGGTTGGTTTCGTTTGGCGCATACCTTTTGGGAGGTCCTATTCTTTGTCTTCTGCCTTTTCTTGCATTGGACTTGACTAGATTGACTGTATGAGTATGTGTGTACTCGACTTGGTTGGCAATCTTTTGGTCTGTACTTTTGATCTTGGATATCGTATCTTGTCAAATCATATAAGTACTAGGAGTAGTATTATTATACCTAGACATTATGTAGTAGTTAGGGTACAGCAGTAGATGCACCTTCCACTAATCCTGCACCTTCTCTATCAGATGGTGCGGCATCGACTACCTTCCAGCCCCGTCAACTTCCCCCTCAACTTTTCCTTTCCACTTTTACCTCCCAACTCTGTCCATCCTCTTTGCTTTCAAGTTTTGGGGGACTTGATTTACGAAAAGTCCAACCGTCTCCCCTTTACCCCCAACTCTCAACTTGAAGCCTACTGTATTGCTTTCGCTTACCCTGCGGCTATTCCACCATGCGCTACGAGAACTGGGATGTTCTACTCTTCTCCGACGAGTCGAAAGCTCCGATTCAGGAATTCAAAACTCAGTGCTTCGTCACAAAGGACCTCGATTCACCCTATTTGAAATACCACTCGACGTTCGGTGCAGCAAATACTTACTTCTATCCTCACCATGGCAATGTCGGCCAGTTGCCCATTCTTACAACCTTCATCCCCAGCGTACCCAAGGACACTGGCTTTCGAGTTTCGATTCATAATTGGGAGAAGCCTCGGCCTAGTCGTCTGATTGAAAGTGTCATGCAACTGGATGATATGTTACTCTACGAGGCCAGGGTGTATGTTGATGGGGACTGTGTCGGGTGAGTACTGGACCTCGATCCTGCATATCGTGGCAGTTCTTTGTTGACCACTTTCTGCGGAAATTAGAGGCGGCATCTTTTCGCAAAGGGCAAATTGGCCCTACCTTATTAGTGAGTTATGGTCGGTCTCGATTGAGACGACTGTGCTAATCTCTCGAATCCAGATTTCAGTTCTCGTACGTCGGCGCTCATGCTGATGCAATTCCCTCCCTTTGGCCATTCTCTATTCTAACAAAGGTAAACAGAGATGGACCGAGACGGCAATCAAGACGTCCTCCGTTTCCCCCAGTTTCATTCGGACATCTTGGAACAACGACATTGGGATGCCGGCGATTCGTACGGTAGAATCAAGATCGTTCTCACAGAGGGTTTTTCGCGTCCGCATCGCTCGCCGCCATTCGAAAGAGTCAAAGACGTCGTCGCCCTTTCGTTCCAGCATGCTCCGCTGAGTAAGTTATCAGACCTTATACATCTACTTCTATTCCATAACCTGACTGATTGATATCCTTGCAGATATCCTCGAGTATTCGAACATTGCCTGGCCAAACCCCAGCATGTGGCATCGCAAATACAGCTCAGCCTCAATCGACACCAAAGATGCAGAGGGCCACGCCCACAACACACCTACCAAAGAGTCTCGCGCTCCTCTGCAACTTATTCACGGCCAGGTTGTCCCCCGAGCTGCGCCCCCGCCGACATTCTATACCAATTGGGCAACGAGCAGTATCTTTGACGTGCCGATTTCTCATTGGCCTGCATATAGTACACAGGATCCTCGGTGGGATATTGACCAAGAGAACGACATCTTTACGACTGATCCCAATCCCGCCTGGCAACAGCGTGGTGCTCGTTCGTCCCGAGAAGATGTACCAATCGATCCCGCCTGGCAGCACCGTGGTGCGCGTGCCTCCCGTGACGATATCCCAATGCTCGATTACAGTTCGTCGAATAGCCGCGCTATATCCAGCGTTACGGGGATGAGTTTCGAACACAGCAAACAACCAAGCATGGCTGCTCTCATGGATGAGGAAGATTTCACTGTTCTTCAGGAATCCATTACGCTAAGCAGCCCGAGTACGATTATCAAGAGCCGGAAGGAAAAGACCAGCGGAACTGGAAATTCAATCAACATCAACAAGGACGATGAGAAGGAAAACGAAAAGGGGATTGAGAAGGTGGTCGAGACCGCGGTCGAGAAGGAGAAGGAGGATAACATGGTGACTCCCAAGAAGGTCTAATGTATACCTTAAGGGGTATACTTCAGTTTTATAACTTTTATCGTCTGTCCCCGTATCCAAAAATGAATCCTTATCTTCGAGTTAGGGCTTTCTCCGCTCCGATCTACTTCCCCGGCCTCATAGATTCCATGATAGGTGACCCTGGCATACCTCCCTGCATTTGATATCCAATATCAAAGATCAACCTAGAACAAATTCAAGAATCGGCATTCCAATCTGCATAATATAAGATATGCCTCAAGGCATCTAGGTATACCTAGTGACTCACCAAACAGACAGTGTCTAGTATTGTACTCTATCCCGCGTACTCCGGGGCACGGGGGTCTATAACATTTACCGTACCGTCGTGCCTTCCTAATTGCCGGAGATGACTACACGCGTGCCTGCCGTTGTTCTTGATGCTTGTTTACATTCGCTTATTTCTTACGGCTGGGATCGTCAACTTCTTCTCTTCTTCATATCCGCTCCATACCCTTGCCTTTTCAACTTCCTCCCCATACCCTTTCCTTCTCAACTTCCAGTCGTGAATGTGTCTTCCCCGACTTCGGATTCTGAAACAAGTCACGACCTTCAAGGTTTACCCTCGTCGCTCTGATCAACTCTCAGTTCAGGAGCTTCGACTTCCTCCAAGGTTTACCCTCGGTCTCCGGTATCCTTCTGATCAACTCTCAACTCTGAATGAAGCCTTTAAATTCCGTCTCCTTACTTCTACATACGAAGCACTTCGTATCGAGAAGAAAACTTGAGGCCTTTCAAGTCATCAACACCGCAGGTCTCACAGGGAGCGCGTCGAAAGGTCTTCGAGTTGTGGCACTCGCATCGCTGTCTTGCAGTGCCCGCATCGCTGTCTCGATCCTAGCTCTTCTTCTACTCTCCGTTGTCCTTCGAACTTCGCTGTTATCAGCCGATACCTGATATCCTTCTTCATTCATCTGCGCACACTTTGCGTCGAAGAGAAGACGGAAAGGCATACGCCCTCACTCGCGTTTCACGCCTTCGCATTTCTACACTTCTCGATCAGAGCGAGAAACGAGAAAGAAGTTTACGCCGTCGGATACGCGTGTGTTCTACCGTCCATCTGGTTTTACGCCATCGCCTTTTACAATTTTCGAGTCCGTCGGCTGCCTCTCAATCTTACGTTTCCGATTATTGTACTCTGGTGCATTTTTCAACTCTTCTTGGGCCTTCATTGCCATTGCTGCGACGAAATCAAACTTCACGAGAACGAGGAGCAAGGCTGCATCTCTAGATCCCATCAAATCCGAACTTGAACCCTCGACACTTTCCATTTCACTTCCACGACGGAAACACATCCTGCTGCGAAAGAAAAGTTGTTCTTATTTTAAGTCCTCAGTCGGGTTCTGTCAATCAATTTTCCAACTTGCCTGATATCTGTTCGATCTTTACACTCTGGTGCACTCTTCGCACCCAGTTGCACTTTTCGGACCTTTGTCTGGGAATACTTCCGGGTCTACAAACACAACTTACAGCGAGAAAAAAGGGCCTACGCCCTTACTCGGTTGCGGTGTCCTTCAAACACTTCAAACTTGGCCCCTCAGCTAGTTTTGCTAGTTTCTTCAATATTTGCACCCTTCAATCGTTGATTGCACTCTGGTCACTCTTCGTGCTCTGGTATACTTCCAGGATCTCCATCTGGGAGTACTTCTACGAACACAACCTGCAGCGAGAAAACAGTTCTACGTCCTTACGGTTGCACTTTTCAAACTTTATTCGTCACCCGCTTCTCGACCTTTGATCTTTCCAATACAACCGGTACTGTTCCAATCCGAGCGATTCATTATTTCCGTGGATCATTTGCCCGGCTTTCAGGCACAACCTTAACTATCTTCCGAAATCGCGCCTTCCAATTATTCAATTATTACTCTCGGATACAATTTTCGAAAGTGTTACTCCTCGTCAAAGTTTTAGAGTCGCAAAGTCAAGATTCAAGAGCCTCATCCTTCGTGGTTCAAAGTTTTTCTAAGCATCTCCGCGTCCACGTCAAAATCGACAAAAACATCCCTTCGCCAAAACAAAATAGTCACCACATCGTGATCTTTATCTTGAAGTCGACAATTCTTGCAGTACAACTACACCCTCTCTTCGCGGTTCAAGATCCGTGTTCTCCAATCATCACCCCAAGTGATCTGCTCTCCATCACCCTCAAGTATACTGTTCAAACCCGTGCGAGTCATTCTCCGTGATCTCCGACCTTGTTTTTATCAGGCACCTCAGCTATCATCAGTATCTTACACATCTCCCACCTTTCAATTGGCTTACTCTGTGACTCAGTTGTGGTATTTCGACTTCCCTATACGGTGCTACCATCCCAAAAGCCAAGATTCAAGATCGCCATTTTTGGGAATATCCCAAGTCAAAATCGACAGGGTCTCTCCACATCAACGATCCAGTGAATCGATTCAATCTCAACCCAAACAGTAACTGCTATTTCCGACATATTTCACATCTCGTGTGCCAACAAGGCCTCGGAGTACAGTTACATTCTCCTTGTGCGGGCTTAAAGGCACTGAAGTCACAAAAGATTGCTATTCTTCAGCGCTGTAAGTCTTCAGCTCTGGAAGTGGTGCGGCGGCCGCAAAGCTACACCTACACCCTCTTCCTTTGTGACCGAGTCAGAGACCCAAACGGAACCCGAATTCTATTCATTTTGCAGCTGCGACAATATCGATTCCAGTCAGAGAGCTTGCAAAAGCTTGGAATACTGTCACCTCGCAATACTTTCACCCTCTTCCTTTTCAACTTTGACCAGCTGGCTGGAAAACACCCTGACTTTTGTGATTACCAGACACCGAGATTGCAAAGGCTCCAGCTCGTGTCACTGTTCTTGATTGCAAAGTTTTCACCTCGTGCCACTGTTCGTTTTTGCAGGTGGTCATCCAAAACGTCTCTTTACTCCACCGGAGGTCGAGTCGTTCACAAATTCGACTTCAAATCTCTGCCTTGATTTTCCAATTCGGGATTTGTTTGAGAGTACCAACACCCGGTGGTTCTCTTTGGGTCCAACTTTACAACAACCCAGTGTTCCCTCACCATCAATCGACGTCTGTGCCAACCACAACTTCAACAACTCCTTTCAATCCGGATTCTGAGACTGCTCTTCTTCGACACTCGTTGCCGATATTCACTGGCAATTCTATCCACATAACTGGAGTGCGGATATCCGCTTTGAGACCGCAGGTTCTTCAGGCTGTTAATATCTCTCAAACAAGCTTTGCTTTTGCATGCCCTTGAAGATATCTGGCAACGCAACAGTGACCCTGAACTTTGCATCCATCACGAGCAACTTTGCTCCACTGCTGTCTTTCAAAACAGTCTTCTCGACACAACTCTCATCGCAGAGTGCGGATATCCGCTTTGAGACCACAATCCTTTCTCTTGTTATTCGAGTCGAAAGGCATTTCCTTCTAAGCCTATACCTCATCCTTCCGGTATCGCGTCTACCACTCGAAGCTAACACACTTCCTCCGTTCGGCATCTGGTATTTCAACAAGTCGACACTCAACCAGTGTCTTATTCCAAGGCTGGTTCTCTGGATTTGACACAGCTTCTCCATTGAGACCCTGGTAATTTGACTTCATTCAAGACCTCTCCGTTAATTACCTCAGTGGTGATCAAGAAAGAGCTTTGCTCTACTGAATCTGTACAATCGGCAAGGACTTTACTTTCAATTGTGGACCTTTGCGTTCTGACGCTGTCTCTCAGACAGTCTTCCGACACAACTTTCGTCGCGGTATTCGGATATCCGATTTCAGACCGCGATTAATTGCGAGTTTCCAGATCTGTTGCCTGGTTCATTTTCTTCGAGTTCAAGACCCCCTTGAATTTCGGTCCCAAAAAAGGAGGGGTATCTACCACCTTCGAGATTCAGAAACTTCTTCTCCGCTTGATCTCCAAGGTCACTTTCTTGCTGTCTTAACAAAAGAAACGCTTTCGGCAATCGCTACATTTCCGGGACCCTCTATTTTGAAACTGCAATACTTGACGGGTATTCAACCTTTTCTACTCTCTCTCCTGAACTTTCAAGTTGAAACCGCAATCCTTTGCGGGTGTCAAACTCGCAAGTTCTCTAAGCTGTGCATTGGGACAACTTGCAGGTCGTTTAACTCATCCAATTGCCAAACTCAACTCCGCTTCTGCAGCTTCAAGTTGTTTCAAGTCGCGTCAAGACTTTGAGCGGCCTTGTTCTCTTCACACACCTCAGGTGTTCCCTTCACAAGCCTCAGGACAAAACCGTATTTTGACCTCATTGCTTCCTTCTTCCAATACATCTCCTGCCTCCTGGTTCTGTGTACTCACTGAAGTTCAAGGGCATTTTGGTACCTTAGGGTCCACGCAAAGATTCTGTCAGCCCTCGGTTGTCCGGCCAGGGCTTCTTTCTTGCTTTTGACAGGGATTCATTCGAATTGGCAAAACGTCCCGAGGGACGAGGTTATCAATTCTCTTTTTGACAGTGAGGCATTGTTTCTTGAGTCCAAGACTGCGGTCTAACTTCGCCTCTGCAACTTTAAGTATTCGGAGGACCTCCTTCTCCCATACTCTTACACACTTCAGGAGTGGACACCGATAACAACTTTTTCGATCTTCACGCCAAGTTTTGCGACTGGCTACTATCTCCAGCTTTGACCTTCAGGTTCTTTACTCGTGTGGAGTTTCAAGATCGATTCCGCTTCTGCAGCTTCAAGTTTTCGGCTGCACGTAGGGCGCTGTTTTCAATACCATCAGTCATATTCGAAGTCGACAACTATTGCAGAATTTGTGATCTTCGTATCAAACTTTGCAAGTTTCAACACCCCCAACTCCTCTTCACATTCTTCGACGAGCTCAACTTCAATCTCGCGGGGCATTTTCACCTGTTCAGTTTTCAAGTTCAAATCCCCTTCTTGAGGACTTTCAGAGTGGAGGTTGGAAACTTCATCACCAAGCCTCATCACCAAGCTCTGGAAGATCAACTGGAAGGTGAAACGCGGTTTCATCAAATCGTGCTTTCAAGGTCAGTTTCTTTCCGTCTTACAGGCCATCGTTCTCGCAAGGATTCCAAAGCTGACTTCAAGTCTCTGCTTTAGTGGCTTCACACTATCCCATATCACCCCAAACCCTTAGGTTCTTTTCCTTACCTTGCATTTTATGCTCGCAGGCACTTATTGTGACCTAACCGGACGCCCCAAATAACTTCAAGCTTTTTCGAAATACCCCGACTACTTTCCGTGATCTTGACACTTCTTGCTCGACTTTCGACTCTCCTGGGACAAATCGGGGAATTTATTCAACCTTGAGAGTCATCTTGGCAAGGAAAACCGCTTTTGGCATCACTTTTCGGTGCGTCTGCATCACTTCCCTTGGACCTTCCATTTACCATCTACTCTTCGTGATACACGTGTGTCCATCATCAGGCTCTTTGTCTCCCTTTCTATTTGTTGTGTGCTCCGATTACTCCGCAGAACTATTACGAGTCAACACCCTCAATTCAAATCCTTTCTTGTGTTGCAGATCAATCCACGCTGCTCGACTGGCATAAACATACAGATTCAACCGGAAGGTAGATTCAATTTTGACCACCGTCAGCAGTGTGAATTTCGGAGCTCTCAATCGCAGGACTTCCAACCTTAGTCAAGAAAATCGCGGGCCTATTCAATATTGCCAATTCCACACCCGCAGATTCTATCTGCATTCTTGAATCTCAGACTGAAGGTGCCTTTGGCTGGCTCCGTGGATTTTCGATTGAGGTCGATTGTGAGTGTCCCCTTTCCATCCTTTTCTATACCTTAACCGACGTTCGTACAGCCCCAGAAATCTTTGATCTCAATTTTAAGTAACTTTTCGAGGGCGAAGCAGAATCCCCCATGATTCCTGGAAAAAAGGAACCGGAAAAAGGCATCGCAGACCACAGTATTCCATTCAAAATGGCGCACGAGAGAAGCAATCATAGTAATGTGACCCTTGAGGATGTCCATGGAATCGCTCCAGGTACTTCCATGGACATGTTCCACGAGGACAGGGCCAGGGCAGAGCTCGTAAGTGAACCGAGCCCTGTATACTCCCATCATTTCCCCTTTTCTTCGAATTCATTCTGACCGTCTTCCAGTCTTCTCAACCCATCGTGTCGGAACCAAACCGCGACACTAGTTCCGGGCAGCGCATGACAAGCGATATCTCTGCTACATTTGAGCCAGTACAAACTAGTCCCTTGGACTTGGAGATAACCTCGTCCGCAATTCCTTGCAGTCAGCCTTCAATACTTTGCAACGATTTTTCTACCTTGGGTCCCCTAAACCCGAGCAGCGGTCTTCGGGCTAGTTCAGTGGAACTCTCCAATCAAGTCAACAGAAGCTCGAGTACTTTCCAATCATCAGCACTTCTTGATCAACTCCCAATGTGGGACAATACTCCTTTGGGCGTGAGTCCTGTGGACACGAGCAGTGTTCCCAATACAATGGCAGTCCAGCACGAGTCTCGGGAGCTCTGCAGCTTGCGCAACCCTTGGCCAGGTGGTCAACAGGACTATGCGCCTGTCTCATTCTCTATCCCGATGCGAACCCGAAGCCGTTCAATTCATCCTCCTCCAGCAGTTGATCCCACCTACTCTTTATCTTCAATATTGGATTCATTTCCAAGCTCTGGCTTTGGTGGTGCGATTGCCCCTCTTGCTAAGACCGAGAGCAGCCTGGAACCGGGCGAGGTCAGGAGCATCTCTACGCCTAGTCTAAATCATCATCAATCTTTTGTCGTTGAGGAGTATCCAAGGGTGAGTAATATCTAGCCAGCGCTATTCCCATGAGCTGTCATTGTCATTGTCTTGGATCACTAATTGACGTTACGAAATAGAACAATCTTGGTTCCATTGACCCGAGATACCAATCTAGAATCCAGCTCCTCTTCGCCTTGGGGGTCATCAATCTTATGGCTAAGCTGCAGCCGAGATTCGAGTTTAAATTCGGCGACAAGAACGGGTCAAGGATAGGTGCAAGGCTCACGCTTTACGGCCATACTATCCTGGTCGAACCGATCTACGCTACCGTTGATAGGGCCAGGGTTGAGGGTTGTCGTCTTGCTCTCGAAGAGCTCAAGAAGTACAACCCGACTTGGTTGTTCCCACCCCTGCCCATGGATTGTCCCATTGGGCCGGAGTGGGATTGGACGAAGCTGTTGGCTGGTGAGAAAAGAGAACCCCCTATCATTCCTTTTCATACTATATCTTCAAGATTGAATTTAGTTCAAAGCTGACTTTTTTTCTTTTCGTCTTCCCAAGATTACTGCCAAGAGAGAGATTTGGGTCCTCCTCTTTACTATTCACATGTCCCCAATTTCTACCAATGGCACGGCGAGGTAGCTATCGGTAATGAGCGCTTCCACGCTACCAGAGAGTACAGCACGGAGCAGGAGGCGCGAAATAGGGCTGCCCATATTGCTCTCCGTGATTTGATCCTGGACGAGGTTTCTAATGACAATCAATACATCCTGCCGGCTGAATCCCAGTACTTGCCCGAGATCAAATCCAAAGGCAATTCTGGGCAGCTTCGGGGTCGGCGGTTGTCGGCTGATCCCTCTTCTTCTGATGATCGAGGAAGGTACTCGAATCTGACCTCGCCTACCTGGAGGGGATCACGTCGCGAAAAGGCAAAAAATGTTTCGAGAAAGCGTCGAAACCGTGGAGCTCCGCCCCCTCCAGCGAAGAGGATCAAGCCGGACCCGTTGCCGTCGAGCACCGTGGCAACCTATCGCCCTATCCCCGCCGTGAATGAAGGTCGGAAGAAATTGCCATTGAAAAACTCTCAACCCAAGGGTACCAAGGCCAATTGTGTCCCGGTAGAGAAAAGTCGTTTGTCAGACATCAAAGTCGAAGAGAAAGTCGACAATCGACTCGAAACGCTAGAAGCTCTCCAGGAAAGATTGAAGAAATTTCCTGGAAATGCTGCTTATCTGGATTTGATGACTGGTATGTTACAAACACCCAGTTGCCCAACAGTCTTTCCCTGTCCCTGTCCCTGTCCCTTTCCTTTTCCTTTTCCTTTTCCCTTTCCCTCCTCTTCTTTTCTTTTTCTGGCCGATTTCGCGACTGACGTATCAATCTACAAACACAGCAATTTGCGAAGTCATCAACGTCCAACTCCCTAAAATCCGCTACCAGCTAGCTAACCCCCCCTGATCACGGAGCTGCCCGGGGGCAGTACACAATTTCTGCTCTCTTTGACCGAGGCCACCCCTTCCTGAACCGCGCGAGTCCCATCTTTTTGGCAAATGTCAATCAGATGGGCGCTAATTCGGCGGAGTCCCTGGGCATCATGAAGGTCATCCTGTATCTTCTGCGAATGCTCCGTGAGGATGCGGGCTTGGACTTCGATGATCTCGAATACAAGAGGGATCTGAAGTTTCTGAGAGATCTCGAAAATGAGGTCGAGCTTCGTTTTGCGCGCTCAATCTAAAAATGACTGAGGATATGCCTGTGCCCGATGTTTCCATGATTATGATACAAGTGATGTGAAGCTAAGAAGGTCTGTCTGCGCTGAAGGTTTGTCCGGTTTGTGCTCCAGTGTGGTTCATGGTTGTCCTGCAAATCCATGAATGCTTTCGGCTTGATGTCTTGGTTTTGCTATCAAGATTCCAAGGCATCTTGAGTTTGTGGTTTCTTTTATGTCTGTTGTTGTTTTGTGTTTTCATGTTGGCGGCGCGTCGGCATACAAAATAGTGCGTGAGTCTTCTCATCAGTAATCATCACGGCGCTGGAGGGCATCTATACCCCCACAAAAAAGCACCCATACGCACTCGCCGCCTCTTATCCACGCACGTGTGCCAAAACCCCAGGATGTTCCAGACGATATTGTCGGATGGGGCGAGAGAGGGGCGGAGCGGCTTTTGATCCACTCGTGGTCACTATGCCTCGAGTCTTCAGCGCCTCGAGAAGCGGTTCCAGCTCTTCAAGTTCCTCAGTCATCAACCTTTACATCCCTTGAGTTTGGGAGCCATTCTGCATCTGTCGATACTGGCTCTCTATTTGACTTTTCTCAGTACAAGGAGTCGGATACTTTATCGTCATCCGACAGCACGATACGGAGGGTGATACCCGAGCAGCATACCATGGTGAGAAGGAAGAATTTGAACATTTATCTCGGTGCATCTGCTGAAAATGGACTGGCAGTGTTTCGTGTTCAACTTCTCTGAGTACCAAATCAAATCAAGTCTATGTACTTTGGTTTGATTTGTAGCTGCGGAGGAACGTTAATTTCCATCTCTATTGTTATCTTCTATTGCTATCCCCATGGATATCCCCATGTTCATGGACATGGGTTTGATTCTGGGAGATGGGGTTTGATTTTGGGTTCAGTCGACCATTGAGCAGCGCACCGGCTGTGGGGATCTAGAATAGTCAGACTTTCGAGTCGGCTGAAGTCAGCTCGACGGTTGATAGGTTCCAATTTGATATCCATCTCTCTTCTACAGTTTCTTCGTATATCCCGATTATTCGTAGATGTAGATCTCTTGCTTGGTATGCCTGCCATTCTGCTCGGTCTACATCATCCAGTCAAGGGAATTTGACATAGACTGGCCGACGTGCTGTGGAGGTCGACAACTTCGCCCTGTTGATGTTAGACATTCTCGGTGATACCGTGGACAATTCATACATCATTGACTTGATTATTGGACTCTGCTCGGGTGAGAATACAATTTCCGTATTTTATCAGGATCGAGGATATACAGAGCGTGCCCAACCAAGATGGACTCGGCCGGACTGAATTGAACAGCGGTTGCTGTCCGATCCATTTTAGCGACCAATCCCTTTAAGCAAGGCTATGAAACACTCCTACTTCCCGTGACATATTCATCAAATCAAGCTAGATTGCATATAGTGAATGTGTATGGGTTTATAGTACAGCTGATATTCATAAGGTTTGGGTTTGAGTTTGAGTTTGGATCTACCTCTACCCAACAAATAGAATAGGCAGAGTCCAATGATGAGATGATGTGTATAAAGATAATTCAACGCCCGCTTAACCATCATTACAAGTATTATTTTTGTATGGCTGGGCTCCTCACTTTCCAAGTTCGCCGAGCATGAGGTTGCGATCAGAAGAGCAGGAGACGACTGTGAGAAAGAAATAGTTAGCCACTTATCAAATCGGAACAAAGCATCATTTTCGCGCGAAGATATTGCGAGCTTGTACTCACTGATAGGCTCGTCGTTTGGCGAGAATCGTACGTCGTTGACAGTACCCTTGTGACCGGGAAGCTTGTATAGAAGTTTACCCGTCTTCGAGTCCCAAACCACAACACTCCGGTCCCCACTACCAGCAGCAATCTTCTCTCCCTTCGGATCCCAGCTCGCGCGAATAAGATTCTTCTCCAAACCCACAGGCGCACCATCGAACGTAAGAACCTGTCGATTCGCCGGCGCAAAGGGACGAATATCCCACGTCCGCACCGTAGAATCATGCGAGTTAGAACACAAACTCTGCCCATCTGGCGAAATCTGTAAAGATGTGATGGTATCATTGTGACCAGTCATAGAATAAACGATGCTCTTTTTGCGCAAATCCCAAACATGGATAGAGTTATCGATACCACCACTGTAAATTTCGTTGCCGGCCTCGGACAACGCAACGCTTGTGATTGGTAGCTCGGTCTCGAGATATTCCAGCGCGTCCTTTTGTCGCGGATCCCAGATTCCAATGCAGCCGTCGTCACTGCCGCTGATTAGAAGTTCTTGTCCACGCTTGCTGATGTCGAGGGAGTTGATTATCTCTTCGTGGCCTACGTGGCGACGGACGCGTTGGCCTGTTTCCACGTCCCAGCTTCCTAGTGTTTTGTCGGCGGATGCGGAGAAGAGTGCTCGTGAATCGCGGGCCCATTGGAGGTCTAGGACGGCGCCTCGGTGGCCGTTCAGTTGGCCGTAATTTTCACATTGGCCATATGTGTTCCATAGTACTGTGGAGCGTTCGCGGTTAGTGGATTATGTTCGGTTCGGTTTTTTTCTTCTTTTCTTTCTGGAGCTGGTGAACGTACAGATTGATCGGTCCATCGAGCCGGATGCGATATGTTGGGCACTTGGGTCAAATCGGACGGCGAAGACTTCTCCGGAATGCCCTGTCAGTTCCATGATAGGCGCATCTAGTCCGCTGGTGCGCGGGACCTGTAGGGAGGGAGAACGAGGGTATGGTTAGCCAGGTTCTTTCTAGCCACAATTCGATTCCTAATCCAACAAGCCAAAACCAAACATACCGATTGCACAAGAGCTCCGTTCTGAGACGAGCCCTTGACTACCGCAGTGCCAGGATTGAGCTCTGCATCGGGCTTATTTCTTTTGACGACGAGCTGGTTGGCCGAGCCAAAAGCCGCCTGTGCGGGACGCTTTTCTCCAGACATGATCGCAGCAGCGCTAGCCTGTAAATCCCAGGTATAGGGCACAAATATAAAAATATGGGCCAAGGGGGTTCGTAATTGGAGCTGGTGGTTGTGGGCGTTGGTCGTGGGTGCGGAGCGGAGCGACGAAAGATTCACCTTGAAAGTTCCCGCTGGAGGAGCTCAGCGGGAAGAATGATATTCCTCCCCTCCTCTCCCCAAAGGCGGTCAACCTGATTTGTGTACGACGGGCAGAGCTTCCAGCTAGTTACTCCCTCCTCCCCGCAATCAACCTTGCTTCTTCCGTTGTCGCATTCGCCTGTGTGTGTTTGGGTATTGCCGTTCTCTACCAGTTCAAATACGCTACGTCGTCGGTGTGCCCGTCCAGCAAATAATGTCGGCTACAAAGGCCTCCAGAATAGGGGAAGAGTGAGTTTGAGTTGATCTTGTCTGGTTTCTGTCGGAGTCTCCACTAACGCTTAGTTCTTGACAGAATATGGAAGTCAGTATTGCTTTTACACTTCACTTTACTTTACTCGCGATGTGGTGGCGCTTGATACCTTGCCTTTACCATATCATACCATCCCGTCCTGTCCTGATCTCCTCTGCCTGCTTTGCGCCACTGCCTCTATACTTCGGACAACCGGGCTAACGAACAAACCGTCAGGACGAGAATCGATAAAGTCAACGCGGAGCTGGTCACATTAACCTACGGCACAATCGTTGCGCAACTATGCCAAGACTATGACAGCGACTACCAAGAAGTGAACAAACAATTGGAGAAGATGGGCTACAACATTGGGATGCGGTTGATTGAGGACTTCCTGGCCAAGTCTGGGGTTGGTCGATGCGCCAATTTCCGTGAGACGGCTGATATGATTGCGAAGGTGGGTACGGGTGCTTTACACGAGGCACTTGCAGAGTACTGTTGCAGAGAGAGATAACTGACAGACAGACAAACAGGTCGGCTTCAAGATCTTTCTGAATGTAGCACCAACAGTCACCAATTGGACAAACGACAATAACCAGTTCTCCCTGATCTTCGACGAGAACCCGCTGGCGGACTTTGTCGAGCTACCGGATGACGGGCGCGCACAAGATGAGCTATGGTTCTCGAATATCCTTTGCGGTGTGCTGCGTGGATCGCTAGAGATGGTATGTGTTATATTACAAACTTTCTTTTATTTGCCCCAGCCTCCCCTTCCATCGGACCCAGACCCAGACCCAGACCCAGACCATGCACCTTACCTTAACCTTTGCGTCGGGACCGATCGCTGTTGCTCGCTTTGACCCTGACCGCTGACCGCTGACGTTGATCCCGGGATCCAGGTTCAAATGCAGATCGAGGCGCACTTTGTGAGCGATGTGCTCCGCGGTGACGACACGACGGAGATGCGAGTGTCGCTGGTACGATACATTGAGGACGAGATGCCGCCGGAGGATGAGTGAGTGATGGGTTGCATGTATTATGGCGTTGGCAGGGATGATATTTTACCATGTTCTACAATATTTCTACAATGTTCACAATTTTATAAAAAGACAAAAGAGAGACAGAAAGAAGCCTAACGAAAGAAAATTCTTACTTCTACTCCGTACATACTCGGATATGGTTCGATCCGGTTCGATCGTCCCTGGAGTAAGGTAAGGTTTCTGATCTATCGCGCTGTAGGAACAAGCGCAGTTCCCCGCCACGCGATTTATCGTGTTGCAGGGGTAAGTGTTTCACCGTTGAGAGAAAGAAGAGAGAAAGAAAAAGGATAATCTCCACGCGAGATGATTCCATATGATGTCTCTATTTTGTCTTGGTATACTATACTAGTGCCAGTGGTAGGTACTACTAGCTCGTACTAGTAATTCTGGTGGGATGTCCGTCATAGGGCAGCGATGATCTGATGTGGTGGTGTAACAATACCCGTACCGCTCTAATACTGCGCCCCTCTTCATTCTCTCTCTTTCTCTTTCTCTTTCACCTCTCTGGTCCTTCTCCACGGATTTTTCTACAGATCGAATTTGCCTCTGCATTCTCATATCTGGGCTTGGATAGTGGCTGCAGTGTCCGATTGGCCCGATCGCCGATCTTGAAGCGATACATCTCTCATCTATCATATCTATAGACGGGGCCCTGGGGCAGCTGAGTGCATTATATCGCCATCGCTGTATGCCAGTGAGCACACACATTCTCTCTCTCTTCTATTTCTACAACCTTCTCCCTGGTTACCTACTTTCTCCATCTTTCGACCTCTCTATATCTATACATCTATACCCTGCCTGTGGTCTAGATATCTGATATATCTGATATCGATACCCTACTCCCGCCAGTCCCAGAAATACGCAGACTGCGCTCTCCGGAACAAGATAATCCGGTTCCGAACAAGCGACAGCCCGAACCCGCTCCTTCCAGTCTTGTCCCTTCCAGTCTCAGTCCCCTTCCACCTTGCTGAGATCCACTTCCCTTCGACTTCACCTTGACTACTCCGTACCTCACTACTTACCCCCCCCTGCGACCGACTCTCTTTGGTGTCTTGTATGTCAACCTCTTCTTCCAAGTATCACTTCCAACCATCGCCTTGGCCACTCTTCTCCCCTCCGTTCCGCCTCTCCCCCCCCCTCCCCTCCCCTACCCAGCCACTTCCAACCTGTGCGCTTTTTCCCGCCTCCTTGGTACTGCCGTTATCATCGATCGCGCCTCTCTTCCCTTCTCTTGGCCATTTTGAGCCTCTCACTCAGTCGCATCTCCGTCGCTTATACACTTTTTCTTACAGTTGGATTCGTCTCAGTTTGTCGATTGCGCCCCCAAACAATTATTCCATTCGAGACTCTTTATCACATCACCGCGTGGCGTGCCTCCATCCGGAAAAGACCTCCCCGAGTCGCCGCAGTTCTTCATCGCATCCCACCATCCGTGATATAGAACCAACTCGCTCTATCTTGCGCCCTCATACTCCCACGCGTGTCATCGTCGCAGACTATTGCAACTTAGACTCGAAGCGCTCACCGCTTCGGTCTTCGTCTTGTCTCCTCCACCCTTTCCCACCCTCCCCCCCGTTCCCACGCGTTGCACGTCCCACCCCCGCGCCTAGGCTTCATCGCCTGAGTCGGTGGACGCGCGCCTGGAACTAATCATCACCTTCGATTTGAATTCGCATCCGACAGTAAATAGGCAAGGGCGGCCCCAGTCCCCCCCGATCGCCACCATGAACCAGATGAATGCCGGTGGGATGAATCCCGGGGTCGGAGGCCCCGTCGGTGGTATCCCCATGATGAGCAACGGCTCCACTGCCCCTCGTAACGATCAAATCATGAACAGCAACTCCGATGGGAGTCTCAACAACTTGAATACATATATCTACGATTACTTTTTGAAACGCGGCTACCACGACTGTGCACGCGCTCTTCTCCGCGAAGAATCAATGAAGATCAACACGGATCCCGGTACCAAGACAAGTCCCGGTAATCGCCAGAACGATATGAACGGTATCGATGGTGACATGATGACCGACGGCAAGGATGGCGAGAAGATCAAAATCCCCGATGATCTGCCTCGTGCTAGCCTTCCCAACGACAGTACGCAAACAGCTTTCCTGCTCGACTGGTGGAGTCTCTTCTGGGAGTTCTGGCAGGCTCAGCGCAAGAGAGGAAACAACCACGACATTCGGCAATATCTCTCACACAATCAGGTTCGTTCATGGAATTCGCTTGGGGCCCACCAAGCTGTCTCGCCCTGGTAATCGAACTGACTTGCTCAATAGGCGCTTATGCGTGTTCGCGAGCAGCAACAGAATCAGCTCATGCGGCAACAGCCGCTGATGCCTGGCCAGATGCCGCTCAACATGCGTCGCAATGGCATGCACCCTGTACCCCCCAACCTTCAGAAGACGGTGTTGCAAAACACCACTGGCCTGTACGTCCAGGACATGATGCTATTTATCCTTTTTTCGAAGGGGACGTGAAGTGATACTGAAGTGATACTGACACCCAAATCTACTACACAGCTCGCAACAGCAATTGGCCCAGCAGTTCCAAAAGAACCAACAGATGCAGATCATGCAGCAGATGCAACGTGACCAGCCCGACATGGACATGAACGGCAATCGGCCCCAGTCCCCAGCATCTGCGGACAACGCCCCATCCCCATCGAAACGCCCGCGCCTGGAAGGAGGCCCCGTTAACGGACAACAGCTCGCACCTAACGGACGTGGTCAGGGACAGGGAATGCAAGGACAGCCTAACCCCCAGGCTCAGGCTATTATGATGCAGAATGGAATGAACAGGGGAATGAACCCGGCGCAATTCCAGCAGTTCCAGCAAGGACAGGCTGCGCAACAAAAATCTATGCAGGTATATGCTCAAGACTTGGCCCTTCATCACACTCGCTCAGCATTGTCTCCCCAGGGTCTTCCGAACGGTGGTATGATGAATCCCGGCGTTATGCCGAATCAGACGGATCTTGTGGCGATGCAGGATGCCAATGGAGGAATGTTCCAGGTGGGTGCCGAATACTTTCAGAACGGTCAAATGCCCCAGGTTCGAAATGGCATGCAACCACAACCAAACGGCCAGCAAGGCGGCGGCAACCATGCTCTCCAGGATTATCAGATGCAACTTATGCTGCTTGAACAGCAGAATAAGCGGCGTTTGATGATGGCTCGTCAGGAGCAGGACAGCATGGCCCGTGATGGTCAACCAATGCCCGGTCAAGGACAGCTGCCACCCGGCACTTCCCCACAGGGCAGTCGCACAGGTGCCTCGCCGAACCCCAGTGAACAAATGAAGCGGGGTACACCTAAGATGCCCCAGAGTGGTCTTCCTGGTTCCCCCAGCGCCGGCGATATGGGCCAGAACCGCGGATCTCCTGGATCCATGAATCTGAACGGCGGCCCAATGCCACCCGAGATGGCGGCTCAGTTCTTCCAAGGCAACCCCAACATGCGTCCCCCAAGCTCTAACCCACAATTCACTGGCCCCCAGATGGGCCAGCCCATTCCTGCCGGTGCCGGCGGCCGCATGCCCAGTGGGCAGTGGCAGCAGCCCGGTCAGCCAATGCCGCCGCAGCACTCACCCGCATCTCAGCCCCAGGCCGGAACTCCCCAAGAACGGAATGCGATGCCTCCTCCTCAGGCCCCGCCTACTGGTCCTGCCGGCCGCGCCCACCCTCAATCTCCCCAGACAGGTGTAAACGCTCCCCCCACACCTCAGCAGGGTAATAAGGCAGCTCCCGGCAAGGCCAAGAAAGAAGGCGCCAAGGAGAACACCCGCAAGCGGCCTAAGAAGGGTGCTGCTGCCGCCGCCAATGCCGCCAATGCTCAAGCTACCGAAGCTGGAGAGACGACTCAGACGCCTACTCCATCCACCCCTGTCACTCCTCAACATCCCAATTCCTTCAACAAGGCCGGTGCCAACGGAGGTGCCAATGCGCAAACCCAGCCCACCTCGGCCCCGGCTCCCCCAACAATGGTCCAGCCTACCATGGATCCCAACCCGCAATCTTACAATGATCTCTCAATTCCTGATGTAAGCTCCGTGCGAACCTTTAAAACCTCGTGTGTGATTGGACACCTCTTAACAATTCCGGTATTCTAGAATGCTTTCAATCTTGACTTCGGCGCTCTGGATAACCCTGATATCCTGGAGAGCTTCGACTTTGACACCTTCCTTAACACTGACGGTGACGGGACTGGCTTTGGATTCGATCCAAACATGCCTTTAAGCATCGACGGTGTCGAGGCCGGTCCAGACATGGGATGATTTAAAAGTCTTGATGGTTCTCTTCAGGTGTTTAACCCTCTCCGATATACCCTTGTTTTTGTATATTTGATCGATTTAGTGCGTTGCGGTCTTGTCTTGTTTTGCCCTCTCCTTTTCCTTTCATTTTTTTTGCCACCGGATACGATACTCTCACCCTTGGTCATTCCTCTTTTTTTCCCATCCATTTTCTTCCGCTTGGATTATTCGTGTGCGCATGCTGTGAGATTGGCGTTGGTGTCTTTGTCTTCCTAGTCTTTGGTTGCATTTCCCTCTTGTCCTCCCTCATTTCATTGATCTGATCTGATCTGCTCTCTCCAAGGCTCGTTGCTGTTGCTTGTTGCTTGTTGCGATGCTGGGAACTGACCGGAGACTGAGATTTTGATTCTGTATTCGAGATTAGTTGCACTGTGACCTACGAGCTTCGATTCGCTTCTCTTCTTTCTTTCTATTACTACTACTTATTACTCGACTCGTGTGATTAACCTAATTCCCCCCGCCCATTGCCACTTGCTTTGCTTTCTTTCGACATGGACTTTACCCACTGCACATTTACTTGGATAGGGTTTCCAGTCCAGTCCAGTCAGTATACTAGCAGCGAAAATTGCCGCTTTGCTTCCTCCTTCACTTCACTTCATTTTTCTTTTCCTTCTTTTTACCTTCTTCTTGATTCCAGTTTTGTTGATTCCAGTTTTGAAACTGTTGGTCCTTCTTTTTGCCTCTTTTTGGCTCTTTCTCTTTTTTTTGACAAAACCAATCCCCAACCCCAACACCAACCCTTCTTCATCATTTTGTGACACTTCTATTACCTTTCCTTCTTTTTTCTATCTTCACTCGTCTTGTAAGGTTGACCATTTGAAATGCTGGGCATTCATGCAACTAATTCGGGCCTGGAATCTATTTCTTTTTCTTCTTTCTCTTTTCTCTTTTCTTTATTCCCCCTAACCGACTTTTATAAGCAATGGTCTCCCTCAAAATTACCGTAGCGGGGGAGGTTATGCGGTTAGTAGGTATGGATGATATGATATATGAATAGGACTCGGAACGATAAGTGCCCAGGTTGTTTATGGATGGGATGACTCGGAGAAAGCAAGTTGCTTGCTGGGAGATTTTGTTTTGTTTTTTGTTTTGTTTTTGTTGGAATGAGTTGGGTTTCCAAACTGGATGCAATGCATTGGATTATTGTATTTGGCTTTTATGATTATGACTTCGAGCCTCCAAGTTTAGCACTAGATGCTAGTTCTTTAAGTTGTTTTGCAGGTATCATGATGCTCCGCAATATAGAATTTGAATTGAAGTTAAATATCCGACCCCGACTCCAACTCCGATTCCGCAATGACTCGGACCCACCTCAGGTGGAGGAAATAGCTTCCTTGATTTACGATTTGTTTATCTATGGATCTACATATCTGGCTGGAGTTTATGTGGTCCGTAATAAAGTTGGACTTTCCTTTTTCGGTATAGATTTACGTACTGATTACGGAGTACTGTACAGCTATAGCTTCCTACGGTATCTCCACGAATCCTGCTCGCACAAATACAAATAAAAATACAAATACGTTTAAAATGACCGAGTATACTACTAGGTTCCTTTGGATAGTGTCTGGCTCTACTTTTATTTTGTATAGGAAGTCTAAGCAACTAGGTGCTATCTGTGCCCGGCCACCACGTGTATCTGCTTTTTCCCATCTTAAAATCCTTCTTGAATGCTACATAGTGCTTGATGTTGATTTTGATCTTTGTTGCATTGAGCGTTGGTGTCTCAGGCATTCAGGCCGCCATGCCGTCTTTGCCATATCTATTAGATGGCTTCATCGTCGTCTCTCTCCTCCTTTCCCTCTTCATATCACCAACTTTTCATCCTTCATCACCTCCTAGCATACTTTATCTGGACTTATCACATACTAACTACAAAGCAACCTTCCATCAAACCTCGAAATGGAGTGCATGATCGATCAGATCGACGCAATCTTCAAGGAGCAACAAGCGCAATCCGATCTACTTCAGATCCAAAAAAGCCAAGCTGAAGCATTCCATGAGCTTCTCACTAAAGCCCAACCTCGACAAGAGAAACGCCCGAGACCATCGCTTCCGCATCCTGAAAAGTTCACTACAAGGACCAGATTTGATACGTGGGACGCTGCCATACGAGGCAAACTCACCGTCGATGGTGAGGCCATCGGTGATGCCAAAGCTCAGTTCTACTATCTCTATCTAAATCTTGATAGTCATGTCCAGGCAATGGTCCTCCCTCGGGTTGCCTCTGCCCGAACCTCTGGTATTTACGACTACAATTCCATCCTCGTTCAGCTCGCCCGTACTTTCGGCCATTAAAGGGTGAAGGAACGGGATACAATACTCTTGATATTAAGTTACCGCTCGAGCTCTATCAATTTCAGGGCGGAGGCTAGGCTCACTGAAAATGGCGATGACAATAACAGTGATTGGATGGGTTTTGGTACAATATGGCTACTATTGAGAAAAATTGAACAACACGACTATTGTGCATCGGGAAACTGCTTTTTCGTGGATGGAGGTGGCGCGACGGATCACATATTTGGTGCTTAAGCATCTAGACATTCTTCTGCATCTAGTTACCATGTATCACTTCCTCCTCTTCTTCCTTCCCGCTCTTCGTCATTTCAGTAAATAGTATCACATGTTGATTTTGATCTTCATCGTATCGGGGCTCTTCACATAAAGTATTAGAAGAAAATTCATTAAGATCTGTACAATGCGAAACTCACAACACATGCCAACTATTTTCTTTTCTGTAACTTCTCTAGTCACGCTGACCATGGCAAACCCTTCGGCAGCATCTCATCGACCACCTTTTCGTTCGTGTCGGGATCACATGTGGCGAATGTCTCTTTGAAAGGGAGCGGCTTGCAGGTCACGATCCACTGAGCCTCATCTGTCGCAGGCAGGCAGCCTTTTATTTGAGCCCATTTCCAACGAGCTAAAGATCTGTCGGATATGGCACTTCTGCTTGGGATCTGGGATGATCTTCACACTGTATGCGTAGGATGTGGCATCTGGCTTGGACATCATTGAGAAAAGGTTTGCGCGGATGTCGGCTCGGGTTGTAGATAAGTGAGTGCTGGAATTCTGGTATCACAGTGATATTGAAGGCATTATTCACGGTTCATGCAAGAGGTGCGTAAGCTGTGCTCCAGCACAACAAATTTGGAGAATATTTCCATAGCCCATTGCTTTTTGAGAAGCGAGAGAGAAGAATCGTTGTCAGGCCATGCGAGCTCCAGGGGGTATATGCTGAACCGGTATTCTGTGTCAGGCTCCGGAGGTCTGTATCTTGTATGTCGCGTTGGCTGCACTCTACCAATCTGTTATGACCAGTTTTTGATCAAGCTCCTTTCAAGGAAGTACTGCCATTAATCGAACTCCATAATCAAGTCGGATTCAACCGGGCCAATAGACTGTCTGTTGAATCTCAGCTGGTTGACACGGGGGCATGATATGCCTTCCCAGCGAAAGTCTTAAACTAAACAATCTCTGGCAGATACTGCGCCGTCTTCAGGTAGAGTCGAGATATCAGGGTCGTGGGGAGTATGGAGTTTAAGCTTTGGGGCCAAAAAATTCTCTGCAGCGAACCTTCGAACGTCTTTGTCGTCGATGGTGATTTCCGAAATGCCAATGATCTTCGGCTCTTGTTATCATCTGGTTAATGTTTCTCCATCCTTCTCACCTCGATAACGTCCGCAGCTCACCACAAAAGGGAGGAATCTGACCTTCCCGTAGCACATTCTTCCTCACTTTCTTTCCTACTGCCTCCCCTCCGCTCACTCTCCTGCATCAATAAGTCCTGAATGCACTAGAATCGACCTACTGTGTTGTATCTTTACTTTACTCATAGATAGTATCCGAATTACTTTGATCCCGGATCATCGTCAAGGTCCCCGCTTCTTCCTTCACGTCAGTACAGTAATATCGAGTTTGTAATTGCGCATCCGATGTTAGGCGATCGGATTGGGTGAGTGGCGTACTATGTACCGCAGCATCACCCTGCTAATATGACCGGGTAATGGGTCAAAACTCTCCCCAGCATCTCGGGCCAGCAGCGCGCGATGCAGGACGTCCGCAGCACAAAGCTGGCGATATCCGTGCCTACCGCCCCACCCAAAGCGGTTCCCCCTATTTGAGTCTTTTGCCGGGCCCCAATTTCTGTGTCTAACCTTTCTCGTAGGCCCTACCTCATGGTTTCTGGTACTCCACTGAAATGGCCTACCATCCATGGACAGCTTATCGACTCCCTTTTTCCATGGGCCGCCATGTCCAATGTCTAGCTGTCGGAATACTATAAGGGTCTAAATACTGGCCGTATCACAGTAGTAAAACTATTGAGCACACTGATCACGAGCGAGCCATCCCCTTTGCATCTAAGCGAAACAAATTGAACAATGTCCCTTTTTGGACAACCCCCTTTGGACTCGGCCTTGTCTTTCCCTCTCTATACGGTACAATCCTAACCCGAGCCAATGTCAAGAAAGGCATTGCTGCGCCAGCTGCCCCCGCAGCCCCCGCACTTGCTCTGCCTTGGACACGGTAGAAAGGATGCCGAGATCGTGTCAGTGTTGATTATATGGCAGCCTTTGCAGACAAGCACGTTCATCGCCTGCATTTTTTAGGTCATATAGAGCCTCCATCACGACCTCTCTCGGATTCAGAGGAATAGTAGCGGCAACATATGCATGTATTGAGCTTTCAAGTCATGGCTCGCTCGAGTTACGCATTGGCTGCGGCAGCCGTCCTGTTCGTCCTACCTTTCTGCCACGGTCGAGGCATGAATGATCAGGTCAATAATCCAAACATCCCTTATGGTTCATTCAACAACCCTTCCGCCTATATCCGGCCCAAATGGCGTTACTGGATTCCTGATGCATCCGTCGAGCCGGCGGGCGTAGCGAACGACGTTGCCGAGGCCGCCGCCCAAGGAGCTGGCGGTATGGAGCTGTTTGGGTATTGCTAGGTTCTTGTTCTCGCAAGTTGTTCATCACGCTGACGGTCTGATCTCATTACAGGTATTATTTATACGGCGGTACCAATCCAGCATATCCCGCATATGTTCCAACGGATTGGGCGGTGTATGGATGGGGCACAGATGTGTGGAGTATGGATTTGGGTTCTTCTTGGTGCATGTATAATTAATAGCTACTGACTATGATGTTCTACAGAGACCAATATCCAGGACACGGCAGTCCAAGCAGCCAATGCTAACAACATGATTATTGATTTCGCTCTTGGAGTCGGGTTCGGTGGCGCTGGTGTACCCAGTCAATACGATGACGTGAATCTGGAACGTGACATTCAACCTTTCTATGTCAATGTACCCGTCGGTGGTAGCTTTAACGGCACGCTACCTGGCTGGGGCACTGGTCCAATGATCCCTGCATCTACGGGGCTAGTCATTTCTGAAGGTGTCGGCAACGCAGCTTCAGTCTTGTCGACGTCCTCGTTGACCGAAGTGACCCATCAAGTCAACGCGCAAGGCCAGATTTCCTTGTCCTTTCCCAACGCTACCGGAACACACTACATTCTGGCTGTCTATTATCTTATCTTCACTCATCAGCGTGAACAAGTTGGTCCGCTGGACATCAACTCAGACTCTTTCCCCGCCAAGGCTGGCGTACCACAATCGCAACCGGCGTCTTTCCGGAACAACGGATCTAATGTTTGGGATCACTTTACCGTCGGAGGTGCGCAGGTTGCCATCAAATACTGGAACAAGTACCTCTTCACCGGGACAACTGGGAAGCTTCTAAAGAAAGTCGGCAACTACATCTGGGAAGATTCCATTGTAGGCATTTACCCCAGCTGGCGTTTGCTTGCAGCTTTCTGATATTTTCCAGGAATTCTTCCCAAGATATGCGTGGTGGAGCGCAGAACTTCCCAAGGTTTTCCAGCAGGAACACGGCTACTCCATCAACAAGTATCTTCCAATCATCGTCCGAGGACGAGTCGGCTTCGTGAACAGTGTCACGGTTTCACTCTACAACACAGATCAATCTGACGCTGGTTTGAGCCACCTCGAGGACTACAAGCAAACGGTATTGCGTATATTTCAGACTTTAACTCGGAACAGTTACTGACAAGATTCTAGCTTACAAACATGTACTCCATTTACCTCGAAACAATGGACGACTGGGCGAACAGCTTAGGCCTACAGTACTCAGCACAGCCATCGTACAACGCACCTTTTGACATGCTTGCCAATATTCCATTCGTCAATGCGCCTGAAACTGAGACCCTTGGGTTCAGCCACAACATTGATGCATTCCGTCAATTTTCCGGGCCGGCGAACCTCGCTAAAAAGCGTGTTATATCCTCCGAGACCGGCGCAAACATGGGTATAGCTTATGCTGAAACAATCCCAAACTTATTGTGGGACGTCAAACGGGCCTTCGCCGGAGGAATAAACACTCATGTATTCCACGGATACCCCTTCTCAGGTTATTATCCAAACACGACTTGGCCCGGGTTTGCAGGATTTGACTTTGAATACTGCGAAATGCACGGACCGAGGCAGCCCGCTTGGGATTTTTACGGAGAGTTCATGAATTACACCGCTCGCAACCAGTGGGTATTGCAAACTGGTATCCCGAAGGTCGACGTTGCTTTCTACCTGAAGGCTGTCAGCTACTCCTTGGGCACATCGTACATGCCAACTGACTTCCAAGCTGCCGGTATGTCATACACGAGTGGTTGTCTCACCATCTGGTCCTTACATGAACTGACTGTCATAGGCTACACGTACGAATACCTGAGCCCCGACAATTTCGCGTTGCCGGCTGCCCATGTAGCTGACAATGTGTTGGCACCTGAGCGCCAAGCATTCGGAGCTTTGATTGTCAGGGCAAATGATACTATGACGGTTGAGGGCGCCAAATACATTGCGATGTATGCCCACCGAGGATTGTCTGTCGTCTTCGCTGGCGGTGTCCCTACTCTATTCTGGGGCAACAATCCAACCGGCGCTGCATACGTTAACAAAACCTTGCAATCTATCAGGTCCCTTAAGAACGTGCACACGGTACCATTCGCTGGTCTCGCCGCCTCGCTCGCCAGTATCGGCGTACTCCCACGAGCCCAAGTCAGCGCCAACGGCACTTGGTATTCTCAGTGGCGCGAAGATACCGCAAATGCCATGACTTACGTTATGCTGTACAACGATGCAACTGGCATAGCCTTCCCCGGCGGTTCTACTACTGGACACATCACACTCGCCACCACCGGCGCACCTATGCTCTACGACGCCTGGACTGGCGATATCACGCCCATCACCGTCTTCACCAAGACAAGCAATTCCATCACCATCCCCCTCACCATCGCTGGTAATCAGACCGTCATCATCGGCGTCAAGCACGGTAAAGCAGTAGAAGCCTCCGCCACCGCCGCACCACCAAATGCCGTCGCCATCTCCGCAGTGTCCGCCAGTACGTACTCCGTGAAGTCAACCGCAAATCTCGCACCCATCACCCTGGGTCCCTGGAACCTGACCATCGAAGCCTGGTCGCCGCCGGCTGACCTCTACGCCTTCAACGGCTCAACCGTCAAGGCAAACACCTCCTACACCCTTGAAACCCTCGTTCCATGGCGCCACATCCCAAACACAAACCTCACCAACGTTTCCGGTCGCGGCTACTACACCACAACCCTCCTATGGCCACCAGCCGGAAAGAGCAAGGCAGCGGGCGCTATCATCGACCTCGGTTCAATCGTGCACTTCGCACGCGTTTACGTCAACGGTGCGCTCATACCGCCGCTCGACCCCGTCCTGGCTCGCGCCGATATCGGTACCTATCTCAAGAAGGGTATAAATAACGTGGAAATTGTCGTCGCAACCACTCTCATCAATGTCATCTCACCATTTTGGAGCCAGCAGAGGACGAGTGGTGGTGCACCAACTTTCTTCGGGACTGGGGTTTTAGGTCCGGCACCGAACCAGGATTACGGTCTGATTTACCCGGTAGTAGTTGAGCCTTATAAGACTATTCTTTATAGAAAATAAGGGGTTGAGAATAATATCGAGATCAACGTAACTTACACTCTCTTTTATAACTTCGGGCTTCGCCCGCAAGTCGGTGGCTTAGTATATAACGGACTTAAATGGATTCCAGGACATGTTGTTGTATGTCACGTTAGTAGGTTTTACGGTATTTGAATTATTAATGACTGGCGACTTAAATGAGGCCCTTTATAGAAAAGCTTTCTCCGGTTACCGACTTGACGATCCCCACAAATCCTCAGGAGACCAAACGGCAACGAATCTCCATACGTGGCTTCACCACCGTGTCAATAACGATATCTGGAGAATGCTGAACTTACTCAACTCGTGGATTATAATGAGTTTTATGTCTCTTGATGTATTTGCCAGACTTAAATAATCACTTCAAGTTGCATGGTCGCTTTTGTTGGGATTGGTGGGACCCCGCAACTTGCCTTGAGTGATATCTACACCGACATTACTGAGGGCTTCCCTCGCTTCCCTCCAGAGAGATTAATCATAATCCAAAAAGCATACGAACCCTCTAGTACTGATTCTGGTAGGTATAGAGTACTCTAGAGTCAACTTAGCTACGGCAAATACCACTATTCATAAGGCTGTAGCTACCTCTAACCCAGTAGCTATTACTAAATTCTTTAATTATATCTGTAAAGCTATCCTAAACAGCCTTTTCGCTATTAATACTGGCCGGATCAGTATCCTTGGTAATCTCTCGAACTATTTTGCTAGTGCCGAGATGAACATTTAAAGGATATTATATCTCTACAGATTAGCATAGGTCAGGGGGAATCTCGCTTTTAAGTGTAGTGTGCTGGGAGATGGAGACGTTACTTTGCATTCCCTCGTTGTAACTAGATGTCTTCCGTTTCCGAATCTGAGGGATTATCTCTGAGTCAATGTAATATTCACACTCCAATTTTACAGACCAAAGTCGATAACGACCTTTATGGAGTCATGTCTCTCGAACCTGGCATAGGCGTCCGGTGCGTCCTCAATATTAATGACATCGCTGACAATAAAACCTGGTCTAGCCTTGCCTGAAGCAACGAGATGCAAGAGTTCCGGCGCGAGATCAATCGGCTTCGAAGGTCCAGCTCCCCACTGGAATTCTCCAAAGAAGAAATCCGTAAGGGAGAAATTGAAGTGCGTGTTGACGGAAGAAGCACGCGGCGCTGTCGCTGTATTATGGGACTCTGGATTATAGACTCCAACAGTGCCCATACCACCACCTGAGGAAGTAACGGCCAACATATTGCGAATAATGACATCCGACTGGACCGTGAGGTTTCTGTTCACTTGCTCGTATCCAACTGCGTCAATACTTCGAGCAACACCATTGGGCTCGAGTGCCAAGATCTGCGTCACCGGATCGGAATCGAGGAAATTGACGGGAATGACTCCAATCGATTCAGCTAGCTGGAGCCGATCAGAGACGTAGTCCACGCTATATACAGTCGAGGCACCTCGAAGGGTAGCTGAGTATGCAGCCATCAAGCCAACCGGGCCTGCTCCAAAAATGGCAACAGTGTCACCTGCTTCAAACCCGGCAAAATCGAGGGAAGTCCAGCCTGTGGCAAAGATATCGGACATCATAAGGTAGTCATTTGCCAGAGAAACAGATTCGTTTGTAGTTGAGTTCGTATACTCTAAATACGGAACTGGGATAAGGCCGTTGTCCGCGAAGGGGACGCGCAGGTACTCAGCTTGTGTTGTCTATGTTAGCCAAAGTTGTGTAGACGAAGGAAGCGACTACCTTGAGTTCCACCTAGATCCCCTCCGTTGCCGTACCCAGCATACATGTGCGAAGTGAGGTCGGAGTGCAGGTGACCTTCATCAACAGTGAAAGGAACAATCACCGGGTCACCGACTTTGAGCGAGCCAACGCCAGACCCGACCTCGGATACATAGCCAACTCCCTCATGACCAAGGCCGAATGGAGCTGGCTCACCCACGTTCGTCCCACGATAGATGTGCAAGTCCGATCCACAAATAGCTGCCCTGGACATCTGAACAATAGCATCTGTTTGATTGATGATGGTTGGCATAGGCAGATCGACAACGCTAACATTGTAGGCATTGCCTTGCCACACAACAGCTCGCATCGTTGCGTTGATAGCAGTGGCGTTGCTGAGTGCCATGACAAAGGAACAACTTGGATTGTAGATAGAGGAAAGCGAAGACAGATATAGTTCCGGAAATGGGGAAAGATTTATAGCCGAAACGCTTCAGCTAAATGGAATGACACGGCCATGAATTTATAAGATCTTGACCCTTTGGGTGGCGACAAGCTCCACATTCTCACGAGTCAGCCCGTGTTGACGGGGCCTAGTGATCCTATCTGAACAATGCGAATAAAAAAATGTCTGTGATGGGGTTTTCTGCTCTACAGCTCTACTAGGCCACATGGCCGTCTTGGCTTATGATGACTGAGCAGTAAGTAAGGCTCACGGTGGGTATTGCAGACCCACAGGAAATGTCGCTCTATCAAGAAACCCCAAATGTCAAGGCAAGGGTGAACCTTGTACAATTAAATTCAAGATCAAATTAACCCTACACTCTGAGACATTCATTCCCGAACCCTACGTCAAGATAAGCGAGTCTAATGTTAGCCACTAGCGAGTAGTCCCTGCCGGGCTGTATTTTATTCCATGGTAACGATGGATAAGTCGTTGTTATACACAGTAATATAGTATTTCCCTTTGGACTTTGGAGATGCCTCCTCGTTAGGGAGTGCCGACATAAGCAAAGCGGACTTAAGGGTGGGGCTGAGTAGACCTTCCTGGCGCGTCACTGCAACATCTGCTGACCTTTTTCTGGGGAGACCGACGAACACTCTTCACTAGATTATCCTTTAACTGACGAACATCCCGGCCATGATCTCAGCATAGTGGCATTGTAGAGGGTAATAATTAGATCGCTAACGTCAGTTGCGTCAGCGAGCGGATTTAGCGGAAGTATGTAACTAGTCCGAGGTCATCAACGCGACCCACTAGGTCAGACTTACTGCAAAGGTAGGCCAAGCCAAGGTTGAATGTGGGCCGTTTGAGACTCGGTTGCAGTAAAGTACTTAAACCTCGGACCAAAGCTGGGTATTTATGCCAAACGTGGATGTCATTGGCTCAGCTACGAATAAGAATACGCTAATGCAAGATGCTTATATTGTCTAACTTGAAATAGACTAGTGGAGCGCTCAGATGTCTTGTGCATATTGGTGAGCTGTGCGTTATGTTAATGATACTGAATTGTGGCTAAGTGAGTCTACAATAACCCTAAAGGGCTTAGTTATCTCACATTGGTACCACTATTTTTATTTCTGGAGCTATGACGACGTTCTCCATGATACTCATATGATAATAAAAAGTATAAAAACCTTGGCGGTGGATTGTTTCGAGCAACAGAATCCTCTGTTCTCCTCAACACCCAGCTTCCCGAGCAGTTGTCGGAATAGGGATTATATCGATACTGGTTCACTGGGGCTCACCTACGACCTTTTCCATATACGATGCAAGGCTATACACATTCAGGGCCTGTTGATTGTAATAAGCCCTTCGATGTCGGAAATATCAAGGGAAAGACTGCAATTGTAACTGGTGGTATGATTGCTTTCTAGAATGTCCACTTCAATTCAATGAATGTTCAATAACCATGGATAGGTGCCAATGGCATAGGAGAGGCTTACGTTCGCGCTCTGGTTGCCGCAGGGTACGAGATAAAAATCCGTGATGTTGCTAGGGAATTTGACTAACAAAATCATCAGAGCGAGGGTCTGCATCGGCGACCTTGACGTGGAAAGAGGAAGCAAACTAGCACAGGAACTCCATGGGTTGGTACACGGCTCAAGCTGCATTTCTGTACTATGACACTAATGTATCGCGCAAAGTACCAAATTCATTAGTTGCGACATAACCCAGTGGAACGATCAAGTCCATCTTTTTCGAGAGGCAGTCACTTTTTCTCAATCAGGGAATATTTCCTATGTCGTAGCTAATGCGGGGGTTTTTCGCCAAGACGAGGTTTTTTCGTATTCTGGCGACAATCAGGAACCGGAAGAGCCCAGCCTGGCCCTCATTGACGTGAACATCAAAGGTGCTTTATATACCGCCAAATTAGCCGCACATTATTTTATTCGACAAAACGGTCAACAAATTTCCCCCAAGCAAGAGGATACTTGTTTGGTGTTGATTGGCTCAGGTGCAGCTTTTCTGGACTGTCCACGGGCTCCTCAATACTGTGCAAGCAAGTGGGCCATGCGGGGAATCATGCACTCATTGAGAAGAACCGCTTCCTTCTACGGTAGTCGGGTGAACATCATCTCTCCATGGTAAGCACCATATTGTCAAGTATCGTATATTTCGTTGGCTTATCAAGTTACAAGGTACGTCAAGACGAACATCCTATCCGATGATGTGTTCGCACATGTTTCAAAAGTCGGAGTAGAGTTTGCGCAGGCGGAAGACGCAGGTCAATGTCTGCTGAGGATTCTCAGCGATGTGAGCATCAATGGGCATTCGTTGTTTGTCTCGGGACGGAAATGGGCTCCCAATATCGGATACATGGATCTAGATCTGGAAGATTATCCAGCCAATGCGCTGATCCAGGAGATCCAAGAGGATCAAATGAAATCAGCGCCCGTTTCCCTGGGGTTGTTTGTGTAATAGGCAGAAGAAGGTGAGTTTTTGTTAAGAGCAATATCACCAGAGCTATTCGATTCCTATTTTGCAATGTGGTAGAATAAGCCTCCGAGCAACGACAGTCACATTGCTAAATTCCAGTCGTGAACAATGGTCGACATAACAGACTGCGAGCAAAGTGCTTACTAGGAACGGGCTACTAGCGTCCAAGCCCAGTTACTATTGCCATATTTTAATAAATGCCTTGCTGTCAGAAAAAGTGTAGAAAGGAAAGTCCCAAGTGAGACAGGGATACGAGATGTGTCACTAAATTGCCGTCATCGGTGATGATAGTCCACATCTTCGCACTACCACACAAGTAGTACATGTCCATGATCCCGGGCCGAAATTGAGGCTCTCCACCTTCAACCTCGCGTCCACCTTGGATTCCCTCGAGCTTGTTTAGCGTTTGTTTATTCTCTCGTGTGCTTGAATGTTCGCCATATTCGGTCCAGGTAGGCACGAATGTCTTATAGAAAAGTGTGGATCCGGATCATTTCGAGCCACACTTGCCCGTATTTCGGGACCATAGCATTGAGAAGATTGAGCGAGTGAGGGAAGCGGCGTGTTTACGGAACGTCAACGGAGCACTGGCTAAAGCTGTGTTATCGGTACCTAGAGACTTCCATCCGGGGACGTCATGTCGACCTAATGGCTGTGCGTGTCGGCTCCTATCAAGGTAACCAGCACCTATAAGCACGATACTGTTAGTTAATTATGCCAAAAGGCTACTCTAGAAGGGGTTTTATCCTGACACACTAGTATTGTCACATGACGATCCCTATATTCCGAAGGAACCTTCGTTTTCATATGGTAGAGAAGTCTTCGCCGAACCATGCGATCATAGCGGTAAGATTCCATCGCTGATTTTCAACAGCTTAGCCTGCGTGCCCGTACGACTGGTGGGGCAAAAAGAAGCACCATGTTCAATGGGCCAAAGTGTTCGAGCCAGAAGCGCAGATAAGCATTCCGATATGGGGAATGGTGGCCTATGGTGTTCCCACGGCGAATACCAACCTACTCTTGGCCGAGGAGGTTACTAGAAGGATTGCCAAACTGCTTGGAGTAAATAATTCCCGTACCGTATCAATTATCAACAGGATTGACAAATCTATCTACAACACATCCCACCTTCCTCGGATATCAGGTTAAGTAGACCCGGCTGGAGGGTCCAAGGTCCAGACCCTCCATCCGCCAAGGGGCCCTCATTGAGGGTATCTTTCTTCATAAAAGTGTATAGAACACTATTTATGAGCAGAAAATTACCTATTTAGGCATATTTATGTCACAAAATGTTACCTAAGAGGGTCCAGGGTCAAAATTTGGACCCTCCTTGGCGTCTTGGCGGGTCTAAATTGAGGGTGAGTGCCAGGTCTAAGGTTAAGTGCCTTTGATAACTCAAACAATGAAGCAAGCAAACTCATAGATAATTAATTTCTGACATGGATACTGCCTACATAAATAAGTTGAGGCTAGTATACGTATTACTTTGTAACCACTAACTACTCTACCTCCTGCCAATATAGAAACCTGAATTCACTATATATTTAATAAATAATTCAATAAGTAATTCAACAGCTCACTCCACTACCCTATTGCAAAATATACTAATAGTATAGTATATAGCCTATCTAGCTTCCTATATTGACAGAAAAATGCTCTTGTGGGCGACGCACTGGTGCCGGGGATGGGTAGGAGCAACCCTGAACTCCTCCTTCAAGGACGCCGGCCAGCATTCACTGGGGCATTTTGGACCTACCCCGGATTTTTTTCATCCCTTTTCATGCAACATGATCGAACCTCCAGAGCTTGAACCAGACCACAAGGCAATCCCCCACTTCACCAACAATCGATTTCTCTTCCTCTCACACACTATCTCTTGTTGTTCTGACAACATGGTTAGCTACCTGCCCCCGGAGGTCATGGAGATTGTTTTATCCAGCCTTGCGTGCCCAGAAGATGGTATCGGTTTTGCGTTGAGTTCAAAATACGCATACATTTGCTTTCTCTCGTTCCTTGAACGTTGTGGAATGAAGCTTTCGAAGCTTCTACCGATTGAAGCCGCCCTTCACCACCGACCGTTCGATACCAGTGACGTTCGTAATCAAATCGGACGGATTAGGGTACTTAAATCCCTACAAAACGAGCGGTGGGTCTATTGTCAGCTGTGTGTATCTCTTCACCCTGCGGAATGGCTCTACGAGCAGTTAGTATTATACTATTTTCAAACCCCGTATAATTTTGATAACTAATAAGACCCTAGGACCTCGGAAACGGGACTTCTGAACTTCAATCCACCGATCTGATTCATAGCAGTCTCCCCGTTTATATCTGTCCGTGTAAGCAGATTACTGTGGGCGGAATGGCGCATATTGCGCATGGCTTGTTTAAGCATGCGCAGGCGGAGATGCAGATACCTCCTCTGGTACCATTCCACACCCACGGCTCCGTTTTCTTTCAATCTGAACACCAGTGCATCTATCCTGGCAGCCCAAACCAGGACATTCAAATCAATTCATATTTTCAACTAAATGGTGGCAAACTGCAATTGGTCAACTGGTTCATGTTCGACTTGAACGCCTATCCTGGCATAACACCGCCGGATCTCCCCCGATCCTCAGACCCCGATTCAACTTGGCTAGAGAATTCCTTTAGCCAAGTTGGACCGGGCTTCTGGGTCCGTGGATCCTATTCGTGGGTCATTGGGGGGTAGTCAGACACTGCCTGATGGCCGGTCCGTCCTTATGGTCAACATTAGCCGCGAACTAGGATTGAATTTGTGATAAAGTGTGACGAGCCTCTAGTTACTGTCTTGCTGATGAGTATGTGCCGAGCCTTTTTTTTCTCCTTTTCTTCTCCTATTCTGCTCCTGTTCTGTTGCGTCTGCTCTGTCTGCTCCGGATGCTCTGTCTGCTCCGGATGCTCTGTCTGCTCCGGATGCTCTGTCTGCTCCGGATGCTCTGTCTGCTCCGGATACTCCATCTGCTCCATCTGCTCCGGATGCTCCAGCTTCATCTTCTCTGCCTTCTCTGCCTTCTCTGCCTTCTCTGCCTTCTCTGCCTTCTCTGCCTTCTCTGCCTTCTCTGCCTTCTCTGCCTTCTCTGCCTTCTCTGTCGGCGTCTACTTTGTCTTCTTCATCTTTTTTATCTTCCTCTATCTAATCCTATTACTTTTGTTGTCTGCACATTCCCAGTATTCGACATTTATCGTACCGAAGCTCCTTACATGAAGTATACCATGGGAACTGTCTAGAAAGGAATTAAAGAAGAAGGGCCCATCAATTATTTCTGCCCTAGCCGAAAAGATAAGCAGAGAAAATAAGAAAGAAAACACCCACACTGTAACAGGTCAGTACAATGAAGCTGATCAAGCTTTAAAGTGGAGCATTCAACGGAATACTAAGCATGGAGATAAGAAAAGGAACCATGGACAAAGGTTAAAAGAAGCATCTAAATACTCCCTAAATGCTGTACAAACGCCAAAGGCACTAAACACAAGCTCACGCCATATGAACAGCCCAGTAAGATAATAAAGGGGCCATGGATTATCCATCGCACCTGAAAAGATAAACAGACAGAAAGAAGAAGATGGAAGGCAATGCAGAATCCACCTCGACCCTGACCAACATGGAAGCGCTCCCATAGAGTTCCGAGCTCCTTATTGCCTTTGACCAAGCGGCACTTGCCAGGACTTGGCCAATATTAACCATGATGATGCACCAGACATCCACAAGTGCGTCGCAGTAACAGGAACACCCACCCCGAGACATGGCAACCAAATACAGATTCAACGCCTTGGAATCTAGGCATCAAATCTGTGGTTACTCAGGTCAGTCACAACTCACTCGCTCATGACAATTCCGTTCCCAGTCCATATTCGGCCAGGCATCATCTCCCAAATCTCTGATAATGAGAATCTGCAAGAAGAACCGGCCGTCCAGTTGTACCTCGTAGCCAGAAAAACCACAGTCATCATATCGTTGACCCCAGAAGCCCAGTCCCATTTGACTGAAAATCTGACGCAAGCATTCCTTGGCGTAAAGCGGGTACAAAGCCCGAGGTATCAAGTAGTTGTAGGCATCGCGATCAAGTAATATCACGTTTACCAAGTGCAGCTTTCCATCGACAAGTGTGAACTTTGTTTGGATTGGCATGTCCGGGTCAGGAGAGCTAACATAGCTGCACTGGTGTTCGGATTCAAAGAAAACTGAGCCGTGAGTGTAAAGAGGTACCGCAGGACTATTCGGAGGCAAAGGTCTCACAAAGGAATTCCACGATCCGGCATTTTTGGATAGGCCACGGTGAAGATGTATCGCTTCGTCGAAAGTTATGCGGATACAGGGACAGACGTTAACCATCGGGTGACGAGAATGAGGCAGGCTACCGCGATTCTGGAACTGATCAGTGGATTGGAGATCCTGTGTCCCGGCTGCCATGGATCTAGTCTTGGTGAGTTATCAACACAGCGCAGGAGTTAGAGATTGAACATAGGGACACTGACTGCGCAGATAACCACTCAACAGGGTGCAAAGTCAAACACAACTTACATGCTCTCAAACGATCGGTCTGGAGACATGGAAGAAGTCGGATTCGTGGAAGGTGACCACGTTCGTCGACAGCACCAAACGGTTGACGGTGGAGAGTCTCTTCAATCGGCAGAAGCTTTGAGAGCTTTTTGTCGATCTTTCGCTGCTCCAAGAAAGACAGGAAACAATCGTAAGTGTACTTTGAGGCTAGGGCGAAGCCGATACCATCTTCCGGGCTGGCAAGACTGGAGAAAATCATCTCCATGATCTCCAGGGGAAGGTAAGGAACCATGATGACAGTACGGGCTGTTAACATATGGGCAAGTATGACTGGCCACAGGGAGATATTGCAGTATGAGAAAAGAAGAGAGCTATCGCCTGCCAGTGGGTAAGTAAGCGTAGGTAAAGGGAGATCTTGTGGTATGGGGAAATAAGAGACAGAGTTGAGGTGGATGCTTGAACTGAAAATGTTTGGATGTTTTGTACCCCAGTGAATGTTGGTAGGCACTATTTTTGGTGATGGAGTACAGGATCGCTCCTGCCGTCTTTTCACTTCGGAAGTGCTTTCGTTTCTTTTGTTATGTTTAAGCTTAATTACAGGTTAAATTGATTATTAGATATATCTCAGTCTCCAAGTCCTTAACTGACAAGATAATTTTGTTATTGATTAGTATAGAAAGTGTCTTGAAAATTTATAATTATACAGCTTCCTAGGCAGGAAGACATGACCCAGTGTACAGCCAGCAGCTCTTCTGGGATTCTGACAATATCCCAAAACCTGCAAGAAAGCTACAAAGAACACTTGTGTAATTCTGCAGAATAAGGACTGTATACTAACATCTTACTCAGCCCCTACCTAAATCTTATTTTGACATACAAACTCGCAATATATACCGTCGCGTTTACTAACTAAACTGGTAAATTTAGTAACTACAATACGTCACATAGATCTTAAAATATCGCGTTGTGTCTTAGGGTGCTCTGATATACCGTTTGATAATCGCCCAAGATCTATGAAAATCACTTATATTGTTGCTTTATTCCATTACCGAAGGATAGTGTTTGCGTTAATTATTTATTTGAATAATTAAACAAATCTCTATAAACTCGGAAATATACAACTCTCCCCGGGTATAAGAACTTCCTGCTAGTTATTTAGGGGAGTCACCACTGCAGAAAGCTAACAAATACTACAATTTTATTGTAGGTAAAGTATTTCCAGAAATAAAAATAGAATAAGATGATCCAACTAGGTTTCAAGTGCACTTAAACTCTACAGTACTATAAATAACCCGGATGTTCTCCTGTACTCGAAGATCATCGCGGGCGGCCAAGGCTTATCTGGCCGCATCGACCGAATCGACCCGCCATTGAAATCCGCTGAGACACTTTTCCCTCCGCCATCCCCGTCCGCCACGCTTTACAACGCCCACCACAATCGAAGATCGAGTTCTGTAACCTAACAGACCTCACTGGCACGTCCATGCCCCTCGGTGGCCACCCTTTCCGGTGATGCGCTCGCGATGTTGGAGCTTACAGATGTTCAACCCCCGTCGCGCGTGGATGATGGTGGTCTGGGCCGTCCTGCTGTCGCTATGGCTTACGTCGGCGCAGGCTATGCGAGACTACCAAATTAAAGAGCTCAGGTAAGTCGGATTGTTGTTGCTTTCTCCGGTATTACTGTGCCCTTGCTAACCCTCTCGTCCGTGAATCGCGCAGACAGGAAACAGAACACATGTTCTACCATGGTTTCGAGAATTACCTTGATCACGCCTTTCCCGAAGACGAATTGCGCCCGTTGACCTGTGGCCCCTTGACCCGCGACGAAAAGAACAATGAACACAATGATGTCCTCGGAAATTACTCCTTGACTTTGATCGACAGCTTATCGACCCTGGCGATCTTGTCGTCAAGTCCGGAGAGTGGCGATCGCGCTCTGTCGAATTTCCAGGGCGGTGTGAAGGAGTTTGTGAGGCTCTATGGTGATGGATCGCAGGGCCCTGCTGGTCAGGGTGAGAGAAGCAGGGGTTTCGATATCGATAGCAAGGTGCAGGTATTTGAAACTGTGATTCGAGGGCTCGGTATGATCCCATTGCCACCATTGTTTGGAAACTTAGCTGACACTTCTCCAGGCGGACTCCTAAGTTCACACTTATTTGCTATCGGTGAACTACCCATCACAGGATATAACCCGCCAGAACGGGATGCCGAATACGCCAGCGCCTGGGACAAGGGCGGATTCTCCAAGCAAGACCATGGCATTATGTGGGTGGATGGATTCGTATACGACGGGCAATTACTCCGATTAGCAGTTGATCTAGCGCATCGTCTGCTCCCGGCTTTTTATACGGAAACCGGCCTTCCTTACCCGCGAGTGAATCTGCGACACGGCATTCCATTCTACGAGAACTCTCCTCTGAATGCCAACTCCAGCAAGAAGAAGGAGAAGGACAAAAAGCGGAAGTATGCGTATATGAACTCTGCGGAAATCACGGAGACATGCAGTGCCGGCGCCGGCAGTCTTACCCTGGAATTCACCGTTCTCAGCAGATTGACTGGCGATGGCCGGTATGAGGAATTGGCCAAAAGAGCATTCTGGGCAGTTTGGGCCCGTCGAAGTGAGATTGGACTTGTTGGATTTGGGATCGATGCAGAATCCGGGAAATGGGTGGGACCCTATTCAGGAGTAAGTTAATATAGCGAAGACTTTTTGAAGTTCACGGATGATATCTGACTGGTTATGACAGATTGGTGCTGGAATTGACAGTTTCTTTGAATATGCGGTCAAATCACACGTTCTTCTTTCCGAGGGGGAGCGCCCACCTTTTGACACTTCCAGCCCTTGGAGTCTGCTGGATGATCATTATCTCCCCTTGACAGACTATCAACACTCTGCAGATGCCTTTCTCCAGGTTTGGGAAGATTCACATACCTCGATCAATCGTCATCTGTACCGTGGGGAGGGATACCAGCATCCTCATCTAGTTGTTGGAGATGTCTCCACCGGCGCGACGCGGGCCTTTTGGATCGATAGCTTGAGTGCTTACTACCCGGGCTTGCTTGCCCTGGATGGCAAGGTAGACGAAGCAATTCAAATCCATCTCCTCACCACTGCAATCTGGACACGCTTCTCAGCCCTTCCCGAGCGGTGGAACGTGGCCACGGGTGACATTGAAGGGGGTCTTGCCTGGTATGGAGGTCGACCTGAATTTATCGAATCAACCTACTACATCTACCGATCTACACAAGACCCTTGGTACCTACATGTTGGAGAAATGGTTCTTCGTGACATCAAGAGGCGCTGTTGGACCCAATGTGGATGGGCAGGTCTCCGGAATGTCCAAACTGGTGAGATGATCGATCGCATGGAGAGCTTCTTTTTGGGTGAAACGGCCAAGTATATGTTTCTCCTTTTTACTCCGGATCACCCATTGAACAAAATCGATGCGCCGTGGGTTTTCAACACCGAAGGCCATCCTCTAATCATCCCGAAGAAAAGAACTGCTCCCAAGCAGCCCTCCCGCCAGACGCAATCGTGGTCTTCTGAAAATCCCCCTCAGGATACCTGTCAAGCAATCGCCTCGCCTATTTTCGGCGTGTCTTTTACAGCCTCTCGACCCGATATATTCCATGCTGCCAGCCTGGCGCGTCTACATCTTCGACCTCGTCGCGGAGCACCCGAGGGCCCTATTCGAGGGAAATCGCCCGAGCACCAGAGTGTGTTTGTTTCCGATTTGTCATCTCCAACAAACTATACCTTCTATCCTTGGACACTTCCGCCGCAACTCGTTCCGTTCGACGCAGTTAGTGCACCGATGGCCGTGCGTCCCACATTGGACATATCATTCCCATCTCTTCCAGGCGGTGTCAATTTAGGTCCGGGGGCGCTGGAACGGGTAAGAGACGGTGTTCTAGTCAAAACAATCGGAGGGCTCCGCTTGAGCATGGTGCAGGACGTCTCTCTTGGCCACGATGACGAAGATGGATACCGGGTGCAAGTGATCAACAATGTACCGCTTGGAAAGGATGAGAAGGTATACATCTCTCGCCAGGTCACCTTTGATATCGTTGATCCGTATGATCCGAACTTCACCCGGGTTCGCGACACGGCCATGCTAGACCTCGTCATTGACGTTCTGCCAGAAACCTCTCGCCAGCGCAATGCTTCAGCTGCTCCAGGAGATGAACCACATGCAGCAGAGTATTCAGAAAGTGAAGAAACTTCGGACCTTAACCTCGGCCGTCGCAAGCCCGCTCCCGCCGCCGTCGTCGACGACGAAAGCCCAGTCGACTCCCCCGAGTCAACCATGAGAAGCATGCTCTCGAACTTCGTCAACTCAGTCTCCGCCCTACTTCGCGATGACTCCGAGCCCGAAGATGATGATGACACCACCACACCCCTACGCCTCAGTCTCCCCGCCACCCTACCCACCGGTATCGGCGCAGCACCACTCCCCGACGTCGAAGACGCAATAACAATGTCACTCTTCAGCAAACCTTCCAAAGACCCCCCTAACCTGGTCAACGATCTACTTCGCCCACGAAATCTGCGACGACCGCATCCTGCGAGACATTGTACAAACACACGAAGTCCTCGTCATAAAACGCGGCAGCTGTACCTTCTCGCAAAAGTTGCGCAATATCGCCGCATTCCGGCCCTCGCGCTCAGCACTTAAACTAGTCATCGTCGTATCCTCGGACGAAGAGTCCCAACAACAACCTCCCAGTTCTCCGCAAGAGAATATCGAGAAGGGGTCTGCGCCGCTAGCAGCGTTGCGCGCTGAGTCTTCGCTGATTAGACCTCATCTTGATGAGAGTCAGGTTTCTGCTAGTGGTATTCCGCGTAATCATCTCATAAGCTTGATTATGGTTGGTGGGGGTGATGAGACGTATGCACTTTTGCAGTCTTCGACTGGGATTGGGATTAAGAGGCGGTATACCATGCGCTCTCAGGGTGTTCCTATTGCAAATCTGCACATCATTTGATTTTGCTTTTGTTTTCCTACTTTGCCCCAAATACATGTATACCCGGAGATCGATTATAAATGTTAGTGGACTTGGACTGTTTTCCTTTCTTTTCGAACTTGTTTCTCTACTATGAAAATGCGTTGTACATGGTTGGTTATTCCTGCGGTGTGTATGTACATACTTCTCATTCTCAATTCATTCATTTTTCCCCTTATTCAGAATGTCTATTAAAAACCAGTATATCATATCTACGAAACAATCTATAAGTACTAGAGTCGAGGGGGGGAGGGAGAAATTAAGAGCAAAAGCAAATCTACACTTCTACTAAAAAAAAATTGAAAGCACATCGAAGAAATTCATTGAATCATTGAATCTTTTTTCTATAAGATCTGACCTCCAGGCGTGATCCAATTTACTCCAGAGCAATACACTCAATCTCAACAGGAACACCCTTGGGCAACTGCTTAACAGCAACACAGCTACGGGCAGGCTTGTGAGTGAAGAACTTCTCATAGGTAGCGTTCATTTCAGCGAAGTTGGCCATATCGGTAAGGAAGACCTGTAGCGTAGCAAAGGGATTAGCACCTGTAACTGCGCGGCAAAAACATACTATAGTATAGAGTATAGTTGGAACTGTTCAGCGAAGTACTTACGTTAACCTTAACGATCTTTCCAACGCTAGATCCGGCAGCGGTGACGATGGCCTGGATGTTGTTGCAGCAGGCTTGGGTCAGAGTGCCGATGTTACCCTCGACGAGGTTTCCGGAGGCGTCAGCGGGGATTTGGCCGGAGACGTAGATTGTGCCGTTAGCGCGGATGGCTTGGGACTGGATTCAAGGGGGGGTTTTGTTAGTTTGGTTTATTATGGGGGTTTCTGTCATGTTGGTGCTTTGCTTTGCTTTGCGTTGCTTCGCTTGGCGGGGAAGCTCCCCGTTTGCTTGGAGCTTGGTTTGGTTGCTCGGAGGGAGAAGGGGAGCGAGGAGGGGAGGGGTATTCAATTCAATTTCTGAGGGGAACGTACGTAAGGGCCAGCAGCTGGGAGAATCAATTGTTAGCATTGGACTTTAGGGGTGGGTTTCTGGCTTGGTGCTGGCTGGCTTGACAGGACAGCTCCAGCTGGTTGGGTGACGTGACTCACGAGGGCAGGCATCCTGGGCAGTGACGGCGGTAAAGTTGGCAGACATGTTGGTAATTCTTGAGAAGGGGATGAATTGAGGACGGGAGAGAGATGGATGAAGAGATGATTTGAAAGGCAGACGAGAGAAGAGACGAGAACGATGCATGTTGGTGGAAGGCGGAGAATAAGAAGGCGGGGCGCGGTTGGTGGGGGTTGCTTTCCAATGGTTTCCCTCGGGGAATGAAGGAATGCGGGAAAGGATGCTCGTTTTGAGTAAGTTTTTACGTTTACATTGGGCTTCTAGTTTGGTTACTGGCTATTCAGGTGTAGTGGTAATTAATGTGTTGATGTGTGGTATTATTGATGCGCTCGCTAGAATACTTGTACAGTAGGTTGGTCGTGGTATCATGATCGGATCGTTAAGGGAAGGGAAGCAAAGCAAAGCAAAGAAAGAAATATGCAGTCACGCAGAGGCCAGTAGATTAGGAGGGGGGGTTTGTTGAAGTTGGCCAGATTGCCCAGCTGTTGCATCAGGCTGGCGGTTTGTTCAGCGGAGTATCCGAAGAAAACGGGGCCGTTGAAGGTGATATGTGCTGGTGGTGGAGGCTTGGCCTCTGACTGCGACGAGATAGGTTCTTCCGGCGGCGGCTGCTGGCCTGCAGCACCCTCATCCACAGGCTTCTCTTCGAGTGATTTGCCCCAGTTGGCCCACGGTGATCCGAGAGACTCGGGTTTGACAACAGGCTCTTCGGGCTTTGGTTTGGGAGCGTCATGGCCAAAGGGACAGCGGCCAGCGGGCTTTGCCGGCGCATCGCCGGGTGAGGTATCAAGAGGACCCACGGGGGCTGGTGGTGACATAGGACCAGACGCCGATCCGGAGAAAGGCACTGGGGCAGATAATTGCTCGGCGAGTGGGACATGAATTCCCCAAGGCCTGCTTGGGGATTCACCCACTCGGACCTCTCGAAGGGGCCGGTCAAAGTGACTCTCGCGGCTGTTATCATCCTCCTCGTTCTCCCCCTCATCCTCCTCCTTGTGTCCGTGTCCGTGTCCGTTCTCCTGCCCATGGTCATGGCCATTCTCATTCGTGTTCAGTGTGTCGGGGGCGACGGGGTCCACGTTCTCGGCCCATTTCTCGACTCGTTCGGTGGATGCGGAGTGGGAAGCCTGGTCATCGTTGCCATTGCCGTTGGCCTGTTGCGGGAGGAAGGCTTGGTGTTTCGCGGAGAGACCACTGATCATGTTGATTAATCCGCCATACTTGGCATCCAGCTGACGCATGTTCTGGGGGTCTCGCTGATATCGCTTAACGCAGATGGCATGGCTGCGAGGGATTTCATGTTTGTGACGTTCCACGTATTCAGCGATCTCCTCTGGTGAATGCTTATCCAGGTACCGGATCGGACAACGAGACACGGGGCATCGACTCCCCGAGGTATGAGCCGAGGGGGTTGTACTGGATCGTCGTTCCTCTATGTCGGCCTTGATGGGGTCCGGGTCTGGATTACCACAGGTATCGATGCGGATCTTAGGCCCCTCACTATTCGCAGCTCCTCCGTTCTGCATGGAGCCTGGGTGGGGTGATCGTGGAGGTTTGGAGAAAGGACAGTGCAGGTTACCCTGAGTCCCGCTGGTGGTGAAGTCTTTTTCCAGCGACACCGAAGGGTCTTCGGGGCCTCTGGCGAGCATGCACGAGTTGGTGGTGGAGTTGGGAGGAGAAGAGCCTTGGCCATCCTGAGAGCGGAGCAAAGCTTTATATCCCTTCACCCCGTCCACGATGGCCCGGAAGGCAGTTTCGTCTACATTTTGGTGTGAAACGAGCGTCTTGATTACATCCATTGAATTGAGCGACTGTTCTTCGACTGGGGACTTGTGCTGCACAAGGCCTAGACACAATTCTTTCTGTTGATCCAGTAACGTTTGCTGCACCTCCATCGCATGCGGCCTATCCTGTGGGGCCAGCTGTCGCGTCACGGCTGTATACTGCGTTTCAGGTTAGCCAGGGTCATAAAATGAAAGGAACATTTCAAAGATAGGCAGATGAAAGCAAGTCTCAATCAGATAATACATGTTAATCCGTCATCGCCACATAAGTGGCTCCTGATCTAGAGCTAATTTCTCATCATGTGAGACTGGGGGAGGGTGGTGAAAGGGAAAGGGGTAACGAAAACAAAGAAGAAAGGAGTAATTACCTGTTTGAAGACATCCTCGGAGTGCTGTTTGAGGTCATTGTGTCTATTGGTAAGTCGGTAGAGGGTTAGTAGGAGGGCATCGAAGGCTTTGCCCACGGCCTGCAGCTGGTCCTGACGCGGATCGAACGGATGGTCCTCGATCGGAGCAGGCATGGTGTTGCGAAATCCAATAATAGTATTACAAAGAAAGAAGCATCATTAAGCTTAGGAGCAGAGGAGAGCCAAGCTCGATGCAAACACCCATAGGAGATGAAGGAGGAAGAAGCTGCAGGCGGCAGATTTATACCGAGGGCGCAGCTCCGGGAAAACGTTAAGCGAGGTGGTCCGTGCGGTCACGTGGATGTACTAGGTAGATCTGGGTAGATGGGCAATGGGCATCATGAATTAGCACTTACATTGATGTTGGTGGTAGTGGGATTGAAGCCTATCTAATTTCATATCTTAAAATAATATTTAGTATTGTCCTTATAATACAGCGATGCTCAGGCTGTTGCTAGTGCTTCGAGTGGATGGCTAGCTTGGCATGCCGGATATATATACTACTGGTAGTATCCATGGACAGTTGCACCAGCAAAAATGCAATAGATTGTATGATTCTCCAGAAGTAGTACTAAGAAGAGAAATTTCTACTACTAATACTAGCCTGTGAATAGTATAGTATAAATCGAAAAATACCAGCAGATATCATATACATACCAGCCTAAGTGTATATTGTAATATCCAAATTTGTCTACCTGTTGGTTCCTCGAATGCTTCATGGTGGCCCTGGGATCTTCCCATCATTCTGCCTCATGTAGCCATAGTCTGCCGTCCCAAACAACAGCCCAGCCGGGCTAGCTCAATCGGTAGAGCGTGAGACTCTTAATCTCAAGGTTGGGGGTTCGACCCCCCCCCGTTCGGCTATTCCTACAAACCTTACCTGAGATATCTTTTTGCTTCTCTTCCAAATCAACCAAATTGATGGCTGCGTTTATTAAACTTATTCTATATATTTTTTGCTCTTTTTTCCTATAATTAATTGGTAGTGTATTCTAGTAGTTCACCTTTCCATTGCCGCTCTGTACTCCCACTCCCCTGTTGGACTAACACACCACTGCAGAACCGATTCATCTTGGACGCAACGTCCGATCGCCTCGCTGCAGCACTAATGCACGCGGACGAGTTTCAGAATCACCACCCGATCTCCTCACGCATGATTGGACTGGTGTCAACACCGTCTTCGCCATGGGTCTGTGGCCTGATGGTCTTAGAACGCCATCCCCGCCATGTTCCTCGGTCAGGCCGCCGGTTCCAGAGGTTCTAGATCGACACTGTACAGAGATGGGCAGGGACCGTGTGAGTCACCCATACAAAGTAAGTATGTACAGTACTCGGTATGAAAGAAGGCTAAACAAGCCAAACCTACCGGCAGCCCCGTATGGTGTGATAGGCATGAAAGGTGAGCGGGTTGTGGATTGTGATTGGCTGGGGAGCGGAACTGCCCTGGCCCGCTGCAGGAAGAGGAGCATTAGTCCTGGCCGATCTTGTTGCGCTGGCCACCCACTACGGAGTAGCCTCAGGTAGGCGGAATTCTAGAAACCGGGTCGAATGCATGGCGTGACGGGGGGATACAGATGTACGTAGACCGCTGTTCGTACATATAGTGGCGGTACAGATAGGTACAGGGGTACTGGGGTACTGGGGTACTAGAGTGTATGATTATCATGAAATAGAGAATCAGATATAATAGTATAGTATAATATAATATAATACTATATAGACATTATATTATATAGACTACTATATTATATTAGATGTTAGAATGAATACAAACTAATTGTGGTATACTACACTAGCATACCGTACCTCAATACTAAATCTAGACTTGGAGGGGCAGAGGGCCACCACACCTTATCACCGTAATTTTACCGCTGATTTTTTTCGTCCCCTCCTCCATTATCTCGACATCCTTTTTTACCCTTTTTTACCCCTCCTTTTCCCCTCTCCCTCTTCTCTTCTCCTCTCTCTCTTCTCTTCTCTTCATCATGTCCCAATCCTCCGCCTCCGCCCCCGATGCCTCCGCCCAAGTCACCGGACACCCCGCCGCCCATGCCTCCCGCGCCGCCGAACTCGCCAGTCTTAAAGTAAGCCTGCGCGCCGCCCTGCGTCAGTTCCCGGACTTCCCTTCCCCCGGCATTCTCTTCGAGGATATCCTGCCTATCTTCGCCGACCCGACCCTGCACGAGGCTCTCATCCGATCCCTGGAGCTGCACATCCTCGAGAACGCCGGCGGCGTCAAGCCCGATGTCATCGTCGGTCTGGAGGCCCGCGGTTTCTTGATGGGCCCTAGTCTGGCCCTGCGCCTGGGTGCTGCCTTTGTCCCCGTTCGCAAGCAGGGCAAGCTCCCCGGTCCCTGTGAAACTCAGGGCTACGAGAAGGAGTACGGTACCGACTTCTTCCAGATGCAGGCTGGCGCTATCAAGCCTGGTCAGAAGGTTATTGTTGTCGACGATATCATTGCTACCGGTATGTATATGTGCAATCACATGCATTATGCGGGCGCATTGCTACTAGCGCAATCGCAACCCCCCCCCGGAACCCCCCCCAAAAAAGAAAAGAAGAAAAAGTCTTATACTAACGACTCTCATAGGAGGCTCTGCTCAAGCCGGTGGCGAATTGATCAAGAAGATGGGCGGCGAACTCCTCGGCTTCATTTTCCTCCTCGAGCTTGAATTCCTTCACGGCCGCGACAAGCTCCCCGCCCCCGTCTACACCCTTCTGACCGGCCAGGCCTAAGCCAGTGCACTGCTATCGACATCGGCATCGGCATCGGCATCGGAATCGGTATCGACTCGACTTAAGAGGCGACCGTCCCTTCCTGCCTGACGCAGTTTAACAAAAGTTTTCACCAAATTCACTTCGCTTTCCGCGATCTACCGAGATCGCAATAATGTCCCGACCCAGCCGAAACCCGGCGGTGTGTTTCGCGCCAGCTCAGCCTCAGTTCAGTTTTCGGTGGCTTGGCCTGGCCTGGCCTAGCCCGCCCACTCCCGAACGGCCCATCCCACGTTCATCCGACATGTCACCGTATTGGCGTGCTTTCTATTTTTATCCTTGAAGTCTTCGTTTTTTCCGGTTGGCTTGGTTGGTTTGGCTTGGTTTGGTTTCGCTGCGCTGCGCTGTGCTGTGCTTTGCGGATCCTCGTCGGTGGTGTGTAGAGCCGGGCTCGCATGCCCGAATTCTACATCCATATCAGCATCCATCAACATCACATCAACAATCTAACAACAATCAAATCTAATCAACCCCATACTCTATAGACAGATACCTTAAGCTTCTTGTTTCGCTACAATAGCAATCATTGCCATATACACCACGTTATCCCATCTTAGCATATCGAGTAGAGTATCGTACCAGCTTGAAGGGAATGAGCTACGAGTACGAGTACCGCAGTGATCCATAGATAAATAGCACCATTATCCCCAGCTCGGAGCAAGTGTGTAATGTGTAATGTGTATTGAATATCACACAATAAAAAGCAGCTACCTATGCACCACCTGTGTATGCACCATGTAACTACTAGTTACTAAGTCCATCTCCCTCAACTCAACTAGACTCAACCATTCCCATACGGACCGAACCTCATGTCTTAGGAATAAACCTCCTCATAACCCCCCCCAATCCACCCCTCATCAACACCCAGCTCCGCACACTCCTTAATAGCCCGATTCATCCGCCCAATATACTCCAGCTTCGGCGGCCCAACCACAATCCTATTCTCATCAACATAAACCAGAATATCTACCTCCTCCTCCGTATTATCACCAGCATCAACATCAGTATCATCTCGAACTTGGTGCTGGACACGAAGTACATCCCCCTCACTCTCACTCCCAGACAACCACTTCACAACCCTCGCACCCAAAAACCACTTATTATAAGAACCAAGACCTTGTTCCCTTGGCCGAATCCTCGGCGAGATATCAACCACCTCCTCCCCCCTTCCTCCCTTCCACCCCCTCCTTCCCAGCCAACGGCGCATCATAATCAACACCCTCAAATCTATCCAAAACCCTCTCATCAGCAGGATCCAATTCATAAAGAATTCCATAAACGCCATCCACCCCATTTAAACCAGGCGACGAAATCGGAACCTTGTCCGCGGCTTGACTGTTCTGTTTACCCGTGCGTAGGTCGGGTGGTGGGAGGACATTCGCGTAGCCCGCTTGACAGATTAGCCAGCGCCAGTGCGGGAGGAAGGCTATTGCGAGGGGTGTTGAGGAGGTTGGGTTTTTTCGGCAGCGGGTGGACATTTGGGTTGGGGAGAGATTTGAGCCGTAGGCGAAGTAGAGGTGTTTTTGTTTTGGGGGTTGGTTTGAGGTGGTGGTTGCTGTCTGGGTGCTTGTGCTTGCGCTGGTGGGGGTTGGATTTGAGGGTGTTCTTGGTTCGGTTTGTAGGTGCATTTTGGATGGTTGGGGTTGAGGGTTTGTTTCGGATGGGGGTTTATTTGGTTGGGGGGGTTTGTTTTGCTTGTATGTTGGTCGTTGATAGATGGTAGGTAGTAGGTGGGGGAATGTTAGAAGTAAAGTCTGGCTGAGTTGAGTTGTTGGAGGTTGGTGTTGGGGTAATGGTGAGTGATTGCGTGCGAGGAGTGGGGTTCGTATAAAGAAGCTCAGGGCAAACAAGATAGATCCAAGTTTTGTTTTGGGTTCATGAGTCACAATAGATCGGATCGATTTGAGGCTCGGATGTACTGATTTCAAAGTTGGGTTATTGGGGTATTGGGCTTTTATACACTTGGGCTAAGGTAGCATCCACTCTAGTGGAGAATTGAGTCAGCTCTGCGGGGGTTGAGGAGTTATGGTTATGCATGATAAACTAGTTGGCAGTGAGGCCTTTTGGTATGTTTTTGTTTTTACTTTTGCTTCTATCGTACCTGGGCTACTTTTTATTACATTCAGAGAGAAAAAAAACAATCGTGATATGATCATCATACTGATTCCTATAAAGACAATTACGAGTAAAGGCGCGGTATCCTAAGAACCCCTCTCGCTAACAGGGAAGAAAAAGAACCGTATAAAGAGCACGAAAATAAAAATAAAAATCAAGTCCAAGCTCAAGCTCAAGATCAGCGTCTCGGAATCGTTCCACTCATCCGACCCCCTACCCCAGCCATCAAGCTCTGCTTAACAATAGCGTCCGCCGCAGCCAAGGCAGCCAATCTCTCTCTCTGCCGACTACGATCCCGCAAATACCCCGCAGCCTCAGGCCTCATGCGAAGAATCCGCAGAATCATATCATCATTCGGATCAGCCTGTGCCTCGCGTCGCTTCTCCTCCTTGACCTTTTTCATGGTGCCTAGATTACGCGACAACATGATACTCTTTGCGCGACGGGCAGCGGGGATTCCTAATCCGCCATGGCCAGGCCCCGTGGCGCCGAGATGAGCGGGTGCAGAGGCGCGGTTGCGATTCGCTTGTTGGCGACTTGCTGTTGCTGAAGCCATTCGCTCCGATGTGCGAACTAGATTCTCTGTTGGCTCGAAGTAGAAGAAATTGAGACTTTGGATCTCGTGGTATTTGGGGGATTTGAGAATGTCGATGGGGACGCCGCCTGCTTCGCCGGATTCGTCGTCGATGGCGTGGAAGAAGTTTAATAATAATACGAGCCAGCGTGAGACGATGTCAACTTCTTGCATCGTTAGCGGCTTTTGGTGGGATGGTTTGTCGGATAATGGTGGGACGAGTAGACTTTCGATCGTGGCTAGGACTTCTTTCCAAAGGCGGGCCATTACCATTTTCATGGCTTCGCCGGTGAGCGTCTTGTTCATGATGGCGAAGTTGTCGTTGAAGTAATTGAATAGAGGATCAAGTGCATTTTCAACATCGGCTGGTGTTGGCCCAGTCGGGGCTTGCTGTGCTCGGTTTCGGTTCAAGAAATTGGAGACTGTTGACATGGTGATGCCTCGAGATAACAGAGACTTCAAAGTACGACGTGACAGACAGTGACTGATGTAGGCAGAAAGCTAGGAGAGAGAGAAAAAAAAAAACAGGTTAGTCGATATAATACGCTTCATGTGGAGAGTTGTCGCATACCTTTTCAGTAATCCGGCGAGTCATATCCCTTTCCGTACGCTTCAACGTGCGGAAAGCTTTGCCAAAGTAGAACTGAATATCGTCGCGCTCACCCTCCATGCTGACACGCAGTAACAAACGCCCTTGAGTGTCAAGATCAAGCCAGTATTCCCTTGGCAGGAAGTCGCTGAAGTGGACCGGGTCAAGCTTGATTGATGTTCGACCAACATAGTCGTGGTCACCGACCGCGTCCCAATCCCAGATTGTGGCAATGATATTTAGAGGACCTTGCGTTGTAATGTCCACTGCGTCTTCCCAACGGGGGTTGAGGTTGTTATAGATGATTCGAGTCTTTGCAATTCGTTTTTGATATTCATCCGCCAAGACCACGTATGGGTCACTTCCACCGTTCATGTCGCATGCTTTCAGGTCCTCGGCTTCTACTACCTTGATGGTGAAAACGTAGGTCGTAGACTTGCGCACCTTCTTCAGCTGCGGAGGGGTGTTCTTTGCGATGACATCCGCACATCCATCGACATTGATTTCACGCTCAAGCCTATCCAGTTGGGTGAGAGCATACTCGATGTTGTTCAACTTGACCAGTGACTATAATCATCGATTAGCAAGCAGACCCTAATATGGGAATATAGAGGTGCATAGCATCCATACCTCGGAGGAGAATTGGAATGGCTCGATCTTGTCTTTGTTAGTCCATGTGTCCTTGGCGAACTGCATGAGCTTCTCCTGAGTAGTCTGATTCAACGCCGCCTCCTGTTCCGGGGTGAGACGATCCAGCTCCCGGGCAAACATTTGCTCCAAAGATTCGCAGTACTTTGCCACGCCCTTGCCAATTGAGTTGGAGAGGGCGGTCATGAATTTCGCATACTGAAGATCGTCATCCCACTCCATATGCACCAAGTTCTCCACGATTTCGTTGAATGACCGGAATATATCGATTACCGAGACACTGTGTCGATTATCGTCGGATGGCAAATTAGCCGGGTCTTCCTCTCCAATACCAAAGGCATCCTTTTTGATGGCCTGATTGACCCATTCCATGACGCTCTGATCCGTTAAACGAAGCCACCTCCAAACAAATTCTTCCAACAAAGTTTCCACGTGGAAAGGAAATTCAGTTCTGCACAGTTGCCGTTAGCAAAGGGTGTATGTAAGATTAAAGGTTCGCCGGTACATACCCCTCGATAGTATTATGAAATAAACGGCGAACCTTCGCAAGCTGCTTGTACAAATCCATGCCTTCATCAATGTCAATTTCTTCTCCTCTGGATTTGGAGCGTTCAATGATTCGGATGATCATTTCATGCGCATCTTCAGCGAAGAGATGTAGGACATTGGTGCAGAGTGTTGTGTATGGGTTGACACTGTTCTAGTTAGATCGGACTGATATAAACAATAGACGAAGTCTTTTCATCACTTACCCCATGATCTCAGGGTTATTCCTGTACCGCTTCTGGATCTTGGTTGCAAGCTTTGTGAGCGCGTCTCCCAGTTCAATGACATTGTCGAACCCCCAACTGTCTCCGTCGACTGGCACCAACTGGCTAAGGAAACTTTGGTACTTCTCCGTCGCCTTCTGAGCGAGCCCATCTTGCACATACGAGGAGAATCGATCGAGATCCTCCGGGTCTTCTGTATAGCTTGGATCCTCCTGGATATGATTCTCAAGAATGTACATCACAGGCCCAAGGGGACGTGGTTTAGCCTCAAAGCAGTCCATCATCACGTCGTAGAGTTCGCGTAGCATGGCTTCATGAAGCTTGGAAAGTGACACCTGCATCGCTTGGAGATCATGAACGGTCCATTTTTGTCGGTCAAAGACAGAGGAAACTGCCATGCTGCTGCGCTTCGATCGGGGCTCGCTAGCCGGTGACTCTTTCACAAAGGTGAAGGCTGAGTCCAGGGTGTTGAGATCGATTTCATTGTCAACGAACTTGGATTGAATGACGTCGATGAATAAAACGACGCGGGAAAAATTAGGGATCCGCCAGCGGAGACATATTTCATTAAGCAGCTCTGTAGACTGCTTTGACAGCAACTTGATCGACGGTGCATCAGAGGAGGCCTGGGTAGCCTCTAGTTCTCGATCCCGTAGGTCATAGCTCAGAGCTTGGGAGAGAATGTGCCGATATATCTCTCGGGGATCAGATGGGATAAAAGTGTATGTATCCGATTCCTCAGAATCGTTCGCTCCGCCTAATGAGAGCGCAGATAAGTCGACGGGTTGGTCGAAGGCATGAGACATCCGAGCCGTACGACCAGAGGACGTCCTCAATAAGTCATCTTCAGAAGCTGGATTGATTCCAGGAAGTGCCCCGGGTGTACTCTTTGCTAGCTCCGGGTTAGATTGAACAATGGCGAGCATCATCTGAGAGAGATCGGGTCCTTCGCTTTTCTTCCATGTTTCAAAAGCTTCGTCCGTCTCAAAGTCATCCCTCGATAAAGTTTTGCGAGTTTGAAGGTTGAGATGTGTTTGATAGGTCTTGAGATCTTGCAATGCTGCCTTTTCGCTCCACGCCGACTTATGCTTATCGATTTCCGATTGGGCTTGGCTTGATGTCATACCAAATATCTTGGCTACATGCTGCACCAGCGGCATATCCTTGACATCGTAACTCAGCTGGGCCACGACCTCCGTTGTTGCTGGGCCATTACCATCCATTAGATCCTGATCCTGCAGTAGAAGCTTGTTCTCCAGCACTGACAGTCGATTCGCCAGCTCCGGGCGGTCCTTGGCCCAGTCGTGGCCGTGGCCCTTGAGAGTGAGCGCTAGAAGGCGCACGAATAGGGCAACGTGTCGATCCACCATGAGCTTCCAGCTATCATCGTCATGTTCCTTCCCCTTGCTCAGTTCCTTGATGGCGTTGGAGTAGAAGATGAGGACGAGATCTTCGGCGCGACGATCTTTTTCCATGCGCTTTTTGAATGAATCTTCTTTCAGCGCATTGAGGAAGGCAGCGAAGGTGCGCACCACCAGATGATCCTGATATTCCTTCCTCTTCTCCTTGCCCATCAAGACCCCCGTCAACCGCTTTTCGAGCTCGCCGACAAATCCATGGGGAATCCTTGTGCTTTTCGAATCCCTGATTAGGGAGAAGTCGCTCATCAAATCGTGGATCGAGGTGGAGGACCGCTTTGGGCGTGCGGGGGCGACTGGGGCATTTTGGATGCGACGCGAACGAGGGCTGAGGAGATAGGCCAGGTAGGCTACACGGAGAGCGTGGCTGCTAGCGACGTTGGCGCTGAGAGGGCGGCGGCGCGAGAGCGAGGAGTTGCGCGAATGGCGACCCTCATTTTGGATACTGTTGATCCGTCGGTTAACTCCTCGGGACTGAGTAGATGCTGTCGACATGGAGTGAAGCGGTGGCGGGATCGTGGAGGATTCGGAGGGGAGAGCAAGTGGAATGCGGGACCATGGATGAAGGACGCAGACCACCCGCTAGCTGTTTGTATTGTTGACGGAGGGCGGAGGGAAGAGGACCCTTGACAGGGAGAAAGTTCTGTAATAAATTTGGGGCGAATGTCTCAGGTGAAACGTTGCGACGGAACTGGTGGAGGTAGATTGTTTACTTTGGGGGTGGAGGAAAGGAGAGGAGGAGGGGGAGTCGATGAAACACCACAAAGGCTGCCGAACTACGATAGGCGCCCGAGCTAGAAACACTGCCTGACGAGATGGGAGATGAGAGTATATGACAACCACTCATTTGGGTTGAATCATAGGGACAACATTCGTAAGCCTTTCTGGTTTTTTATCCAAGGATCCTGGTTATCCTGCGGGCGCTACGGGGATACGCAGGCGCAATGCAAGGGTGATCTAGTATACTCATACTTCCCCCTCAACTCATGACGAATGGGTATCACCGAGGATCCACCGCTGCTTCTGTTAGCTCTATAAACTTGAGCGAACATAGTCGCTTACTCAAGGTAGTTACTATTGCAAGCTTGCGAAAAAACTCAAGATTATTAATCAGTATCAAGAGTCCCTTCTATGTACTCTCCTTTCTCTAGGAAAGCACCCCCGCGCAGTACCCCGGAGATTGATCTACAAGAGGTTTCTGCACGAGACAAATAAAACAAGGCAAATGAAACAGGAACAGAAACAAAACAGTTCTGGGACTTCTGACGCATTGCTGCTCTCGTTGTGGAGCCTCAAGTGGCTTGTGGCTTCACGGATATGCGCCTACCCCACGTCATCAGAGTTGTCACAAGCCGAGGTTGAAACAAGTTGTTGTTGAACAAAAGGAAATGTCATATTTCTTTTATTGGGCTGATTGAAGATATTTCAAAGAAGCTGAAACCAATCGGCCTGGCTCCATTGATCATCAGAGCCCTCAAGTGACGCCGAATAAAGGAAGAAAGTCGTATTGGTATTTACACACACTCAGAGAGAGAACGAACAAAATAAAGCAGATTCGAATCACCACTTGTCCTCACCAGCTTTGCGAGCCTGTGAAACAAAAGAAAGTTAGCACTGCTAGATCGATTCCAATCGGCGCATATCTTCTGGGAGGATCGTTTGCTTACCGGCAGAGCATTGGGGCCTCCCAGCTCCTTCTCCAAACCATCCTCGTAGGTCTTGGGCACAGTGGGCTTGTCAGGGTGGTAGATGCTGACAACTCCGACGAGAGATAGGAAAGCCACCACGAAAGCACCGAGGTGGAGGAAGCCCTTGCCGGCGGAAACGTGGGTGTATTGCTCGGGACTGAAAACACCAAGGACCTCATTGTCCTCGTGGACGGGTTCGCCGAAGTTACGCTTCTCTTGCGCATCCCACCAGCCACCGTGGGGATCTCTGAACTGACGCTTCACACGGGGAGGGTTGGGGTAGTTGTTGTTCTAGAGGTTTAGTTAGAATGTGGACACGGATATGGGTATGGGTATGTGCGGTTATGACGGAGTTGACCGGTGGCCATTCGGAATGCGTACCTGGTGAGGGTCTTCGATATCAGCGGTAGAGCGAAGAGCAGGCATCTGAGAGAAAGCGGCGCGGGTGGCAATGGCGTGGCGAGCAGCAACCTGGGGGAGGCGCCGGGCCAGGATCCGTTGAGGAAGCATCTGTAAAAGCAATTGAGGGTTAACAATTTGGGGAAAAAGATAAGGGACAATTCCTGGACCGTGAAAAAAGGAAATAACTCACTGTATCGCCTTAAGGAGTGGAGAGGAAGGCGGGTGAAAGGGTGGAGGGGAGTGGAGTGAGCGAATGAAGTTGAAGTTGAAGTTGGAGGTTTGGGCGGCCAAACCCGGCAGTATTGCCACCTGAGGCACCAAGGCCAGCAACAACGCGGCGCGCTGACAAGGCAAGGCTCGGATGATGGAAAAAACCACTCCCTCACGCATTCCCCCGTCCTGGTCGTTTTTTCATCCCCATCCACGCCACAAAGCCGATAAGCATGCCAAACTTCGTGTGGCACCTCGACTTGACTCTACCTACCTTCTGATGCCAAAATCGCCTACTCCGACTGCGTCATTGTTGGGAGAACTGGGGTCAACTGTGCAGAAGGCCCCTGTCGCCCGCGACTTCAAGTCATGCAAAACGGCAGTTCCAGTGGCCCATCACCCCAAGATGAACGCGTAACACCTGTTCCCGACACGCCTGGTCCCGAAGATTCCGTCCTAGAAAATATTCCTACTTCTGGCCCCTACGAATCGATCCCTTCCGAGCCGAAAGACGATGAAACTGTCCATCAACTAGAGGGCCCCCCCTCCAAGAAGCGAAGACTGACAGATACTACCCCGTCGCGTCGCTCAACGCCGCGGCCACCGTCACCACCATGGAAGAAGGTCGGGGTCGAGGGGCCTACCTCATTTCAGCTAGAGGGCAAGCGAAGGTCGTCTCGTCAAAACGCGGTCCCTATGGAGTTTCAACCCCAATCCGACAAACGACATACTCGCGCCGCGCAAAACGACTATGCCAAGAAGAATACTCGCGATAGCGTCAAACCGGCCACGTCATCACCACTGGCCGTGACCCAGTCGCGTGCCGTGGTCAATGGGAAGCTTGGTGGCAAAGCGACTACCAATGGGTCACCCCGGACGGCGCCATCAAGGGGAACTTCTACTAAGCAACAGTCTAATTCGCAATCGCCAGCATCTAAATCAAACCACTCGCGCATCAGATCTCGGAGCTCCGGTACCCAGCACCGCCCTCGAACCGGCGCAAACGGCGCAAGTCCCCACCAACTCCGTGATCGCACCTCCATTTCAGCCATCCCCCCAACCGACGGCGACGATTTAGACGATCTCAATGGAGACACGGAAGAGATGGAGTCCGGATCCCAAAAGGTTCCGCGACTTCGGATTAAAGTCAAGAAGCCGATTCTACCCGTTCGACACCCTGGCCACATCACGACCAAAAAATATACCTCGTTCCGGGAATGGGTAGAACAAGAGGATGCTCCGAGTCTGTTATCGGAGCAGGAGGCCTTGGAGGAAGCTAAGAGACGACGTCAAGTGCAGACTGCGGCTGAGCCTGGTGGTCCGTTGAGCTCGGAGGTTTGCTCAGCCTACATCACCGATCAACAGGAGGAACCTCCCCCACAGTACTCGCACCAGGACCATCTGGTTTCCCATGCACTGTACTTCCAAAAATTGCTGGACAAGGAACACAAGCGCCATCGACAAATGGCGAAATTGTTTGCGCAGTGGTGCGCCGACGCCTACAGGAAACGCCACAAGAACCCCGAGGACATTCTTCGTGAACAGCAAGATGAGCTACGAGTCAAACGCAAACAGTTGGGCAAGGATTTGCAAAAGATGTTTGATTTGACCCGTGCCGAGATTGATCAAGCTCGACTGGCACGCTGGGAAGAAGAGCGAAAAGTACAGGATCAGCAAGCCCTTGACCGTGCTATTAAGAAATCAACAATGCTTTTCGAGAAGCGCCGCTCGGAGATTCTTGGAGAAGTTCCCAGCGATGCCCCAACCAGTGAAGGAGAAGAGGAAGGTACAGACTCTTCGTCTGAATCTGGAGCAGATAATGAAAGCAATATGTCCTCTTCGGAGTCAGATCTTGATGACGACGCCAATGTTGACGATGATGCGACTCTTACTGCAGAAGAACTTCGATTGAAATACGCCAAACTCCCTGCTGAAGACAGCGGAGACCAGATGTCTGTGTTATCTGGTGTCACGCCATCGGTGATGAACGAAAGCGAAGCTGTTCCTGGTGACACAGATTCACATGCAACTCCAGCCGATTCCAAGATGGACGACCTTGATTCAGTAATGATGGATGATAGCGATAACTCGACTGATATGGACGATGACATGGGCGACAGTGATGATGATGACGACGACGAAGAGGAGAGCGAAGAGGAGTCTGGCGGCGAGAGTGACGGTGAGCCTGGCCTGTTTGGATTCTTTTCATCCAATGATCTTCCCATTGCCAAAGACGGAGAAGAAGTGAACGGGGAACAAGAAGAGGTGGACGTTGCGACAAACCCAGACGAAGATATGGAATTCAAATTAGCATTCGATGGGGAAGCCGAAGAGAACGAAACAGAAGACCCCGAGGAAGTTTCCCTTACCCCCAATGGTCTACAGGAAAGGATTTCTTCCGAAGGCACCCCAGCTGAAGTCATTGAAGCATCTGTGGTGGACCCCATGGATACGGAAGATGTCTCGACGGCTGATACCCCCATGAACGACCATCCTCCAGCGCCAGAGTCACTCGAACCCACGGAGCCCGAATCCAACCCCCCCTATCGACGACGACGAGGAGGAAGTTGATGAAGTAATAGAACGACCCGAATTGACTGGAGAATCCATTCAAGATGCTCGGCCCAATGGAGAACTATCTAGTGAGGCTTCTCCTGGGACGTTTGCCACGAAGCCATCCGAACCCGAATCCGTCTCTTCATACGAACCCGCCGTGGAGAAGTCATTACAACCTAGTCACTCCCCACCACCCGGCTTGAAAACACCGATTCCACACCTCCTTCGTGGTACACTGCGTGAATACCAACATTATGGACTGGACTGGCTTGCTGGTCTCTACAACAGCCACATCAACGGAATTCTGGCCGACGAAATGGGTCTTGGAAAAACTATTCAAACGATCGCTTTACTCGCCCATCTTGCTGTTGACCATGGTATTTGGGGACCTCATCTTGTGGTCGTGCCTACTAGTGTCATCCTCAACTGGGAAATGGAATTCAAGAAATGGTGTCCTGGTTTCAAGATTATGACCTACTATGGCAACCAGGAAGAACGCAAGCAGAAGCGCAAAGGCTGGACCGATGACAATGCCTGGAATGTTCTAATCACATCATATCAGCTCGTCTTGCAAGATCAGCAACCTCTTAAGCGGAGAAGCTGGCACTACATGATTCTCGACGAAGCTCATAACATTAAGAACTTCCGATCACAGAGATGGCAGGCCCTCCTTACCTTCAGAACCCGGGCCAGACTTCTCTTGACCGGTACCCCGCTGCAGAACAATCTCACAGAGCTGTGGTCTCTTCTGTTCTTCCTCATGCCCTCCGATGGCAAAGGCGCTGGCGTCGAAGGCTTCGCTGATCTCAAAGACTTCTCGGAATGGTTCCGTCGACCAGTTGAGCAAATTCTTGAACACGGAAGGGAAACCATGGACGACGAGGCCAAGCAAGTGGTGACAAAACTCCATACCGTTCTTCGCCCGTATATCCTACGACGCCTCAAGGCCGATGTCGAGAAGCAGATGCCTGGCAAATACGAGCATGTGGTCTACTGTCGACTTTCTAAGCGCCAGCGATTCCTCTACGATGGCTTCATGTCCATGGCACAGACAAAGGAAACCTTGGCTTCCGGCAACTTCCTGTCCATCATCCACTGTCTCATGCAGCTGCGCAAGGTCTGCAACCATCCCGATCTTTTCGAAACAAGACCCATCTCTACGTCATTTGCGATGCCCCGGTCGGTGGCTACGGAATACAAGATGAAGGAATCCCTTGTTCGACGAAGGTTGCTTTTCGATCACCCTCTGACGAAGGTCGACCTGGACTTTCTGAACCTTGCACCCATATCTCGGGAGGATATTTCGCGCCGCTTGGCTGACGACAGCATTCGACTGATGGCCTTTGGGCCGTTCAAGACCCTCCGTGAGCACCAATACCAGCGCACCAATTGGAAGATGGGCTTCGATGGGTCGCGCATGGAAACGATTCTGGAGTCATTGGAGAATGCTTGTCGTAAGAGGAGAATGGCCGAGCTCGAGCGTTCTCTCTACTTTGAATCAAAGCGTCATGGTCGTCGACCCATCTACGGTAGCAGCTTGATCGAATTTCTCAGGGCTGGCACCAACAAGGAGCATGCGCTCTCTAATGCCCCGCTGCAAAAAAGTAACATGGCTGAATGGCTGTCAAGCCGGTCATCTGTACTTGCGTCCATGATTCTCACACTTGAAGAACGGGCTCTCGATATGGACGGTTACGTCCAAAGGTTCGCCTGCGTTACCCCCGCCGCAGTCGCTTCTGGCACAACAGAAGCTGCCCTGACCCCTGTGGAGACGCGACTCTTGACCAATACCGACAAAGAGCAACCTTACGACCCTTTCCATGAGTCGCGAATGCGACTATCCATTGCGTTCCCAGATAGGCGGTTGTTACAGTACGATTGTGGCAAGCTCCAGCGTCTTGACAAGCTGTTGCGCGACCTCAAAGCGGGCGGTCATCGAGCTCTGATCTTCACGCAGATGACCAAGATGCTCGATATCTTGGAACAGTTCCTTAACATCCATGGGCATCGCTACTTACGACTCGACGGTACTACAAAGGTCGAATCGCGACAGATGCTGACCGAGCGGTTCAATAGTGATCCTCGCATCTTGGCATTCATCCTATCCAGTCGATCAGGTGGTCTGGGTATCAATCTCACGGGTGCTGACACGGTCATCTTCTACGATCTCGACTGGAACCCCGCCATGGACAAACAGTGTCAAGACCGTTGCCATCGTATCGGCCAGACCCGCGACGTGCACATCTACCGCTTCGTGTCCGAGTATACGATCGAGTCCAACATCCTCCGCAAATCCAACCAGAAACGGATGCTAGACGATGTCATTATCCAAGAGGGCGAGTTCACCACCGACTACTTCACCAAGTTGCGGGAACAGAATAAGATCATCGAGGAGACCGATGAGCGCGACGGCCAAGACGAGGCTAGCGCAGCCATGGACCGCGTCTTGGGCAATCGTATCACAACCGCGCCCCGAAACCTCGAGCAGGCCGAGGACAAGGAAGATATCGACGCAGCCAAGAATGCGCAGAAGGAGCTCGAGCATGCGGACGATGGAGACTTTGAAGAAGCGCAGAGTGCCTCACATGGGACCCCTGCTCAGGCCGGTACTCCCTTGCCTGCAGCAGAAGACGGAACCCAAGTCCCGGGTGCCACCTCGGTGCCTGACGAGAAGCTACCTGGTCACATTGACGATTACCTGCTTCGTTTCATGGAATGGAACATGCGTGATGAACCCCTTGTACTACCACTGGACAAGAGTAAGAAAAGGTCCAAGAAGGGCAAGGAACACCACCTGAAACGACGTCGCTGAGGGAAGCTGAGGGAGAGCCTTCTCGTCGTGCGAGGGAAAAAGAGTGAATTTCTCATCACTCGAGTTTGAGGTCTATTGTTTTGTTTTTCCTGACTTCTGTCAGAGATGGCCGGGGGGTTTTTTCCCTGTTAAGCATGAGTCTTGAGCGCCCCACGCAAGAGTCTTCCCCTCGACGTTTCACAAATGCATCTTGTCTATTTCCGGAGCTGACTACCTAATTGAGTTCCTCTTTCTTTTCTTTTACCTGTCCTTTTTCCTTTCTTTTAATTCTAATCTATTCATTTTGTGTGAACTGTGTATGTTCTCTGGTGTCTTTTTTTTATCATCATCATTCTCTTCTCTCGTGTTTTTTTCTATATATTTTTTTCTATAACCAACTTCATTTCTTGTCTTGCTCTCCTTCCCGCACAGTCATCTTTTTCATCTCTCCTGACATGACTCAAGAAGATGTGGACCACATCTCTCACGCGACCTCTTTTGAAGGATGTCGGTGGCGTGAGTGGAGATGGACACTAATAGTCTCGAAGAAATGTGGAGAGAAAGAAAAGAGACGTGCATTATGAGGATATTGGCTGTGTATAGGTACTATACTGGGTGGGAATAGCGCCGTCTTTGTTTTGATTACCTTTTCCTCATCCGGAGTAAGGTTTTTTGAGTTTGGAGGGGGCGGCGGTGGTGGCTGGGCCTGTTGATTCTCCGATTTGTATCCGTACTCCGTCCGGGCTACTCCCTGTGTTTAATCTACGAAGATCCTCTCAAGATCCATCAAGATCCACTCTGTAATCTGGAGGGAGATCTCTTCCTGTACTCCGTACCCCCCCCAGAGCCAAGCAGGACCTCCCCTGATGAACATGGACCATGACCAAAAGTGGTTACTCTGTAGATATGTAAAACCATCTCATTGTTTTCCATCAGCGCTAGAGCTTAATTAAGGCATAGTGTTATGGGCCTAATTCCGACGGCATCAAGTATAGACCAAGTTTACAGGCTTACAGAGAGCGCCATGTGCGTCGTTGTGGAGAAGATACGGGTATAGTAGTGGTTTATTCCGAAAATCCCTCCCGATGCTCTCCTTGCCAAATTCCAAATTATTTTAGATTAAACGGGAAGAGGAGGCACAAGCACAAGCACAGACACAGGCACAGGCACAATGGCTAAACGGCAAATCCGGAGAATATCCTCATCTTGTCAGAGTGGAGTATTTCGCACAGTTCGGCATAGGAAGAAGCTAGGCTAGCTTCACACAATCCATCCATAACTCACCGTGCGCACTTTGTTTTTTTTTTTTTTTTTTTATTATTATTATTTTACTCCGTATGGAGTGCCTAACACATTGTTCCCACCAACTTGGATCACCAGCCCTGCTTCGTACGGTGATCATGATTAGCCCAGAAGGGAAGACTTGCCCTGTGCTCATGATGCAACTGGGGGGGTTCATCACGGACTTAACTCTTCTTCCGTTATTTCCATGCTGGCTGTTTAAGGTTCTGATCTAACGTTAGTCGTGAGACAGTCTTGCATGCACGGGTTTCTTGTTAGAGTTCTTGCCCCGATCTTGGAGAGCGTCTCTACTCGTACAGAGCATTTTCTTGTTTTCTATCTGGGTTTGTACCTAGGTATATTGTGAAGGAAGGTTATTTTCTCCAACATGATGACCCAACGACTTGTTCTCGGCCCAAGGGCTGGAGAGGACCCGGAGAGCTGGTCAGGTCGTCGGTCACAGACCAGGTGGTCCATTCACAGCATTAGTTACTATGGAGGATCAGGGTCGCCCGGTCGATCCTCTCGGATCACGTCGATCTCCCCCCCTTTGGAGCTCTGTACGGAGTTCTCTTGGGGGTTACTCCGTACTCGAATAAGGACGTCCTGCCCGCTCCTGCCCTACCCTACCTGTGACCCATCTCGGCAGCAATGCTCCGTTGCCTCGTAGAGCTAGGGCTAGTTTAGCTCCGTAGTCTGCAAGCTTCTAGACATCTCACCCACGAGGTTGAGGTGGGGCTAAGTGGATCCCTATAGGTGACTTTCGATACGAAATACGTTGGAGGCAGTTGGAGTCATTGGAATTATAGTTTGAGGTTCTGCACGGGTAGGTAAACGTTCTTATCTTTCTAAGCGAGTCATATCATCACTTCGCTTGGAGAGTAACTACGTATGCAGCAATGTATGTACCACTGTAAGAGGAGGTCATATGGCAAGATGTGGGTTCATTTTGTTGGGTCTATCCAAAGGATGTGAGTGTCCTCGGTTGAAGAGCACGGCTGTTGGAGACTACTCCGTAGTGTAAACTGTGCCCCCACTGATCACCCGACCGGGGTTTTGATTGGCGAGCTGCATATCGCATAGGAAATACCCCATCTGGAGAGAGAATCCCGACCTATCGGGTCCGTCCTGGGAAGCTTCGGGGAAACTCCCATGAGCTGCAGAAAGAGAGACCCACGGTGATCCGGAAACCAGCTATAGTGTAATATCGGGCAGGGCCTTTGATTGCTCAGGTTTCTTGAAAAAAAGAAAATCATCCGTCTAGCCTATTGGATCGGGGTAAAGGCGTGAAAAAGGGGGTGTGGTGAGTGGAATGTCAGCTTAAAAAAAGCGGGCTTCATGCCCAGGCAGCCTTCCATCGGGGAGGAGAACTAGTACTGCTACCTACTCCGTATGGAGGAGGTTATTTTGAATTTCCATCTTGCATTATCGCAACTGGGGGGGTCTGTGTTGCACCCCCTGCTCCATTCCCGCGGTACCAGCCGCCATCTCTTGCTGTTTGAACGCATGGGTGAACATTGGCGTGGCCAGTGCAATTCCTCCGATCTTGCTTGGATCTAGTCTAGGCGAACTATTCCCCAGCTTTTTTTTATTGTGTCTTAAAACTAGTTGTATCTCGGGCAGCTTCTCGAGATTAGATTGGCCAGATGGACGAGTGGCGCGATTCGAGAGAACCGTGTCTTGCTCTGCCTTGCTCTGCCTTGCTCCAGTACAGTGGAATTTAATTTGGAATTTGACTTCAACTCTCAAACAAAGAAAACTGTTAGGGTTTCGGGTGAGGGCTCCCGGGTGGCGGTCGGAATTAACATTGGCGTGTATTACCTTGAACATCATGATCTCCAATTATCACGGCAAGTGGAAGGGGTGTTCATTCCCGATCGTTGAACCATGGGAATCGGTGCAGAATAACACCTTGGGTAAAGAGTCCGGGGAAGCAGCCCTAGAAATGGATGTTACCATGTTCCGGATCGACAGGATATACGGGGATGAATGAATTGTATGAAACGCCATTGCACATGGCAAACCTTCTCGGAGTACCGAGTTGGCAGTTTCTGCATCGTCCGGCGTGTGACAATATGCAGCCGCCAGGACAACAACCCCCGCCTGGCACTGGCATGAGTGATTGGTGGGGCAGTAGCATGAAAAGGCTTGGACAGTGCAGGAAGTGCGGTGGCGATTTCGGCCGGGTCTGTGCAGCCTTTCCAGCTTCTCTCTCTCTCTCATCCTCTCTCATCCTCTCATCCTTTGGCCTCCTCTCACGCATCGGCGTAAGGACTTGGGAGAACTACAAGGCTAGACCGGAGTAAGTACCCGAGCTGCTATCAACCACTCACCCCCTTAGCCCTGTGAACTGTCTTGAACGGGGTTGGCTGGGGTGGGCTGTACTCTCGTAGCTCGCCTGGGACGCTACTGGGCGGCTCTGTCCTTCGTTGGAGTCCAGCTTAGATCCACAATATCCACTATTGAGGACCCGGGAAGATCATGGGTGATCCACGGCCGGATCGATTGGCGAGCGCACGAACTGGTACCCCACAATCTCGACATTATTGGTCTCGTCCGAGAGGGGGGGTTTCCCACTAGCTTGGACACTATACCTGTTTTCCTCCTAGCGGATTCTGTTCAGGATGAACTTGCTGTTCCGCAAAAGGGAAGAACTCACCGGGGAAGGCCAGGGGATGGTGTGTGCATTGAATGGGGGGAGGGGGGGAATGAATGGGAATGCGAGAACGAAAGTCAAGCGGGCGTTAAGGGCGCAGGTCGATTCCTTCGTTGACTAGGATACTTACTCTGTATACTTGGTATGGCCCACGTTTTCTTTGATAGTGGTTGGAAGGGCCGAAGCCGAGTGATCCGAGACGAGGACCCTCCCACGCTCTGATACAAGAAAAGGATCCTCCTTGATTTCCCGGCAAATCATCCGTAATTCAATTTTGTGTCCTCCTGTGCAAGTATTTTGCACATGTCGAAGTCAGATAGTATGTAAAATGTAAACCCGAAGGGAGAGAAGGTTTGAAACCGCTCAACGGCTCTGATCCCCTCTGCATTAGGGAAGACATCCGTGTGCAGAGTCCACCCAGAGACACCGCGTGAGAATCCCTGGACCGGTAAAGGATCGGCAGCCAATGATTTTCTTGGGTGAGATCCAGCAAGTCCCCACTGGAGAGGATGGCCAGGGCCAGGAGGAGGCACAGCACAGCGCAACAGGAATCAGAGGACCCCCTCCCTCCCTTCTCCTCCTCCTTGATCAAGTGGATCCTTTCTGCCTACGGGGGAAGAAAGAACTGGGTCTCTGGGTTATCTGGACCGGAACTTTCAATCTACCTATCCACAAGGCTAGTTCGGTACCGCAGGGAAACCATTGCAGGAGAGGCGACGATTCGTCGCCTAGTCCCTGGAGACACTTCCCATATTGGAAGGGTTGGACCGACCGGATGAGGGGGAAGTGTAAAACACACAGTCCACATCGGAATTGGAGCTGCAGCGAGCTAGATTGGTACTCGATAGATCACGTACGAGTAGATGAAGGAGATAGAGCAAGAAGGAATCGGGGCGGCAATTGCCAGCTGGACGGAGAAAGAAAAGCACAGAGAATCTGTCAGCTGTCAGCAAGATCCTATCCTGGATTGGGGCGGAAAGATGATCTGTCGATTCCGCTTGTCTTTGTCTTGCACGAACACCCTACTGCGCCAAGCATTGCATTAGGGATAGACTGTGCCTCCGGCTGGAGAGATTGGAGAATCGTGGTGCAGCGCACGATGGCGCGAGATGTCAATGATCCACTTGGGAAGATCGCCGTCGATCCACCAACAACCACGTCAAGCATCGTCATGCCAATCCCGAGCCATGATCGACCATGCGTGCGCTGGGGCAAAGGGAAAAAAAGAGAAACGTTAGTGACAGACCCGGCACCATGGGAGATTGCGGTGGAGGAGGATCCAGGCCCATCCCCATTTGGGGTTGGCCGAGTTTATATCGCTCCCTCTTTCTCCAAACTTTCTTCTCTCGTGTCTTGTCTTGTACTTATATCTATCTCTTCCCAATCTTCTCATCTCCCTTATTCCTTCCCCCTCTCCTCCCCCTCTCTTCATCGTGCACTGTTCCGATCTACCTTATAACCCAGAATGAAGACTTCGATAACATCAGATGTGTGGGAGAAGAAGAAGGCCCTCATTGCCAAACTGTACATGGAGGAGGAATGGCCACTCAAGCAGGTCATTAAGCAGATCCGTTCGGACGATTTCAACCCAAGGTGAGCAAAAGATTATCCTCTCGGCCACTGGCCATTCCCCTCAAATTCCCCTCCGCTAACTAACCACCTCCCCCAGTGAAACACAATTGCGCAGCCGCCTCAAGAAATGGCGTGTTACAAAACCCTCACGCCAAACTCGCAAGAAGCCTCAGGGTGTAGATGATGATTTCGACAAGGATGGAAGATCCTCTACCGCCTCTCCTCGCAATCAGAAACAATCGCCAATTTTAAGAGATGCCGTCAAACACCCGGAGTGGGCGCATCCCCTCTATGCGCCTCAGCCTCAGCCTCACGTCGTTTCTCAACAACTGACTCCCAGCCCATCGGGCGATGGTTTAATTTGCGATCACTCGGCCGTATTCACCGATCCCAGTCCATCCACTTCTTCTTTCGAGCACCCCGGTCAAACATCCACAGCGGGCCCAGGCTTGATGGTCAACACTTCCTCCGTTGTGACTCCGACCTATTCGACTCTCCCACTTTCACCCGAGTCATGTCTCCCTAGCCCGGGAGCAACAAATACTCATATGGCCCAGTGGCCTCCTCGTTCAGTCTCCCTCGACGTGGGTCTTAATCAACCGATGCATCCTCCGGCCCCTTGGTACTCAGTCCCCTTTGAACCAGTCACTCCGCCATCCATTGTCCCCCACTCTACACCTCTTCCAGCTTCTGCCTCGGGATACATGATTCCTCCCCAGGGAATGTTTTCTCAAGAATTCACTCACTACCCCGGAGAAGACTACCAAATTTACGACGCAAAGCCGTGGAAGCGCACCATGTCTCTCCAATATGATTACGGTCAACATCAACATCACCACGGCCATGCTCGCCCCGATCAATCCGACAGAAAATACCACTACCAAGCAGCCTACCACCATCCCCACGGCGACATGGTTTCTCTCCCGCCTAGTCAACCAGTGATGTGCGCGCCCATGATGCCGTACTCCAACTAAAGTTTCCGGCTCGACTTTGGGCAGAACAGAACAGACAGAACCTTGGGCCTGGCGTTTGATACTCGTGAATGAGTGGTTGTGATTATTATCCGTGATACCTCCGTTGTTTTTTTTTTGTTTCTTGCGTTTTTCTCCCGATCCTTCCTTTTTTTACTTTTCTATCTGTTCTTCCATGTCTCTATATCTCAGCGTTGTAAAATGGGCGGCGATCTGTATCTAATAGATCTTGTTATGTATGACATACTCGGTGTTGCACTCGTGGGCGGAAAGTTGATTTGTTCTACCCACTTTTGTTTTTGATTCACGGCGTTGATTGGAACCTGTTCTCTTGATACCTTATACCTCTGCTGTGCAGTGGTCTCTATATAATCTGAATATTGTCAAATTGTGTCTGTCTGTGTCTGTGTCTGTGTCTGTGTCTATGCCTGTGCCTGCCTCTCTATTGTCCACTCTCTCACGATAGGACCTGCATTCTACCCTCCTATCTGTTTTCGTTCCAGCATCTTGATACCCCCTACCAATCCAATCCAATCATCCATCCATCCATCCTTCCATCCACCCATCCATCCATCCAATTGTGCTACATCAACTTATACAGCGCGAATTAATTGATCTACTCTCAATCTCTCAAACCCGCACGTGGCGAACTTTCAGATCAGTTTCACCGTCGTCCGAATCTACTAGTGAAGACATCGGCGTATCTAGACCAACTTAGCGCAGACTAGACCAACTTTATCAATGGCGCAATTATGAGACAGACAAAGCCGGCGGGAGATTGTCTGCCCCATTTCACTGCATGCCCCATCTCCAACGCATGTCATGTGCTTGTGCTTTTCTTGTCTGTCTAACCGAGATCAGACCGTAAAATCAGACCTGGACTAGTACTACTCGCAGTACTCCGTTAAGGGTCCACCGGCTCTTTTACCGGGTCCAACGGCTGCCCAATTTGCATGATCTTCGGTTCCGATGGGAGATCCTCGTCTGAAGCTTTGTTTCTCCTTTTAGATATATCCCCGGCCTCTTGATTGCGGTTGAGGTTGAGCCTCGGGAGAGGGGGTGAAGGTGAAGAAGAGGGGATCTCCGAGGACACTTCATCAATGCCAGTTCCAGTGCCGGTTCCTATTTTTACTATTTTTAGGGGGTAATTACGAGCACGAGCACGAGTACTTACAGGGCACTCTGTTCAGGGTAGGGTACTTTTTACACTTTCTGCGATCTTCCTTGGCCGGTTTCACCTACAATGCAAAGTTATGGAGTATACTCGTAAAGTATATTTTTCTTTCCTTCGGCGAGGAATCTGAACCGACAAGGGTTCTATCCCCGGTTTGTTTCAGCGGTTGGGGTAGTTATTCTGACCCCTGCATTGACCGGCATGATTCACGTTGGTCCTGCGGGAGTGACGACAATGAAACGAGGCTCAAACATCAGCAATAGTAGCGGAGTTGAGACGGGAGGATCGATGTAGGGTATGTTGTGGCGTTTGCAGATCTGGTTTTACTCGCATACTCGTATGCGCATCGGATGAGGCTGGATACTTAGGCTAGTATCTCGCCACGCATCAGATTAATTAGTGAGCGATCACAATATGTGACTCGTGAGTACGCTGTACATAATAGAATCAAGTTTTTTTTTCTACTTGTGACAAAAATAGTATGATTTTGATAAGACTAATAGTAATAGAAACCTTGGAAACTATCTGATAATTTAATAGTGTTATCCCATGCGATGGGTCACATCCAATGCTCCGGGATATCGACTATTTCGTCAATGCCGTTTCCATTCGGAGCAAACCACTGGAACCTCCCCGGAATATATCCCAGAAATTCCATTTCTTTTTTTCTTAAATTATAATTATAATTTTGGTTCCTGGTTCGGTCGTCCGGGATACTCCAATTCCAATACCAAACTATTGCGTGCCCGTGGCAAAATTGGTGGTCGTTGGCGGATCGGCATCCCGGCTATTCTGCCGCCAATCTTCAACATGAGAGCTACCGGCAGATTGGATTGACCGAGGCACAATGGGTTCCCGAGATATCCCTCATGCTCCGTATATCGCACAGAGGAGATAAGATGCCAGATGCCAGAGACGAATAATCTTCATTTACAACTTCATACGTGAATCTATATGCGATTTTCCGATTAGCATGTAGCAGATACTCGTAGCCGCGTAGACCAGCGTTGCATCGCAGCGCATCCGAGGGACCTCGGCATCTGCGGGGAACAGCTCTCTACCTCTCCTCTCCGCAATTCCACCAACACCAACACATCTCCCCATCTTCTTGTTTGGTACACCAGAGCGTATACCAGAGCCCCCATCCAATCCAATCCAACCAAACATACCCGTTTAACCTCTATTCAAAATGCGTGCTATTCAAGTCAGCGAATACGTCAAGGTTAGTACCATTACCCGCCACCCACAGTCCTATATACGAAGTACCACACGAGATCGAAGCTCAACCCGCTGCTGCCCTTCTAAATAAACACCGCAAAATAACACTAACAAAATCTATTCACAGGGCCCCCTCGACCTCAAAACAACCGAAGTCCCAACCCCAACCCCAAGCCCAGACAAATACCTCATCGAAATCCACTCCGCGGGAACAAACTTCTTCGACATCCTCCAAATCCAAGGAAAATACCAACACCAACCCCCCCTCCCCTGGATCGGCGGTGCCGAATTTGCCGGCACAATCGCTGCCCTACCCACCTCGTCAGCTTCGTCCTCGCTCAAGTACAAGGTCGGCGACCGCGTCTTCGGCGCAACACAAGGCGCCTACGCCACACATGTCCTAGCACCAGAACACACCCTCCTCCCCGTCCCCTCGGGATGGAGTTTCGAAGATGCGGCCGGTCTTTTCGTTACGGCGCCAACGTCGTACGGGGGTCTTGTTCATCGGGCAGGTGTTAAGGAGGGTGATTGGGTCCTCGTTCACGCTGCCGCTGGTGGAGTCGGATTATCCGCTGTACAAATTGCGAAAGCGAAAGGTGCGACTGTCATCGCGACAGCCGGTACAGCCCGAAAGCGAGAGATTGCGAAAGAATTCGGCGCGGATTATGTCGTTGATTATACAGACAAGGCCTGGCCGGAGATCGTTAAGAAACTGTGTAAGGAGAATCGGAGCGGTAATGGTGCTGCAGGTGTTGATATCGTGTATGATCCTGTGGGCATGATTGAGCCGAGTCTTAAGTGTGTTGCGTGGAATGCGAGACTTTTGGTTATTGGGTTTGCTGCCGGGAGTATTGAGAAGGTTGCGCTTAATCGGGTGTTGTTGAAGAATGTTAGTATTGTTGGTTTGCATTGGGGGCAGTATGCTAAGTTTGAGACGGGGACTGTTGGGGATGTTTGGAAGGGGATTTTTGATCTTGTTGCCCAGGGGAAGTTTCGCGGTACGGCGTTCAAGGATGAGAGCTTTTTTGGATTGGAGAGTGTGCCTAAGGCTTTGCAGGCGCTTGGTGGGAGGGAGACTTGGGGGAAGGTTGTGGTGAATGTTACTGACGAGAAGGCGAAGAGTAAGCTGTGAGTGGATGGGGTGGGCTACGGAGAGAATCTGGAGATACAGTGTATATATGATATAGGTAGATTTCCAAGGTTTATTTCATTTCAATCGTTTCCTCGAGTACTTCTCAAGATATTAATAAGTGAAGGATATGTAATTGTAATTGTAGATGTAAATGTAGGTGCGCAAGGAGTCATGCTCTGGTAAATAAACACCAAAACTCCCCCCCAAAGGAAAGAGTCTGAGCAAGTATAACATGAACTATGAAGGCCCTTTACTTGCTCTGGCAACTTTCTTTCTTTCCCTTCCGCGAGAGAAGACTCTCTCGAAAGACAAAAGAAAAAGCACCGGAGTATCCCTGACGAGATCCCCCAGCTCACAATCCAGCTCCGGTCGGTCGCACCCACAAGACGTGGAAGTACGGTGACTGTCCTTACAAGAAGGGTCCGTGTATTCGTCCGTGAGGACTGGGACAGCTGGATTGTGGAGTTGCGATGTGTTTCAAATGTATTTGTGGGTTCGTTGGGCGGTTGGAAGAAAAACTGAAGCGTGCCAGCAGAGCTCGATCTGGTTAATATCGTGTTAGTAGTTCCGATCTCAATCTCAATTGAAGTAAGTGAGATAATCCGACCGCGTATTGACGCAGAATGCGCATCAGTTTCTGGTCCACACGCGGTCGGAGTGATTTGGTTTGGAGTTGGCAGGTTGAGATTGGAGAAGTTGGAAAAATGGAGGAGTCTCGTCCCCAACGAGTATTCCCGCCTCGCTTAGTGATTAGTCAGCGGCTCTACTACTACGACTAACTATACTATGGTACTAGTATACTGTGAATAATTTACTTTGTCGAGATCAAGGCATGAAGTGAAAATTTTGTATGGACCAGAAAAAAGGGGGCTTAATTTGAACACTGATAATAACAAAGTGATATCGACAACAGGTCATGGTGCATCGTGTATGCATGAACTGACTGAACACTGCCAAACCAAACGAAGGTCAAGGTCCGAAGTCAAGGTCAAGGTCTTGTAAATTACATCGCGAAGGGGTCTAGACTAGAAACCGTAATCAGAAGCCAAAAAAAAAAGAACGGGCCCGAGCCGAGCCGAGCCATCCAGGACAGGACTCGAAACCGGGGACAGAGAATAGCAAAAAGAATGGCAATACCCTCTCAAGTCCCATCCCATCCATTCCGGCCCGATTAGAAAATATCCTCAGACCGGCTCCAATCCTGCGCATCTCGACTAGACCAATATTTGCCATTATGAGCCCAGAAATCCTCACCCGTTACAGGGCATCTATCACGAACGAACCATTGCGGCGAGTAAGTCTCGCCTTTGGTCTCACGTTCTCTCCGCTTAGCACGCTGCTTCTCTTCAACGCGATGTTTCTCGTCCGCAGCGAGATCGTACTCGCCATCTTCCATAGCACGTTGGTCCGGACGCAGTCGCGTATCGGTGGGAGGTAAGTGTTCCCTCAGGCCCTCCGGTAGCGCATTCAGAGTGATGACGAAGGGGGTTAGGTTGAATGGCACACCCGTAGGACGAGCGTGCGCTTGCCAGACTAGGAGTGTCTTTGCGGACTCGGGGTCTTGGCCTGAGACGGGTGCTTCGAAGCCGGGAGTGTGGCGAGCGTAGATCTTGTCGTTCCAGCGGCCGCCAATACTCCATTTCGGAGATCCGTCCGCGTCGACTAATTTACCGGCGACTTGGTAAGCGGAAGATGCCTTCCATCCGCGGGGTTTGAAGTCAAGATAGCAGACCTCGCCCGTGGTGTGGTTTTTGATTTCCATCAGGCCGTAGTTATCAACAGTGGGGTTTCCAGTGATGATACCGATGACCGAGGAAGTGACCTTTTTCCAAGTGTACAGCTCTTCTCCGCCGGTGACGGGTCGAAGTTTGAGGAACCATGTGCCCAGCAGGTTAATGTCGAAAGATTTGCCGTAGAATTTAGACTTGAGAGATGATTCGCCCCAGTAGTCCCATTTGGGCGATTCGGCCCACGCAGCTCCAATTGGCGGGTGATGGCTGACTTGTTCCACGAAGAACCGGTAGCCCTTGTCGGGCCGGACGTACTCGAAGGTTTCACCAAGGAGGGGGTTGAAGGGCTTCGCAACACGGCCAATGGTTGAGGCGTACTCACTTGCAGCATATGATGCCACGTACAGCAGGCGTTCCATCGAGTCTGACCGGTCGGCAGCAATATCAAGTAGATCAGTGTATTCCAGATCCTCTGCAACACGCTGAAGTAGGGAAGTTGGTTCGTTGAAGGACACCGGCAGAGTCATCTTGGTCATGTCCTTGCCAATCATGGATTTCAAGATGCCCTAAAAAATGGTTGGTTAGTCGTTTGCATTTGTAAAAAAAGTCAAATGAAGACGATATATCTATCAGGCAATTAATCACTTACCCAAAGGCCAATCTTGGGACGATTGTCATTGTCCATTTTGAGTCTTTGTCGCACAGGCTCTTCGTAGCCCTTAAATGAGGGTGCGATCATGGCAACCTTATCATTACGAGCCTGTGAACTTTCATCTTCAGGCTCCTTCTTCTCTTGAGACTCTCCCTGCGTCATATCCTCAACTTCAATATCCCCCGCATCAATGGCATCGAAGAACTCATCCCCATCCGACTCAGAATCATAAAGACTGCTGATTTTCGACAGGTTGGAGTGCTTGCGGCTGAGGGTAGGGCGGGCAGCAAGTTGAGCCGATGCCTCCCCGTCTTCCTCGGGTGCGCCTGTGTCGCGAAAATCCTCCTGGCTCTCCTCCAGCGTATCCTTATCATTGGCAGGTGCACGAGAAGGCGCTTCGCTAATTGAGCGGCTAGCGGCTGTGGCATGTTCCAAGGCCTCCTTCAGAGCACGCTTAGTTCGTTTCCGCTTCTCCTCCGACTCGCCCATCTTGGACTGAAGCTCTTCATGTTCTTGAGCGACGCGTGCCATACTTTCCTCCCACATTTGGCGCAGATGTTCTTCCCTGTTCAATCGGTATTGCCAATAGGAATCACGATCCCGCGAGATCTTGAGAAGACTTTGGACCAGTCCCTTGAGACTACTAACGGCGCCTTCATAGGCACCAAGGGCTTGCTCAAAGGAAGGATCTCCAATTGCCGTGCCAGGATTCTTAGTCCGTTCAGCCTGTAGTGAAGCAGTGACATTCGAAAGTAGATCCAGTTGGAGCTTCGCAGACTGCGCGGTGATGTTCAGGGCATCCTTATCCTCCGCAGGTGCTTCGTGGCTAGAAGCATAGTCGTAAAATTCCTCATCATCATCATTGCCATCACCATCGAGCATGGTTGTGGCATGGCTGGCCACCCTGTTGACTTCATTCGTGCTTTGGTCAAGAGAGCCATATGCTGAGCTTACCTCGTCCTCGGGGGTAGTTTCAAGTGTTGTGCGCGAGGCATGAGTGCTCAGCCGTGTGATGCTGTTACCAGGCACGCCTAGGGTGGATGGAGGAGCGAGACTCTTTGTACTGGGACGGTGACTTAGACCGGACTCGGACGGAGTTCCAACTGAACGGCCTTCGCTCTGATCCATCTTTGCCTGACGAAGGACCTCGGCATTCTGATTGCGCTGCCGCTCTTCTTCCTTCGCCTCATCTTTAGCCCACTGGATGGCGTTGTTCAGTGACCAGAACCAGCGTTTGGCCTCGACGACATGGTTTGCCTTGAGGTGATACTTCACAGATGATTTGCCGTGAATCTCAAACCGAGTTTTATCCTGTGCATCCATGTTGAGTCGGGCAATTCTCATATTAATAGCGCCACGGCAAGCTGAGCCAATATCATCTGGACAAACGAATCAGACCCAGCCCAGAAACCCCCACCCTTTAGAAGAAGAAGTAAAACTTACCCTGGTGCTTATAATAGCTCAAAACGCCATCCTCCAAGACAAACCACCGCAGTTTGTAGCCACTGGTATAGTTGGTCCATTTCTTAAGATATCCTCTCATTTCACGAGCATCCTTGCCAGCAAGAGGCGCCTCACCACCGATCGAAGCCCGGGCCGATAAACCTTGAGCATTGTTGTTACCAAGAATCGCTCTCTCCTGAATACCACGTTGTGCGATCACAGCAGCGGGGGATTTCTTAAGGAGGGCGCGAGTCTTGTCATCCTTTGTGACATCCTGGGGCAACTTGCCCTTCTTATCACGGCGGAAAGGATCCGCCCCGTGAGTCAGGAGTATTTGAATGAGCTGGGAGTCCTTATTACGAGCACCCTCATGCAGTAAAGTACCCCCAGTCTGTACAGTGGTAGGATCAGCGACCAAGTCCAGAGCATTGACATCCAAGATTCCCTCGGCGCGGGGTTCCTCCAATAGTTTTTCCAAATTCTCGTAATCTTTCTTCGCGAGCAGGACCTGGATTTCTTGTGTCTTGTTGTCGATGAAGAGCGAGCGGGCTAGTTGGAGTTGCTGGAAGATCTCGGGTGTACGTGCGACTTCCAGTGGTGTTTGACCGCGGTAGTTGACGATAGCATCGTTGACACAGTCTCGATTCAGCAATTCCCGAATGAGAGAAACGCGGCCAAGTTGCGCAGCAAGGTGGAGAGGGGTATTTCCCTCCCGATCCTGCTCGTTGATACACTGGTCGTCTCCGGATGACAAGACAAACTCCACGACCTGGGGCTCGGCGCACTGCAAGGCCAGGTGTAGGATTGTGGTACCGTATAAGCTATTCGCAATCTGAGGGTCCTGGGATTCCTTAATCGCCTTGGAAATGGCCGTGGTATCGCCGCTTCGCAGGGTCTCAAATAGGCGGAAGGTCCGCACCGACTGATCGAGGGACATGCTGCTGGTCTCCGGCTGAGGCTGAGGCTGAGACTGAGGCGCGGATGTGATCGCGCCTTTGTCCAAGCCACTCACACTGTCGGCGGGGATGCTCTGCCTGCTCTGGTTGGACGGGATATGTAGGAGGGGTACGCCGGAGGTTGGAGGGGATGCAGGATCGAGGGAGGCCTCGCGAGTTTGAGAAGTGTGGCGGCTGAGACTGCGAGTGTGCTTCAGGGAGAAGGAGCCATTTCCAGAG